AAGCTTATAGTGACGTAGAGTGGGCATGGAGACTTACGTTGTACGATGACGAGCACAAGGAAGAATTGTTGGCGATTCGAGAGAACTGCTCCGTCAGATTCTTTGGCCACGAAGGTGACGAGAGTGTACTCTGAGCAAAGGTAAGAACTGAGAGGTCTGCTGCATCGGAGAGGCAAACGCACTGGTATTCCTGACTTTGTTTGTCTCGGATACCTCGCCGTGGGGTCGCCATTACTGTCCACTCTCTCCTCTCGTAGCGGTGTGTTGACATATATATTCCGGCGCCTTCCATTCGGCTTGGGCTTCCCCTCCTCACACTTCCGTTCTCTGTCCTTCTCCCCTCGCAGCCTGAAGAATCTCCTCCGCCGGCGGACTGGCGAGCATCAGCCACGATACTCTCTGCAATTGCCGAATGGGCTGTGCGGACGGTGCGCAGGCGAAGCTCGGGGTCTATGTTTTCTTCATCGTCGGAGTCGTGGTCGTGGTCGTCGCTACCACCCGCGGCTGGGTGCGCTTGAAAAAGGACCATGGGTGGGTATGAGTGATGGAAGGAGTTGTGGAGGGATTCAGCGGGATCACCGAAGCGGAAAGCAGTTTGGCTGTGTTGGATTGCGCCCTATTTCGACTGCTTATTGATCTTGTCCCGAGAGACTCTCAATCTTGGCTCACTTGGCCCTCTCAGCCTACTGTAACCGGTGCCGTATAACTCTCGTCAGGGCCGCACACGGCGAGAGAGGATCTCGCTCCCTGCATAGCCGCTGTATCTGCGCTGGCCCACAGACGGCCGCGTCAGCTTGATCGCTGTACCATGTGTGTAAGAACGGTAGCATCATCAATGCATCACGCCGCGCAAGGCATCCGCCGTACTTATTTAAGTTCATCCGCCGGATCCCATCTCGTAATCCAGTCTGGTCTGACTGAACGTTGCTCACCGTGTGTGTTCTTTTGCTCGGATCATCTCCGATCCAGACTGGTTTCTACCATCTTAGGGTCTTGACATTGAGTAAACGCAACCCAGGCAGAAAGACGTACAATGAGTACTCGAGAATAGTATCGTTCTCTGAACGCCGCATTGTCCGGCGGCCATCAAGAAGGTTTGAAGCCAGAAGCGAGACTGTCTTAGTATCTATTTATGCCGATTTGCCCGAAAAGCCTGCTATGGAACCGCAACTTATTTTTAGTGCAAACCCTGGCAGCGGTCCGCCGCCCGATGCATGTGGATTGCGATTACCGCTTCTGGTTGTAGTGAGCGAACAGACCTAGCTTTTATCTTTACAGGTAAATGCAGCGACGGGTGATGAGATACGATCTGCAATTGGCGAGTGGTTATTTATGGACAAAGCTATATCAGGGCATAGTTGCCTTTTTAGGCGTGCAGATGTTGTGAGAAACCCGTTGAAGGGTCATATTGGGACCGACAGAGACAGCGTGATGGCACAGACTGTCGCTCTCGTGTCACTGGATCATTCCGATTGAGATCACCGATAGTTGAGGGTGTCTGTACCTCGGAAACGCCGTAGCAAAGCAACGGAGAATCCTCATGACGCTCACTCGTAATGGCTGGCTCGATGGTGCGTGTTATGGATGACGAGAACGAAAACATCCGCAATGGGGTACAAAAAGACGAGACCAACGATCCCAAACAGGAATGACACGCTACCGACCTCAACGCTTCTGATACACGGCTGCTTCTGCGGTTCACATCCTGCTGTCACCATTGTGTTCTCCGGTGCACTACGGCTGGTGCGCATCGCCCCATCACCCAGGTCAATGTTGTACCAAGACTGCACGTTTCCCTCCTTGGGCTGGGTGCCCCTTTCGGACTTGAGAAAGATATCCGGGGAAGGGGAACTGACTATGGAACCGTCAGTACTGAGCACCGGAAAGGAAGATCCAGGTACTACCGTGAGAGCAAAGTGCCTTGGGCGCCGGACGTATTGACCAGATCTTGGATCATCGACTTGCGGATCGGAAGTGGATAGTGCATGGTGAAGAGCATCGTGCACGAGTACACCCGGGCAAGAACGAAGTAGAGCGCGATGATGTCTACCGCCTGCGTTAGGGGGGATGGGAGATGGGAGATGAGACGAACGCACAGGTGGTGTGCTTTCCCATAACCCCGCAACCAGAGCGAGGATGCAAATGATGCTACCCGGCATCCCAGTGCTGACAAATGCTTTCCAGCCGCGGACGATGAAGCTGACAGAAGTCAGAACGAAAGCCTAGAACGGGCCCTGAACTCACTTTCTCTTGGCCACAGACTTGACGGCGATGCGTGGCAAACGGAGATCGACGTTATGCCGAACGCCGTGACGAGACTAGCGATGAGCGCAGTCCTATCATTCTCGTTAGCGCGCCTCAACCACCACTGGTTGTACAAACCGCTCACCAGATGAACGGACGAGTTGCTCTGCATTGGTCCACTGCTCATGTATGCGCAAACCGCCACGGAGGCGACGGACCCAGAAGTGTCTGTAATGCATGAGACAGGGGCCTCGCAACAGTGCAGAGAAGACGTACCACAACCAGAAGTGAGACAATCAGGGCCGTGCCGATGAGATGGTTCGGGATACTTGACCCTGATTGAGCAAAGACCACGCCACGGAGGGGAGCACTCACTTGGTCCAGAACTTTTGCAGGAGGTAAGACTGGGCGATGGCAGTCGAGGCAGTGCCCAGACCAGAGTGCCGATGAGGAGCTTCCAGAACCGGCCTTGCACCTCGTCGTTATCCCCTGCGTAGTGTGTCAGTCCACATGCCGGAAACAGTGTAGAGAACAGTACCCCAGTGAGTGTCTTGCCACTAACGGAAAGGACGATATCAGCGAACAGTACCATCTCATCAAAAGGGCATGCGACGCACAAAGTAGAGGAAGACGCAACCGGCTAAAGTGCACGCAGTATCGAGCAGCAGAGTGAGGACAGTCCGGAACTTGTCGAACGCACCAGCCCCTCCTTCGCCCGACGCGAGAGGAAGACGCAGGCCATCACGAATTCGAGTGTGTACAACAACAGGTTGACGCAGACAGCCGGCACGAGTGAGCTGAGATCATGAGCATCGGGGAACAGGAGACAACGCTGTAGACACCTACCCATATTCTTCGGTGGTCATGATGGTGCTGTATATGCTGAGAGTGAGAGCTGACACAGACTCCGCCCGGTCCCCAGCAGTCTTAAGTAGCACCAACGGTCTCAGACACAGTACATCCGCGCGCAAGAGGGGGAAGTGAGGTCTCGTTGTTCCGCGGGCGGCCACTCAATGAATGTTCTGCTTCGGGCGGATATCACGATACTGGGGAGCAGAACAAGACAGATTGCGGATTCTCGCATTGTGCACTGGGAGACTGAAGTGGAAGATTGCGGCAGGACAAGCGACACAACGCGATCATGTGATCTGTGAGGACTTGAATGCCAAGGCAATGTCGAAGCTGCCGACACTAGGAATACACGTCGATATGTGTGTGGATTGAATAATAGGAGACCTTTCTGCCCGAGAACGAGGTGCACCAGTGGCACCGCTGCCAGTATTGCTTCCGAGCTCAAGCCCGCGACGGGGGACCGTCGTCAGAGCACTAAGTACTCTGGTATACACAAAGAAGAGCAGATCCAATTGCAATCTCGAATGATGTCGCGCGAGATAAGGCTGAATATCGTGCAAGACGTTGATCAACATACAAGGTGTAAAACAGTGTGTTCCTCTGTATCGTCTTCGCGGCTTCGAGCAAAAACGTGCGACCCATATCTACCTGTCCTCAGCCCATTCCTGGCGGATAGTTCAGCAACGACCTCGAGTAGAGGTTACGTCCACATACATTCTCCTTCTTGATCTGAGCTTCCTCCTCCGGCGTGAAGTCGTTGACGATGTTGAAGAGTTTGCGGATCTCCTCCGGCGTCTTGCCTTTGATCATATTCGCGACCGTCTTGCAGCCGACATCACTGCAGGTCAGAGATCACGACGATGAGCGCGGTGGTCAGACACGGGGATGCGGGCGGCCTACAGAAGCGGCTTGATGTCCAGGTAGTTGGCGGCCAGGATGATCTCGAAGAGCATCTCTTGGTCGACGTTGATGAACTTCTGGTCCCACTCCGAGATATCGGTCGTCCCGTTTCCGCGTATCGTCCTGAGACGACTCGGATTCAGGCGCGGGGAGGGGCTCGCCCTTGTGGTGCTCGCAGTACTCTAGAACCTAGACCAGGCAGTCAGCCAGCCCCGATGCCTATCGCGCGCAGTCGTGCGACCCTACCTTCTTGAGGACACTGGAGGACACGTTGGGGAGCGGAATGGGTTGGTCGGACTCGCCGACGTCTACATTCGGCATCATCGTAGTAAGCCCTGGGGAACTGCTTGCTACCGCGGCGCGGTACTACGCACCTTCCAGCATGTTCTTGATGAGCACGCTGCGCTCCACGATCTCCTTCTGGTGACGAAGGACTCGTTATCGGAGGTGACGAGAGTGACGGGCATGCTCGACGCGAGTGACAAACGAGAAAGGCAAGTTGTGTGAGTAGATGATGAGCAAGACGCGTCTCGGCTGTTTACGTCCGCGAATCGTGACTGATGCGGCACCGCTTCGCCGGGACAGGCCTGACTCGCCTTGTTCTTTTCACAACGGATCCACAGCACGATCCGTATCCTGCTGCTTGCTGCTGCTTCTTATCCATACTGGCAGCTTCTGTCTGTCTTTCTCACCGATATTCCGTAAATCCGATTTTGTCTTCACTTCTGGATGTCACTTCTGGATGTCCTTCCCTCTCGATTGAATCTCTCTCCGTTGGCCAACTCCATCTCTTCTGAGAGCTCGCCGCTTTGTCACTCAATCTCGGCATGTGATGTATGGTCATGTCCGATCATTTGGGAAAAGGAAACGAAAGCCGGAGAATCCTTCCAGTCTCACCGTGACTTTTCCCGGTCTGTGATTCCTGGCTACGGGAACGAAGAGCCGTCAATTCGCCACTGGCCAGGGAGATGGCATCCCGCCAACTGGACACATGACAGCTACTTACCCATCGGCGGTCTCGACGTCCTGTCGAGTATGCTTTAAATCCTCGAAATCTCGGTCCTCAGGTCCCAAGCATCACCTTCCCGCATTCACTCACCTCCCTGCACTTCGCAATGGCTGCAAGGAAAATTGCTCTAGTCACCGGCGCCAGGTCTGCCCTCTTCTACCATCCTTCTCCGCCACACCCATCTGAGTCTGACAAGCCCAGGGCATCGGGCGCGAAATCGCGAGGCGCTTGGCCAGCGATGGGTTCGACGTCGCGCTCAACGACCTCGCGTCCCAAGGCCCCAGTCTCGCGAAGGTCGCTGCTGAGATCGGACATAAGGGCCGCTTGTGTACTTCGCACGTTGCCGATGTCACTGCAGAATCCCAGGTCAAAGCGATGGTCGAGGAGGTCGTCGACGTGCACGGAGGACTCGATGTGGTACTAAACATTTCTCTCCATCCTCACACATATTTGTCTGAAATCTCGGCTGGAAGATGGTCGCGAACGCTGGAGTGGCTCCATGGGGCTCGATTCTCAAAGGTAGCACCTTTCCAAACATCGTGTTTGGAGGAAATTCATCCGCGTTCTAGTCGATGCGACAGAATGGGACCGTGTCATGGCCGTTAACATTCGTGGAACTTTCCTGTGCTACAAATACGCTGGTCGCCAGATGGTTGCCCAGGGCCGCGGAGGACGGATAATCGGCGCCTCATCTGTTGCAGGAAAGATGGGCAAGTTCTGATGCACGAATAGGTGTCAGTTGGCGTTGACAGACCGAATAGGCTTCCCCTTTCTGCCGGCGTATTGCGCTAGCAAGTTCGCGGTGATGGGCCTGACACAGGCAACAGGTGAGCATGCCATCACAGCCCCAATCTGTCAAATTCACTCGCTGCATTCAAGCCCAGGAACTAGGAAAACACGGCATCACCGTGAATGCATATGCCCCGGGACCGCTCAATAGTGAACTGAGTACGTTCCGCCGGTAATCGCCGGTTCTCTGATGGGTGAATTACCTCACCAGTGCAATCTCTTGCTTCCGACAGCCCGCAAGATACTGGCACATCCGTCGAGGAGTGGACCGAATTTGTAATGTCTTTCATTTGGACCCGAACCTGGGCCTCATCTGACAGAAATTATCGCCAGATGCGTAAGATGATCCCTATGGGCCGCTTTGGGTCAGTCGCTCCGAATGATCAAACAGCTGTGATCTAACCGGGCCGATTAGCGACTTGACGGACATCTCCGACCTGGTGTCTTTCCTCGCGTCCTCGGGCGCCAAACACATCACCGGTCAGTTCACTCCCATACGCATGTTACACCATATAACAATCATCTCGGTTCCAGGGCAAAACGTGAGCGAATTTCTCTACGTACCAGCCAGACTTGAGCTTCTGACAATCGTCTTACAGATTTCAGTCAATGGAGGGTCGCACTGCAGTTGAAATTGTTCACGTCTTGTAAACGGCCCGAGTCGCTAGCCCTATACTTCGTCTCGATTCGCCACTGTGGTTAATATTAAGGATCAGTTCACATTCTAACTTGTCCGCCGGGAGTATCTGCGCGGGAGAGTCATCTTGGCTTGCGATGGAACGTAGCAAGAATCATGCCCAACTTCACAGTGAGAATCGCACAGGGGGGAGGCTGTGACCCCTTCGACCCTTGTTTCGATACTTCAACTCCTTCCTCGGCTCTGTCTCATTTCCGCTGCCCAAGCTTCAACTCCTGAATTCCAATTGGGATACATGACGCTCTCGGACTGATCATGAACAGATATATAGCCAACCGTGAACGGCGAACCTGCTCCTACGATCTGAGCGAGCCATGCATGGAAATTGGTGCCCGCGAGCAATTTGCGAAGTACAAGTCCCCGTGAAGCAGTGATGAACGCGACTAGCACAGACCCGTTTCAAACCAGACCAGTGCTAACCAGGTTTCAACCCGTCTATAAAACACAACTGTATCGTCCGTCAATAAGAATCCCACATCTACCGCTGACTGCCCCATAATGTCTGTAAGGAAGATTGCTTTGGTCACAGGTGCCGGTGGGTCTTTATGAAAATCCCTGCGTTTATCATTCTCTGAGGAGTGGACAGCCCAAGGAATAGGGCGAGAAATCGCCCGGCGTCTGGCCAGCGATGGCTTCGACGTCGCAGTCAACGACCTTGCCTCCGCAGCTCCAGCCCTCGCAGAAGTCGTCGCCGAGATCAAGGAGAAGGGACACGTAGCATCCTCGCACGTCGCCGATGTCTCTGTAGAGTCCCAGGTCAAAGCGATGATCGAGCAGGTCGTCGACGTGCACGGGGGTCTGGATGTGGTGCGGCTGATTTCTTGTTTTTCTGCGTTCTGCATCGCTCTGATCGAGCGCAGATGGTGGCAAACGCCGGGATAGCTCCCTGGGGCTCCGTTCTCAAAGGCACGTCGAAGGCTGGTTTCTCGGACGACCCTCACCAAACGCAGTGGATGCGACCCACTGGGACCGCGTCATGGCGGTCAACGTCCGCGGAACGTTTCTCAGCTACAAGTATGCGGGCCTGCAGATGGTTGCGCAGGGACGCGGAGGACGCATCATCGGTGCCTCTTCCGTCTCGGAAAGATGGGTGAGAGCCGAGATCCACCTCTTTGATTGGTCTATCAGAGGCTGACCAGCGGGCGACCCTTAGGCTTCTGCTTTCTGCCGGCGTACTCTGCGAGCAAATTTGCTGTTATGGGTTTGACTCAGGCGACGGTTTCTGGTTGAATCTCTTTGATCGGTCTTACGCTTATTTTTGTTTTCCCAGCGCAGGAACTGGGGAAGTTCAACATCACGGTCAACGCATATGCTCCAGGGCCTAACAGCGTCTTGAGTGACTTATCTATGCAACATTGATTGCCCAGTCCAGAGCTGATCAAGTCCAGTGAAGAACTTGGCCGAAGAAGGACCTGAAGACACCGGCATGTTCGCAGAAGAGTGGACTGACAAGGTATATGGATGTACGTTCATGACGGATCGGCTCACTGAAAAGTACTGTAGCTTCGCCAGACATCCGCTAGGACGCTTCGGTCAGCAACCCCATTATCTCAATTTTTTTTCTGATCTGACCTGATTTCTAGTGAATTGACGGATATTTCCGATCTTGTCTCGTGTTCTCGCGTCCTCCCCAGCAAAGCACATAACCGGTGAGCTCGATCTTGAGAGTCGCAGTCAAATCAGGCTTAAATTGGATCAGGGCAAAATGTAAGCCGTGTTTTGAGCCTCGAGACTTGCTTGAACGCTACTCAGATCTCGGTTAACGGGGATCTCATTGTAGTTGATCGAAGCGCTGTGGTTCCACTGATGTCATGGTTCAATTATGTGCTCAGCTTTTTGGGCTGCTGGCTCCACTTGGCAGATGGTGGGTCTGAGGAAGGGCCATGAAGGAGCGGACCGATCCGCGAACTCGAACTATGGCCATCAATCCCATTTCCTTTTTGGGCGAAGACAAAGCGATCGGTGCTCGACACGTGGCCGTTTTTGTCTTTGACCTTCACTCATCTGAGAGCACCAACAATAAGATCGAGCATGGATCACAACGTTCCTCGTTAGGGATGGCATTTTCTTTTGTTGTCAAGCTATGGCCCGGCCCAAAGAAGCTCTCATGCTGAGCGCTTCCCACTCCTTTTGTTTCGCGCCAGTATGAATACTGCGGCGCAACAGTGAGTTCTAATCAGCAAGCCCCGCGTCTCACGAGTCCCCCGCTTCTACTCCTGTCCTTTCCCCGCGCCTTCAGCTTAGCGACGCTCCCGCCTCGACGATGTCTTACTCGATGAAACACGCGTACCCTGCGCCCCCTCCGACCACGAACGCGTTAACCGCACATCAAAGGACTCAGATGCTGCGCTCCACGCAGAAGCTGGGCCGTTTACTCGGAAGCACCCCAGCTTTGCTCGAAGAGACGGACGAGATGCCCTCGACGCGTGCGTTCTCCCTATTCTTCTTGCACCCCTCGTTGCTCACCTCTGACCCAGTCCCTCTCAACCTGCAACGTCTCGCCGTTCCGGTGCACGTCAGCCTGTCCTCTGTCTACAGCGACGATGCTGCTTTCGGGAAATACGCGTCCGCGGACACCCTCTCTCGCACATCGTCGAGGTCCGACTCGGATGCGTCATCATACTACGGGCGCCAGTCTTTCGACTCTGGCCGCAGCGCCGCAACAAAATCCGTCCACGTAAACGATGGGTGGCCTACTGTCGAGCGGCCCTACCTCCGTGTTGCTGTTCCCTCTGCGAGACTCGATTGCATTCCGCAGTCCCCGACCGGCACTCACAGTCCTCCGCCGATGTACTCCCGCGATGCCCCGCCGCACAGCGGCTACACGTTGTACCCATCCGCCGGCCCCGTGACCCCGCCGTCGCCGCTGCAGTCCTTCGTCGTGCCCTCGTCGACCTCCGTCCGGCGGCAGAAGATGGACAAGCTGCGGCGCACGCTGGGCGACGGCGTCCCCATCGACATGGTCTTCCCCGCCGACCGGGTGCCCACGTACGACAACTCGTCCTCGAGCAGCTCGGACGAAGACCTGCCCCGCGCTGTGCGTGCCGCGCCGCGCATCCGCAGCGCGCGCGACTCGATGCTCGTGCCCACCGACGTGCCGCGCCAGCAGCCGGCGGCTCCCGAGGCGCGCAAGCTCAGCATGATTGCTGAGCGGGAGGAAAGCGGCGACCGCGCTGCGAGGGAGTCTGCGCGGTACCACGGGGACACCGAAGACGCGCATAGGCAGTCTCGGCGCCAGTCTCGCGTCAAACGCGTGCCGGCCCCCCGCGCATGATGATTTCAATCCACTCCTTTGCGTATACATAGCTCATCGACCATCATTTGTATAGTACCAGCCGCATCTCTGTTGTTTTTCTTCCTTGCATTCTATATTTTTACAACTGCTACTACTATTCCATACATGAATATTCGACAATACCAGGTGCTCTTGTCTCTTCTCGATCCCGAGCGCGTTGTGAGACTGTTCTTAGCTGAGGGAATCAAGACGAGGATCTGAGTGCATCTCTGCTTCTGCTACGAACGACGCTCTACTCACTTGAGTACATATGGCCGGGAGCACCTGTTCACAATTCACACTCCTCCGCATTCCTCATCCACCCGTTCTCTGAAGATCAAAAGCCATGGGCACGTCTCTCATCATGTAGATGGTTGGCGGCAACCCTTGGCATGCGGTGCCTTCTGTGTGCCTATCCAAGCGCGATCATCTTCGGGATTGCCTTCCCGGCGTCACACAAGTATATGCGGTAGTAACACAGTCCGCTGAACGACGCTTTACAACTCGTTCACAGGTGATCGCAGAGGAGGAACTGGAACGTGATAAAAACAGATGATCGTGGTGCACAGCGCTGTGAACTAGGTGGGTGTTAGGATGGGCTTTGGATGGTGTGCTCAAAGTTGATGTTGATGATGATCTGTACCCTTCTTCTTTGTGTCCCTCACAGCCGCTTTCCTCCTCCTCCTTTTAGCAATCTCCGCTGTCCTATTCGCCTCTTACAAGGCCCGGAGATGCGCGTACCTCCAACCGCTCAGAGACCGGATACGCCTGAGACGATCCTGTGCGGCACGCACGGCTGCCCACTCGTAACCGCGCCCGTTCGACGCGGGGCGCCGGGGCCGATCCCCACCACTGTTTCGAGATACGCGATAAGTATGAGGAACTCGGGCGCGCTCATCCGTGTCCGGCGTCGGTATGGCTTGTAGAGACGCGGATGGGGGAATGCCGCTCGGCGCTTGGGCTGGAGGCGGTCGTACGCGTCGGGTCGACCTCAGTGAGATCTAGTTCAGGAGCAGGGCTCGGCAGGGCGCGCTCCGGTCGCGGAGTTGGCGGGCGCGCTCGCTCTACATAAGTAGTGTGGGTGAGATGTGGCCGTTAGACAATGATGCAAGAGTGGACCGGTGCTATTTGATACCAGGTAGACTCTGAGGACAAAGTCAACGTTTGGACAAGGGAAGGAGTGTCTAGGCTAAAGGACGTAAATGCCTAGATGCGTACCTCCGTGCCGTCGTCGGCGCTTCGTAAGCAGGGGCTCTCCGTTCTGACTCGAGTGACCTTTCGCTCGCGTCATTCGGTCCTCAGTCCAAAACCATCACATCGACAGCCCAAACTTTGTCCCACCATGGATGCAACAGCGTTCCCGTTCGGGGATCCCCCGGTCTTGCAGAACAGCAGAGTGAAGTTGGTGCCCTTCGATGTGAATCGTACCCGAAAGTCATTCACCCCGCTGTGGCGCTCATCAAATCACCTCTGTAGGCCACACAACACGGGATCGAGTTCGGTCGTGCCATCAACGCGCATCCCGAAATGTTCGCGTATCTTCCTTTCGGGCCCTACGATCAGCCGCAGGGCTTTGTCACTTCGCTCTTCGAGGGCAGGATCCAGCGCGATCCGAACAGCTTCCTCTTCGCTGTCCTGGCTAAGACCAAGGCCAACGGCCCGGAAACGACCCTCAAAGCGCCTGCGATGACTCAGAGTCGGTAGCTTGGCAGCTCGCAGGCACGATCGGGATCCTGGAAAGCTCCGTCCCTAACAAAAGCACGGAGATCGGATTCGTCTTCGTCCTGCCCGCCTTCCAGCGCACGCACGTCGCCTCCAACGCGATCGGCCTGCTCCTGCATTTCCTGCTCGATCTGCCTGATGCGGGGGGACTCGGCCTGCGCCGCGTGCAGTGGAAGGCGAATTCGGAGAATCAGAAGAGCATCGCCGCTGCGGAGAGGATGGGGTTCCGCAGGGAGGCGGTGATGCGCTGGCATATGGTGCTGCCGGAAGGCAAGACGGCTGGCGGGGTCCCGCGCGCAGGTGACGCTCGGGTTGGACGGCATTCGGTGCTTCTGGGTTTATGTTGGGATGATTGGGAAGGCGGTGTCCGTGCCTCCGTCGATGCAGTCATGGGCCGGGTAGCTTGATGATAAGTTTGTCTTCGTCTGATCAAGTGTCTAAAGCAGAGCTATGGGTACAAAGCAGTTTGTCTAGAGTAATAAATACCAACCCTATAAGAAAATCCAACCAAATCCAGCTATTGCTTACCACTCATCTTCAACTTCTGCAAATCGGCATAGGATCCGGACCGACTTTTCACGCCGGTGCTTGTCCCACCGTTGGACGAATTTGGGTGCAAGAATTGACTCAGACCAGGGATGTAGTTGATGACATTGTCGTAGTCGCCACCATCCTCGTCGTCCGAATTAGGTGCGGTGGCAGAGGCCCGGAATCCAAACAGCCGTTCGTCGATCCAGGTCATCGGATGTGTCAGCCCCAGACCTTGAGCATCGACAGCCCCGTTGCTGCTCTTCCGACGCCATATTCCCTGACTTCCGCTCGACGGAGGAACCGTCGCCGATGGGAGGAGAATGCGAGCCTGACGCAATTCAACGTTCGGAAATCCAAACAAAATGATCAACACCCACTTCATCAAAATCTTCGTAGATTTGGGTCCGAATTCGTTGATAAGTTCAGACACTTCGTTGGAGAGATGAACCCGCATCGCCTTGAGTTTATCTAGCGATCGTTGTTGGCCAGGGATCAATGCAACGATCAAGGGTGGAAGCGATCTTGGATGAATGAGCATCGTATGTTCAGTTTGAAAATAGATACGAACTTCAGAACATCCATCCCAGCCTCGCCGAATTTCAAGGCAGCATAGCTCATGAGAGGAACTCCAATCAGGATAGCAAATGGCGCCATCACGCGCAATTTTGTGCTCGCGTTGGCGCGAACCGCGAGGTAAGCGCCGACCGCAGCGTAGAGCATATATAAAACCGGCGCGACACCCATCGAGATCAGCACTTTCCATGTCGCCAGTACGTCACGGGCTGCAATTTTGACCCGGGATGCAGCGAGAGCCGCTAAAAAAGGTCAACAAACTAGTAGCTTGACGGGATAAAAAAAGCTAACCCTTTGCCTTCCGCCTTGATATTATGGAAGCAAGGATGAATATCGGGCTGTTCAAGACGACACCAGGAAGCGCAAAAACGGCCCAGACGAGAAGAAGCCCAGTTCGGTAAGTCAACAAGGCGAGTGTCTTCCACCGTGCTTTCTCGGCACGAGGCACCTGGGGAAAAATCACATGAAATCAAGTTGTAAATTCTGAGAGGTCAAGTTGGCTGACCTGATGGTCTCGTAGACCCATATCCCGCACCCGCCTATTGTACTGAAGCACTTGCTTTCGCAAATTCTGGATCCTCGGCTCATCCTTGAAGTGCTCATATCCTTCCAGCAAACGTCGGTTCAATTCTACAACTTGCCCAAGCGTGAGATGCTGGCCCGGTGTCTTGTACAGTCGCCGGGCCGCTTGGATAACCTGAGTCGGGAATTCGAGAAATTTCAATTATAGCGAAGCAGAAACAACTGACCATCAGCGTTTCGTAATCGGGTGCCCGTACGGTCACTGTTTTCAGACCGTTGAAGATGAGATCGAGAAACTTGGCAACGGCTTCTCGCTTTTTTGTGCCTCCCTGCTTGAACATCTCCACCAACTCGGGCGGAACGTCCATGGCGCGCCCGAACTCGACGACAGCGCGAGACCGGAATTTGTGAGCGTGAAAGTATGACAGTCCCACGGGCACAATCTTGACGCGAACATTGGGATCATTGGCCATAGCGCCGAGGGCCATTATGGACACCCCGGCTTTGAGCGGCAGCAGATCCGTGCGGTCGTGACTACCACCTGAGCGTCCATGAGATTGTGGCCTCATCAGTTCGTTCGATGCATGCAGCCCACACACCTTCCGGAAAGATCCCAATGCTCCCTCCTCTGTTCAAGCAGTCGTACACATGCTGATACATCTCCTGCTGATCGACATGTGGCAACCGCTTGAAGTCCAGCCCACTGGAATCTTCCTCCAGCGCGTCCCTTATCTTGTCCGTGCTCTTGCCGGCATCCGTACCGAACTCTTTCTTGATTCGGAGCTCTGTGTCGGAAATAACCTCGGCAACTTCGGCGAACGCGCTCCCGGCTGTTTTGGACAGCATGATTTGCATGCGAGGCGTGAACTCAGCGGTGAAGCTCGTTCCTTCGCCTATAACCAAGCATGGATCATCGGGGGAGAGGCGGACGCGGCCTGTGCCGGCTTTCGCGTAGTCGGCGGCGCGCAGAACGGGAACTGCTGCAGTGTCAGGGTCTGCAATGGACGATGAGGGAGGGAGTGAGACGCACTGCTGTTGATGAGACGCGCGAAGAATCCAATCACCAGCCGCTCCATGCTCGCCTGCGCGACCAGGAACTGGACCTGTCTCCCCGACTCCTTGAACACTTCCAGACCCATCAGGAGATCGAGAAACTGTCCCGCAGTGAGGAAGGCAGCCGAGAGTCAGAGGCATTGCGCACCTGATTGTTGTGGGGCGCGCCGACGAAGATGACCGGCCCATCCTTGGGGATGTTGAACGAACCTCGCGAGCGGATCTCCCTGAAGAAGATACCCGTCACAACGCGCCAGAACGTCATAACAGCAGCATATTGGAGATCAGAGCTGGGCTTCGACCTGGTCGGTGCCACAGTTGCGGGCATGGTTGGTTGTGACAATAGGGCGCAGGGCAAAGTAGAGCAAGTTCTGGTAGAGTTCTGGACTCGAGCCCAAGACCTGATGAGAGTGTCACGATGACGTTCGTCGCTTATGTCATCGAGCATGCACTCACCAGTCTTCCCACTCTGCCCACCACCGTTCATGACAAGGACCACGATGACCGAATGAGCCCTTGCGCAGTCGCTTCAAGTGGTTTCGAATCTATCTCGAAACTTATCCGAGCAATCTCACTCAATCCGAGTCGGGCATCGAGAGTGGACGTCTTGACTAGACAGCTAAATGGCCTCGCCCACTTGAAAATGCAACGAAAATGACACGGCCTGAGACTTTTACGACTGCAACAATCCTTTTGAGTCTCCTTCCACCCAAGCGGCTTTCTCGCGGCGTTTCGCGCAGGACGACATTCTGCAGCCCTTCGTTTCCCGTGTGCCGTCCGCGCTCATCGTCAACGCGGATGCCAGCGTAGAACGCACCGAGAATAGGGTGCCAGGAGCGAGGACACATGAAAACAAGGCATTCACCGAAGCTCCATCGCCTTTGGCATAGATTTCTTGCCGCTCACCCTATCAGGACATGAACGAAGTCTGTAGGCTCTGCGGCGACAGTGTGTGATGCCCGCTCTGGCGATGTGTAGAACTGGTTGGCGATTGATATGGCACCGCGTGATACGATCGTCTTCCATACGTCGTCTACTGGAACCACCCACTTTCGCCAAGCACTTTGCCAGTCACCCCAGCTCGAGGACCAACGGCCACGAGTTTCTCCGATTCGTTGTCCAACGATCTTCCGCACTGTCGTCCGAGTGCGCCCCCGGTCACTGTTTCCAAGCCCGGGAGATTTTCGGAGCCGGGGAAGGGACGATCTGGATTGACTATCTGAATGACGCCACGGGTGCCGTACCTTGGTCCTCGTGGTCTTCTGGGTTATTCTCGTCGCTCACTGTATCGTGAACCTTCTCTCTGTTCCTCACCCAGTGCTCGTTCAGTGCGCTCCGGATCTCCCACGACGGGTTCGTCCACCCTATGCACAACACTAGTCACCGCAGCTCCAGTGATAGATTACCCAGTGCTGACGAGGCTACACACCACTAGCGCCAAGACGGCACTGGTTCCTACCCCCGATCTCATGCCCCACCCTGTTTTTGTTGAGACTCCCCCAACGCACAGCTCAGTCTTTCCCTCTAATCCTCCCGGCTCCGAGCTCGTGAACTGCATTGACCCTCATCAGAGGATCTCATTTGATCACAGATCTGGAATGAAGCCTGGGGCGTAGGATTCAGCTGACACGCCGCCTACTCGAGTCAGAACGTGGACACTAGACCGTCGTCTTGTCAGAACAGTCTGAGTGGTGGCCCGCTTACTCGGTCGAGTAATCATGTGTCCTCTTTACACGACCTTCGTTGAGATCCCTTCCTAGATGATAATAGTTATGCTCTACTTTCAAGTCGGTTTAACTCAGAAAGTCTCGTGCCCGCTTATGTGGCAAGTGGTCAATGACGTCACGCGCCGGAAATCATTTGTAATCACAGAGAACCAAACGCGCGTCCTCTCATTGCACGGCATCTGTTGGCATAAGAGCACATAAGAGCACATCTTTTTACTCCAGTTTCCCCACAGCACGTACCATGAGCAACTTCCCCAAACGCAAGATCGGAGGTGTCGAGGTCTCTGCTATTGGATTCGGCGCGATGGGCATTGGAGGCATCTACGGCCCCGCTCCGCCTGATTCCGAGCGTTTCGCGGTATGTGATCCTCCTGCAGTAGCAGCCTTGCTTATGCCTCTCAGACTCTGGATGCGGCGTATGCTGCAGGGTGCACGATGTGGGACACGGCGGACATTTACTTCGACTCCGAGGACCTTATCGGTCAATGGCGCGTCTCTGATTACATCCGCATCCCCTAGCCCCTGATGCATCCACCCAATTCAGGTTCAAGCGCACCGGCAAACGCGATGAGATCTTCTTGGCTAGCAAGTTTGGCTTCATCGGCATGTCGGGCGACCGGGTGATCGATGGGTCGCCGGAGTACGTGCGCACGGCGGTCGAGAAATCGCTTTCGAGACTCGGTGTGGACACGATCGACTTGTACTATCTCCACGTGCGTTTTCTCGCTTGTCTGCCGGTTCTTCCTGTGGCTGATCGGTGGACAGCGCGCGGATCCTACGGTTCCCATCGAGGTCTGGATCGCTCACAGCGGAATGCCACACTGGTCGCTCACCAAATGTTTTACAGAAAACGGTTGGTGCAATGGCTGAGCTTGTCAAGTAAGCATCCGAGCCTCCTCGTGAACATGCGCTGACCACCTGCAGAGAGGGCAAAGTGAAACACCTTGGTCTCTCGGAGGTCTCCGCGAACACGCTCCGGCGCGCGCACGCCGTGCATCCGATCGCTGCCGTCCAGGTCGAGTACAGCCCCTTCACGCTCGACATCGAAGACCCGAAGATCGCGCTTCTCAAGACGTGCCGCGAGCTCGGGGTGACAGTCGTGGCATATTCGCCGCTGGGACGAGGACTTCTCACCGGGGCCTACGTGCGTCAGGCTGTATTTTTTCCCGTGACATGAAGTGTGTCTGATCGCGTCTGAAGAAATCCTCTGCCGACTTCCCGGAGGGCGACTTTCGGCTGTTCATCGAGCGGTACAATGAGAAGAACTTCCCCAACATTCTCAAGATCGTGGACGGTTTGGGCAAGGTCGGGGAGAAACACCAGGCTTCCTCGGGCCAAATCGCACTCGCGTGGCTGCTCGCCCAGGGAGAGGATATCATTCCGATCCCCGGGACCAAGAAGATCAAGGTCTGTTCGGTATTCAGTTCATCAGCCGTGGGTGACTCAACGCTGCGCAGTATCTCGAGGAGAACTTGGCGGCGATCAAGATCAAATTGTCTGACGAAGAGACTGCGGCGATCCGCACGCTTGCCCTCGAGGCGGATGCCCAGCAAGGTGAACGATACCCGCCTGATCTGGCAAAAGTGTTGTTTGTGGAAACTCCGGAACTGTAAATCATAATATGTGAACTGTACTGCAACCCTCCAACAAAGAGACGGGGCTGAATGTATGCCCTGAGACAAGGCGTCACGTGTACCGTGTTTTACTATGGGCGGCGTGTCGATCCCATCCCAATGTTGTTGCAGAGATCCTCCTTCCGCCTTCAGGTCGGGGCAGCAAACGCGATTCCCATCTTGGTTGTTGTTCATATCGGTGCGTTACTTTCCCGCCTCCCCTTTTGCTTGCACCCGCCCCACGCAAGTGTTGAGAATGGATAGACCGCAATTTCATTGCAACACCCATAATTTCATGACACCTATCTTTCCATGAGAAGATCGGCGCACGTGGGAGAATCCCGCCTGTCAGTGTTGAGAGCATTGAGTAAGGCGGGGCACTGTGTGACGTGTGGACTGATGAGCATGGCACACCGAGTGTCACCGACTGATCTGCGCACAAGGTCGGCGTCTAAGCCTGCAGCGGTAACCTAGAGAATCGAGATCGGATGGGCTTCATGCTGCATTTGATTGGAAATATCTTCGCAGCAGAGCTTGGATCTGGTCAACGTGCAACCAAGAGGAAGGAGTTGGACGGTTAAGTACACGGGACGGCACGTTCCACACCTCAGGAATAATCAGATATCGGCCGGGGACGGCTACTCCATGCGCCCAAACTTTTAGAGTGTGCTGTAACGAGGCGTGGCACCATCACGCTGTCAAGAGTTGGGACTTCAACTCCAACGAGGGTCAATCTAGAAGCCGCCGGCTTGATTGCCGCATCATCGTCGTGTCTGGTATTCCTGACGGCGGCCGTAGCGGTCCAAACGATAGTGTAGATGGAAACAAGGTCATGCCATTCGTGGTACAAACGATGATACATAGCAGCGAGAATAATAATACAGTGATCAAAAGCGGCCGTCCTCATGGGCGGCTCTCTGAGTCGGAATCAGGTATAATAGCCTCCCCATCCGTGATAGACGCCCGGCCAATAATTTGGGGCCTGGTACGGGCTGTAATGAGGGAGACTCGACGGCCGTGGGGTCCACTCCGAGCCATTCTCGTCGAACTGAACGCGCCCGTTGGAGTACTGCCAGACGGTGGTGCGCGGAGACGTCCATGTCGCCACTGGGGCTCCGGCGGTGGACAGAGGGCTGGGCGGAGCTGGGATCATGTACGGAAGCGGATTAGACACCTGGTGCATCGTGTGCGCAGGTGATATGTCTGCGAAAGAGAGATCAGTCCAGGGTGGCTTTGGGTGATTGCTGCCGCGCACGATAGTAGGCCATGCGTGGGTTGCAGTGCGCACAGCGAGGGCCGTGTGGGCATCGGGGAGCAGGAGGCGTAGAGCGGCAAAACCACATGTCCGATGCGTTATCGCTCGGGTGAATAGGTAGGATTGGAGGCGGATTACAGTGTGGTGACGGCCCTGGAAATGAACGCGCGCGCCTTTAATAGTTCGTTTGGGTGGCGGGAAAGTACAAGACGGCGGTCCTGCATTGTGCTCGAAGAAGGCACGACTTGCGCATGCGGCACAACTTCACGCAAGCAGTCTGGGCTAAACTGGGGGGGATGAGGGCAGCGGCGGCTGAGGATCTTCCTACCTTGGAAGGTGTTTACGTGAGAACGAGCTGTGGTGATGTAAACCAGATGTGCCTGCCTTTCCGACTTCGGGGAGCAGTTCCGGACGCGTCTCGGGCGCCTTCACAGAACGATGACGGAGTGACGTACAATACAGCTTATGCGCAATGTGCTCGCCGTTCGGAGAAGACCAAGGGCGGTCCGAGAGGACTTGGTCACCGTGTTTGAGTCAGCAGCGAAGGTTGATTGATACCATTACGTTGTCGCGGGCGGCGTTTTTCTATTTTGGACAGGAGGAGCTCTTGTCCAACAGTGTCCAACGCAACCCTTCGCGACATCGTCCAACATCGCCTGGGATAGGAATCGACAAACAACAGCTTGACACAATCTTGGTTTTCCCACGTTTCATGGTTTTCCCACGCCTTCCCGCGGTTAAACCGGCAATTTTCAAGGTCCGCATAACCCCATTATCTCCCACGGTTCAGGTTCGATTGATGGGCGACTGCGACAATCTGCGGTCTATGTTCCACGTTGCATGTCCCTACTGAGTACACGTCAAAAATTGATTAGCGACTTATTGCTCGGTCCCAGTGGACTCCCGCACCCTGGCAGGGGGGCACCGTAGCCATCTACAGCAGGGCACATGGAGTGATTCTCGGGCCTACGATGCGCAGCAGAAGGGAGTGTTCGGCATCGGAAGCATTCTGGCTTGATACTCAACGTGTAAGTATCATCTAGTATCATCTGCTCACCTCGCTTTCGGCTCTCGAGAATTCCTGTCAATGATTTCTCACGATTTCATAATGACCACCGCCACTCGATCGTCAGCTCAATCTTATCTGATCACTTTCAAGAGAGATAGACGATGTGATCCCAGATGGGGTTCGATGGTCCGCCCCGGACCGATATGGCAAGCCTGTGTCGATCCCTTTCTGTCGTGAGACACCACATACCGAAAAGACAATCCAGCGAGAGAATGATGGAAGATCTCTCTTCTGTGATCAGCATGGTTTCGCTGGCCGGAAATGGGGAAATCAATCTGGGCAAGCTCTGGCAGCGCAAGAGACAGCCAATCCGAAAGTTCCTGGGACTGCCTTGAACTTCTGCTGCGGAGACGCAGTCGCCAAACAACGCTCGAACAGTTACTATCCGGTGTCCGTTTAGAAGCCGCGTGAAAATGACCTTGGTGCTTTATTGGCCAGCTGACCCGGCCCCAATGGTCTGCTATAGCCGCGTTGCCCATGGATATTGAATCCGCAGCCATGATTAGGAGACGACAGAGGGAACGCAGGGGCGGCTTCGAGGTGAAGATGCGATGGAAATGCTGGCAAAAAGTTGCTCGGACGCGGACAGGAACTCAAGAAAGATTGACAGCTATCAGATGGGCGGACCGGACAAAGCACGGGGACCCCAAAAGTCGCGGAGTGTCCGAACGGATAATAGATTTTCAGTGACATCCTCGTCTGCTCTGGACCGGGTCGTCTGGATTGGACGAATGCAAGGTGTGGGCAACCACAAGCATTCGGAAGCGTCACTCCCTCGAGAATCGAGATACACTTCCTGCTCCAACCATCAATGATGGCATCATGCCGTGGCGGGACAGCGATCAAATGACCGGAACAAGGTCCGGAAAGTGAGATTCTCCTCGCTAGCTACCCCCCGAAACAGAGATTCCAAATCGGTCCTTCGTTACGTCGGCGGTCGGGATCGTTGACCAATCCTCTCTTACCTCGCTTCTTCGTGTCTAGATCTACCTAACCGTGAACTGTTTATTTGTGTGCACCATCTTCGTCTCTACTACATAACACCTCGGGACCTGCCCCTCCTTTCTCCTCCCCTGCTTGTCCACTGTATCACAATCTCGCAGCCGCAGCCGCAGCGGCCCGGAGTTGATCGCGCGCATAAGCCTTAGGGACTCAAATGCCTGTTGACAAGTCGAAGCCTTCCTCTTCCAAATCGCATCTCAAACGCAAGGACCCCAATGGTTCAGAATACGTCTCCCAGAACATACCAGGCGCGAGTGGGTTGACGCATGCGAGAGAGCTGGAAGTCAAGCGGAGTCGCGGTGCGCTGTGTTTCACCTCTGGGCTTCCCCTGGCCTATCACTGACGTCCGCTCTTTCCTCCCCCGCCCGCAGGCGAGGTCAGTTGTGCTGAGTGCAGAAGGAAAGTTCTTGTGGCCCGCCCTTTCGTCCATGCGCACTTACCCCTTGCTCCCCGTATAGGCTGAAGATCAAGTGCGACAAGCAGATTCCCTGCCAGTCCTGCATCCGACGTGGCTGCGCGGCGCTGTGTCCGAACGGCGCACTGGCGACGGGCCAAGGCACGCGCTTCGTGCTCGCTGCGACCGAGCACCTGCACAGGAAGATCTCGCGCATGAGCGAGCGGATACGCTTGCTCGAGGACGCTCTGGGATCCCTGCATGCGGACACGGGCGGGCCGGATTCGGTCCATCCGCTGCTTCTCAAGAGCGAGGACTTCTCCTTGCCGGATGAACCACCGATGCGGCGACAGGGCTCTGAGGTCGATGACGGAGTTGGAGGGGAGGAGGGGAGCACGGGCTCGCAGACCAACGGAGAGGTCATCGACGCGTTCGGGACACTGAGCATCTCGGACTTTGGGATTTCAAGGTTTTTCGGGCCCACTGGTGGAAGTGAAGTGCGTATCCTTATCCGTGCATACTCTTTCTTTGGCTCACAGATGCATCAGAGTCTGCTGCTATCGAACACCACTCCGACTTCTGATTCTTCTGGGTCGCCTTCGTCTTATTTGTCTCGCAACTCGAAGTCGCGGTCCCCGGCTACAAGCCACACCTCCTCGCCTATCTCGCCGCCGACAGCTGGGCCGCCGAGCTCCACTTTTTCACCGGGGCACATCTCACGGCACTCACATTCCTCATCATCAGATTCTCCAACGCACTTCTGTCCGACGTCTTTCCCCCTTACTCCATTGGGCCCGTTGCCAGACATTCATGCACTAGTAACATCACATCTTCCCCGGCGACGATGCGCGATGGTTCTTGTCGATGCTTATCTTACCCAGCTAGGCTGGCTCTTTCATCTCGTCTCGGCAGAGCAGGCGCATGATACAGTACGAGCTGTCTATCGTGTTTTCCAGCCCGATGCCCGAGAAGCCCAGGACGAGAAACGGGACGAGGACGGGAGCGGCGAAGAAGACTACACGGGCCCACACGACATTGCGCTTCTGTTTTTGTTATTCGCCGTCGGGACACTGGTCTCTGCCCCAAATCCGGGCGAAGAGTCAGATGCCCACCAACAACGCATCAACGCCGAGTCGTTCCACATGCACCAGGTGGCCCGTGCTGCTTTGACCATGCAGTCGATATTGGAAAAGCCCAGCATCGTCACCGTCCAGGCGCTGCATTTGCTGAGCGTGTATATCTCGATTTCGACGAATGAGGAGGACGGCGACACGAGTATGGAGACGACCTGGAGTCTGGTCCGTATTGCGAGTCACTTGAGCCAGACAATCGGTCTACGTGAGCAGCCAGCCACCGATAGCTTACCGCAAGACCGTCTCTCATTTGCCTTTCCTAGATCGAGATAGCGCGAGATGGGGTTTGTCTGCGAAGATGAACCAGCGAAGAAGGAGAGTATTTTGGGACATCTTCACCGCCGATGCTTGGATGGTGGGCACGTATCTCACCAGTTGCGTAAAGCTTACTGACCCGTATCAGAGCATGCACACTGGTCGGCCCCCGACCTTCTCACTAGCATATATCGATTGCCCGCTGCCGAGCTACGAAGGCGTCAATACCAGCGACGAAATCTGTGTGTCCTTTTGATCTCACCCGCCAGGTCATGTAATGACCATGCTGATGTAGTCGAAGTTTGGCAGTTTCGCTTCGCTGCGGATTGTGTGGCGGAAGTTACTGCCCGGACGCTGACTGCTGAAGCCCCCACTTACGCAACCATCATGGAGCTGGACAGGAAAGTCAGAGAGTTTCCTCTGCCGTCCAATCTGAAGGATCCATCCCCGGATGACATGGGTGCGAGTATGCAACGTTGCATCTACGAACACGTCCGGGAGACTGGTACGCTTTTGCGTCCCATGACAGATTAGGGCTGACTTGCCCCAAGTGTTAATGTACATCCATCGAAGTTTCTTTGCACAAGCGATCATCGACCAACCGGAGAATCCCCTCAAGAGCTTGTACGCGCCGTCGTTCCTGGCCGCCTATCGCGCCAGCTCGACCATTCTTAAATCCGTGAAGGATCAATATGCGGTGATGCCCACCATGTGTGCCAGATTTTGGACGATGTGGACGTTTGCTTTCAGCGCTGCTGTGAGTCGTTTAAGGCGTATCCTCGCGTGCGCTTCTGATCATAAGATGTCAGGTTGTATTCGGAACTGTGGTGACTAGGGGACCACGAAGTCCGTTGGCTGGCGCTGCCATGACAGAACTGGACTCTGCGTGTCTCTTGTTCTCCAAGGCGGCAGTGTATGGTCGCCGGGCTACTCGTGCATTGGTGAGTTTCGTGTTGTCCTGGTGGCCGGCGCTCAATGATATCTTGTAGCCTGTCTTGATGAAGCTCCAAGAAAAGGCCAAGCAAGCTCTCCATGCCGTGCAGAATGAGCCTTCAGGGACCGAAACCGGCTTCAGTTGGAGTATGAGCGGAGTGCTTGGACCGGATGGCCAGCCTATGCCGATAAAAACCGAGGAGCACGACGAGCTGGCCATCATCGCCGGCCACACTCGACTGGTTTCTGGCGGCCAGAACCAGCGCAGTATCTCCCAAGCGTCATCCTCATCTTCCTCGTCGGCTTCATCAGCGAAGGCCTTCCCTTCCATCTTACCGGTGCAACCGCCGTCAGAGGAGCTGCTGCACACACCAGAACGATACCGGCACCGACCCCCGCTGTCGTCGTATCACCAGCCGATGGACGACGGGCCGTTGATACAGTCGATGCACCACCAGCTGTCGTCCCGTGCGCCCCTGATACAGAACGAGTGGACCTCGCAGGCTCGCTCGCACCATCACCACGAGCCATACCGAGAAGAGCGGGCGTATTATCCATCCGACGGGCGGGTGTTGCCGGAGGTCACCTCGAACGCACAGACGCATTTTGCATGGTCGTCGCAGTACAGCTCTCGGCAAGCGCAGCATCCATATCATCCACAGCAGCAGCAACAGCAGCAGCAATCATACGCCGCCGATTATTCTCAGCAGCACGCACAGCTGGCACATCTCGGTATGGCATCCGGCGACTCCCGGCTGGACGACAGATGGACTTCATTCATGCAGGATTCGGGACTTATGGAGGGAAGCGGGGACTACCGCGCACGGTAGCGGGGATGTATCTTTATTCACAGGACTGTGTTCCCCCCTAACTTATTATTAGAGCTGGGACTGTAATTGCCATTCTGTATAGTAGGATATCTTATCACCGTCTCGGTTTTAAGAGACACCCGAATCGAAGAGGATATTTCTCTCACCTGATTATGTTATGTCTCGGCATTCCGCCTTCGCGCTGACATTCGAGCACTGGTCTGAAGCCTCCGAAAGCGGCAAAACCTCCGGCCTCTTCGACAGCGCACAACGCGGGCTGTGTTCCTTCTCTCCAAGCTGGACCACAGATCTCTGAGATGACGCCGGTACGTCGGCCAGCATCGCCTGCAGCTGCGGAAGAGAGTCTGCTGTGCTCCTTGATGGATCCAGCTCATGGCCAAAATAACGACTGTGCAAAGATGTGCTAAAAACAGATATTCGGCAGACCCCATGATTGTTAGCACGGCCTTAATGGAATACTTATCGGTGTCCGTCAATTATGTGATAATGGAGAAGGGAGGATATCCAGGCGGGCCGGCGACAATATGTTAGAGCTGGTGAAAATTGTCATACGACTCAAGTCATGCTATCTCCGTCCCTCCATGCTTGTGCACCCGGCCAGCCTTCATCACAAATTCTACACGACGCACGGTCTGGCCAAAGTCGCTTGCGAGATCGCCTCTGAATCCGACAAGATCTGCAGCCCACCCCGGGCGGATCGACCCAAAAGGGACCGCGTTGTCGCCGATCGTTGTCTGCGAGCTGTCAATAGCCTCGTACCCGCGGATGGCTTCCCAGCCTCCGAGAGTTGCCCAGCGCAGGACCCATTTCCATGGCGCACCGAGAAGCACCATCAGCTCCATTTCCAGTGCGTTCTGTCCGTGCGGAAAAACCCCAGTATCACCGCCACAGGCGATAGCGATGTTGCCCAGCCCTGCAGCCAGGACAGCCCGGAAGGACTGTTCAGACGCCTCCCACCCAGCTGGATTACGCTCCCGCGAGGAATAGTATGCGGCCAGGGTCGGCACCCAAACTGTTTTACAGCCCGGGCTGACTAGGGTCTTGATGATCTCTGGGCTCGTGTAGATGTCAGAACCATGCTCTAGAGAGTCCACGCCGAGCGCAAGCAATTCTTTGATCACGGGTGCCGTTTTAGCGTGCGCGGCTACTTTAATGCCCGCGCGGTGAGCGGTGTCTATCAAAGCCTGAAGCTCTTCCCTGCTGAACGTCGCAATAGCACGGCCCGCCAGCCTAGGCGACATGTCCGCTAGGCGAGATCGAATGGGGTAGTCTGTGCATCCGTGTCAGAGAGGACTTCAATGGGCATGGCTCTCTGTCACCGACCCGCATAAATCTATCTCGGTGAGAACGGCCGTGAGGTATACGACGGAGAACACAGAGACAGACCTTGATCCAATCAGCGCCAGCACCGATTTGTTTCCGCACAACTCGCATGCATTCTGTTGTTCCATCTGCTGCTTCAGCGCCAACGACGCCTTCGACCCCCTCTTTCGATGGAAACAGGGAGCTTCTCGGGCCTGGTCGCGCTGAGAACTCCATGTGCCCGCCAAGCTGGAAGCACGTACCGTAGCTACCCGTTGAAACAATCGCTCGATTCGCAGTAAAATACCTCGGCCCAGGAATCAAGGCGCCCGGGCCCGATAGACATTTGCGCAGCGCAATGTCCGCGTCCTCTGCTCCCTCGGTACCGAGGTCCCTGCCCGTCGGATCTAAGATGGGTCGTATTTACTAGGGCCGATCACGACCCACCGGACGGCGGTGTATCCTGCCATTAACGTCTGCCGCGCGTGCACGGTAGCGCGCACAGTGCGTTCCGCGAGACTCTCCTTTGTGACCTGATCCTCCCACGACGTCTCGGCGTAGGAGTGGAGGAAGACTGGCAGAGGCGTGTCATTGTGGTACGAGCAGGATGCTTGATCGTCTTAGGGACGCACAGTGTACATGGACATCGACGAGGCCGGGGCACACCGTCAGGTGCCGCAGGTCGATCGTGTGTGGGTCGGAGAGCGCGGCGTCCGCGTACGAGGGCGTGAAGGTGTCTACTGAGGTTATCAGGCCCGTGTCGCGGTCGACGACGATGACTCGGTTGGGCAAGAGCTTCAAAAGATGCGGATCGTAGAGCTGCCCAGCGAGGATCCTCTTGAAGCTGGGTTCCTTCATTGTGCACTCGAATGCAGGTAGACTGTAGACAGCTTTGGCCGGGGCGAACGCTGAGGACCGTGCACCCTGACACGCACACGTGACCCTGCAGTACACATCACAGCCACCATCTTGTCGCCATCTCTACATCTTGACGATCTTTTGATGCGAAGCTTTGCCAACAGTTCTCGGCAGGACCCCGGATAGTACGGTCAAATGTTAGCCACCGCGTCGGACAATTCTGGGGGAAATTAGGCAAAACACTTAGCCCAAAGTAGTAGGGGTTGGACAAAAATTGGGCCGCATGGTCGATCTAGTTAGATCGTGGTTGGACAAAATTCTCCATGGCAGTCCAGTGGTAACATGCGATTACATGAGGATGTGAGTCTAAATCTTGACCAGGAAGGTCCTATGAGGTCTCGAGTTCGAGTCTAGGATATATATTTTTTTCACACCGAATCGAAATTGCTTCCCAAAATCCGCTTCGCAGCAGCCTTGGAAATTTTCAACGAATTGGGGGATAAGGAGGTGGAATAGTCTCTGAATCGGTGTATAGCGTCTCGGAAAGGTCGAAAATCGAGCCAAAGGGCTGAGTTTCAGTCTTATATCCATGTAGGCATCAAAAAACAACTTGTGAGACCTATGTACGGGTTGGACAAAAATCCCGGGCTCAGGCTCGAACCGTGTTGGACAAATATGGGGGGCATCAGCCAAATTTTGGGCTAACATTTGACTGTATTATCAGGGGTCCTTTCTCGGCCCTCGGCTGAAACACCCACCGCGGCCCGCGCGACGAAAGCGACGGCGATCCTCCTTCTTCCTGGACCACATCCCGTTCCTTCACCTGATGACGGTGCAGCTGGCCCTGCTTTTTCTCTTTCTCTCTTCTTGCTTTTCATCCCCCACGTTCTTTCCCCTTTCTTTGGGCTCAGCAGCGGCATTACCACTCACTGGATCCGGCGAGACACAGACGGAGCGCGGCGTGCATGTCCCTATATACCGACAGCGCGGCGCGCGCAGCGGCGGGTTGAGGCGGCGGGCAGGGCTGACGGGTGACGTGGGACTGGGCGATTTCGTAGACATGTGCGTGTGCTCAGCGACCTACCGTCATAGTGCTCATTGCCGTGTTCCTCGCTCAGCACATACAGCTTCTTGGTCTCGGTGGGCGGTGGCCAAGCTGTTCCGCTGGTCCTCGGTGCGCAAAAGCCCTCTTCGCTCACTGCGGTCTCTTGATAGTCCCTTCGCAGACACTGGCTCATCAGATCTTTGGGTCGCCTCGGATGCATGCACGGCATGCCGGACCTCGCTGCCTCTATTTCCTCAGGCCACCGTAGCTCAAACGGGCATGGGCGTGAATCTGCAGTACGGCGACTCGCGCACGGGCACGCATGCGAGCGGAATCATTGGCACCGACTCCGTGACCTTCGCTGGAATCACCATTCCCAACCAATACTTCGCCGCGATCAACGACACAGACACGAACGTGCTCAACACCGGGTGCGCCGGGATCTTCGGGATGGGCTTCTCGCTCAACAGCCTCATTTGGAACGAGGTGTTCACGACCCAGTTCAAGGCGTCTCACAGCGCGACGTCCGGGCGCGCACTTCTCGAGTCCGAGGCCCTCGAGCAGGATAACCTCGCTACGAGTAACTTCGGGACTCGATTTTTCCCCGACCTGAACGCGCTGGCCTCGACGAAACGCGCGACTAGCTCGGTGACGCAGGCGGTCTTCCAGTCGTACCTGCGGCAAGGGACTCCGCTCACCCGGATGGTGACGCAAAGCTCGCTCGCGATGCCCATGTTTTCTATCACGCTCCAGCGCGACACCCTCGACATCGGTGGTAATGCGGGCATTCTGAGCATTGGCGAACTTCCGACTGGAATCCAAGCGTCTCAGCTTACCTGGGTTCCTGTCAGAGGCTATCCGAACGCGCTTGAAGCACCTGCAGACTCGCCGAATGAGGTACGAACGCCGTTTTCTGGTGTTGTCCTTCTGAGAATCAATCAATCAGATCTATCCCATTGCATGGGAAGTGTTTGTGAATGGTGTCTATCTCGACGGCCAGCTGTTGCCCAAATCTAACCTAACTCCTGCGAGTATTGAACCTTCTGCGCTGCTGGACACCGTGCGTGACGAACTTCCGTCTCCATTCCGCAGCTGATTCGCCGTAGGGCAACTCTCTCATACGTGGCCCAGCCGATGTCGTCAACCTCATCAATTCGCAACTCGGATCTACGGTCTCGTGTGGACAAGCGCATATCCTCGAGTTTGACATTGGCGGAACGCGCTTCCCAGTCGATCCGCGTGATCTCGTCAGCCAGGCGACCCAAGAGGCGCTTCCGAATTGTGCCGTGAATATCGTCCCCACGGACAGTCCTGTTGAGGGCCGAGGATACCAATACAGCTGGTCTCTCGGCGACCCTTTCCTCAAAAGGCGCGTGGGAAGGATGGTGACCGAGATTAGAGCTGATCGTCCGCAGCGTGCTGTCATCGTTCTACTTTGGGAATATCACGCACCCCTCGGTAGACGAGCCCCGTGTGGGGCTGATGTCGACCGTCCCGCCTGACGCTGCTGCGCTTCTCCAAGGTGCAATTTCAGATGCCATCATCCAGCATGGCAGCAACGAATTCAGTGCGTGTGGCTTGGCTTCGCAAGTCTCGCACTGGGACCTTCTGATGTTTTGTGCAGCGACCTCGAACGGCGCGCCTGCTGCAGCTCCGACCGGGACGATGGGCGCGAGTGGCATTCCTGCGTCGCCTGTGGGCAACATTGACGGAGGGAAGACGAGCTCGGCGAGGACACTCTGCCGACCTCATCTCATAATATCGCTTTTGACACTGGTGGTTTGTACGATACTGTAATTACGTGGACTCGGTTGTCTTGTCGCTCGCTGACGGAAGGGTCATGATACGTGACGGCTCCGCTTGGGCTGCTTCGTGTGCTGGGAAGCTTGCGGTTTTTTCACGCGACAACTGGGTGAAATGCTATGACATGATCTATAGATCACGCTCATTCGAGATCGTTCCGCTCACCTACCTTCTCTGAGCACAGATGTTGCTCAATGGCCGGTCTGCTAAATACTGTTTGATTGGGTAGGAGTAGTCTCATGATGTTTTGCAGCTGGAGGAGAATCTCTGGCGGTGATGATAACTATCACTTTATCTCGGAACAAGGTGCAAAACTATGTGCTTGACCCACCATCTCTCTGCACCCGAGCGTCCTTTGACATCAGAGATCTGTATAGCTGCCAGTTATGCCTAGTACGTCTCGTTTGGAAGATTCAGTACGACGGGACGGTCATGGCTGCTGATGGCGCGGTCACTGGTGTCGGTGGGCAACCATTTTTGCTTTGTTATTGATACATCCACTACACTGTAATACAACACTGTGCCAGAATCAGAGTCCTTCCTTCTATGTAGTATGGTGTGTATGACGCGGGGTCTATGCAGCAGAAGCGCGTCCGAAACGAACCCAAAGTCCTCCCTGGTGATGGCCACAGTCAGACATATTCCACAAAAGCAAGACAGGATACTCACCTTCACATAGAGCGTCATCGCAGCTGCGGGCCAGATCCTCTCCACCGCCTGTCTCCCCGGACGCTGTTTCCATTCGGGCAGCGGCAAGGACGCAGGCGGCTGAACGTCGGGCGCCAGCGAGAACGTGTCGAACTCCTGGAGCAGCCGAATCAGGATATACGAGGCTTCGTTGTATGCGTAGTTCTGGCCCAGACACTGAGCGTTGCAAGGTAAGAATCCCATTCGGAGGAGGAAATGGAAGCGAGCAAACGCACGATTCGCGGACCAGCGCTGAAGGGCGCGTACATCGTTGGGTTGCCCACAAAGCGCGCCAGCCGTGCGGGGTCGAGCCACCGCTCCGGATCGAAGACATCCGCATCCGGGCCCCAGAGCGCGGGATTGCGCTGCATCAGGAGGGGCAGGTACATGAGCGTCGTGCTTCCCGGCATGTAGTACGGTCTCGCGTCATCCGCGGGGAACGTCGGATCGCTCACAGGCAGGGTGCATGCTTCGGCGCGCGACTCTCTGACGTTGAGCGGGACAGGCGGGAACAAGCGAAGGACTTCGTTGATCACAGCACGCACTGCACCGAATGAGCACTCCCGGTCGCAGACCACGGTAGCAGACAGCACGCACTGTATTTCATCTCTCGCACATTCTGGTATGTCGGGGACTGCTGCGGCCCGCAATGCTCCAAGACTTCCGCGCGGAGCTTCTTTGCCACATCAGGGTATATGGCCATGAAATATGTCACAAATGTGAGCAGGCAGGCCGTCTGAGAGATCCAAGTTAGCTGACAGAGAACAGCGAGATCAAGGAGGGCCCGGACCGTATCTCGAGATGCTAGCAAGATGTTGAGCAGCTGATCACGAATAAGAGATGTGTCTGATTGGTACTTATCAGCTCCGAGGTATTAATGACAAATGGAAACATACCATCAGTGCTGTCTGCGAGATGCTGAAGAAAGGTCTTGTCCGCCACCGGACTGTTGATACCAGCGAGCCGACGCTTATCCTCGACTGCTTGCTGGACAAGCGGATCAAGCCATCTGATGCATCAAAAACGTCCGTGAGCAAGCCAGCGTCAACACATGGACAAGTGCATACGCTTGAATGACCGCCGCGTTCGCCGCGTTCTTGTCTTTGAAAAGCTCGAACAAAGGCCACAAGTGGCCTATCCTCCCCCGTTGCGTGGCGATCAACTGCGACATCTCAAACGCCTGCGCGAACTCGCCCCAGCTGTCGTGCGTCGCTGACCCCTTCGGGCCCATCCCTGTCTGTCCGGGGATCGGTAGTGCAGACGAGAGTGTGTCGAGGTTGCGTCCGAAGAGGAACTCGGATGCCGCGTCGAGGGTCAGCCGGGAGAACAGATCCTGCGCCTCACAGGGCTGGCCGGCTGTGGTCAGCGAGGAAATGACGTTCAACGCGCGTTTGGAATGGGTTTCAAAGATGTCTAAGTCGGAGATCCGCTCTCGCGCGAAAAAGGGGCGAGCCATGTTTCGATGCTGGAGGTCGAGTCAGCCATTGCAGTTTATCGCACAATGCAGATGCGCGCACCATCTTCCAGACTTCATCATCACGATTGAATATCCCCTGACATGTCTCGTAAGATTTGATGCTAATGCGTCAACCGCGATCTGTACACACCTGGCCGAGGAACGTCTCCCTGCGGCAATGAGCATGACGCATTTGGATAGCACAGAAAACTCACATCCTCTCCTTCTGCACGTAGCCCCGCCAGAAGTTGCCTGGGAATGTTCATACACAACACAGGCCAACGCAGCGACGCGCAACTCACCGAAGCCCGTCGCCAGCACGAACTTGGAGTGCTGCTGATCCATCGTGATAATCTGCCGCGCTCTCAGCGCACGCGAAAGGAGTCGGATTGAGGGGCACCTACATTGTCACGCCACAGGATGCGCAGATTGAGCGTCGTGCACTGGTACTCCTCGAACAGTTCGCGGTACACGTCCAGCACGTAGCTCGTCTTGAACGCGCCCATCATGCGCAGCAGGACGTCGATGTTCCCCGGCCAGCGGCCGACCACCTGCCGCACGCGCTGCGCACCGAGCTCCTCGGCCGTGCGCGCGTGCACGCGTTCGCGGTAGACGTTGTAGAGCGTCGCCCAGAGGACGATGGACGCGAGGTATACCGCAGGGGCGAGGATCCACCCCACACGGACGTCGAGCAGCCTGAGTGTAGACCAGAGGAGGGCGGTGGGGAGCAAGAGGGCGTGCGCGAGATCGCGCAGAATGCGCACGCGATACTGGCCGTAGGATTGCGGCGAATGCATGTCGATATCGGGGGAGGGGCGTCTCGGAAGCACTATCAGACGCCAGTTCTTATACACGGCGCCGGAAATATGTAGACGGAACACATTCTGCGGTGTGAGAGAGACTACGAGCAGTCAGACGTCCGAAGCGGAGGCTACTGGAAAAGCAGCTTCCGCAAGCCCTTTTGGGTCTGTGACGTCACACTCGGCACTGTCTTTGTCCCGACCGACAGCAGAGTAGCTCCGCTGACTTTTCCCCGGACCTCTTGTCTGCCGACCTCAGCTCGCTTGCTTCTGGTCGAGTTATTGATGTCAAGTCAATTCAATGATCACTGTTGCGAATTCCCGAGTCTTCCTAGCATCACCCTCCGCCACTCAAACTCTGGCACTCCTGGGACTTTTCCCCGTCAGAACGCGATCTTGATGGACGTGGAGAACGTTCTCTGTTCGGGACACAGTGCAGAGGCAAAACGACAACGCGCCCCCGACTTTAACTCGAAGCAGCTGTGATGATGCAATAAATGCCGTTTGTTATGTACTCTGGTCATCGTAAGCGCTGATAGTCCAAGTGCCATTCGGGCTGAGGGCCCCGGCTGAGAAATTCTAGGTCGGTAAGTGTTCTGCTCCGTGAAGATGGGTATCGTCCTCCAGCACTAGGAGAGGTGTGGCTCAAGTCGGACGCAACGACTTCGGAGATCATACATGCTCACTTATCAGACGCCGCAGACCCCATTGCATCCGATCAACATGCTGACATTCCACTAAGTAGTTACTCACTCACAAGGTGCTCATAATCTGGAACCGACAATTCGCTCATTCAACAGAATTCTCTCGGGATGCGCTTCAGACATCTTCCCGATCTCATCACTAATCTCGCTGAATCCACCTTCTCCCATCCAGCGCTCGAAGACATGCCAGTCCAGTGATGCCTGTTCCGCTGATTCATTGGCGCGGGACCAGATAGCGTGTTCGAGCAGATATGTCGAAGATGCAAGCAGGGCAAGCATCTGAAGGATCGGGCGTTGGACAAGAGGGTGTGTATGCGCCAATTCGAATTGAGAGGGAAGCATGTCAAGCCCATGCCGGAGATTGTCCGCGGGCTGTGATGTTCTCATATCGCTTGGAGCGGAGGCGATGATATCTCTGCACCACTGATTCATCACGGTCAGATGGGTTCCCTCGAAAATTGTGCAACGCACCGTGACAAAAAACTGGACAGTGTCCTTCCCTCGGGAGGCTCGCATCAGATCATGCGCGAGAACATCCACTGTTCCCTCCCAAATCTTCTCTACCATGGCATCGCGGATGAGTCTTTGCGCTTTTCCTTCAGCTCAGATACTCGTAGACAGTGTGTACCGCCACGTACCTTCCGATGCCCAATTCCTCCATGTAACCCTGACCGCCCAAAGCGGCCATGCAGTCTTCCATCGCTGTCACACTCTTCATCGCGGAAAAAGCTTTCAGAGTGGGCGTCAATATCCTCAAACGAGCCTCCTCGGATCTGCTGGCGGTCCCGCACTCGGACTTTCCCAAAAGAGAGACGACGCCGAATAACAGATGCGTTAGTGCCCGATAGAGCAGGCCCACTCGCGCCAGAGTCTCCATATGCGCAGGAACCGTCTGCAGCAGCTTGTCCTTATCCACGACGCGCACCTGCGCGTACGCCCGTGCCAGTGAGAGGCACCGCATCAGCGATCCGACGCCCGAAACCGACGAATGCACACGTGTGATGTTGAGCACGGGCGCGATCGTGCGCACCCCCGCGCCCGGCGCTCCGATGAGCCAGGCACGCGCGCCATTCAGCGACAATTCAGCCGTCGGGAGCGCCTTGGTCCCGAATTTATCCTTTAGGCGATGCAGCAAGATGTTATTTGAGAGCGGAGTTGGGAATGGCCCGAGCCGAACAGGGACGAGGAAAAGGGACAGGCGCTGGGATGACGGATCACGGCCCAGAGCGATGGACATGTTCCCCTCGGCTGCGCTGGAGAACCACTTGAAGCCGTCCAGCTGATACGCGGGTCCGAGATCGGAGGACTGTTCATCCGAGACGGCCTGAGCGGTGGTTTCGGTTCTAGATACGTCAGACCCCCCAGGCGACTCGGTCATCCACTGCCCTGAGGTGTATGCTGTCTTCGGGTCTCGACTGATGTAGATGGTCATGCGATACAGTTTCGGGTGAACAGTGGAAGAACGGACCTCATTAGTCGGGGCAGGATCTCACGCTTCATCTTCTCCGTGCCCGAAATCTCCATCACTGCCGAGCAGATTGAGCGCATACGTTTCAAGAGGAAAACAGACAGCACCTCTCGCCGCTCCATCTGTCATAGAATACGGACATAACACCTGCCCACACTGTCAGCTGAAGTCCACGCACAAGGCTAGATGGACGCACCACGTGGCAGTCCGCCACCATTAGCACGCACTTGGCAAAGCTCCAGACCCGGCTCTGGTCTCCGAAACGGCGTTCGTAAGGGATGCTGATCACACCCTCCTTGCACGCGAAGTCCTTGAGAATCTTCCATCCTTCGGAGACCTGCAGCACGTCCACGCGATTTCCCCACGCATCATATTGCGTGAGGGTGGGTTCTTTCACGAGCGGCGCAATCGGTCGGATTTCTGATGTGTGTGCGTTTGTGCGAGTGCATTCGAATTGGTATCCTGGGAAACGCACCGTTCACAAGCTCGTCACCCAGACGGACCAGATCTGGCTTCACGACATCCAATGCACTAGGGTGCAGTGAGCACTAGTTGCTGGGTGAGAAGAATCGAATGATTCTCACTCTTTCGACAAAAGCCGTCTCAGCAACTTGGGAAGCACCGGGTCCGTCAGGTATGGATTCCCCGTCTGCGGCGGTTGCTGAGGGGTGATCAGGGGAGAAGATAGAGCAAGGAGGGGTTCCTATGCACCTGGTGGAAGATATCTTCGACGCGCATAGTAAGTTGTGAACAGGGCACTCATGGGAACGCGCATCCAGAGATCTGCAGCTGATTATGCTAAGAAAAACGGGCCGAGGATTTCCGGTGACAGGGTAGGAGTCGGACCAAGAGGGATCGGACCAATTCCTATCGAGTCCATCAATCCCGTGACCAAGCAGGAGTGTCAGACACGGGGACCTCTTGACGCCCACTGCCACAACCATGTGAACCGCCATTGAATGGAAACTCAATTCGAAACTCGAGTACGCAGGCAGTTGGACACGCACTTCAAAGACCAAAGTTACATGTCTTGTTTGGCTTTCTATGTGCCGACTACTCGAGCATCGGCAAGCGAGCTGGATTCTTCAGCAGTCTACCGATCCTCTTCGACATCGTTCGCTTTTTTAGCTCCAGGTAGAAGCGCAGCACGGAGGAGTATAGTCTCCTTCATTCAGAAACCATGTAACGCAAGCGCATCGAGCTTCTCGTGTCAAGAGCCCGACGATAGACGTGGTTCAGATCTTGGTGGTCAGCTTACGACTCGCAGTTGCCGAACTCCTAGTCGACTCGGAATTGCAAGATTCAGGGTGCGATTTGTGCTTCCTATCGAAAATATGCTGCTTGAGCTCCTAGATAGACTCGAACACCTTGTGTGGGAATCCGACAGAGGATCCTCTAAACAGGCATGCAGTAGTCTCCGGCCTCCTAGCGAGTGCTTTTCGAGTAAGGCGGCTAGGCCCCGCTGACGGGCGGCCTGAAGCTCCGAGTGAGAATAGCGGATGCTTAGGATGCGATGTGTGGCGCTCGGAAAACGTTCTTCTTTCCCGCTGGTGTATGCCAAGAATCCGGGTTCCAGCCAAGTCTCTTAAGATGGCCTAAAACAGGATTGGCGCAGCACCAAGTAGTGTAAGAAAGGTAGGAACTGACTCTCCGTTCACTTCGTGCGCATAGGCTTTCGGAGCCTACTACGCTACACAACGGGACCACTTTGTCCTCAGTTACTGTCTGAGTCTTCTCTTCGCAACTGGGACGTGATGGCCCTATTGCGTAAGGATCGACAACATATTCATGTTGCACAGAGGATGAGACATTGGCTAAGCGCATCCTGCTCATTGGGGTTCCCAGTCTCTTCTCGGTCTTGGTGAAGAGTGTGTGTGACATCTACCTCTGGCGGACTTCGTAAGCCTTCACACAACCGGAGAGTACACATCGGAAGATCCCCCGCACCTCTGTTCTACCCCCGCTCGTTCAACTTAGCGCACGGTCTGTGGATTCTGCGGAATCTTCCCGTAGTGTGCTGCAGCATAGAAATGTGGCAGTTCTTTAAGCACGCGCTACGACGCTTGATTGTCTCCTCTTCACACGAGGGGCAAAGGATGTCGAGCGCCCGAAGCACTGAGCGCCACGAAGGGTCTCGTGAAAGCAGGCTCCTCTGATTCAAACGAATTGAGACTCTGAACAAACCAAGGATAGTGTTCTCCTCAACGTGCAACGGGAACCCACTGAAACGCAAGAGCCTTCCAGTAGGTATGTCCGAGTCACCCACCAACACAATCCTTTGATATCCTCCAATATCTGCTGCCCCGCGCACTGGCTGTGCAATTGGGTTCGGCCGAGTTCGCTACAATCTGATCAACCCAATGTATAGGCCAGAAGAGCCGTATTGTCTTGAGCACCGGCAAATCGACTGAAGCGATAGTGTGCATTGGTCTGAGGATCCTCCAAGAAGACGTCTTCTCACCCAGCTCGTATCAAACGGTGAAGGTGCGAAGAGGATGTGCTCTGTCCAAGCATCTGTTGTTGCAATAACAGGTGGTGAAGCATCCCTGACACCAGTGGCAGTGGCCAGGGTGCAAAGCCGAGAGACATCAGTTGCATTTTTCGGACATGGCAGCAGATGCCAAGAGGCTGGGGATCATCGGGCACAGAATGGCTTGTTCGACAAAGAGAGTCTCTACACACTGTGCACTCGGTGAGGCCGCTCAAAGCTTGCTCCGTCCAACCACCCCAGCCCCAGAAACCCAGTCCACCGGTTCCCCGCGTCCCAAGCTCTCATCCTGCATGACTAGACTATGCATCGCGTTCACGACATGGCTCCAAAACTCCATCATGAGACCCGGTGGGACACAGGCATCGTCCCAATTCATACTCATCAGGAACCTCCCAAAGAACAGTCGCGTCCCGAGTAACAGTCCACCGGGTCCTTTGCGGGACCCGCCAGTGCCGGTCTGGATACGCAGTTTGGGATAAAGATGAGGCCGATAGGTAAGGCCCACATCACCAGCGTGCGTGACCCCGAGAAGAGCGAGCGAGGGGGGCGATACAGCCTTCTGCTTGATCACCGACGGCAGCTCTAATCCATCGTCAATCCTCGCCCACGTCTTGGCTTTCTGAGCCCGGGCTGTAGTTGAGAGCAGGGATCGTTGCAGCAGATACGGACTCCGCGCATATCTGGCTACTTGTTTCTGGGCAGACCGCGCCCTCTCCCACAAGATTCTCCGTTCGTCGATGCCCCGTGGCATGAACGATGGCAGCACGACATTCGTGTAGTCGAGCGCCAGCGACAGATCGACGTCCGAAGTCAGGTGCCGCCGCAGGCTGACGGCAGTGTACATGAGCATCGGCAGCGTGCGGTCCGCCCCGATTTCTGGATACGCTGCACAAAGCCGGATCCACGCCCAGTTGCACAGGGCGAAAAAGACATTTTGAGCGGTGGTCCCATTTGCTTTGCAGTTCTTGAATATCTCAGCAGTCTGTGCGTGGCTAAATCGGATCTGGACGAGTCGAATATTCGTCCGTGGAGCCTTGATCCGCGGGAACACATGGGCACCCTTGGAAACATCAGTTTGTGGAGGTGAGCCGTGCGCAGACCTACAATAGATCGCCGCTGCACATTCAGGTAATCCACCTTCCATGCGGCAGCCGCCAGCTTTCCCATCCCGAGCCCAGCTATCCGGGCTTCCGTCGCAACAGCGATCCCCCCTGCGCGCCAGCGCACATCCCACTCACGCTCCAGCAACATCTGCAGCTCGTCGTCCGTGGTCCCCGCTCCACCCAGAAGCCGAAACATCCCATCCATCATCTGCTGCACGCCCAGCAGGTCACCTATCATGTGCAGACACGAGAACATGACGTGGTATTCGTGTTCCCCCGACTCGACCTCGTCGTGGCGCACGAGATCCAGACGCGCGAGGCAGTCAGAAGATAGCGTGCGTGGGCCATTCAGGAAGTCGGCGATAAGCTGGTGACCGCGGATGTCGTCCCGGATGCGTAGAGAAGATGCCGCTTCGCGGAGGGCTGACGGCGGATTGGGCGGGGGCGTGTATACAAACTCAGCCTGGTCGTATCGCCCGGACGGCATCTCTACCCGGCATGACAGAAGGGTGTATCGCAGCCGCGTGATGGTCCAAGCGATGTGGACACGGCGGGGCGACATCAGCGCTGGCGGCGCGTGGAGGATGACTTGCGCTATACGCATTTTCAGCAAATGTACAGCAAAAACACTAAAAGTGCGTACTAAACATGTCGTTCAATCCATTGGCACGACTGGGAAGAAAGTATGACCTGGTGAGCGTGTCAGAGCCGCACTGCCAGACTGGGAAAAACACTCACAGCTCATTTGGACTCAGCGTGCGTCGGAAAGCACGATTCGAAGAGGCATTTGCAGCTGACGCGCCCATTGGAGGAGCAGGTGAGAAGCGAACAAGGCCACAGGGGGTCAATCCATGTCCTCCAGGCTCCTGTCTCAATTCACGACAACCGATGTCAGATCGGGTGTTTCCTTCTGATGACAGCCAGCTAGTATCGCATGGATAACCCCATTGGATTCTGCTGCATTTCCGTAGCCCTATCGCGTTGTCGAGGTCGATTTCGAAGAGTGCGGGACGGTGGTCGGGGAATTGGGAGAAGTGACCACGTCACACCGTCACCAGTATGTCATCACTCTCACGTGTAAATCTACCACGGTTCATCTGGTGGCACAGGGCGGTCCATCGCTGTGATGTCCATTTCATGGCAGCGACATGCAACAATAAAGATGGAGGGTTCAACTTGACTGATTCTTTGAGCATCTTAATTTACAATATCCAGAGATGCAACATCACAACTCAACTTGTACCAGTTTCCGGTTCTGGAAAATGACACATCGAACATCTCCGCTTAAATCCTTCTTCGGGTCAACATTCTCCTTTCGATCTACCCCCGTAACTTCAAAGTGTAAGTAAAATTCATTTTCCGGCGACTTGAGAGTTGCTCCAAGTACCTCCCAAACGCCACGTGATACAATGTTCAGCAAATCTTTCATCCTAGAATTACATACACACTATCCATCACGAAAATTCAGTACAAAATCACGCGCGTGCATGTCCATGCCACCGCCCGACTCCGCCTCGACTCGAGAGCAGGATCTACACCAGGGTGAAGCCTTTACTCCGGGAGAAATCGACGCCGTTCTTGAGCTGCTCGAGGGTCAAGAATATCAGGATCGTCGTCGGCTGCAGTCGACTCCATGCGGGCACCCAGCCTTTGAACATGAACATCGGTCCTTCGGTTTGCATCGCAGTGCGGATGGCAGCCATCGTCGACTGTGCGTCCATCCAAATTAAGATCATCACCCTCACCAGTAATGAATAACGCTCACAGTAGATCCTGGGCCGGAAGCGTTCATGATGCGGCTCTGGTATCACGAATTAGCTACGTCGCGATCAAAAGATTGGCGTCTTACCTTCAGCACGTCGGCTGGAGAGCAGACCGTGGTCGCCACAGTTCCCTGAGGTTACAATTTCAAAACACGCCTGATTCACAGGACTGAGATACGCACTGCGGCAAAACTGGCAGTGAAGTGACATGCAATGTTGTCATCAAAGTACGCCGTCTTCAAGAGTTCTGCCTTGAAGAAGTCATATCTGCGCGCAGTGCACTTAGAGGTATTCAGGAACAAAATTTTCTACGCACGACGCCAATTGACTAGCATTCATGAGGATGGCACGGAAAACATTCGGTCCGACGCCCCGCATCAAGGACGAGGTTCCTTCTTCCCGAACCATCTATCAGACACGTCGGTTCATGTCATACCATAAGCGTAGAGAAAGGCCCCACCCTGAAGAGAGCGTCGAAACAGTTCTTGTAGTTGAAGCGCTTCTCTGGAGGTTTGGCGAAGTCCCCTTGTAAGCGGACCATCACGATTTCTGCCCAAACATATCAACAGAGTTTGACAAGATAGTATGCAGGCTGCGCACCTCCCGGGTTGCCCACGAATCCGGCAATCCCACCCGCTGTAAATCCGCGAACGCGATCAACTAATGATGCGCCTCAAAGTCAAAGTTGAAAGCGAACCCATGCTTCCCGCAAGAGCGAGTTTCCAAGCGGGCGCATCTTTCCCAGCACCGACGATCTTCTTGCTCTCGTCGTATGCCCAAAAGCGGCACAGCGAATACGACATCTGGCGCATCCACGTCCCAGATATCCCGTCAAACAGCCCTCGTGTGCCTAGTGCGCGTCGGAAGACGCAGGGGCAGGGATCAGCAAGCCCGACGCACCGGCCGTTCTATACGTCTTCTTGATGCTCTCTATCATCCTCTTGTCCCCCGACGCCTGCAATCGGACCTTGGTCAAGTCCAACGGACTGCGTACATCAGCTATCGCGATCAAATCCGGGTCCACGCGCTAGACGTACTGCGTGATCGACGCTGCGATGGTGGCGGCCACTCCTGTGACGACGATTAGCCCCGAGCAGCGAGCGCGCGCGCGCGACGGGGAGGACGGTACCTCCGAGCCAGAACGGGTACGGCTGCTTCTTGAGCGGCAGCGGTGCATCTGCGGTCGAGGGGGCTGGCATTTGGGGCGACCTCTATGGGGTGGAGGAGCGTGAGGTAAAGAGGATCGACGGACGATTAGCCTTGACGTCTAATGGAATCCCCAAAATAAGGGTATAGATGGCAAGCAACGCAAGCAGGAAGAGGGAAAGCGAGTGACCGGCTCCGGTATAAGAGTGCCTGAGAGAGCGTGGCCCAGTCAAGGGAGGGTCCGGAAGCGGGGCACCCAATTGAGTGTCAGGTGTCTGTCAGGTGATTGTCGTCAGTTGGTCGTCCCTGTCTACCCCGCATACGTCATTGCACAGCTTTCTGGGGTAGAAATGGTTCTGTAGATTCTCGGAAAATTATCGAAGATTCGACTTCGATGCCAAAATTTCCGGGGAAATACAGAGGCTCGAAAGCCCAATTTTTTCCTGCCTCGATTGCCCAAGATAATCTCATGAAGGAGAAATGAATATAGTCAGTCAATTACCTAAAGGCCACCCGACATTCTCCGAACTATTCTTAATCTGGCTACATGTGTTCCCATCCGCAGCTTCTCGAAGCGGTTGCCGGATTGAATACACTCCCACAGCACGAAATTTCGTTGCTAATTCACAGCTTCTTCCCGAAATCACCCGGTACTCGACATCGCCTGGAGCGATCTACCTGCGACGAAGAGCCCTGTGAGAGCTCACATGAGCTCTGCTGATCTGCTGATGAAGATAAGATAAGATTGGCCCAAATCGATTAGATATCGATCGCTCTTACTCTTTCCTCGGTAGTGTCATCCACAAGCTTGTCAACACCCATAGTCGCGGCGCAAACAAATTCCCGCAGGTTCCGACTCCCTGTCGACAACTAAATCGACCGCTTCGTGGTCGGTGTCCTGTATCACAGAATGTCAGTAGTGGAAATCAGGTCCGAGGCGCGGCGTGCCTGAAATCGAACGAAACAAGAGGCTTCAGATAACCCACCACCGTAAATTGGAAAACACGCCGCTGGGGCCCCGTCTCTTATAAACGGCAGGGTAGCAACCAGACTCGCAACTGACGCCGCGATCTCAACCCAGAGATTCGGCTAGGATTCGAGAAGCGCACGATGTGTGGCTCGTTGCATCGCCAAGAAAGCTAGAAGAATCTGAAATGACGGGATTTGTCGCACTGGGCTTCGAGCGCGATATAGCCCTGGCGGGGCGGCGCATTGTCGGATCCAGAGTCCCATGAATTTGTAATCGAGGGGAAAACACGGTCGAGAAACATGAGGGAACGGTCGGTCCGATTACGCCATCGTGTGGCAACTTACATCGGAAAAGCTAATCTCGGTGTACGAGTTGGAGAGATTCACCGGAAGTTCGGAATCAGGTTTCCTCGGGCTTCGCTCGTCGGGTAGAACTCCGACGACAAGGTTCTTGTCGGACGACGGACGAGCAGGGTTTGGTTCCCGGGGCCTATCTACCGTGCTGTGCTGGTTGTCAGCGATTACGCGCTTCATTCAGGAAGTCATCCTTGCTACGGTGAATTCTGTTGGTATATCATTCAGTCAGCCGTAAGTCTTGGTGGTACAAGCAGAGGACAGGCACCAACACACGGCTGAATACCGCTCATTTGACCGCGACCATAAACATCGAGGAAAGTCCGGGGCCAAGAATAGCGCAGCACGTCAGGGGAAGGAAAGAAGACTACGACAACGACGGCGGCCGCTGGCTCGCTCGCCGCATCCGCAGAGAGATTGCCTAGAGAACGGGTCTCAGAGAGCCACGCGACCAGACACATTGCAGCGCATCGTCTTGTTGCGTGGCTTCGCGACGGTTCGAAGAAGGGGGCGCTTATTTGGCCCCGACCTGTAAAAATATACATGCAAAACATTCAACTCAGCGCCGAATCGCTTACCAGCATGGGCATGCACGAGCGCCTCGCTACCCCCTTCCCATAGTCTATCAGATCAAACCGTGCTCGTGCTCGACGCGATCGGCTCCGCGAGTTTCTGCTCGGGAATCGGAGAGTCGGCCTTCCAATTCCAATTCCAGGGGCATGACGAGAGAACGCTTAGCGATTCGTGCGTGATCAGCAGGCCCGTGTGGTCAGCATTAGCAACACTGACGCGCACCGAAGCGGCCCACCGAGGGTGTCGTGCGGATACGTGAGCGACAAAGCTTGCGTTGTGAGCACGGTTGTACGTGATTTCAGGTCCCAAGTGACAAACTCGCCACATGCAGGCGCGTTCCGGCGCCTGGACGCGATAGACCCCAGCAACAACCGCCCGGGCCGGGCGCTGAAGTCGGAAGGTAGGCCCTGGATTATACCCTCCATGCGTAAATCGGCCAGCACTGGGTAGAGCTCATTGCTCGTTAGAGGAATCTTGGCGACGGTGCACTTGGAGAGAGAGACAGAGATGCCAACGCGCATGTAGCGACAACAACCACCCGGCAGCATCGGGCTTATTCCCTCCCTAGATAGTGATGAGCTGCTCCTCGAACATTTTTTCTGCCAGAACTGTGGATGACCGCGCAACCAGGGCCTTACGTAACACAGCCTGATAACGGGTCATCACAACATGCGCAAAGCAGATGTCCGATTCGATCCGTTCTCTTCTCTTTCGGCCGGGACTGGAAGCAACTACCGAACCAGAGCATGGCGGTGGTCTCGTCGCAACGCCGATCTATTATCTCATTACTCTCTTTGTTTCCCGGACATCCCGGTCGCTGCGTTCGACGCACCTGAATCGATCCGAGAACAGCCTGTCGGGCTAGCAACGTTTTTGTCCCCGGCCCACCTCACCCCATGCAGTTGACGATGGTTGTCGTCGTCCCTTACCTGCCGGCTAGTGACGTTTCCTTCACTGCAGAGCTACAGGCCCCGCACGCAGCACCCTTCTGATGTGTGTTGTTCTTGCAGCGGCTTGTGTGAATGATGCGGTCGAAGGGATGGTAACCGTTTCCAGCTCAGGCGGCCTATGAAGGGCGGTCGCAGTGCCCTTGTTTTCTATCCTGCTCTCTCTCGCTCTCAGTCCTGCGCTATATATTTCTATTATTCCACCGTCGCTCCTTCCATCCCGTCCCATGCGTTCCTCGATGCCCCGTCCTCGATCGCTCCAGCTCTCTTCCAGAGCGTGCGTACATGCGTCGTGCAGACCGCAAACACGCAGCTCACCGATATCTTTCTTTTGCAGTCCCCCTTTCGCCAAGAAGCCCCACCGCGTCACCCAAATGCTCATCGTCAGAAGGGCGGCACGGACGAATCAGCATCGCTTCACACGGTGCGTCTGCTCACGTCCGGGCATCTCCCCGCGCTCACACGACCGTGCCTTTGCCAGGCTCACTACCCGGAAAGTCGCGCGCGCGACGACGGCCCCAATGCACCCCTTACGGAGACGGCGACAGGGTGAGCTGTTCCCGCTGCGATCCGTCTCTGGTGCTTGCTCATCACTGCTCCCCAGCCGCCTCCCCCCGCCCGCCATCGCGCCGGCGTTTCCGCGCAGAGACGATCACCGCAGCGTCCCTGTCGCCCATCCTGCTCCCGCAAATCCCCGTGCTGCCGAGTCTCTCGCCCACGCAGTCCGAGCCGGACTCGGGCTACTGCTCGTGAGTGCGCGCTGTCAGCCACCGTGCGATCTCTGACCGAGCCTGCGCGCATTCTAGCGAGTCCTCGGTACCGCCGTCCCCCAGCCGACGGCGCTACATCAGGCCGGTCTCCGTCGCGCTCGACGGCGACCTCGCCGCTGTCGCTGTCCGTCTCTCAGCGCTACCTTCCATCCATGTGCTGTCTCCATTGGATGACGATACCCTCTTGTGTTACTACTAGCCTATTACTTATCTCTATCTGTGTAACTGTAGCCCGAGAGCAGCAGCATCTGCCCGGACGCCCACGGGTCGTGCTGTGAACTCATCCATCTATGTATCCTTGCCTACAAATTCTAATCAGAGCCGTGAAATTGTGCTGCTGCTCGCGCTGTGATGCGCATCAATCACATGTCTTTCTTGCCAACCAACATTCGACGCGGAGTCCTCGGGCCTGCTGCCTGACTGGCTTCCGTGTCCGTGTCTGCCTTCAAACTTCCAGGTGAAACCCCGCGTGGGACATATGGGGTTCTCGGAAGCGTGGCGTGAGTTGTGTGTCGAATGTCCACACAACACAACAACAACGACGACAACGCTCGCGTCTGGGGCCTGCACGTCTGTGTAATGTCAGCTGCTGCAGTTTCAGCAGCGCGCATGTCTGTGTGACACTGGCACCGACCTAATTCACGTTCACGTTCACAGTCACATTCGTGCCTCGAGTTATCAAAGTGAAGTCGACTTGCATACGGAGACGGCACTACTTACTTGATAGACGACGCGGATGGTTGTCCGTGCACAACGTACGACATCCATGCATTCAACTATTATACGTTTGACCGCCGCAGAGTCAACACATGACTGCAATGTAGATGTCGTCGACCCCTGCACTGTCCGTCCGTGACCCTGGATCTATCAACGGATGAGGCGCCCTGGTACGTCGATCTCGAGACTCCTCTCCCCGCGCACATCACGCACTCTGAAACGCTCCAGCATCTCATTTTCACAAGCCCCACGAGCAATTGTTATCCGAAATGCATGCTGCATACTATCGGGTATCGATAGGCGGGAGATCATGGGACTTTGGCTCCCGGTCATTCATTTCATCTCCTTGATGAGATGCTGCTAACAGTCTGCCTCCCTCGCCCTCTTGCAGCCATCCTGAACCTGGGTCGATCACTGAATGGGACGCGGTACTATACGTCGATCTGCAGGCTCCCCATTGGCCATCACGATGGTTGAAACGCTCCGGCATCGCATTTTCACGAGCCTGGCATTTATTATCCGAAATGCATGTCACCAGGCGTCGATGAGCGGAAATCATGGAGTTTGGGCTCCCGGTCATTCATTCGCTTGGTGAGATGGTATTTCCGTCGCCGTAACATCCTGTCTCGAGCTGTTGCAGCATCTGTTGCACTCATCATCTGGACGATATTGCACTCCACTCCACTTTCCAACCACGATCTGTAAATCTGGATCTACTTACCAGGAAACGGGGCTCAGGCACGCGAACGGACCCTCATCTGTTCTGATAACCGCTTGCTCTGTTGGCGGAATGTTGACTGTGAGAAGCCGCTTGGATGAGCCCGTCTCGTCATCGCACCGGCCTCGACGGTGATCCATTCAAGGCACAGTTGAGTCATGTCAGTCAGCCCCGGACTTTCCGTTTTGGATCTTTCCGGAGGCTGTACTCATGGCGTGTTGAAGAGCCGTCCGCTGCAACCCGGTCTCTGGGGATCTCGGCATTCTGCGCTCCGGACTTGGAGTGTCCGGCCTAGGAATGGCCAGTTCCCCGCCAATCACTTGTTGTCGAGTTCAGACTCGTCAAGGCCACGGATAATCGCCGATGGGGTCGCCTGATTGCTCAAATAATAATACATTCAGTCGCGGCAGGAGCATATCGTACAACAACACACATTCGCAACAATTACACCACTACACGAGGGGGAGCGCGCCATCTAAAATCGAGTTCTGTGAAACAAACAGTCAGCTGACTCGATCTCCAAAGCGCGCCAATTGCACAACTGACCCATTATACAAGGGTGGCCGACTGAAACGCGATCAATCAATCTCGGATACACCGCCACGAGCGAGGCAGAGGACGGACTGACTAGTGCACCGGGCCACTGTGCGTGAAATTGTCGTACTGCGGCGGCGGCGGGCGGTCCGGCGCAGTCGACACGAAGAACTTGAGCGAGCCGGACAGATCGCCGTACTCCTGGCACAGCTGGAACAGCCGCGTGTCCGTCAGCGCGCCCCCGAGCGCGAACGCGCCGACCTCCGACTGGTACACCGAGAAATACGGCTGCCGGTCGTCCGGTATTGACAGCTGCGGCGCGGGCGTCAGTCACATCTGATCGGCGGGCGGGCGGCCGGACGGGGATGGATCAGGGATCATGGGACGCACTTTGGAGAAAATGCGTTCCCGGATGGACGCACCGCTGCGCGCGCCGGTGACCTCGACGACACAGTACTGCTCGCCGTTCGAGCTGACGATGACGCGTGTTGTGGGGAGCATAACAGGGAAGCGGCGCGGAAGGACACGAGGTTGAGAAGTTGACTGACAGACGCGTCTTATATATGTGGGTGGGAGCAGCAGCTGTCTGGAGATGAGCAGTACACACGACGGACGTCGATCTCTGCCCCGGCTAGTCGCTGCTGCAGGGCATTTATGCCTGGGGACTGCCGCATCATGATCCCAGATGCTATCACGATTCAGTCCCGAAACGGCAGCGGCCCCCCAGCCCGATCCTTACCAGGCCCAAGCTAGATGGATCCCAAGTGCGGTGGTGGGGTGCGCCTGACTCTGCGGTGGATTCATCAGCGGATTATCCACGTCCCAGAAGATGTTCCTACGCATGGTTTCCAGCCCATCGATCAGTCCGCCGACTTGTAAGGAACTATCGCGAAACGCTGTCCCATCGGTTTGAGATTGACGTTTCAGGGATCAACATCAGCATGAGGCGTGCCGTGTCTGGCTTCGGAAGCCTGTTGTTTTGAGTTTCACTCCTAGCCCGGCCGCTTGGACACACTGTACCCACTCAATCACATACATTTCAAGTCATCTAAACAAGTCGTGGATGGGTGCCCTGGGCTTGTAATGAGCGCCCTGAACGCCTCCGCGCAGCGAGTCGAACGGTGTTTCAGAGTGCGAAATCACTGATGCATTATTCTCTCCCACACAATTAGGAGGTTGGCGTCGGGGCGCCGTAGTTCTTCATCAGTATGTTCAAGTGCGGAATTCCGATTTTATTCGAGAAGGCGCGGCATTATGCATCGTGATTTGACCGTTGACCTCATTTTCGCGGGATTTGCTGATCCCATTTGTCGAACACAGGTGCTTATCTGACTCGATAGCTCGAAGGGGAGAGATTCTCTTCCTAAAGTGACTTGCCTTAATTCTGATTGGAATTCCGGGGTTTGTTGCGAAATCAACCTTGTTGTCCCATCTGATTATAGTTCAAGTTCGAATCTACCAGCCGACATTCGGAGTGTTATGATTGAGCTAACTTGAGGATGCACACCCATCCACTTTCGCAAGTCTCCTGTGCATACTCCCTGTCTCAGATCAAGCTGGGTACTATGGGATTTAGTGCAATTCAACTCGAGTTCCCGAGCCGAAAAAAAATGGAAAGTCGCTGGTAACATCGAGTGTAGTTATTTTGAATATGAACTCCAGTCGGAAAATGAAAATCGCCAATTCTTGCAAAGATCGCTTGCAGTTCTTGATGCGGCTGTAGTTGAGGACAGAGCAGATCCTGTTCGCTTACTTGACTGCACCAAATGCACGGCTAATAGTTCAGCCTTCTTGATAGCTTGCTTCCTAGCCATTATCGCACATCCCGATCGAAGCGATTGTCCAAATAACCTTTCCACGTCTCAAGCGAGCAGTGTCTCAGACTGAGCACGTGACGTGAGTTGAAGGTGGACGGCCGTCATAAATCATGGTCTTATCAATCTGCTAATGCGCCCATAACCCTTGTCGGTTGGTACTACTACTCAACAACTGGGCAACCGAGCCGTCTCGTCTCGCTGCGTCAGAAAGGCCCCAGGCACGACGACGACGTGCACTGCCTTGCGACCCCGCTGTCCCGGGCCCGGCCTGGCCTGGCCAGTGACACACAGCAAGTTGAACACAGGCCAGGCCAGGCCAAGCAAGCCCCAGGGGAGCCCGATTTCCGGTGTTTGTGGGCTTGGTGCGTCTGTGCCTTGGTCCTGCGCTGCAACCGCTGCTGACGCTGGCACCCGTTTCCCGGGCTGATCTGCAAGGGGCTCGGTCCATATGTAAGTACTTCACCGCTAATGACCCAATGTGACGCCTTTGATTGAGTGCAGGCGGTTGAAATGCTGCGGAACCCGATGAAAAACTAACCTGGGGAGTGAAGGTGGTGGTCGATAGGTGTGATCCAATGTGACAGATCGTACCACGTGACCGTGCTTCCAGCCCAGTCGATCAAATCGTTATTCGGCACTTTGACGTACGTCTCTGAGACTCACTCGACCACCTCGCAGTGTGGAAGTCTTGCCTCAAATTTCTCACTCAAGAATGTCTCCCAGAGAAAATTTCCAGCCTCATATGCTACTCATCCACTCGGAAACATCCAGTCACTAAAGCCCGTTGCCTGCTAACCTGCCGCTGGTCCCGCTGAGAACAGTGCACACTCTCAGTGGAGCTGCACCTCCGATCCCTAAACCTGTATCATGATCATAAAGCTCGAGATCTTCGGAGAAATTCATCGACCGACCCTAGCTTCGTCAAGTGCACAGCTCCCCTCCTGCTTCCATGCGGCATGTGGGATGCGGGGGGGTGTGCATCCCATCTGTGGCTTTTTCAGTCTATTTCTATGCTGGCCGCACTTCTAGTGCATCGCTCCTTCTCTCGATCACTGCATGAAACACGTTCTGTGCGTCATCATCCCCTGTTTCCCAGGACCGTACACGGCTCGACGTCGAGGTTCTGATGGCGTGGAATCTCGTTCTGCTCACGAGGCGTGGGTAGCTCCAGCCACTGGTCTCTGCCGCGACCGAACATCGCTCAAGTCTCCAGACCAATACCGGTGTGAATTGCGCCGGGCTTGGAGGGTAGGACCGAGGTTTTACTGGGATTGTGCCAGTTCCACTCACGATGTCCGCTCTGCTGTGGCCGCACTCCAAAGCCATAGCCGGGAATGTTTTCCGCACATGCGTGGGTATCGCAGACGCTTCGGCGCCAAAGCCCATCCGATCTCGAAACGCAATCAGAGATGAGATGATCAGAGAAGCAGCAGCAGCAGCAGCAGCTGATTGAGATGCGGAAGACAGGATATTTCGAGGACCGTGCGTTGGTCATCTCCAGCAAACTTCGGGGTTACATGTTCGAAGCTCATTACATTCTATCACTGATCGTTGATGGGGTAGACTTGGCCAGCCATGCATGGGAAGATCATGCGAGCACTGGCCCCAGGCCACGGCGTGGGCCGACGCTCATCCCCAACCGGAGCTTACTTGTCTCCAAGTGAATTGAAACCCGCCTTCGCACATAGCCGCTACGGATAGTACCAGAATGAAAGATATCAGCATGCGATTTGATGTACTCTGCACACTGCTTCGGTGAATCCTTGGAGGAGATAGATTACATCTTGTCCAAGCTATGGTTGTCGAATCGTACGACTTCAGACCCCCACCTTCTCGAACCAAGCCTCAGCCCGCTCCTCGACAGTGTCCCCTTTGGGCGGCTCGACACCCGCGCCCGCGCCCCAGAAAACTTCGGTCGGAGAGAATCCTCGAGGACCATCGAATTCGGCAACGAAGCCCTCCATTTTGAAGCTCCAGGGCTCGCTCCCGGTTGACTAAACGGAGCGTCCCAGTAAGACGGAGGTCGACGGTAGAAGGGGTAATCCGACATACCTGGACACCTAATCCCGTCATATTCCATACCCCAGCATCGTAGTGCTCCAGCAACATGAATTGAGTCACCATAGTGTCCCACTCAGCAATGAGCGTGGGTACGTCCGCCTGCACAGTCTTGGGGAACTTAGCCAGGAGCCTTTCAGAGATCTCACTGCAGGAGGCACCGGTAGTCGTCCCGTTGAGGATCAGACAAAAGTCGATGTCGCCGTAAGCGGGGTTGCGATATTTGCCGGCGAACGAAGAGAACGGTTCTGATGGTACAGTGGCGTTCTCGGACCGAGGCTGCTTCGGCGGTGGAATGGATGCTTCAACGGCAGAGCGGTACCTGGATATACTCAGAACAGGCGTGATTTCCGCAACGCTGGCAATGCGCACCGTCCAAGCCAATCCACCGGCTCCAGCGCGAGGTACTCGTCGACAATGCGGTACTTGATGGTTTCCATAATGGACACACCGAGATCTTCCTCGTTGATCAGCACAGCGACACCCAGGTTCTTGGACGGGAATCGCGCAATCTGGCTCTTGAATCCGGGAGTAGATCCTCCGTGCTGCAATCACCGTCGGCAATGCCCTAGCGACAGAGCGAGCGCAAGCACACCTCAATCATTTCTGTTACGCGCATCAGCATCTTGCACAGAGTTCAAGGGAAATGCACATACCCACCCCACGATACGTTCCGCGCATTTGACCCCCACCGTAGACGATGGGGGAGAGTTCCGGGAATCGGCTGCGAGGCATGTGTCAAGTGAGACATCGGGAAAGCTATTTCCGACTCACGCAACCGGGGTCAGCACAGTCACTCCACTGGCCACCTTTTGGAGAACCTCAGGAGGTATAACGCTCTCGTTGTCCCGGTTCTTTCCGTCTTCAAGCAGAGCCCGTAACCAGGTGGCCTACGATGCGTGAGTTTCGACCAGACTGAGCAGCAACGAGGAGCGGAAATACCACGTCACGAGGTGTCGAGATAACACCACCGGCACCAGAAATACCTAAACAGAACGTGTCAGAGAACGTACTCAAGAGCGCCAAACACCACCGACCGTAGCTGTACTGGTCCCAGAATTGGAACGTCTTTACTGAGCCTTGGTCAAACGGATCGCGGGAGACGTTGGCTCCATCTCGCAGAAAGCCATCCGCCAGTAGCCTCCCCTGCTTCAGGGTCTCGTTGTAAAAGTACGTCGTGTCCGCCATCCCGAGGGGCCCAAATATATTGGCAGCGACATATTCCTCAAATGGGGTGCCGGTGAGCGCCACGGGCAGATGCGAGAGCGTGGTGTACATCAGGTTGTTATACTGCGCAGTCTCGCGGAAGCCGGCGGAGGGTCGCAAGTATCGTAGGCGTTTGATCTGTGAAAGACATCAGCAGCACATCTACGGCATTCCAAAAGACGAGACACACCACATCTAGCACGGGTGTATAGAGGGGAAAGGCGAGATCGTGTCTCGGCAAGCCCGTGCGGTGGCTCATGATGTCGACGATGGTGCTCTCGCTCGACGCCACTGGATCCATCAGCTTCCACTCCGGAATCATCGACGCGATCTTGGTGTCCCACGAAATGCGGGGCGTCAGGGACTCGTTCGAGACCAGCAAGCCCGTCGCGACCACGTCGAAAAGCTGCAGAGCAGGTGAGCGGGTCTGTGCGTTGCACGGGAGGTCGACACACTTTTGAGTTCGAGCCAATCGCAAAGAGGGTGTCTCCAGTCGCACGATCGCCGCTCGCAGTCGCATTGCCGTATCCTTTGCTCTCCATCACCCACTCGCCGTCACGCGTCTGGTGCACAACAGCGACACCGGCGCCCCCCGGCGTGTTGAAGTCCCGCAAGATACCCTCGATGACCCTGTCCATCCTGGCCGTCAAGACTTCCGCGCCATCGGGCTCCATCCCCGCAGGACGCAGCGGAACTTGGAGGGCCGGACGCGCTGCAGTGTAGGTCGCGAGGATCAGGCACGCTGAGAGGCGTAGGTGACGGACGAGAATGTGCATCTTTTTTTCCTCTGGCGAGATGCCGCTGAGAGGCAGTGATTTATATATGCGCTGAGAGTAGGATCCGCAGCGACGCAGGCCACGCAGCCGTCGGAGCCATATGAGTACCAGGGAGCCGTGTGAATAAATCAAAGATGAAAAGCCGTGATAAGGCGTGCGAAGTCCGCGCACATCACGTGAAATGATCCTTACTCGAGATGAGGTCATGCCAATCCTCCAAAGTTCGTTTGTTCTATTTCCCGCGTATTCAGCACAATTAATGTCTGGACCACCCCAAAGATCTATATATCATTTGACGCGTCCAGCATGCAACGTCCATAGCCTGACGGACGGCCAATCAAAGCCGAGGTAGAAGAATGGACCCATGATGCACAGGGGCTCAGCACTCGACTGTTGCGATATCAGACAGAGTTTGAATTGGTACTGCTTCACATCAATTCACTGAATTGACAGAATGATTTGATCAATCAAGGGACAAAACGAGGCCGTCCGTTGCGGGAATTTCATACTCAAGCGATACTCCCAGTTGGCGGGAGGAGGCGGGAGGTGGCGCCCAGTTACTACCTATCGACTCAGTCCGTAATAGTGCAAATCAAGGCTCAAAAATGACCACATAACAGTCTGAAAAAGTGCGCAAATCAGGCCGAATGAACGCCGAATCCCGGGCTGAAATAGTGCAAATCACCAGCACAGACCGCAATTTTGTTTTTCGTAGTTGCCCTTGTCTTTGATTGCCAGAGGGAAATTGAAATCAGGTCATTCACCTACTGCGACAAGTCAGACTCTGTGGAATGTACCTTACAGTCATGGCCGAATTGAAAGGCCCAACCCAAATTAGGAGCGTGCCATCAACCTCAGCTCAATATATTTACAGTAAGTCTAGCGCATTAAATTCTAGCCCCAAACCAATCCATTCATCCTAGATATAAACTGAAGCAGACGTTCCATCGTGGACAATGGCTAAATTCTATCTAAACTCCTGTGATCAGCCAGTCGATGGCACTTCCCACCGATTTGGGTTGGGCCTTTCAATTTGGCCGTGACTGTAGCCTGAGAGAGGACAGAATTGAACAAAAATTTGCTCAAAACGATATGAAAAGCTCCAAATTTAGGTGAATCTCCGTACGATACAGTGCAAATCAACGCTCCAGACAGCCGATTTCATAGTACAAATCAGCTTCTTGAGGCGAACTGACCTTGTATTAGGGAGTAGCCGAGGGACTGCTAGAGGAGATTATCACGTCACATGGGTGATGTTCGCTGAAGGCAAGATGGTGGCTTCCCCACGATTCCTACAGGCCAGTAATCGGTCGAGCGAATGTTCACATCCCCTACGCTTGTTCCCACCCTGAACCATGCATTATCGCTCGAGAGTGTCTTGGCCATGTCAGTAATCTCTAAAAAAAACTCGTGGTCCGTCATCTTGGCCTGGGCAGAATTCTCCCGTCAAGTAAATGCCTCAGGTTTGATCAGAGCCGGAAGCCCTCTATTATGAGCAACATTTGATACGGCCCAGAATTCCCTGACTTCTGATCACCCAGTGCTCCGCCGGATTGGAGACGCTCTATCTGGTAGGATGTTCTCTCGACTCAGTTAGTTTTTGGACGTGCGAGAAGAACATTCCGCGAGCATGATAATATTGCCGATAGATGCACGCCCGGGGCTTGGCATTACACAAGCAAGTACATTAAAGACATCTGGCTACCGAACCGTACACACAGCATATTACATTACTTCTTACAAAAACCAAGTCAGTAGTCAGCATGCACGATGCTGAAATCTCGCGTCCTTCTCCGGAGATTATATATTCGCGAAGAAGACTGCGATCGGTGACGGAGAGTCTTGGCTCTGTCGAACGCCACAGGAGGAGGAGAAGAAGCAGGTGCGAGCGCTGCCAAAGGCCGAGGACGTGAGATGAGATCGACCGTCAGTGCGGGAAGCGGCAAGTTGCGGTTTGCGCCGGGAAGCTGGACAGTCTGCTGGGCCGGGGGGACGGACTTCGAGCGCCGACGGGAGCGGCGATCTGCTGTGGTTCCGGCCCGTCCTCTACTGCGACACGTGGAGTCCGAGGGAGGAAAGACGAGTGACGTGGGGACAGGCCCTCCCAGCAAGTTCGCAAGCTTCATCATTTTCCTCCGTCGCACGATGTGTTCGTCGGACGCAGGTGGCGGCGACGATATGACAAAGGAAAGCAATCTTCTGACGTGGAGCGAGTCCGTCGATTGGCTGGCGACTGGCTCGCTAATTGAGGATGGGGATTGCGTCAAGGCCAGGATAAGGCGGATGCGCGTGGCAGACACAATAGCTTGCAGGGATTGGTCCGATAGCGTCAGCCGGATCCCATCCGTGAGAGTGACAGCTTCGACGCTGTTCGCCGACGCCGTCGAGGAAGATGCGATAGAAGAATGGGATGGGACGGCGAAGATGACACCTGCACGTTTGTATGCCTTGTCACTGCTTCGAGATAGCGACCGCGCTAGCTCTGGCAGAACGAACTGCATCACCTCCGTCCGCGACGCTTTCGATCCCGGGGATGCTGGGCGCTTTGGCGCTCTGCACAATCCAAGATGATAGGGGCTTCACCCAATGTGGCGCCCAGCTTTCGAACAGAACGCAACCTCCGTCTTCGCTCATCAAGCGCGAGCTGGTTGCAGGTTGGTGGCTTCTGCTCCATGGGTATTTGGGAGGAAGACGACGATGACATGCACGCAGGGGCTCCGGGTTGTCATGCCAAGTGAGTCGAATCGCACGGGAGCAAATCGGAAAAAAGTGCAAGCCTTGTCCTTGTGCTCTTCACACATTCCATGAAGCTGGGTCGGGAGACGGAAAGACACCGAATATCATGGGAAAACAAGCCGAGTTGCGCCAACAAACCGCATCGCACATCTATCGCCTCGGTTGAAGGGGCTTGAGCGTTGACGGTTGGCGCTGGAAACGGTACCAGTCAAACCGGCTCCAGGTGACCCGAATCATTTGTCAATCAGCTGATCAATCGGATCAAATCTACACCCTTCCCTGCTTCGAACTCTCAGAAGTGCGTAAATTCCATGATCTCCTTGGACTCACATGAACAATTTATTTGACGCTTTGATCATTAGTGGACTATTTCGGACCTTCCCAATTCCCATGTGGCCCGCTGCCTGAACTGGTTCATTGACTGCGCTTGGTGTCACCCGCTTCTTCGAGCCTGATGATAGTGTCGATAGACCGGCAAGATGGACGTTGGATATTCACGTGTTGCCTCATAGCTCAAGGTTTGTTCGAAGGTGGGCTTGGGCTTGGGTGCAAATCGCTAATCGCTATCTTATCATCTGCCGCGGGATCAGAACCCTCAATTGCTGAACCGTTGACATTCTCACACCCGAGCCAAATTGACTCTCCAACGCATGACTGCGGCCGGATGATCATATCTGATAACAGCCTGCGTGCTAGAACCATCCAATGAGGTCTCCTCATCTTATCCTTCCCAGCGTCGTCCGCGGAGCCACACCGCGCAAACTCAGCCAGGTTCCTTCCTTCCTCCACCGCTTACCAGGTTCTCCTCGCCGGGATTACAACACTCCTGATGCGCTGCCAGGAAGTCATCCTGATAATACAGATCTGGGCGCTTCTCGGCCGGCTGACGGTTCCTCTGCACTAGTCGAGTATCTGTTTCGTACCTCGACCCGGGCCGCTTGTGCCTCGTCATCATGTTTTTGACCAATGTGCGAGAAGGGATACTCCAATCTGCAGGCAAGGCGGCCTACCTCTGCAGATAATCAACCGTCCGCCACTCCCACGTGTCAGCCATACCATCTCGACATCGAGGCTGTTGTCATTCGAGGCCAGTGATACCCAGGTCTAGATGCCGGGGTCGCGAATATTATTGGCCAGCGTCTCCGGTCGTGAAAACTTCTCCAGTCGCGATCTGTCCGCTTCCATACTTTCAGCATCGGAAGGCTTCCTCTGGATCCGATGCCTCTTCAAGTAAGCACCCTGACCGTGTCTGTTATAAGAACATGCTGGGATGGGATGGAGAGGGTCAATCAGTCCAAGATATGTCTTCTCCATGCATCACCCATCCATCTCTGCGTGAGCCCCACCGCTCATCATATTAACCTGTTCATTAACATCCCACGCGACCGCACAGGCGTCCGTGACCTCGTTGATGCTCAGCGCGTTCTCGAGGCCGTCCGGCTGCGCATCCTGCCACTCATCACGCGGCGTCTGCGTCCGCAGGAACGCGCCATCCTGAGCAGCGGCAATGTTTTCGTCTGGGAGGAGTCTGAGGCCGAAGATGGCCTCGCGCGTTGGACCGACGGTCGGGCGTGGTAACATATTACATGTTCGCCTGTCACGGACACAGCACTGACCCGTCACGGCCAGGTCCCAGAGCAAAATGCGAAGCGACTGTTTGTTCTACGAGGAGAAGCTCGCTCTAAGTGAAGATGAGAAGGCCGCCAAGGCTGTCCGGCGGTAAGTGATCGAACTCCGGAATCTCACGCGGATGCTGAGGCGTGATCGCGTTTGGTTGGACAGGGCTATGAAAGCGAAAAACGGCTGTGCCGAGATCCCTGCTGCTCCCAAGCGCAGGGACCGGCCGACGAAGGTGGACGGGCTGCGGAAACAGACGTACTCCGTGCTGATCCATCCGCCGGGAGCCACGAGTCCGCGCAGGTGGCACCTTGTGGCATACCACTCCGTTCGTCTCTCGCCAAAATTGTTGCGTGATGGCGCTCGCTTCTGACATCAGACCCAGATAGCGGATGCTCCCAATCTTCCCGTAATCGAAGACTTCGACTATCTGAAGAATATCTGCATACCCGAAGGCGTTTTCGTCGGTGCGACCCGTTCCAGAGGCGTCTTCGAATCTTTTCCCCGGCCATTGCCCGCGCCCGGCACTGTGCACCCCCTCTCGAGTGCTAGTCGCTTTCCCTCGGTCGAATCTGAAGACAGTTCGGGCTCTGACTTTGACGCGGTCCTACTCCCCCCGATATCTCCTCAATTCGTGCACGCCCCACGATGTCTCCCGCCTATCTCGTCCCTCTCCCTCGGGCCGCCTGGGGCTCCATCAGGTCGCGGCCGGGCCTCGAACTCGATGCGTCAGGACGATCGACACGTTTTAGACAAATTTCGAATGTTTATCTAGATTAGATTAGTCCCATCATTATCGCATCTTATCTGATTGAATGTCATGGACATCGCACGGGCTGAGGCTGTTTTCGTCCCGAACAAACTAGCAGCGCGGGCTGCTCTGAAGAACGCGGAGGCTGAAAGACCGCGTCCCTGAGCCTAACCGGGACCGATCAACCTGCGTGTGAACCCAATACCCAGGAAACGCGACCATCTTTGATTCGCTCCCACGCATTAGGGTTCGCTGCGATACACAGCTTTGTCACCCACCTCCGTGCCGCCCCATCCCTCCCGTCCGTACCGCCATGTCGTCAACGTCAACGATGGACCCGAGCGCCGTCGTGATGAACTCCAGCGCCTTCCGTACGTGCGCTCCCGCACCGGCCGCCGTCGGGCTTATCTGACGCCGTACCGCGGGTACACAGGCTACGCCGTCCTCGTCGCGCTCTGCGTCGTGTTCGCAATCGCCGCGGGCATGTGCTACCGCACGAACGCTTACAGGCGGCACATGCGCTCGCTCGTCGCCGCCGAGATCATGCGCGGGCAGGCCGCGGGCACCGCCGCGACGCAAGCAGCGGAAGCGGCCCTGGGCCCCAAACCCGATCTGTTCAATGTCTACGTTGTCGAGGACTTCGCTGATGAGAAGAAGAAGAAGAAGGGAGGAGTGCGGTGGGGCGACCTGCTGGTGCGTCTCGCTCTGTTGAAGAAGCAAGTGTGTGTGTTTGACTGGGGCGCATGACAGCCAATAGCAGTTACGCGGCACGACAAGGGAAGCGCCACGGACAACGCCCTGCTGTCCGTGGCGCATGTCTCTGTGATGATAAGGATGCCTCATGGAGATCTACCACTGTCCCCGTCCGAGCCCGAGAGCGAACGGAACCTCTCCGCCTTGGAGATGGGCCTATGCGAAACGCCTTACGTGGATAAGCACGATGCGAGCGTGCGACTGTAACAACATGCCACCCTTGGAATTGAAACACAACATTAACGTGACGAAAACAACACAGTGGAAGTACAGTCTGAATAAGGTAAAGATTTCGAAGAAGATCAAATTGCAGGCGGCGGGAGACCTGGGGTCGCCGGCGGCTCGGGCTGTTCGTACGGCGGCGGCAGCTGATTAGCGACGTGGGCCTCCAGCGTCGCCAGACGCTGCTCGAGATACCGTTCCCGCTCAGAGGGGTATAGTGACGGGGGATTCGCCTCGGAGTAGACCGTATCTCTGCGCGAGGATGTCTCGGACTGCGACTGGGACGGCTGCCGCGATATGGAGCGCGACGGGCCGGCGACCGGGGTGGGCACAATATATCCCGCTGTTTAGCTCCGGAGTCAGAATCCAGATCGCAACGGAACCTATTTCGACGCACCCATTTTCTCAGGCGGGAATCGGCCTGCACGCGTGTCGACAGACAAAGGTGCAGCAGCGGCCTCAGGTGACAGCGGCAACGTCTCACGAGTCATCGTCCCGCTCCGCGACAGCGGGGGATTGGCGTTCGAGGAGGCCGAGGCGAATGTGCTCGTCGCAAATAAGTTCCCGACGGTGAGCGAAGCGGGCGGGCGCTCGTCCACGAATGGCTGCAGCACATTGTTGCCCCGGATCCTGCGCATCTCGCCCTGCACCGGCGGGAGACCAGCCGCCCGCCGCTCGGCATCTTGCTGCGACCGCTTGACCTGCCTCCGCCGCCGGAAGAGCACGAAGAGCACGAAAGCCAGAACGCCGCCGACGAGCACGCCGATGACCGCACCGACGATCGCACCGACATCGACATGGTGCGCGGAAGTCAGAGCCGCAGGCGAGTCTTGTGTTGAGCTGGATCTTAGTCAGTCTTCGAGCGCAAGGTGCTCTGAGCCTAGACAGAACTGACGTAGGGACAGGCGTTTGAGAAGAGGTGCTAGTGACCGTTGAATGTATGCAATCGAAAAACACGTTGAAACACTCACGCCGAGGTAGATCTGCGTAAAATTGAGAAATCGAGCGAACCAATGAAAAAGCACTCACAAGACAACAGCATGGGCCAAGGCTGTTTCCGAGACGCTGCAGACATGAGATAATCGGCGATCCATGTGGTGTGCTCGGAGGAAACTTACGCCGATGATGCTTTATTGGCTGAGGAAGAGGAGGAAGATTGACCAGCAGGACTAAGCAGTTTGAGCGAGTGCTTCTGTCAGAGCAGCTACACCAACCTGACGCTCTTCAAGCTGAATTCCCATCAGCGAGGGACTTCTGGAGATAATGGGGACGCACATAGTGGTTACAGAGACCGAACTTGTGGTGGTGGTAGTGGTGAGACTGTTGGGTGAGTTTGCGGTTACTGCGGACAGGGTTGGGGAAGGAGAAGGGGCAGCCTGTGTCTTGATCACTGTGACAAGGCTCCTAAAGCGACCGAATAAGCACACTAGAAACGACATGAACCAGCTGCCAGCCACTCACGTCGCGGGTGCAGCCGCGGGCGTAGTGGGCGATGGCGTATTGGTTGACGGCGGCGCTGCCGGCTGTGTCGGCGGATCGGCACTCCCACTCGTGACGACCGCATAGTCAAACAGCGCCGCCTGCACCTGCACGCCGGTCGTGGGATTCGTGTTGAACACCCAGCTGACGGTGTGCGTCTGGTCCGCCGGCAGGCCCGTCGCCGCGAAGAACAGCGCGTTGTACGCGAAGCGCGCGCTGCCCGTGTAGTGGTGCGTCGCGGTCGTCGCGCCGAGCGTGAAGACGATGTCCGGCTGCGAGTCGGCCTGGTCGATCCCGAAGATGTACACCGCGGAGCCTGGAATGGAATCAGACTTAGGCGGATGGAGTGGGTCGTCAGCGGCCGCACGCACCGGTGAATGTAAATGTCCCCGTCGTCAGTGTCTTCGACCCAGCGCGGTAGTTCCCGTCGGTCCATGTCTGGTCGAACGTCTGCGACGGGTCGGGCTTCGACGAGCAGAAGTCGCACGGGTGCGCGGCCGACGTGGGAGTCCACGAGCCCGAGAAAACAAACGCAGGGTCGGCATCGTCAACGGTCGTATTAGTAATCGCGCTCTCCACGACGGGGACAGCAGCCAGGAATAGTAGGAAGAGGAGAGGAAGGGCGAGAAACGGGGTGGCCCATAGCGATGTCATAGCGATTAGCGAGCGTGCAAACGAGTGTGGCGCGCCTGTCTGCAACGGGGCAGAGCCAGACAGTAGATAGGGCTGTTATTGCAGCCCAGTTCGTGGTCGGGTCGTCAACGCCAGCGGGGGCGACGAGCAGCAAGATCACGAGTATAGGGTAAGGACAGAACCAAGATAGCGACCTTGGATTCTGGATATTTCCGCCCGCCGAAGCGAGAACTAGCGAGACCATGGGAGATTCAGGATTTCATCACGATCAGTCGTTGACGGACAGGTCAGACCGTCAGTTGCTTCCGCACGCTCATGAGTAGGTATGACGTCCAGGAGCCCCTCCGCATCATCGCCATAGTGATTTCAGGGAGCGTCTTCACTTGCTCCCCTGTGAGGTTGCTGTAGGCACGGTCGGCTTGACTCGCTGTGCGGTGTCTGCGGAAACCGAAATCGGTGGTGTGCGATTGATGTCAATGCCATCAGAGATGGGCGCACACGTGCATTCCCGCGCTCAGCGAATGGACCCAATTCAGTAGTCGCGAGGGATGAGTTGGCCAACGCAGCATCGATGCTCTCCACGCGCTGGTGATTCAGCGGCACAAGAAGGTATCATTGGAATCACGTCGGTATAGGAAGACGAACCGGAACCGGGTGTATCGGACGATGAACATTGAAGACAACGACGAAGACCCCAAAAACGGGTGAACACAACACGACGCAGCTCCGCCTGGCTTTAGCCAAGCCAATCCCACCCCCCTCTTTATGAATATATGATCACGATCAAGGCTGCGCTCGATGCCCCGACACAACACCTCGATACAACCCAAACCAGACGAAGAACATGACTACTCACAATGGCCAAAGAGACCCATCCATCCTCCCATACAAACTGCCTCTGGGCACCACGTCTTATTAGTTAGTTTGCTTGTTGCGGAATACCAATGCAGATTTTTTTCTTCTTTTTGGTGGTACGAGCAAACATGGGACAGGGTAACAATCGGTTACCTTCCCACGCGCTATTTGTAAAGTCGAAGGGCTGAGCCTCCCGAGATGGGCAAAAGTCCTAAGATCTACCGCCCAGTGAAAATGAGTCTCTTCAAGTTGGGCCTGTCCAAACTGATAGGGAATAGCTGGGGCCAATCGGAATCACAGAGAGGTTGAATGTTCCTGATTAAACCTAGAGAGGATGCGGTCCCTTGGCTATCCGTCTATATGGTTTGTGTAAGTAGAATGAGGACAGTCCCGTGTGATGTCGGTGGCATATGATCAGATAAGATGGGATAATGATTGGGCTAATCTAATCTAGATAGACATTTGAAATTTGTCTAAAACGTGTCGATCTCTTTGACGCATCAAGTTCGAGGCCCGGCAGCGACTTGGTGGAGATACAGGAGCGCCGAGCGAGATAGACGAGATGGGTGGAAGACATCGCGGAGCATCAGCGCATTGAGGGGATATCGGGGGGAGAAGCACCGCGCCAAAGTCAGAGCCCGAACTGTCTTCGGATTCGACCGAGGGAAAGCGACTAGCACTCGAGAGGGGGTGCACAGTGCCGGGCGCGGGCAATGGCCGGGGAAAAGATTCGAAGACGCCTCTGGAACGTGTCGCACCGATAAAAACGCCTTGGGGGATGCAGATATTCTTTAGATAGTCGAAGTCTTCAACCACGGGAAGATTGGGAGCATCCGATTCCTGGGCCTGATGTGAGGGGCGTCTTTACGCAATAATCGATGCGAGGGACTAACAGAGTAGTATGCCACAAGGTGCCACTTGTGCGGACTCGGGGCTCCCGGCGGATGAATCAACACGGAATAGGTCTGTTTCCAAAGCCCGTCGATTTTTGTCGGCCGGTCTCTGCGCTTGGGAGCAGCAGGGATCTCGGCACAGCCGTTTTTCGCTCTCCTAGAACTGTCCAACCAAACGCGGTCAAGCCTGAGCACGGGTGTCAGATTCTGGAGGTTTGATGACTTACCGCCGGGCAGCCTTGGCAGCCTTCTCATCTTCACTCATAGCGACCTTCTCCTCGTAGAGCAAGCAGTCGTTTCGCATTTTGCTCTGGGACCTGACCACGACGGTCAGTGCTGAGTTTGTGACAGGCGATCGTGTAATTTGTTACCACGCCCGACCGTCGGTCCAACGCTCAAGGCCATCTTCGGCCTTGGACTCTTGCCAGACGAACACATTGCCGCTGCTGAGGACGGCACGTTCCTGCGAACCGAGGCGCCGTGTGATAAGGGGTAGGATGCGCAGCCGGACGGCCTCGAGAACGCGCTGAGCATCGGCAAGGTCACGGACGCCTGTGCAGCAGCGTGGAATGTTAATGGACAAATGATTTTGATAAGCAGCGGGCTCACGGAGAGATGGATGGGTGATGCACGGATAAGACATATCTTGGAATGATTGGCCCTCTCACCCATCCCGGCCTGCCCTTATAACAGCGACGACCAGGGTGCTTACTTGAACAAGGTATCGAATCCAGTGGAAGCCTCCCATGCTGGAAGGTATAGAAGCGGAAAGATTGACCGGCAAGGTTTTCACGGCCGGGGATGCTGGCCGATAACACCCCGAACCTGGCATCCAGACCTGCATATATCACCAGCCTTAAGTGACAATAGCCAAGATATCGAGATGGTATGGCAGACATGTGGCGTAAAGAGCAGTTGATTTTCTGCAGTGGTAGGTTGCCTTAGCTGCGGGTAGGAGACTAACCCTTGTCTCACATTGGTCAAAAACATGATGACCAAGCACAAGCGGGGTTCTGTGAAAGAAAAATAGTCAATTCGTCGCAGGAACCGTCGGCTGGTTGGAAAACAACCAGATCTGTATTACTAAAAAAAGAAATGTGCTGGCAGCGCATCAGGAGAATTGTTAAGCTGTGGAGGGGAGGAAGAATCAACTTTGCATGAGTTTGCGCGGTGTGGCTCCGCAAATGATGATGGGAAGGATAAGATGAACAGACTTCATTGGATGCACCAGGTTGCAGTCTCTTATCAGATATGATCATCCAGTCGCGGTCGTATGCGTTGGAAAGTCAAATCGGCATGTGAATGAAAACGTGAACGGCTTACCAATTGAGGGTTCTTGTCATGCGGCAGATGACACGATAGCAATTGACAATTTGCACCCCAGCCTAACGTCAAGCCTCAAGCAATGCGAGAGCACGAGAACATCCAGTTGTTCACCTTGCCGATCGAACTTTCCCATCCGTCGGGCATGCAGGAGCCCGTGGCACTTCGAAAAGCCACTAGATCAAGGAAGCTTGTTCGTAGGACCGGCCTCACGTACTTAACTGGCCCCTGACCTCCACGTGTCCGGGAACCGGAATCACAGCAGATCGCAAGCTCACCCAAAACTCCATCCATCCGGCCCAAAGGGGATGTCCACCTTTCCCGCATTGACGGACCAGGCCATTGGCAGCGCTTGCAGCTGCTGCTTCGCCTGTGGCATTAGTCAAAGCCAAGACCCTCCGTCATCGATCTCACTCTTCTCTCCGGACATGTAATCCTAGGAGAAGGACGCGGGATTGTTTCGGCGCCGCGCGGACAGATTTATTGACTCGGCTGTTGCAAGAAGTATGTACAGTATGTAATGTAATGGTATGTACTGTATGACTCGGGCATGATAGCCACATGTTCATTATGCACCTGCATGTAGGTATGATATTTGGCGGACGGATAATTTGGGGGAGAAGAGTGTATGATCCGGGGTAAGCCAGCCAGACGGATCAGCGCCCGCGTCGCGTCCTTGGTCTCTTTTCTCCCTTTCTCTGCATTTATCCCTGATTGTCCCCTCTCGCGTATTTCTGCCTGCGAGTACACTGAGCCACCCTCGTCATCTCATTCCGCGCTCTCATTTCCGTACTCGTCGTCGAATTCTCCCGCTCACCATTCCTATTGCATCATATTATATTCTACATATCTTTACGAGGATAGACTCCAGAGCCCTGCACAGCACGTCGATGCGTGAACAAGTAGTTTTCAGTGAAAGGCAGCATAGTATTAGTGGCAATATTTTCAGCAGATCAAGATCGAGTGAAGCTTCTTGCTGGAGGGGATGCGCAATTTGGAGATGTTCGACATGTTTTTTGGGAGAGAAGAGTGATGGTGGCTGTCCACCATCACTTCACCATCACTTCTTACTACTACGAGCATCTCGAACGTCTGGTTTCGCGAATAGCCTCAACAAGCATCTTCACTCGAACTTGCTTGATCTCGCACAAGAAGACTGAAAGAAGATGTGATGATCTCTCCGGCTCGATCATCACTCTCGAATGTTGTACACGTCCCCTGCACTCAATAAATGGACCCAATTCAGTAGTCGCGAGGGATGAGTGGGTCAACGCAACATTGATGCTCTGCGCGCGTTCGCAATCCAGCGGCATAAGAGATCTCGAGTATGACTGGAATCACATCCGTGGTATTGCATCTCGCACAAACCGTCTATTCCTTGGGATCCTGTGCCCCGGGCCGTTGATAGACAGCCATTCTACCATGGAATCGGCGGACCAGGAAACTTAACGTCGTTTGGCCGGTGTATATGTCGCATATACTGTAAGTACACCAAAGATATACCCCTACTGTGATTATGCTGCAGTATCAGAGAGAAAGTCCTGCCCAGTCATCCTAGCGCAGCATCATGATCCCGCGCATCACTATACACCTCCGGATAGTCCTCGTACGACGACCCCGACTCCGAACCAGACTCCGAGTCCGACACAGGATACACTACGATCGCACGTGGCACCGGCGGGGGCGAACGCGACTGCGACTGCGACTCCGGGTCGTCGTACCACGCGGACGTCACCGCCGCCGCCGGGCGGTCCGCGGGCCGCTCGAGGGGAAGGGATATCTGCGCCGGATCGATGCGCCGGGGTGACTGAGGCTTCGGTGGGGAGAAGAGGTTCTTGACGCGCAGCCCGCGCGCGGCGAACCGTCGGAATGACTGCGTCATCGAGGAGGGGGACGAGGGCGAGGAGGAGGAGGGGGATTTGTCCTTCCCGCTTTGGTTCGCCCGTGCGGCGTCATTGCTGCTGCTGCTGCCGGCGTTCGGGGTGTCGGCAGCATCGAACGGCTCGTCGAAGTAGAAGTACGGCGTGCGGGGCGTCTGGACAAAGGGCGAGTCGATCGCGGTCGAGCTCGTGAGCGGAGGCGCGCTTTTCATGCTCGGGGGCTCGATGCGCCCGGGATCCGCAGTGAGAACCAGTGGCTGGGGCCCATGATGTGACCCGCGTAATCGGCGTGTCGCCAGTGCAGAAGGAGAGGCTGGTGCAGGAGTCGAGGAGGAAGAACGTGCCATGAAAGCGCTGGGGATGGGCGGTACGGAAGCTGGGGCCAAGAGGGGTGGGGTTTTAGAAGAAGTCGGGGATGGCGGAGCCGAGTGCTTGAGCCACTTTCGCTTGATGCTTTCTGCAGGCGTGGGGAACTAAACGAGAAGATAAGCAGCTGGAGACTTGGTGTTATATAAATCCGACACGCAACAGAATATCCGTTACTGAATGGCGCGGGCTCCTTAGGAGCCACAGGCGGCAGAGATCTCGCACGGGACCCCGCACCTCCTCTTCCTCCGTATCGGACTTTCTGGGCGGCTTGGGTCGACTCTGTGCCGTAGTGAGACGAAGAGATCTGGCAAACCGACCTGCAGGAACCAACCTCCGATGGATCGAGTCGGGATGGACGGTGCATACTTGGGGCTTGCTGGCGCACTAAAGCGTGCAATGAAAGGCGCAGGAATGACAGGCAGGGAGTAAGAGCTCATGAAATGAATGTACAAGTGCGAGAGGGAAACGAAAGACTGGAGCGCATTGCATGAGATTCGCGCACTATTAAACGCGATTGAGGCGGGCGGGGAAGGGACACAGAGGAGCTCATGAGAGGCACAATCAGGTCAAACAGGCGGGGCGTTCCCTCAGGGGTGGACTAGACACTACAGATGCACGGTGCCGCCGAGGACGGAGAACTCAGGAGGTTAAGACAGTGGACAGAAAGACCAAGAGCCTGAACGGAGTGTCACATCAAATGTCAATCAACCCGTCAAGAATATTTTTAGGATAAGGTATCAAAGCTGCGACTTGGCGAGGTAGAAGGGATAGTCTGTGTAGCCCTTTGGACTGGAGCTTCCTGCATCGTAGAAAGTTTTTCGGTCGTACGGATTGAGAGGATAGTCATGCAGCAATCGAGACGGCAAGTCAGGCTATCAGCGTTGTCAGTTCCTCGAGAGCACTAGGCGTGTCGGCACTAAGCACTTACATTGGCTATGTACCTTCTCCCGAAGGCCACCAGGTCACCCTTTTCGCCATCTCGGATGGCTGCGTCGCGTGTATACCCGCCGGCAGAAATCAGCCGCCTCGAGCCAGACGACCAAATCTGTCGGACGAAGTCGTTGCTCATGTCCTCTGGCATGCTGTCCTCAGCTCGGATGTCGGCACCGGAGACTCGGGGCTCCACAGCGTGGATGAATGCCAGATCGGGGTGTCGTGCTTTGATCTGCTCGACGAGATACGAAAAGGTCGGCTTGGGGTCCTTCATGCCCATGTCTACAATCAAGGTCAGGACCTTGTTGCCTGGGACAGAGAACCGTGAAGGGTGTCACCTTGCCATGTGTTCCAGGGACTGATACGCAGGGCCGCTTTCTTGGGCCCGACGGCAGCCACGACAGCGTCCACGACCTCCAGCGCGAACCGGGCCCGGTTCTCCACGCTACCCCCGTACTCGTCCGACCGCACATTGCTCACGTCCTGCAGGAACTGGTCGATCAGGTATCCGTTCGCCCCGTGGATCTCGACCCCGTCGAAGCCCGCCTTGTGCACCGCGTTCGCGGCGGCGCGCGCATACAGCCGCGCGTATTCGGCGATCTCCGCCTTCGAGAGCGGCCGGGGCTTGATCTGGTCTGCGGGCCGGTCGCGGAGCGGGATGCCCGAGGCCGAGACGTATGGGTGGTCGCCCAGGGTGGAGGGCTGCGCCGCGCGGCCCAGCGCCCACAGCTGGAGGAATATGAACGACCCCTGCGCGTGCACGGCGTCGGTGATCTGCGGGGAACCGCGTCAGCCCGTGGCAGCATCGCGACGCGACACAACCGAGACGCACCTCCTTCCACGCGGCAAACTGGGCCTCCGACCAAATACCGGGGACGTTGAGGTAGCCGCTGGCGCACTCGTCGATGAAGGTCGCCTCCGAGATCAGCAGCGTCCCCGGCTCCGACGCCCGCTGGATGTAGTACTCCTTGACGATGGGCAGCGGCACGCGCTCGCCGTCCGCGCGAAACCGCGTCAGCGGGGCCAGCACGACGCGATGCTTGAGCTGCATGTCGCCTACCGAGATCGGCTGGAACAGTTGTGGCACAGTAGCAGGCATAGTGAGCTGCTGGACGGAAAGGGAGAGTGCCCGGGCATGAATCCGGGGAGGCGCATTTATCGGAATAGCGACCGGTTAACGAGGTGCCCGAGGATGACAGATCATGACACAAGATTTCGCGAGCGAGGTCGACAGACGCAGAGAATCACTGCCAGAGCGGAAGCGGGGCAATTTCTGGCTGGTACCGTGAGTGGACGGATCACCACGATTACCGTCGTCCATAAGGGTCAAGGTCTGTTTTAGGAAAGTGCGATCATGATCCAATGCTGGGGTCCAGCGAGTGATCTCCAGTCACACCGTGACCTCTCCCTGGTGTGTCATTCGTCGTTACTCATCGCCTCGCCATCTCTTCATCCCATCGTTATCTGTCGCGTCGCGCTTGGACCAGCGCGGTCTATGTGTTCTTTGTGCGTACGGCTACAGCCTCTCATTCATATATATCCTAGCTACATATTTACACACCCTCTGTACTCAAACCCGATGAGAATTTTACAATTCTCATTACCCTCCGTAATACATGACCCTATCACTTTTCAAGGGCAAGGTCTGCTTTACCAACGGAAGAACGCGGAGACGCCTGCACCGACTCTCCCCCTCCTCCTCCACAGACGATGGGCCATTGCGATGGCTGCTCAAGCGCTCACACCTTGCCCGCCGTGTCAAGCCCTCAACAACAATGGTGTCAAGAACCCCAAACCGGACCGGTCTTTTTGACGCGGCAAGTCAAACTCACGTGATGGCCTCACATTAGCCGACAAGCAATGCTTTTTTCTGTAGAGCATTGGTCCTAGGGTCTCTCAACATCCTAATATTCGCCGTACAACGAAAAAAAATCGTTTCTGAAGTGCGAAAGTACTAGAAGCCGCTGTCACCATCGACGACGACGGCGCTTGCTGTACCGAAAATGTCCCCCGATATCACCTCACTAAGCAGATATGAGGCATAGGGTCACGGAGTGCCAGGACCCCCAGCACTTGGTAAGTTCCCATCATCAGGATAGACCTTGACCCTTATGGACGACGGTACACGATGCTCGTCGGGCCGAAGGCCGTATGTCAAGAGGACCGGAGGCGTGCCGGCCATGCTCAGCGGGGGACTAATCAGTCTTCCAGAAGCTGGCTCGTTGGCCGCGTGGAGGAGGACAACAAGGGCGAGGATTGATGAAAACTTCTTCCACCCGAGAGGAACGATTGTCCAAAGGCAAGGGCTGTCGTGAAGAGCGTGGGGCAGCCTGAGCCGTGAGGCACCAGGCGAAGAAGGCGCGGGCGGTCCCGGCCTCTTTCGGCTGCTTGCTTCATCCGGGAACACGTTTCATTGCCTACCAGCGAGTGCCGCACAGCACAACGGCGCCCTTGTGCTCTCCTGGGGGGTCTATCACCGCCGACCAGTCCTGGACCCTTAGCGCGAACTTCGAATACCACCTTCACTTCATTTCCAGAACGCACTGCTGGATCCTCGCATGGGGTGTGACCAGTCTTGCACGCCTCTGATCGCGAGTGCAATACACGGTCCTCAGGCCTCATGCTCGACACAATCCCTCGCGAAGTTACAGCCCTAGCAAGCCACGGCCATCGCAAGACAATCTTTTCCTAATCATTGATGCATTCACACCCCCGCATAGAATCAACAGTGCGGTGCCCCAGACTCTGCCTATCTCTGATCTACCCCTGGAAGCCAGCCAACAGGCCATTGACGAAACCGGGATCCGCCTCGCAGCTGATGCTCAGGATGCCCGGCGCCAAGTTGTCCGACGTATCCGAGAACAGCTCAATCGCGACCCCATCGCCCAGCTCGCAGTTAGGGTTCCTGCAAGTTCAACCACGCATCAGCAACCGACGCTCGGTCTTGAGAACTGGGAATCGCACGGGAATGCAACGCAGTCGTTGTCGACGTTGAGGGTCAGCGACACCGGGTTGTTCACGTTCGTGCACGCCGCGGCGTTGATGGCGGGGCCCGTCGGGTTCGGGGACGCGACGTTCAGCGGGACGCACGCGCCGGACCCACTCGGCCCGTCGCAGGCCTGGGGCACGAAGTCCTCGCGGACGGCCTGCACAGCCGTTTGTGAGTTTCGCAGCTCGTCAGGGTGCGCCGGGTGCACTCACGACTGGCGCGCTGTGGACGAGGGAGAGGACAAGGGTGAATGCGATCGACGCAGAGAAAAACATGGTGTGGAGAAGAATAAGAAAAGGCTGCGAGAGAAGGAACTTGGAAAGAGGGCTGAAAGAAGAAGAATGAGGACGTCCTCCTTGCGATCCTCATTATATTCTCTACGGTCGATGCCAAGGTTTCTCGAGCACTGCCTGGGATGGCAGATACCATCGTTGCCCTCCCGCGTCTTGTGCTCGTTCGCAATTGAATCGAGACTGTTTCGTGTGCAATGATGCATACAATCAAACCCAAAATCAGATCGTTGGTATGTGGTATGGATCGGATGTGCAGGCTCTTTTAAATTCACGCCCTTATGGAGGTTGCGTGGTGGACCTCGGGAGAGCCTGCAATCCAGTCATGGGCGACCCGAGGATGTGGATGCAAGCAAGTCAAGGTGCCGATGCTTGACCTGAGCCCCCAGTTACGAAGGCGCTGGCTTCGGGTCGCTCATGCTGATGCCTCGAAGGAGATTCAGCGTGCATCGTCATGAACATATGTAACAATGCGTACTGTGTGAACGTCCGTCCAAGGTCTGAGGCAGAGCACTATTTGCTGGGGCCTCCAAGCTGGGCAATTAACCCTTGATTCTCTACGCAGGCTCGATACTCGTCCGAACACACATCGCTCGCGTTTGGCATCGGCATGTGCGGGCAGTGCACCCGTGGTATCTAGCCCGGTGTGTAGCGCCATAGCAAGTGCCCGAGGCTATCTCGTCCGCGGGGCCCGTGGAGCTTAGGAACGACCTACAACACCGGATATATACATAATCGTACACGGACGCTACCAGCTACATTCTAAGTGATACATACAACGATACAAGAACCGCTCCATAGAAATCAGATCAGATCAGAGCAACACGAGTGCGCACCAGCCCGCCGCGCCAGTTGTGTGAGCCAGCAGAGCGGATATGCGACCATTCGTTTTGCATCCGGGAGAAAGCATCCTGGATGTGCTCGGGCCTCAGGGCCGTCCTGGCCTCCGGCGGAGGCAGAAACAGCGTGCTCATAGGCAACGTCGCCTCGTCCCGATCCGGCGACTCCTCCCTGCGTCGCTTCTCCGCGTTCCCCCCTGCGGCACCGAGGGCCTTCCGCTTTCCCATCAAGGGTGAGGAGTAGTCCTCCCGCAGGTGCGATTCTTCTAGTGACTTCTTAACGGCGAGCCCCGCGAGCGTGAGAGACCGGACCATCTCGAATGCCAAGAATCCGACGATGTCGACTGTATCGTCACCGGCTTTGAGATCGAGATGGGAGGGCAGGTTGAGAAATTCGCGGAAACGTTTGGCTGTGGAACGTAAGGAAGACGACGGCCGGTGAGCTCACGGCATACCTTTGCGGTAAGTAAACGAGGCTTGCCGACAGTCCGAGTAGTGCTGGTACTCTTCTCTCGTCATTTGCCGGGTCGCGTCGTCTGCTTCCTGCGCACAGTGTCAGCTCGGTCGAGGACGCGAATGAACTGATGGATTGACGGACCTTTAAACGCAAGATGGAAGCCTCATGTGCTTCTATATCATCCTCGTCCTCTTCGTCATCCGACTGGTGCCCGCTCTGCTTCAAGACCTCGGAATATACAGTCGCAATCTCCCAAGGTAACTTGATCGTGATCTTCTGCGCCTTGGTGGACAGTTTTTCTGCGCGGTCAGATGAGAAACCCTAGGACTTGGAAGTTCCAGCAGATAGCTACACACCGTCACCACCATCCTCTAGAGCCTCCACCTCGACACCACCGCCACCGTCACCACCAGAGTCCTTTGCGTGTTTGCGCACTTCCTTCCAAGAGAGATACGTTCGAAGGCGATTGACTTTGCCCCGGTCGTGGCGTATGAGGAAAATGAGGTCTTCAGCGGAGAGGTATCGCGCTCCTCGGCGCGTCGCGAGGGCACGGGCCTGTACCACCTTGGCATGACAACCAGTAAGCACGACGTCGAAGAATGGCCGGCACCACGACCCACCAGCTCAATAATCTGTCCCCGGACTATGTCCTCCACGAGGTTGATGGTCTCAGAGTTGGGGTCCTGGACCTCTCCGAACACGAACATCTGGAAAGCATTGTCACTACTGCAGGGTACTCGAAATTGCGGATTGACCACACCATCTGAGAGATCTCTTGCGTGTACTTGTACTCTCTTATGAGGCTTCCGACATCCAGAAGCGTCCCTTTACGAGCGGGTGCAGTCATTGTCGCCTGAAATGTAGGCGAGAACGTGAGTGCTAGTTGAGCCAAAAGTAGCTGTCACGGTCTGTGACGACAGGATCTTCGACACGTGCAAAGATGTCCACGTCACGTGAAAGATCTCCGGTCTTGCTTTCTCTGTACTTTGCACCAAACGGTCAACATGCTTCCAGTGTTTTACCGCTCGGCGCATTTTCTCTTGTCTGGTATCACATGGATGCCTTGCACTCAATGCATGGATAACATCTACACCATACTTTTGCATTGGGCCTCGGGAGCGAGACGAGGATACCAACTGGATAATGCAACTGGTGCATTCAATTGATCTAGCATATCAATGTGGCGCCTTCAAGATGAATTGAAAAACCCATCTGACAGCAAAAGCGTCATCAACAGCTGCCATAGCCTGACTCAGACAGACATTCCCTGCCGAAGTCTATGAAGGACTACGCTTTGCACCTTCCAAAGATGCCTACCGCGTCACCGTCCAACCGACACTCGCAGCTTCACGCCCAGCCTTGGCCCTGTGAGCGTTCACAGAGCCGCAGTACCCACTGACAGGGCCGGCCGCAAAGTGGTGCCGACGGGGATCCTGCAGCTCTCGCACTCGCTGGCCTGTTCCATGGATCACATCTGCGGACCGGAACCAAGTGCTGCGCACAGGGGGTGCAGGTATTTAAGCACTCGAGGACTCGTGTGGGATCCTCAATGCGCTGCACACACTACACCGCTCTTGTTCTGCTCCTAAGCCGCTTTTCGGGGGCGGCCAGCGCACAAGCAGGCGCGTTTCTCGATGCACGCGTGGACGCGATTATCACAGGCATGCTGCGTGACTTCAACACGCCGGGGGGTGCCGGGATCGCTGTCGTGCACAAGGCGGCGGACGGGCAGTGGGTCATGGAGAGCAAGGGGTACGGGAACGCCACGACGGCCGGACAAGCCGCGACGCAAGACACACTATTCCCTATCGGCTCGAACTCGAAGGTACGCAGGATCAGGGCACTCGTATATTAAAGCGTCGTTTGAGGCTAATGTCCCCGCAGCTATTCGACGCGATCGCCACAGGCCTTTTAATCTCGAACGAGACTTTGTCTCCCCGCGTGTCGTGGGACTCGAAGATCGCCTCGCTCATCCCGGAATGGAAGCTCTGGGACCCAGTCGCGACGAGGGAGAGCACGATAGTCGACCTTATGAGCCATCGCACCGGCCTCCCGAGACACGACTTCATGGTCGCCCCGAGTGACTCAGTGCTCAGCGTTGTGGGTCCACTGTGCTGTCCCTCAATGCCGATGTCGAAGCGCTGACAAGTACATGTGCCACAGATCAAACGGCTGCGGTATCTCCGTCCTTCCGCCGGATTCCGCGAGACCTGGCAATACAGCAACCTGATGTACATCGTCCTGTCGCACCTGTCCACGGTTCTCACGGGCGTCCCGTACGAGAAATACGTGTCGGACAACATCTTCGTGCCGCTGGGCATGAGCAGCACCACTTACACCTTCAACGACACGATCAAGAATGGGAAGCAGGTTGCGGAAGGGCTCGCGCGCGACGGTGCAAACTTGACGCGCGATCCTTTTGACTTGGGAACGGTGCGACTGCTCGACTTTTGGGATACGTATAGCCATGGCAAGTTTCAGGCTCTGCGTTGCGAGCTTATGCTGAGATGTGCGACAGTGTTTTCGGGCGATGGCGGCGTCATCTCCTCAGCTTCCGATATGGTTCGCAGGCCTTCTTAACTGAAGCTCTTTCCATTCTAAACCTTAGAAAAGGCAATTTGGTTGCGTGCGCTCCTCGAGGGAGGACTGAATCAAGCTCAAGCACCAGTTATCCCTTCGGATGTGATTGATAAAGTTGCAGAAGGAGTTACAGTCATTCCCGACCAGTAAGTCCTGTTCTATATCCTCGATTGCATAGTGACTGGTGAGAGCAGAGGATATCCGGAGATCTCCCCGATTGTGTATGGTGGCGGCCAGTCGCGAGGGAGCTATCGTGGCTTTGGTCAGCACTCATATTCTCATGACTGACTTTCACTGACCTTCAGACAGAGTTTATCGAGGTGGGAGATATCTGGGCTCTGGAACTGAATGCACTCACGGATCACTGCAGCATGATGGATCGGTTCCTGGGTTCAACAGCGTCGTCAGCCGTCTGCCCTGGCAGGAATTCGGCGTCGCGGTGATGACGAACGACGACAGCCTCGGGTCGTTGATAGCTGAGGCGATCAAGTTCCGGCTCATCGACGAGTTCCTGCAACTCAAGCCCGTGGATTGGACGTCCCGGTGCGTGCTGAACTGAATCGCATTTGCCTTCGGAAGCTGTCTGACCTCGTCCGATGTCAAGATACCGCAACGCAATCGCCTCGTCGCTTCCACCGCCCGCGACACCGCGCTCGAAGCACCCAAAGCTGCCATCCGTCCCATTCACCTCCCTCGCTGGGAAATACTCCAACCCCGGGTATTACGAGGTCGACTTCTGCCTCTTCTTGGACAGCGCCCAGACGGGCCAGTCGTGCAAGGATCTCGATGCTCGGTACCCAGAAGAAATCGATCCCGCGATCCCCACTCTCGTCGCGGACTTCAAGGTGGTTGCTGACACATTCATCCGCTTCCAGCACTTCAGCGGAGAGGTTTGGAATGTGTCTGCCCTTCAGGTTGAGGTGCGACGCCGTGTGCTTGCGATCCGCGGTCAGCTGACGGAGATGTGCAGCGCGCGTCCGTCCCCAAGGAACAGTGGATCTATAGACTCGACGGCTTGGTCTTCGAGTTTGACGGGGACCGAGGGTTTGCCGCTCTCGGTGGATTCTGGGGCGCGGGTCTCGGTGTTCCTGATCCCGTCGGCAAGACTGCTCAAGAGCGCGCCGAAGTTTGGTTCGCCAAAGTGCGCAAGTGATCCTAAGATTCGTCTTCAAGGGCGACGGGCCCTGTAATGTTATTCTGAATGAACAAACTACAGAGTGTGTGATAATTGGCAGCTTTGCTCAGACGAGAAGATGTGCCGCGACAAGCGGAAGCTTCAGCGCAGATGCGCAGAAGGTTTTTGGCTGGATGGCGCTTGAGTGCAAGATCCCATCGCCACCTCATCCACCCGACTGAAAAATGCGCCTCAACTGGCAGTTAAGCTTGTAGTCATCTTGTTCTTGCACAGCTCCTCCGAGGCGAGCTCGGAGTCCTAACCGGCAGTACTGAGCAGCCCAGGTCTGGAAATGGAGATTTGCAGGACGGGTTTGAGGCTGGAGAGAAGAGCACCGTCAGGGCTGCGAGGAAGCGTTACATAGCACGCACGCGCAAGCCTGCGTCAGGTCCGGAACCAAGGCATTAGTCCTTCTGACATGGCAGGCTTCCGTAACCGCCCTGTCATCAGCTATGTATTGCCAGTGAAGTCCACTGGCACTGTGCAGGATGTGCAGTTGCGGAACACGTGAGCTGTCGCGTCACCCCACGGCCCCGAAGGACCCTGCAGGCTGTCAGAGGCCGGAGGCCCGGAGCAACCCTAGTCCAGGAAGATATGTACTTATGTCCGGCATGCTCGATCCTCAGTAGTAGCCGGGCCCGTTCCCACGACTTCTGGACAAGCGACAAGCGTCTTTTTCGCCGTGCGGAGTGGACCGTACAGTCAGGACCGGATTTCCTCCTGGACATGCGATGTCGGCGCACGGTGAGCCTCGAGGTCAGAAGACTTGACGGACCCTGGTGACTACGGCATCCCACGGGCCTGGGAGTTCCGATGGCGTCGTCGTGCCCCAGGCGGGACTGAACCGTTTGCAGAGGCGAGGAGCAATGAGGTTGGGAAGAAGAGCCGGACAACGCGTAGCGTGGAATACGTCTTGTTCAGGTACGCATACAATCTGCATGCTCGTGTGGTGTGAGACGAGTCTGACGTCCCGCAGTATCTCACCAGGACTGGTCGCTGCTGCATAATACAATGATTTGTCCCTCAGCTGGACTGGTCGGTCGCTGCTGTATAATACAATGAATTGTCCGCAAACTTAAACGGGATATATACTGTATGCTATGCTATACAACTACACAACTAAAACGCGCGCGCACTGGCACTCTCGTGCGACTTCTGGCTGTACACAGAGGCGTCGTCTGCAACAGAGAGCCGCTGCACGCCCGCCACGATCGGCCTGGAATAATCAACATGGTCGCGCAGAGACCTCGTCGAGTGTGTCGCAGGTCCAAGTAACACCGCCAGCCCGGGCCGGAGAAGTCCGTCCGCATGGATCGACGAGTCGTCCGTTAACGCAGGTGACGGATGGGGCCAGACTGGCGGCTGCATTATCGGCAGAATTGGCGGATTTAGCAAAGAGCTCGGCCCTGCCAATCCGTATCCCGGGGTTATGTACGCAGGGGCAGGTGGTTTAATCCGGCCCAGGCGTCCGAACCCGAACAAATCGCGCAGGCTGTCTTTGCGGGTCCGATAGCTCGATGGCGGAACGGGCGGGTGCGGGTACTCCGCTGCTGGCGGCGTCGGCATCAACTGCGACGGCGGCGATATCAGCATGGAGCCGGAATGGTACGAGTGGCTGGGCGTGGCGTGAGAGGAGTGGGATGTTTGCACGCCGGGCCCGTGGTCGGCGGACGTCGAACCGTAGCCCAAAGTCGAGGGTGCTCTCTCGACCATAATATCGTCTTCCTCGTCGCCGAGCGGGGAGCGCCACCTCTGGATCGGCTTGGCACCGAATGGATCGTACGGATGTCGATTGCGGTACCGCCGGCAGCCGAAGAACATCAGGACGACAAGTAATACCAAGGCCAGGAATCCCCCGACCGAGACGCCAACGATGCCTGAGACATTGTGTGCAAAGCTGGTCGCGCGGTCAGAACGTAGATTTCAAAATGTATAACGAACAACTTACGCCGAACCGGTCCCAACGCTGGTGCCTAGCACACCAGATGGAGACGCAGAGCTCGTGCTTGTCTCGGTGGCAGAAGTCACCAGATGATGACCATCATATGTCTTTGTCCCCGTCAAGGTAATTGACCTGGACTGGGGTCAGAAAACGCAAGGGAGATATCAAGGTTTGCGCGCACGGTATCACCGACGAGCTCGGAGGATGAGTCACCGCGCTTGACGACGCAGACGTGGTGGTGCTTGGAAGGGTGCTACTATAAAGGGTAAGTAAATAACCTTAACCGTGATATGCAATCCCCGCGAACCGTGCTGGAGACCGAACCGGTCGTGAAGAGGAGAAGGGAAATGAAGATGAAGTGTTGCTCGAAGTAAGGCGCTTCGAAGACGAGAAAGTGGATGTAGAAGTTGGAGCTGAGAAGGAGCTTGAAGGCAGAACCAAGCTCGAAGCAGCAGCCGAAGATGAAGCTCCACTTGGGCTTGACGACGAAACGGCCGAGGACAAGACCGAGGATGAGGATGTCGAGGCCGAAGCGGAAGCAGACGCCGATGCAGACGCCGGTGCAGACGTAGACGCAGACGCACTGGGGATGGAGGACGCGCTTGAGCTAGCGAAAGAACTGGAACCCGAAGCCGAGCTAACGACCACGGACGAAGACAGTGCCGCGGAAGATGCTGACGACGACGATACTGGCGATGACGAGCCTGACGACGACGAGCCTGACGACGACGAGGCCGATGACGACGATGCCGATGCCGACGCTGAGCTCTCTCCCGCCCGAACATACACGTAGGCTCTGGATTCCTCCATCCCGTAATCCCTCGTTCGTGCCATCGATGTGCGATTCTGCTTTTTAAGCATCATCTTCGACGTGGCACTAAACACCACAGGTGAGACTAGAACTAGCATTGCAGCCCCATGAATTAGCACGAGACATACCGCGTGTTAATAACATCGTTCCCTGGCTCGTAGCGTGTGGGACGACGATAAGCAGTGGCACTCGGGGTTCGTCGGCGCGGTGGGGTGCGCCGCTTCTGGGGTGAATTTGGGTTGGAGTTTATGTCCAGATAGGGAGGCGAGTCCGAGCCGGCGCGGCGCTGTCGTATGAGAGTGGGGTTCATAGCCTTCTCACCGCGGCTCCTATAAGTCTCCATTCGATCCGACCGGGGACGAGCAAGAAGACTGGGTGGCGAGGAATGGACGGGGGGAGTGAATAACCGTCGCGTGAGTTCAAGATGCAGGCGTGTTCATAAAAGAATGGGAGGGGCGTAGAAAGAAAAGCAAGGGGAGAAAACCGGGAAACAAGACGTGGGGGCTCGCAGAGTCCCAAATAGAAGAAGCGTATCGGAGCGTCACAGTGCCAGCCAGACCCGTTGAGTGGAAGAATGGAAGCCCCGTCGTGCCCAAGCACGACTGTCACCCGCAACGAGAAAGAGAGAGTAAGGACCAACAACAAAGTTGCATCACATCGCATCGTGCGGGTGGAGTGGATTGTCATACGCCACAGCCACCAATTCCATGGACGGTTTCTCTCCGCGATCGCCGATTGCCGATTCAGTTGATGGTGGTTTTCATTGACGTTCAGGGGCCTCTCTTCCCTCTCGGATTTTTTTTATCGAGACCAGCTCCCACAACGACCTGCGCCGGACGAGTTCGAGTGGAAATCACACCGAGGACCTTGCTTCGGATCAGTGTCTCAAGCTTGTCCGACTGCCACTGACAGACAAATCATGAAATCTGATCAGGCCCTGGCGGTGACTCACCGATTTCTTTCTGCACGTTCCATTCATTCAGTCATGACGGGCGACCTTTCCGATGCCAAGCGCGCGTCGATCGTGTATCTTCAACGGCCCCGCTCAATTATGAAGTGCGTATACATAAGTGTAAGACAGGGAGTGAGACATGATTTTTTCAATGAACAAACGAAAGACGATATGTTAGGATGTCAACAGTAACGTCAACCCCCGCATAGGTCCAGGCTCATGATTTTACAGCAACGCAGTACATGCTTCCAGTAGTCAACCTACCAACAGAAGCATTGTGATATCCTTAGTCACGGCTAGATTATGTACATTCGAGAGGCCGAAAACGGACATACCCTTGAGCCTCTCGAGATCAGGCTCAATGTCGTCAGATGCGGATGACATATATGTCTGCGAGTCTGAGCAAGGCACCCAGAGTATCCGAAAGCCGCACAACAGGGATCTGACCCTGCTGGTCCTTGTTCCTGGTATAGAAAGAGAGCCGATCGGCACCCACGAACTGAATTTATCATAAATGTGCGAGAATATGTCGATTACTGCGACAGCTGTATGGAAATCGTGATCCGGAACGCTGGACTTTTCTCGCGCTTCAATACTGTTCCTAGCCGAGATAGCCCCACAGTTTGTCTCACTCCGAGCGTTTGGTGTCGCTGACCACCTCGGCATAGGAGCGCGAAGCATTGTCAGCATCCCGCTTATCCCGAGTCTTCTTCGCCAGCTTGTAGAATAGCGATCCCTGAAAAACGCAAAACCGTCATTTTCCTGCGCCTGTCACGGAGCAGCACGAAGCAGCACTCACGTCCATGACATCGTGTACATCCTGCTTGCTAACACGTCCATCCTCCGGCCACAGCAGCAGATACGTAGCCAGCCATTCAAACGCGGCCGCGAACCAACCGAACTAGGCATGGAAAAACAATACAGTCAGCCAGCAATCTGGGCCGAGAAGACCGAGGATGACGGACAAAGTCGAACGGGTTCCTGTTCGCCTGGATCATCCGAACCCCTTCGCCGAACGACATGTATTCATGCGGAGCCGCGGTGTACAGGTCCCATACGTAATTGAAGCGCTTCTCGTCCAGCTCGCCTGTCTGAGTAAACGCTCCGGTGTCCGATCCGTGGATGCCCTGTGCAGGAAATGATGACCAAGCCACGGAGGGAAGGTCGACTCTGGACGACGACTTACGCGTTGGCTCTTCGAGACACGGATACGGAAGAACACATCGGGAAGCAGCGTTCCCCAAGTCAGGTATCTAGGCCGAGTCAATCGCGGGAGAACCGCGCAGACACGCCGTGAACGCACGAAAAGCCGGCATGGATCACCAGGGTCGCAAACAGCGAGATGAGGAGATTGAATCCAATGGCGAGGAATCCGCGGAAACTGTGGAGAGCGTTGGATTTCAGCTCGCCAGGAGCGTGGCCACGGATAGATAAATAGACGCGTCATACGTGTCGAGTGGCCAGATTATATCGTCCCCGTCAGTGTCGAAGAACGCGACGTGAGACTGGAGTGCTGGGCGAGGCGACGCAGCAGCGTCTGTGTCGCCCGGATCGTGATCTGTCTTCATATCTGGAGGAAATTGTTTGAATGAGGACCCGATGAGCGGGGGAGAGGATGAAGAGAAAGAGAGAATTTGGGATTCGAGGGAAAGCTGGTGATGTCATGATGAGGTCTTAGCATGTGATTGATGACGGGGATCGCCGCGTCGTGGATGTGTGTCCGCGTTGATGAGCAGACGGATTCGCATTGATTCAGCCCTTACGAAAAGGATATTCTCTCTGTCTCGTCACTGGAAGCAAACATTCCTCTCTAGCGAGGAATGACCAGAATTTCACGAATACTTGATGAATGATAGTGAAATTTCGAGCCAGTGATAATGCATATTCGCCAGCGGCGACACAAAAAAACAGATGAATCACAGCAGCGCAGCTTTTCGAGAAAGTCGTCTGTTATGGCAGAGGCCGACATTCTTCCCACTGACATCTTGTTGACCGTGCCAGTTGTCCCCGATCTCACCGGCATTTTCAAGGCGAGGTGGGCAGTTATCAATGTTCTTCACCTTCCCAAAATGCTCGAAACATCACTCTAAATGCCAGGAGGTGAACGATCCGTAGTCCATGCCCAATGAAGGTAAACGTAAGCGACCAAACATGATCAACATCATCTCTTTTTGTGATTGGGTCAGCTGATTGAGTGTCTCCGCGCGACTGTCCATGCTCTACTTTCGCATCCAGCCTCTTGATCTCGAGCGAGTCGCTGCTACCGTGCATCGCATGGGGCTCGGAGATTGTTGGGCTGAAAACAGCATGGAGACTCATGGACCCAGTGGCGACGACGGACCGTACCCACTGTGGATCTCATGAGCCATAACCCCGTCTCTGACATGGCCTCATGCTGTAAACGAGTGATCAAGCACTCACCCTGTAGAACTGACTTTCTAGAGATCCAACTCCTGCGATAGAGTCGTCCGCCGGCCGCGTTGTGAGAAACGACGCAGTACATCCCACCCACCTAACATAATCCAATCGCATCCACGAGTCGCCGTGTCTAGGATTTCAGACGAGAAACACATCACGCCACGAACGACATTTCCACACCGTTCTGGATGCACGGCGGAACGTGCCTCTACAGCAACGGCCATCAAGAGCGGCAAAGCAGTGGCCGAGGGATTTTCGCGCTCAGAGATGAACTTGACCGCAACGAGACCCTTCCGAGCAAGAAACGATGGATACCATCGACCGAGGGATCCGCACAGTCGTGGTTGTCGAGGTCCACATTCGCATTCTAGTGCAAACTGATGCGATCCGATAGCACTTTCCGGCGATGGAGGGGTCATCCCACCAGCGCACGACATCGTCCTTGCTCTCTCTTACCTGATTTCAGTTCTTCGACGTTGGTCATCTGGTTGCGTGCTCTGCTGGAAGAGAGGAAGAATCAAACTAAGGAAAGTACCATACCGTCTGCCGTTTATTCGAACGATCGCTTATTGAGTGACTGCGCGCACTGTGCAGCTGCTTGAATAGCTCTTCTATCACCTCGTGTGGTGGAGTGGCGGTGGCCAAATGCGGGGGACTCATCGTCGTGTTCGGTGCATCACCGCTTACCTCAATGGAGACGGCGCTCGGACATCCTGTCAGAGTTTATTGAGTAGCTGACCCACTGACTGTCACAGCATCCGTTGATGCAGGCCTGGCACGGCGTGTGCGTTCCTGGCTTCAACGGTCAGACAACGCGGATCCCTCCCCGAATTTTGGTCCTTGGATGTTCCGGTCTTGGCAGATGACCACACACCGTCAGCACGTACGTCGGTGAAACTACCAAGTATCGGATACTGTAATGGACGCGTTTCTCCGTCTGGACCCAGTCGATTGCACGCGTGTGCTGTGATTTTCGGCTTCGAGTACCGGGTCCAGGCCGTCGCAAAGCTCTCTCTTTGATCCATTTTACGGTTCAACAGTACGACCGCTCCGTCTGTCCCGTGCACATCGCTCGCGAGGCCGCACTGAAACTCCGGCCACTGGGACCCTCGCTTCCGCCTCTTCCTTGATGCAACCACGCTCGGGTCGTCGTGCAGTGCCGCGTGAGCTTCTGACCCGGCAAACATCGGTCCGGGAGTTCCGACTCCAGTTTCGCATCTCAAAACAATCAATGACGCTTTCTCCGCTCTCCAGCATTCTGAAGGAGAGCTCCGGAACGTGTCTGCTGTGCAAGTATAGGTTCAACGTGTCCACCGTCTCACGGGATCGTTATCCGGTGTTCATTCAAAGGGAAGTACTGCTCAACGCACGGAGAGGCTTCTCGTTGAATTTGACGGAAATTCCCGCTGCACGCGGCGATACCGCTGTGAAGCGAATACAGAAAAGTTTGTCTGGTCGACGATCTGTTATTTATCTTATCTCTGACCAGGATCGTTGCGCTCAGTCCTAATAAGCACATTCATATTTATTGGTCGTCTGCTTCTGCGATCGGATATTGGCGCTCAGTCTCTGGCGCACAGCGGAGCTTGTCGCCCCGCCAGGAATGGGCAGCTTTATGACCCTCGGGCCGGCGGATGGCCTGCACAGGGAGGCGTGCGGCCTTCGCGGTAGAACCAGGGAGTGGAGCAGAACGCGCTGGGGGCTATGTAGCCGAGGAAGGAGATGAGCTCGGGTAGCAGGTAGAGAGCGTGTCTTCACCGCGAACAGGCTCAGCTCAGTGTATGCACCGGTGTTGATCATGAAATTCGGCATCTTTCACAGGTCTGCGGTCGATCGTTTTGTGTCCGGATACCCTGTCTCTAACCACTGGGAAAAGCTTTGGAGTACTGTTCCTAGATGTCTCATAGCTCTCGAGTTCTGACCTACGTTACATTGACTGCCCGATTGAGTTTGAGAGTTCGGAGACAGTACGGGAAAAGGCGACGGCTACATGGAGAAAAAGAGGCTCTCTCCGTGCTTGAAGAATGACTAGTGGGCGACCATAGGCAATCGACACAATAATAACGATCCAATGTCTGTAGTGCCATCCATACGCAGCGTCATCCCGCTCTCAGCATCCTGCTCGACACCATCGAAGTACTCTGCCGCACCGCAGAGGTTCAAGACCCTCGAAAAAGCTGCGTGAATTTCGAGAAGCTGCGGGTTGGGTGGGTCGATTCCTTCAACTTGCCGGAATCGCACATCCGTCGAGACTCTTCCATTACTGAATCTTCTGCCACTCTGGACTGTTCGGGCTTGATACTTGTCTGGGGAATTCGGGTACTGCGGCGACATAAGTCAGGGTTAGCTGAAAACTGCAAAAAAAGCTACCGTGTGCTTTTCCAGATAGAAACGAAACCTAGCAAAAGAATGGTGCTCTTCGGCTGTCATGAAGATGGCGTTCATAGGCGAGTTGATTTTTGATCCAAAAAGCTTCTTGAAGTCAAGGTTCGTCCATGACTGGAGCATATCCCGCGTCTGAGCAGGATCCTTCTGCAGAGGAACGTCGAAGGACACGCGAGAAGTCGGTGACGGTATAACGCACAATTTGCGGGTGGACACCCGGTGGGTCGTCGAGGTCGTTGAGCAGGAACGGTAGGACGTGTGCCACTTGCATCCGCAGCTGCGGGACATCAGGTATCTCCTGTCCACGGCCTTGTTGTAACAGCTCCGTGACAAAACTCCGGTCGAATGCCTCAGTAATTGCACAGCGATGTTGCTCGCGGTCTGCAATCTTTACACGGCGATGTGAACATACCGAAGGTCAAGAAAAAAAATTGTCTGCATACGAGGTCTCTGAGTTCTGCATGTCCCTTGTCAATGGTTGGGGTCTGGCTGCTGGCAGGCTCAGTCCTGAAAGCCCGAGCGATGGTCAGCACTAGGGACATAAGCTCACTTGGTAAGAAGAAGAATGCTAAGACGAACTTGGTAGGAAGAGGTAATCCAACCACGCTTTAGCAACGTCGATCACCGCGTGCGTTCCTTTTTCGTGCGCGAGAGAAAGGGCGACGGCCACATACCGCTGTCCGCACGGATCCGGCGCTTCTTCAAGCATACCCACCAGCAGATCGTCGAGACGAAAACGTGTGTCAGACTGGCGGAGAACGGTTTTCCTGGGGCGTAGGACGTTGTCGAGCACATCACGGACGAGTTCGACGGTGGGGAGCTCGTCGTTGTCGTAGACGTCCCAGAATCTATCGGATGTGCAGGTCAAGACGGTGCACGTCGAAACAGGGGAGACTGTTCGCCGATTGGACATGATGATTTCAGCAAAGGGTGCCGCGCCCCTAACGTCGCACTCACAGCCACTCATGCGTTATCTGGATCTGTGATTGGCCGAAGCCCCCACGTGCTCCCGCCTCGATTACGTGGACGCAATGACCGGTGATGTTACTTGTACTGCGAAACACACAACGTATGGAAGGATGCTGGAAGAGGGGCACTGCGAACATCGAGGGCGGCGGCTTGCAAGGGAATGAGAGTTTCGTGAGAGCCGAGGGTCTTCGTGTGTTGATGACTCGAACCCGTTCCTCAGCCTCATCCCTGATCTACTCCAGCTTTACAGAGCACCCAGCACCTCTGGTGCGCCGTCGAGTTCCGCTCTCTCCACAGTCGATGCTGCAGTGCCCGATTCTGTGACGGAATTGTGCGCCCCAAGATCCCTACCACTGACATGAGACGAGTACAGCACCGCCACCAATCTTTCCCTTGTCGCACGCACGTAGTAAGCATCGGCAAGAATAACTAACGAACCTCTGAGCCATGAACAAGTCTCGCCAAGAATCATATACTTCCGACGGTCCGACCTCGCCTTCTCCTCGAATCGCCGCTTTCACCTCGGGAATGACGTCAACAACGAGCGATCCTGTGGCAGAAACTGGGCGTGCCAGCAGATGCCCGGCTTGGCACACACCAGTAGCACAGGACATCGTTCTACTTATCTCGCATAACGCTCTCGGCGGCCACGGGCTGACGCACGCGTTCCTGCGCATTCCGGATGACGACGACTCGGCGGAGATTGGGTGGATCATAAACGTTCGCGGAGATGCGGCCGTCGTGCCGGCAGACGTGTGGTCAGAGCTGAATGTGGCGGTGAGTGCGGCGAGAGCAGAGGTCCGCGCAGGTCGAGGCGGGTCGTACAGCCGACCGCGATATGTGCGTAATATACACAATCGATCCTCTCAGACCATTCGTCTAACGAATGCCCCGCAGGGCTCATGCCCGACGGACGAGTTCTTCGAGATGGGGCCGGCGGATGCACCAAATTCGTTCGCCAAGTTTAGTTTGAGTGGACACATGATCGAACTTGGAGAGGATGCGCGCATTCAGTATTATGCCGATTCTTTGGCAGCGCACCTCCCAGTATCACTTGAATCTATTCCCGCCGCATTTACAGAGGTGCATCCTGAACTTTTCGTTGTTCAAAAACTCAACTATGGAGAATTGACGGTAAATTTACAGCTTAAGAAGCTGAGTCACCAGATCTGCAAGCGATTATCGCCATCAGGACTCGAACAAGGTGTGCTCTCTGTTTAACAGTTTTATCGAGCCTATCCCGATTACCAACCTTCACTCAGATTCTGCTCAACCCAACACTCTCGCCGTGGCCCAGGTGCTAAACCAGATGACAACAATCGTTCGACAAAGAAACCTTCTCAAGGCCCATTTCCTTTCACGAGCAGAGTCGCCCGGGGTGATGGAAAGATTGGGTCGACTATTCTTTGTGAACAAATGATCTCTGAACTTGAAAGCTCACTCCAGCAAATGTGCTAGTTGTTGAGCCTTCGTTTCTGCTATGAGCTACTGTACATAAGTCTCTTATTGAGATCTGAGCCGTTACAGGCAAGTGATCCCCGACGTATTAGGTGTTGAGCACTGGGGAGAGTGTCTAGCAGCTCACCTGTGTGAGTGAGAGCTTAGTGTGGGCACTATGCGGGAGTAGTCAAGAGACTTATATTAAAGGGTAATAGAGCCCTCCTTATATATGATACAGGGGGCCGTTTGTGTCTATTTGGGACGAGTCGATATGACTCTAGATGACACGTGATGGAGTCATAGATGTGTATCACAACATCCATCTTGACAGATGATATTTGATCAACACTCCCCCACGCTGAAAACCACGGGATAGTGTTTGAAAGCGAAATCTTCATCGGCCATTCCTTCAGGACGAGTTGAACTCAAGTCCTAGTTGAGATCTGAACTTCTCGAACTTGATGCGTCCTAGGTTCTTGGTGAACATATCTGCAGGATTCTCACTGCCCGGAATAAAGAACAGTTCAACCTCTTCTTCCTCGACTTGCTCACGAATGTAGTGATAGCGGATGTCTATGTGTTTCATCCTGCGGTCTCAGTAGGCATTGCTGCCACTGAAGAGTGCACCCTGATTGTCACCGCAAATGGGTACTGGGATGGTGAGCTTGAACTGGAGTTCCGAAAGGACGCTCTTCAGCCACATCACCTGGCGACTACAATCTGAGATCGCCATGTACTCTGCTTCGGTCGAAGACTGCGCAACAGTACGCTGAAGTCTAGACTGCCAGCAAATAATCCCGTCTGCCAATTTCGTGAAGAAACCAGTGGTAGACCTCCTCTTGATCGGATCAGCAGCCCAGTCTGAATCGCTAAATGCAATTAGCCCTCTATCTGTCGCACCATTGAAAATGAGCGAATAATTCCTAGTACCAGCCAAATAGCGGCAGATATACAGCGCTTTATGGAGGTGGTCTTGGGACGGATTGGCGGCAAATTGTGACAATTTGGTCACAGCAAATGCAATGTCAGGACGTGTGCCTAGCATGATGAAGAGAAGAGATCCAATTACTGATTGGAATTTCTTCCTGAGCTCAGGATCGACTTCATCCTTGTTTGGCATTGGAACATATCCAGCCGGTAGAGGGGTGGCTGCGAACTTGGCGTTCTGCATCCCAAAGCGCTCTAGCACCTTGTCAAGATAGGGAATCTGATCAATTTTGATCGAAGATCCTACTCTACTGAGGCGTACGCGCAAGAACTCTGGAGTATCTTCAGAATTGCGGCATTCCCATTGCTTGTTGAACTCAGCCTTGAGAAAGGCGAGGAGCTTCTTGTTCTTGGAGAAGAACAGTGCATCATCCACATAGACTATTATGACGGCTATGCTGCCATCAGAGTCCTTGTAGAAGAACACGCCGGCATCCGATGTTAGTCGGATCCAGCCCATGGCTTTCGTGGACTTGGTCAGCGCTTTCCACCATGCTAAAGCAGCTTGTTTGAGTCCATAGATTGCCTTGTGCAAGCGCATGACTTTGCGCTCTTGGCCTCTCGCCACAAAGCCTTCGGGTTGTTCCATGTAGACCTCTTCGTCAAGCTCTCCATAGAGAAAAGCCTTACTGACGTCGAGTCCAGACCAATGCCAATCATTTAGCGCTGCAAGCGCCATGACCAACCGGAACGTCTCATACCTGACAACAGGAGAGAATATCTTGTCATAGTCAACACCTTCGACTTGACTGAAACCCTTGGCAACTAGGCGGGCACGTTTTCGGCCATCAGATTTTTGGTCAAAGACCCAGCGACATCTGATAACCTTCTGTCCTTTCGGACGGTCCACAAGGGAATAGACCTTGCGCTGACGAAGTGCCTCTAACTCGTCGCGGCAAGCATCAATCCAACCTTTCTGTTGTTCAGAAGGCAACCGCTTGATATCGCAGAACGTCCAATCGCGAATTTTGGACGTATCAGGTAGGTTCTCATTTGGAACCGCTTTTGACAGCAGCGCCGTGATGAGCTCTACTCCCCCTTCCCGGCATAGCTTCTCCATGCGTGCATCCTCGTCTAGATCATCAGAAGCACCCGCGTTTGAGGAATCTGGTTGCAAGCTAGGGCCGGGAACCCCTGCATCAGCACTGGTTGATGGTTGAGATTGGGAGCTACCCTTATCTTCACCAACATACCGCTTCTAGCCTCTGCTGTTCTGAATATCACGGACTATGTCCGTAGGGTTACGCTTTTCCCCATAGACGTTTCCTGGACGTGTAGGCACATTCCGCTGGCGTGAAGACCTTCGAGGCTCAGGAGCTGGTGAAGCTGCCCGACTTGGTCGTGGAATTCTACTCCTACGAGACCTCTGAGGTTCATCCCGACGCTCTGGCGGTGGGTCCTGACGATTATGACCGTCGTCACCATCATCATTTCCTCGTACGGGAGGTGGTGGAGCCGAATCAGATGGCATAGGAAATGGAAACGGATTATCTCCATATAGCCAATCTTCTCCGTCTACCTGTGGTGGATCTTGTGGATTCACTGGGTCATCACGTTCTGGAAATTCCTCTCCAACTGGAACGTGGGGTGGTCAATTGCTGTCAGGACAGCGGGGGAACAACTCCTCATCGAACAATGCCTTGGTGGCGACGAACGTGGAATTGTTTGTGCGCATGAATAAAAATCCTTTCACACCATCAGGAATGCCCAAGTAGGTCATCAGCTCCGATTTGGTCGATAACTTGTTGGCGCGCTTCTCATCAGGGATAAAGACGTATGCAGCACTACCAAAGACTCGGAGTTCGGAAACATCCGGTTTTTCCTTGTGAAGGGCTTCAAATGGAGTTTTCCATTTTAGACGCCTGATAGGTGTCATATTGTAGATCCGTGTCGCATGTTTTATCGCGAATTCCCAATATGAATTAGGAAGACAGGCAGTGAAGCGCATGGCTTCTGCCTTATCCATGATCGTACGATTGAAGCGCTCGGCATGCCCATTCTGCTGATGAGCATATGGAGCACCCTTCTCCACTAGAATTCCTTGTTCCGCGAGAAATTCTTCCATTCCCATCCCCATGAATTCTCCCCCATTGTCAATATGCCACTTTTTGATGGTGACATTAAACTGGTTTTTGACCATCGCAATGAAGTTGTGCATAGCCTGCTTGGCGTCGGATTTCTGCGCAAGGCATACTGTCCAGCCATAGGAGAGTGCTTCGTCAAAGAAGCTCATGAAGTAACGGTACTTGTGATAAGACACCGTGGGAAATTGTTTGAGATCCGAGTGGATCAAATCAAACAGATTCTCCGCTCGTTTTTCGGAAGGCGGGAAGGCACGTTGGTGCATTTTCCCTTGTTCGCATCCTTTACACGGTCGGGTTTCCTCGGGAAATACTAGGTCTTCTGGAAAGCCCTTGGTATTCTTTTTTGCCTGACGTAAAACGTCTTTTGACGGATGTGCAAATCGCCGGTGCATGATCTCATAATCCACCTTGTAAACAGTGGACATGGATCGCACTGTCTCAGCCGTGCTAGGCTTCGACATCAGGAAGTACAAGGCAATGTCCTTCCCTAGAGTTCTAAACTCCATGATCGAGAGTGGGGACTTCCCTCGATGTAAGCTGATCCGCGATTCGTCTCCACGAACGTGAGATCCTCCTTTGAGTAAGGAGCCCAAAGACATGAGACGACCATGTAATCCTGGCACTAGGTACACTGGATATATCTGAGAAGTCACCATAGTCTTTTCTCCATGCCTTGTGACATAATGATCGATGAAGGCTGTTCCTCGACCAATAAGGGCAACACGTGTGTTCTTATCAGCGGTCTGAGCAACAATAGGATCTGAGAGCTTCTCATATCCAACCAGATCACTAATCTCTGATGTCACATGGAGAGATGCACCAGAATCGAGAAGCCATAGAGGCCCTAATTCATGATGATGATGTTTCCCCTTACACTTAGAGCAGGCAGCAAAATCGGAGTGCACACAGAATAAATTTGTACAAAAATCATGTGATCAAATCATCAACGAATTAAGTACAGAACCTGGGGCGGCGGTGATTACTCGCTCTGGCTGTGAGCAACAATCAGAATTGTGCATATGCCCAAGAAGGCAGGGTACTTGCCTTTCGGCGGAAGGAGCGTCCATCTCCTCCAGAAGGGTGTTGAAGTCGACGACCTCATCCCAATTGACGGGTTCAGCCTGGGCGAACTCACTATCTCCAAACAGAAGATCAAGATCGTTCTGTTGGCCGGTGGCCATCTCGACGTCGGGGATCTCCTCGATACGACTGCGTTTGGCAGGAGGACCACTATCCAGGGTGTGATTCAAGCCGGAAGCAACCGGAGATGGAGAACGCATGATTGCGTCCTCGCGGAGCATTCCTTTCTCATTGACAATCTTGTCAAGAGTCCGGAAGCGTTCTGCGGTCACCGTCACATCCATCTTCTTGGCCAGCTCGAAGACCTTAGGAGTAGGTTTCTGGAACTCGGTGTCAATAATCCCATTGTTGTTAACGGGAGACTTCTCTTGAACCGCGCGGATTTTGGGTCCATTGCGAGAGATGTGCGTGACATGCGAGATCGTCGGCGCAGGGATGGACGGAGTGAGCAAGGCGATCAAACCGATAGTGAGGGAGCCAGTGATCTCAGAGACTCCATGGACATGACTGTGATCAGCCTTGCCCTTGCCCTTGTTGTCCTTGTTCTTCCCACTGTGCTTGCCTCGACGGTTCTTCTTCTTTCCATCAGCCTTATCACCCTTATCGGGGGCAGAGCCAGAGCCCTGTTGCTGATTGGTGAACAAAGGGTCATCGCGCTTGCGCTTGGTATTGAACTTGGCCACATGATTCTGGCTTTGAGACTGCTTCTGAGCGAAATGCGTCAAGAGAGCGTCGCGAACCACTGAGACCTTAATCTCGTCCTTGTCATAAGTCTGTAGAACAGTCTCCGTGACAGAGGGAATCCGGGCTATGCTGAGAATGATCATCGCTCTGAGGAACTCAGGAATGATCAAAGACTCATTCTCCAGGCGAGTGAACGCCGTAGTGATCACCAGCAGCTGTGGATCCGGGTGCAACCCCACGTTGTACTTGGAGTTCAACGCGGCTTGGAAGTACGCGTACAGGTCGGCGCACTGAGCACCACCATATTGGGTCTTCAGATGCTCCCAGATCTTGGCAGCTGACACTATTTCGGCGGCAGGAATGTTAGCAATGACACCTTCAGTCAGGCGCAACTTAATGCTGCCTTTGGCCCTGAGGTCGTCATGCTTCCACTGCTTGATTTCCGATTTATTGGTCACAGAGCCATCAGATGCTTTGACTTCGGTTGGCACGGTTTCGGTCAGCACATATGAGATCCCCTGATGCTCCAGATAGGACTCCATAGTTCCGGACCAGACAAGCCAGTGCTTTCCATCAAAGATGGAGACAGCATTGAAGATGTTGTTGGAGTTGGACGACATGTTAGATCTGTGTGAGTGATCAGCATCAATCTAATCTGATAGATAAAATCAAAGATAAAGATGATCAGATCCTCATAGATCATAATCTCCTTCAGAGATCGATGCATCTGGATCAAGCGATGTAATCGCGATCCGGCATGGTTTCACCAGCGCTATGCAGCAGCTGAAGTGAATGCAGATAGGCTAAAGATGCTGCTCATCGTTGCAGCCAGTGACGGCGCATACAATGAATGTCGCGGCCACTGAGGCGCAGACATAGCTCTCGGGGCCCATAACCTGTTGAGCACTGGGGAGAGCGTCTAGCAGCTCACCTGTGTGAGTGAGAGCTTAGTGTGGGCACTATGCGGGAGTAGTCAAGAGACTTATATTAAAGGGTAATAGAGCCCTCCTTATATATGATACAGGGGGCCGTTTGTGTCTATTTGGGACGAGTCGATATGACTCTAGATGACACGTGATGGAGTCATAGATGTGTATCACAACATCCATCTTGACAGATGATATTTGATCAACATTAGGTACACCAACCGTGGTTTAACTACTCTCAGTGTGGCATAAGCCTTGGCACAACGGAGAACAAATCGGTAATTGATGGCATCAGAGACCTTGGATGTACTCAGAAAGATGATTACTAGAAAGTGTTGGCTCCGCCAACATCATGCCTTGCTCACCAATTCAATCCATATAATCCAATTGATACACAATAAAACAAATAAAATACCAGTGCAGCTGTAACTAAGCGCCAGACGCTCTCATCTTCTTCCTCTTTGGGCTCTTGTCCAGGTCAGGCACCACCAGCAGAGACCAGATGAGGCAAGACAACATCATGCGGTGTAAGCGCTTGTGTTTGCAGTGGTGGAATGTGGAGCAGTGTGGTTAGAGAGTGACATGAATGGAAACAAAAACAGCCCACAGGTGGGTGCTCAAAAGAGAGTCATCATTGTGCATGGAACTATAAATTACACTGTTTTGAATGCCAGCCATGGTGGGGAGCGTATGAAAAGAAGAGTAAAGAGTGAATGAGAGCACAACAGACGCGTACATACATAGAAGGGGAAGCATCATTGGTAACGTGACCTGATCGGATCAAGATACGGAACTATTGCATCTGATTTGTAGAATATAGGGTCTGGAGAGTGCCTTGACAAGCAAGGCAATGCTTGCCGAAAGGAGGCAAAAACAACGTGGGTTTGGAGAACACGATAATTCAAATCGTTAAATGTAGCGGTACTCCTTGGACACCGCCCATATCACCGCGGGGGGACTTATTTTTTTCCGTGGAAAATGCGTGACAATCTAGAAGTCCAATTTTCACCGTTATGTTATCAGACGAAAGATATGTATTGAAAATAGACACCGATTTACAGTTTGATTTTTACCATGAACAGACATCTATTCCTCCCAAAAACAGAACTGTAAATAGATCATCTTTTATTTGATCAATTCCCACTGGGAATAGACTTCAATTTTCACTGAAAATAGAGACAAAGAAAAGATGATTTTTTTCACTGAAAACAGATTAAAACCACTGGAAGAATCTGTTGATTCTGGCCCCAATTTGCATCCCTGGCCTTGCAAAAGGCTACTGGATGCTACTCACAACATGTTGGAATCATGCTGCAGGACTTGTGATGTGAATTGGGGCCGGAATCAACAGATTCTTCCAGTGGTTTTAATCTGTTTTCAGTGAAAAAAGATCATCTTTTCTTTGTCTCTATTTTCAGTGAAAATCGACGTCTATTCCTAGTGGGAATCGATCAAAAAAAAGATGATCTATTTGCACTTCTGTTTTCGAGAGGAATAGATGTCTATTCATGGTAAAAATTGAGCTGTAAATCGACGTCTATTTTCAATATATATTTTTTGTCTGAAAACATAACGGTGAAAATCGGAATTCTAGATTGTCACGCATTTTCCACAGAAAAAAATTCAGTCCCCCCGCAGTGTATACGATACATGTTTGAACATGAAAAGAATCATCCAAACTGACAGTTGACGCCGGCAATCACCGATACCATTCCTGGTGTGATGTCCGTCAACTGTCACTGCAATAGGCCCTCTCATGAATTTAGCTTCTTCCATCGCAGGGTTGGACACTAGTGGTGTGGCCGAACTCTCGCCGCAGTACTCAGAGCTGTACATATACTCCACCCCACACGTCATGCATCCTGCTGCTGCTGCTACTGCTCCTCACACGCTCAGATGAACGACTCTCGAAACCCGCGCGCCATGGATGCTGAGCCGTCTCGCACCGCGCTCCAGTCCCACGTAGCGTTCTTCGATCCAGACTCTGATGGGATCATCTGGCCTTTGGACACGTACGTGACGTGTCCCGGGCCCCGCGTCGCTCGAGTCCATCGCTGACGACGGGATGCGACATCTCCAGCTACCGCGGTTTCAGACAGATAGGAAGCGGGATTTTGTTCTCTGCTCTGTGTATGGTGGTAATCCACTCTGGTTTCTCGTGCGTACATCCTGTGGCGCCCACTGGGGACATACCTATCCAGCTGACCACGCCTTCTGCTTCGCCAGTTGGCTCACGTCCAGGTTCCCGGACCCTCTTTTCCGTATTCCCATCTCGAACATCCACAAGGTCTGATATGCTGGTTCCCACTCCCCACGTCGCCCGCTCACTAAGGACACAACGGTAGGCTATCCACGGCTCCGACACCGGGTCCTATACGCAGACCGGAGACTTGGATTTGCACCGCTTCGACACGGTGTGGGAGCACAACACTCAGCCCCCGCACACACACATGTCGTTCAGCGAAGGCGTGCGCATGGTCCGGGGGGACCGCAACCCCTTCGATGTCGTGCGTGCCACTCGTCCATAATGCTTTCGGATCGACTTCGCCTGATGTTCGCCCCCCAGTTCGGATGGCTCGCGGCTGCGTTTGAATGGGGCTCCACCTTTGTCGTTCTCTCGCCACGGGACGGCCGGATCTCCAAACAGGATGTCCAGGCCATCTTGGATGTGAGTTCGGTGCCATCTTGTTGGCAGCTTGTTTAACAGCAATCTTTGGTGCAGGGTTCGCTATTCCAGCAACTGGCGAAGAGAACTCAAGACAAGAAAGCTCCCGCCGTCAAGATAACTAAGAAGGAGTAGCGGTCGGGGGTTTAAACAGAGGGGTGACTGGGGACAGCTGTAGGAGGGCACAAGCATCGTCAAGCTTTCGCCCTCACCCTATGTGCTCTATCCTACGATGACTTCTCCGTCGGGTTCACTTCAGCTGCAATGGACTTGCTTCATGCCCATCGTATTAACCTTCGAACCCCTCTTCGTCGGTGTAAACCGTCTCCAGGCCCGATGTTGATCGTTCGCCAAATCAGCCAGCCTTGTATCCACAAATACTGGCAGCACTGCCGAAGGTTATGGGGCGGAATTAGGTGTCCTCGGCGGAGTTGTGTGCGTATTGAGTGAGGTGCTACTTCCCATGGCATCAGGGGCTTCTGTGTCGGTGCTCGTGGATGAGAATGACGCTGAAGGGTGTCTCCGTTCATATCCATGGTTCTGTGATGAGCACCAGCGCCATTCGCGAGCCAAGCGTGCGTGGAGAAGGACGAAAGCAGTGCCCATTGTTTCCATTGGCTGTGAGAAACTTGTTGGTTGTTGCAGCAGGACAAATCTTCTCGTCGCACCGAAGGCGGGTTGTGGCCAGGACACAGAGTTCGGACGCGGATATCTATCGTAATTCCTTGCACAACAGGTTCATGTGACTCTTCAGTCTCCCATGTGCTTTCACATCCAGAGCACAGCACCTATTCATGATCTAAATCCTTGCGGACTGGCCCGTCGGGGCTCTTTTCCAGCTTTGGCAAGAAGATCGGACATGAGTTCTTTCCCATATCATGTTAGATGACTCAAGTAACATTCCATCAATGTTTCAAATTGTCTCCGCGGCCCCCAGCGACTGAGGAAACGCACATAGCTAGAGCGTTGAATGAAATCGATTGGAGCAGAGACTTCGCACGTGATAAGTCCCTGGTGCAAGCGGCCAGCCTCAGTCCATCAAGTACAGTCACAATACACTGTAAAGGACAGAATGTGAAGACTTTACTATTCATAAAGTACCAGATATGACCGATGTCCAGTCCGTTTCCTTCCACATCGCATGAGACAGCCGATAAATAACGTTATGTGCAGAGGTGTTTCAGCTAAACAGAATCTCCAAGGGAACTTTAGAAAGCAGAAGCCTGGGGAAAGGCGTCTCTCTATCAGCGTGCGCGCGGCTTGAGCAGCAACGGATCGTCCTCGCCGTCATCCTCCTCTTCCATAGCAATCTCCCGAGGGGAAGTAATCGAACGCGGCTTCCGGCTTTTGCTGGCGTTAGTGGCATCGGCACGGAAGAGGACTGGAGCAGGCATCAGCCCCGCGCTCGTCGGCCGTGCAAGCAGGTCGAGTTCATCGAACTCGAACGAGTCCTCGAGTGGCGTGTGGCGGCGTGAAACGACGGGAGAAGGCGGATCAGCCACCGCCCAGCCTTCGCTGCACATGTGGTCAATCTCCTCGTCTTCACTGGCTTCGCCGATGGCTGTGGTGCCTGGCGTGACGGCGGAGCTGGAGCTGCGCGCTCGAGTGGGAGGCCCGATGACAGTTCCACTGCGGGTGCGGCGAGGGGGAGCGACCGTGGTGGGGATGGCGGTCTTGAAGTCCGAAGCGCGAATGGTGCCACGGCGATCTCGACCTTTGACGGCCGGACGAACTCCGTCGTGTTCCTCCGCCGGCGTCGAGCTGTCGAGAGAGCGCGTACGATTGAGAACAACGCGGTTCTTGGTGGCAGTCCCTAGTACAACGTGCGTGTCAGAGTTCTCTCGAACAAAATGCAAATACACCCACCAAGAGCCATATCATCGAACATCTGCTTCAGATCCATCTCTGTGCGTGCCCTCTTCTCTCCAAAACCGGGAGGCCCCAATCCCAATTCCAGCGACAACTCATCGTACATGTCGACGTCTTCGCTACCGGGCCCCGGACTGTACGGGACCAGCGGCGGCCGATCCCATTCTTGCGAAGTGGGCGGTGATACGATGCTGTCGCTCAACCACGGACTGCGTGTTCGGGCAGGAAGGTCTTTCATCCCTGGATGCGACTGGGGTGTGATGTCGTCATCCTCGTCCATCTCATCGCCCTCGACATCCATGTCCATATCCACATTCTGGCCTAGCATATATGCGCGTTGATCGCGAGCAGGAGTCGAGATGCCTTGCGCGTCGGCGAAGAACCCTTCCTCCGAGTCGGAGCCTGAGTCGCCGTAGAAGGACATGGATGACGGTGGACGATTGAAGTCGATGTGAGCCGTCGCAGAAGGCAGAAAGAACGGCGTTTCGGCAGCTGGATTGAAGTGATAGTCGAAGCTGGAGTTGGCATGCACGCTCCATCGCGGAGGGCTTGGTGCCGATGGGCGACGGGTGCGAAGCAGGGGAGAGTATAAAGAGTCATCGGTGAAGGGCCGCACAGGTGAATTGGCAGTGCTCGAACTATGAGGGATATTGGGATTATAGTTCGTATCAGAGAGTGTACGTTTGAGAGACTTCTTTTGCATTGAATTGGCGACAGTCGTGGTAGGCTTGCTGTTATTCTGAGGAGACGACGTCACAGATCCAGGACGACTGTTGAAAGGACTGTCAAGCGCGCCGCCTTTCTTCTTCATTTTCTTCTTGACCGGCTCACGAACAGCATTCTCCTTCAGTTTATGCGAGGCAGTACGACGGACAGGGATGGGAGGAGACGAAGGGTGAGGGGACGATGGACGGGAAGACTTGAGCTTGAACACTTGCCCTTCAGTGAGGGCGGATGGCAGAGGTGTTTCAAATTGAGACCGATCGGCAGGAGTAGCAGGAGGAGGACTGGGACTCATTCCTATTGAACTGAATTGAAGTTCTTCATCAGCAAGACTAGGTTTGAGTTTCTTGGACATGGATTCGGGATTTGATGAGCGACGTGCGCGTTTGCGGAGGCGGCGATGCAGTTCTTCTTTTGACGTATATTCAGAGTCGTCGAGCTGGGGAAGGGGCGAAGAGGCAGAGACGAGAGGTCGTGCAGTAGTAGAAGTGGGTTTATGCATTCTGTTGCGTTTATGGGCGTAGGTGATTTGTTTGCGAGAGCCGACAGCCATGGTGCGGTGGAAGCGATGACGATAGCAACTGGGGAGAATCAGAAAGACAGGATTCAGGAAGACAGATGGTCTACTTCGATGCAAGAAAGGATGGACGGGGCGAAAAAGCAAAGGATGTAGATTGACGTCGCCGACGTGTCGGTCCGACGCAAGCTTCAAGATCAGCGCTCATATGCTTGTTGCTATTTGGTGGCCCCATATTCATCACACGCCTTCAAGTGGGACAACACTGCACAATTTCGAGACAGTTCTGCTATCTACGCGACATGTTCTACATGAATTGGAACGTGTTGTTTCCCATCCGCAGTTCTAGGCACCAAGGTCAAGCTGAAGCACGGCCTGACTGAATCGTCTCCTGGCGGCGAGAGGACAAAGTGTCGGACAATATCCACGACCACAATCTGAAATTGCAGTATTCTGCATGCAGGTCAGCGTGGGATTTGCAGAGTGTAGATCTGACACGAGCTTACGCGAAACGCCAGCTGCAGTGGTGAGTTGGAAGTCAGCATCCTCGGAGCCTATGATAGGACCTACCCGAGACAAGTACCAGGGCCAGCAAGGAAGCTCAATCTTTGCAGAAGGTTAGTACACCACCGCAAACCAGAATCAGTCCAACCCACAGCGAAGCATGGGGTCCAATCGCAGTCCCACTGCACGGAGATGCTTTCTCGAGCCATCTCGCAGGCCGGAAGTCCCCGGCATCCGGTCCCCACAAAGACTTCAGCCGATTATATGAAGCCAAGCTGACATAAACCAGCTGTCCTTTCTGTATCGGAATCTCCGTGACGCGTTTTCCCGTGTTCGTGACGACCTCTTGGCTCAAGGGAAGTATGCAGTCTTCAGTCGATACACGTTCTGCGAATGGAAGAGCAGCGTAGAGACGGATAGTTTCCTGGTTGGTTTCAGCCTGGGACGCACACAGCGAAGACGTGACGCACGTTGATGATAGCATTCAGGAATGGCATCGCGTCGTAGTCGACAAACTCGAGCCCCATCTCGGTTCGGCCAATCTCTGCCCGGAGCTCGCTCTGGAGCCCAGGACGTTTCGCGAGTTCGTATACAATCCAAGAGAGCGTTCCGCCCTGTGGGTATCAGTCTGAGGAGAGACGTGAGGCGTCTTCCGGACGTACCGACGTGTCAGCGCCTGCAAACAACATAGTCCGGATGTGGGTCCCGATCTCCTCGTCTGGAGCACCGGAAGTCGGGTCGGAGGGGTCAACGCGGACTAGTCAAGCATTTCGACGAGATCTCCATGGTGCATTTCACGCCACGTACTCATATCACTAAGAAAGCTCCGATCCTCTTTGAATCCCTCATCCTTGCGCTTCTGCTCAATCAACTGGAGTGCCAGATCGTCCACAAGCCGCGCATAGTCCCTGATCGTGGACATGGGCGGGAATGGAAGCCGAGTCGCAAGCCGGAAGACGGGGTCGGGGATGTATGCGAGTACAGCTTCGCCGATCAGGCTTGCTTTCGAGACACGGCTGACGGAATCTCTTTGCGAGGATTGAGCAATCGGCGGCGTGAAGATCGGTGCGCATACATCAAACTACGCTGCTTTGCAGACGTGCTTTCTCCTGCTGTTCGATCGAATGCATGCAGTGGATACTGCAGAATCACTGGATGGTACAGTCAAGCAAGCAGCGAGATGATGTATGCTAAGTGTGACACACCGTCGCCTATGCTCTCCATCGCGACATCGTGCAAGCTTCGCAATACATCCACCGTGTTGCCCGGAAACCCAAGCGCGTTCCACGCTTCGACAAGCTGAGGACGAAACAGTTAGGCATGCGCCGCGACCAAACGACATCTCACCTTTCTCGCCACTTCCCGAAGGACGGGCTGTGCCTCGCGCACACTCTTCGGCGAGAACGCCGGATTCATGAGACTGCGGAGATACCTGTGTCGATCGCCTAGCACAAAATGAGTCCGAGGTGCACGTCGCAGGAGCTGAAGGCCAGAACTACTCACCCGTCGCCAGGAAGACGGTCCCAAAGCCAAGGAGCATGTTGCCCGCCTTCTGCTGCGAGGCTCCGGACACGAAGATTGGGCTGTTGAGGATGAATCTCGCGGTGGCAGGGTCAGAGACAATCAGACGTGTCTCCTTACACCGCCAATCAGCACGAAAAGACAACTTGGAACGAGCGCGACGCGTACTCCGAAACACCCGCCGATGGCGTAGCAAGGGCCAAACGCATCCTGCCACTGGAATTCGTACTCCCCGTATTCCTTCGATAGCAGAAGCTGGAGGAGATTCCCTATGGGCGAGTTGGTGAGCTGGGCGAGGAAGCGGCGCGCTACATCCTACGAACCGAAGAGCCACGACTCGCGTTTCGGGCCCGGTATTGAATCGACTAGGCGGGGTTTCAGCGTAAATCTCCGAGCGAAAGCCCAGAAGCCAGCGATCAGCAAGCAAGAGATGAGGAGGGACATGGGTTATGATGAAGCGAAGTGGGCAAGGACCCTTCTTGACATGGGAAGAGGTGCTTTTGACATAAGTGATAAATAGAGTATATTGGCCGCTTCGGCACCCGCTCGGCGCCGCTGGAAGGACATGATCTTCAATGACGGCGCGAGGGCCCCTCAAGCAAATCCAGAGACACGCGAGAATTGGAAAGATTGCATCGATTGAAGCAGGCAAGTCGGCCATGAATGACATCGGATCAAAGTAATTGCTAGCTGCGCATCAGTGATGGCGGGCCTCGTGTCGGCATCCGCCGACTTCGCTAGGCTTTTCCTTTGCAGCCCGACTGGGCGCTCTCATTTTACACACCGCCAGCATGTTTAGCCAGAGGACTTTAAACCTTTTGGGATGTTATATCGCGCAACTGGGCCCGTACGTACTGTATATTGCTATCGTCTACTGACCGAAGGGCGAATTGAGTTTCTCTACCTCGTCGCCACAGCATACAGAAATTGTGAGATTCACTCTGCTCAGCTGCGACTTATGTAATAATTCTTCGTCAATGGCTTTCCATGATCGGAGCACAGCTTTCTCCATGAATGCTACGACCGTTCGGTCCATTGTCTCCTTCGTTGTCAGGCATCCGGGGTCTTCAGAACTGCAGGAGCTCCAGAAGACACAGCAGCCAAACCGTCTACATCCATGGCGGTTTCTCTTGGACAAAAATAGCCATCATTCATTGTTCTGCCTGTGCTTCAGACATGGCTTGGGTTCCCTTATCTGTCTGGTCAAGCGCACCTCTTTGTCCTTCATTTCCTGCCTGTCAAAGATCGTCCGGTGTAGAGATATAAAGGCGGGTCTATAGATCCAGTGCCCCATTTCCATCCCATCATCTGCTCGTCTACGACGAACCATCTCTGCACACCTGACCACAACCCTCTCACCGACTTACGACCGAACAATGTCTCACAACGTCCCACGCAACGCGCTGGCGCCTACCTCCCACCTTCCTTCCTCTCGTGTGTTACCGCCTGGCTCCATGTTTGGTTCCCTGGAGGATTTCCCCAATGAGGATATCGTCAACGATCTCCGGGCATCTCTCGGAATGCCTCACGACGATGCAAATGATTGGGGCGAGTTTTACGACGGGCGCACACTCGTCTACGAGCGCCCGCCTGCTGCTCGGCTTTCCGGCCGCAACAGCCCGTATTACGTGGAGTCCTCTTCGTGCGCTCGGCCTTTACCTCTCTTAAATCCTAGTGCTGACTCGATCACCCAGCGAATCGGAGGACGAGTCAGACTCTGAGCCCTCAGTGCCCACCAGGATTCCGCAGCCCTTGGGCCCCTCGTACCTCTTGACTCCCGCCGAAGCAATCGAGCGCGTCAAAAACCACCCACTCCCTCCCTACGCTCATTTGATTTCCCAAACATACTGGTCTCTGCTCCAGCTCGGCTGCACCGTCAACCCCAACGATGCGTCGCTCAGCTGCACCTTGAACGGCTGCCGCCACCGCTGCAAACCGAGCGACATGGAGCGCCACATCTGCAGCCACTTCGCGCCCGGTTTCCAGTGCGCGTTCTGCTCCGTCGCCTTTGCGCGAGAAGACGCCCGGGAGCGGCATGTGCGCAAGGCCCACGCGGAGGGCGACGCGCAACGGATGGCTTCAGGAAGCAGTTCTGTTGCCTCGCGCACGGTGAAGCGTCGTCGGGCCAAGGCATACGAACCGTAAGTTGCTCCAAGCTATTCAATATTCATTTCGACTCACTGTCTCTACAGCACAAGCAGCACGAGCCGGCGTACCGCCTCCAAATCAGCTCGCTCCTGAAAGAATGCATCACGACAACAATGAAAGAATCTATTTCAATATCCTTCAATTCCATTATCTACTTCTAAGTATATCTTTGACCATTGATATAATACATTCCCTTTAATACCCGCACTGGTGTGAACTTCGTCTCTTTTGACACGTCCACAAGTCTTGATAACTCCTTGAGTCTCAAGACCCTCCTGGATGCTTTTCATCTACCGATGAGATATCTCTGAGACAGCTTGTTTGCGGGTGCGGTACGAATTTGAGTCAGTCAAACATCACGCTTTAGGCACTCATGCAGACGGATCGTGGAAATCCCTTTCTTCTCCGTCCTCTGACCTTCGTTCTGGTTGATCCAAGCGCGCCGACCTGCTCGACGCCGCAGGGTCTTGGACGTGGCCATGAAGCAGCCTGTCAACGACCGGGATAGCTCCTCTTGATTATGGCCAGGTTTTGAGGATTAACAGAGATTTCAAATGCGCGGACCTCTGAGCCGCACTGCTCATCATCTACTTTATCAATATGTATCATCCTTCACTTTTTGAACCATGCATAGCACGTGTCCAAGTTCAACCGTCACGTGGTATCGCACGGTGGAATCCACAGGTAAAGAGCACACGGAAATCGGCCAGTGGCATTTAATTTAGGCTGACATATCGACTGTTACAGTCTATGCAAAGATGCGTTTGGGTATGTAACTAGGTGAGTATGCGTGAGATCGATACAAATGAGTCCGAGATGCTGTCTAGATGCGACTAAATTGTCCTCAACACGTAGATGTCAGATTATTCTTCGGCACCGGCTGCTTGAAATCATCCTTCCAAGTCGTCAAATTCGGATTCGTGTACGCCTCGAGATACCTGATGACGAGCTCAGCATGTGTCGAATCGTAGATTGTGGGGAAACCCAGCCCTCACGTGTTAATGTAATCCTGCGTCGGCCGCGCCGCGGTATCGCACCCGACGTTGATCTGGTCCGGCGGCTGGTAGACCCGGATGTAGTCGATCTTCATGACCGCGGGGAACACGAGGTTCTGGAAGTCAATGAACGAAAAGGAGTGCGAGAAGCCCAGATTGACGATGATATACTACACGTGTCTCAGGAAATCTCGAGGGACTTGAGAACATAGACACGCACCATGGGTTCTTCTGTGATGGGTCGAGGACCAATCTCGACACGGGTATCGGCAGCGAAGCCACCGCCGTTGGCGGTCCACGAGATCTTGTTGTCCGCAATCCATGTGATGTACTGCATGATAAAATGAGCTGCAGACTGTGCGAAGATGAGTGATCAACTTACCCCTTCATCGTACCCTGGACTGTATTGGAAGCCATACACGGCAAAGCAGTCATCGACTTGCTGGTAGCAGTTCTGATTCGATTCCGAAACCACAGACGAGGCCTGCTGCAAGATTCCACCCGCATAGCTGTTCAGTTGCGAGATGGTTGGATCCGGGATGATTAGATTAGCGGATGTGTTGAACCATTCGTAATAGGCATTGAATGGCTGTGGTGTGGTCAACGAAAGGAATGTGAGATAAGGGAAGCGGTGGCTTACAGCCCACTGTGCGCTCTGCGAAACGGCTCCAAAGTTGTTCGGCGACGTTCCGGCAATCTGGGCCTCGAACATATCGATTTCCGGTGCGGATCGGCCGACGTACGTCCCGTCCTCGTGCAGAGGGCCGGGATGCGATTCGCCGGAGCACGTGCATCTTGAAAGTCGTTGTCCGGGAAGGAACGACAGTTCGCCGTCGTTGGTTCCGGTGTTGGTAGCCGAGAGAGGCGCGTTGTTGAGAGTCTGGTTGGGCAGTGTCCCAACGTCGCATGCGTCATAACTGTACGGCCACATCCCATCCAGAGTCGCGCCGTAGCCAGCGCGCCCGAGATTTCCCCTAGCAAAGTAAGCAAATGAGAAGAGAGAGAGAAAAGAAACCCGCCAACTCACATAGTCCAAACAGCGGGCCACAACCCGAACACGTTGTTAAACCCTGGCAGCTGGACACTGGTCACGATGAGACCACCGGTAAAGCAGAACTTGAAACATGAATTTCGACGCCAGAAGACAATAAACCAAGACGCACTTTGTTCCAGGTCGTCATCATCCCACTGGTGTAGTTCAAATCGTGATTGATAGTCGGATCGGGCGCTTCAGACAGCGTGATGTGCAGCGAGCCGTTTTTAGTCGTTAGGGCCTTCGGGTCATACCATTCGAGATCCCCGGTGGACCAATAATGGAGGTCACCGGCCTCCCTATGATCAAATTGGTTAAACGATGACGATGCGCTATAAAAAAAAATAGAAGGTACCAGTACGGATCATCCCCGGGATAAAAGGACCTTCCGTCTTGGTTGAACTCATCGCTGAACACGAGTTGGAGCTCCTGAGACGGGTCATGGTACCCGTATATCATGTGCAGATCCTGTAGAGCGGTTAAGATGCAAGGATAGTCATCATCTCGTAACCGACGGACCTGCGGCGTATCCAAGTCAATCAATCCGAAGTTGCCCATGCTTGCCACCTGGCCTGTCGCATTGACAGTGGTGGCAACTGCCAGATTCTGCCGCGTCTTGTCGAAATGTGAAACCAGGGGATACCCTAGACTATATGCGCGCGCTGTCAGTCATACACCGATGGGCGCTAACAGGACGACAACTGACAAGAGCGCGACAATGCAGGCTGCCATAATCAACAGGCACCCCAGATTCTGCATCCCCCGACCGGTGAAGATGTTGCGCGAAGGACCGCGATCGAGGCGGGGGTCGGGATTGTGCAGCGCGTCGTCCGGCTCCGGACGGAGATCCGTCGCCCACATTGTTGGGTCGCTTGCGAGGTCAAACTAGACGGAGTCGGCTCAATAATCAAACACCATTGAGCGATGCCACGCACCTTCTCGGCCATCGAATGGGTGTCCGAGGAGCCACTAAGCAGACTGCTCCTTTGCGACGAGGCGCCGAAATGCGATTGCATCGAGCTCGGACGGCTGGCTGCGGACTGAGGGACGCTCGCTTTCGGCGGAAGGAGATTCGATGACGAGGTAGTGCGGGACGAAGACTGATAGGGAGTGGGGTACCCTGGCCCGGACCCAGGCCGCGCTTGGCCGTACATCGTGCGTAGGGTTGAAAGGGAAGAAGAGGAGAATCGTCACTAGTGGACGTGAAAGAGAAAGGCAGTGGCGGAACGTAAGAAAGCTGTGACAACGGGAATAAAGTCTATCCCAGCACCGCTCCGCAGGAACTCGAAATAGTCTCTTGGCCTTGCTTTGAACCGGCTAAAAATAGCTGTGACATCACATACACATGCTATCGATGTCTCAGATCGCTTCTGCCGGTTCGGCACGAGAGTGAGCGGTGCTAGCATCACTGTCAATCAGATATAGACTTGAGTACGAGCCTAAGCCTCATCAAAATTGACCAAAATCGGGTTGGGCTGCAAAGTGAATCGAGAGAAGTTGAGAGGCCACTAATTACTTGTAAACATGCAAAGTATTTTACACAATATGGACCAATCGATCACTTCAACTTATGAGATGAATGTCAGAAAAGGATTTTTTCCGATGGCAGTTTTTCTGGCAGATGATCTACGATGTCCGCGCTCTATATCTATTGTATGTTGCACCTCGTTCATGGTTTCGTAGTGTAGCGGTTATCACACAAGATTCTGAGACGCTTTGCGTTCTTGAGATCCCGGTTCGACTCCGGGCGAGACCTTTTGGACCTCCCCTCCGTGCAACTGCAGCCTTGTTTTGCCCACCAGGCTTGATTTTTTCTCCTTCCCTATATTTTCTTACTTGATGTTCTTTCTCACTCTTCACGGTATTGTCGATGCGCCCCTGCATGCCAATTCGCTCCCACGGCCCGTGCGCAGGTGGTTGCCAATCGGGTGATGTGTGATCCCCGTGCCGTAAGATAGCATACACTAGCACTGCCACCCATCCCACGTTCGTGGGACTGACCGAGAACGTTTATCGCACTATTCACTTAAGTGCGTCTCTCGTTCTCGAGCACCCGCAAGGGCGTTTTCGGCCTTCCCTCTCGCGCACAAGCGACAATGCTGGCACTGTCCATCGACCTCCTCCTCCTGCTCGAAGAAACACGCGTCCAGGCGTTGTCTTTCCTGGGTCTTTGCGCGGCGTACCTGCTTCTCTCGCCGTTCTGCCGCAATGTACGACAAGCTTCGTGGATCGTCACGACAATCGCAGCGGCGGTCGTCACTGCGTTTAGTCTGCCCTTTGTGTGGGACTATCTCGGGGGCAAGGGGAGCGTCAATGCGCTGTTGCCCCGCACCGCGCTCGCGGTTGGGGTCAATCGCTTCTTTCAGGTATGTGGAGAAATCCCCTCGGTCTTCATAGCGTTCTCACCTTCGGTGTAGGGCTACCTCTCATCGTGCGTGATGTTCCTGTACGGCCGTCAATTGGGCTGACTCTTGAACAGGGATCTCTTTCTCGGTGTTCTTTGCTACCGCTCGGAGGTTTCGTTCCTCACCGGATGGCTCCACCACACGATCTATCTGTTCATAACTCAGCTCGCCATTAGAGCAGACTGGGCACATCTGTTTTGCTTTGCTGCGTTCATGGAGGTCCGTTCGGCCAACCAAACCCCTACACTTTCATAAGCTGATCCGGTCGTCTGCGTAGTTCCCCACCGTGATCCTCGGCGTCGGCAGCCTCGTACCACAGATGCGCTCGAACATCCTGTTCGCTGCAACCTTCTTCGTGACCCGCATCGTGTTCCACTCTGTGCTGATATGCACCTTCGCCATGCCTCAGTACCGGCCGAGCGGGAGCTTAGTTCCGTCCGGCATCCTCGTTTCTGTGCTTCCATTACATCTTCTGTGGTTCTCGGGCTGCATCCAGGGCTTCCTTCGGCGAGCGAAGGCCCGCGCTGCCGCCCCGCTGGCTGCGCACACCGATACCAAGAAGCTTCTGGTGCACATGGCCTCCCCCCCTCCGCTTGTCAGCACCCGTCCGAATGCCCTGCACCTGCGTCGCCTGCGGGTGCGGGTGGGCCAGTGGGGCCCTCGCGCGATCCTCGAAAACGCCAAGGCCCACGTGGACAACAAGAACTGGGTCGAGGGTGTCCGGGACGGGAGCCTGATCGATGGGTTCCGAGACAGGATGCTCGAGCGGATGCGCTCGCGGCTGGCTTCGAGACGGCCTATTCGGCCTCGCGCTCTTGCCATGGGTCGGAGAGTGAGTGCCGGGCTGATCCAGGTTTTAGTTCCTGGCCGCGATGTCGTCTTGGACTACGTTGGGCTGGGTCGCCCTTCATAGCCAGCTAATTGGCTGCTAGATTATGATCCATGTCGATGTTCTGGGATGCTGGATACAGCACTTGATGTTTTCGGATAGATGTTGCCAGCGTTGACATAGATTGTAGTACCTACTGGGTACCCACTTATATCCTTTACGACCTCTGTAATGACATTCATGATCAAGTCCTTTGTAATCTCACAGATCAATGCACCTGATATCAGTTCTGATCGGATTTTGAAAATTAGTGCTTACCGAAGATCATCGATCATTCGTCGTTAACTAGGACCTTACTTTCTCGATAGTAATGTCCACGGAAGCAACTGGGAGCTCTATCTCCCACCTCAAGATTCCAAACATTTACTTCGCACGTTCCTTGACTCCCGATACGTATGGAACGATTCCAAGTTGAGACGACTCATCCATATGAATCCTGAACGACCTCGGACATCGTGCACCTCACCGCAAGCCCTCAGTCACCGTAACGGCGCATTCGATTGGTTTGAGAAGGAGATAAAGTACCCAGATGAAACGGCTCGGCGCGCACGCCCTAGGATCAGTGATTCCATTACGTATTCGGGTCTGTAATTAGTATTTGCCTTGCCTATCCTTCCTCGAGCTCGGCACTCGGACGATGTCGAGCACACGCTGTCGCCTCCGTCCCTGATTTTCTTCTCCTCCTACCAACCAGGCGCCTGTCTTCGTCGTCTCCACTGGTAACGACGCCGCCGCCGCCAGTATCGTGCTTCCCCCAGCTCATCATTATGAAACCCCCCACCGCAGCCGCGGTCGAGATATTCAAGCTCATCGAGGCGGAGCGCGCGTACGCCGTCGCCGAGGCGCACACGCAGTGCAACGCGTTTCGGGAGACCGCGATCAGGATGAACGGCGAGCTCGACACGCAGGTGCGCCAGACGAGCCTCGAGCTCGATCGGCTGGTGCAAGCGCTGTGCGCGGCAGGAATCCGGTACGAGGACGGCCGGTTCTCGTTCTCGTCGGCGTGGGGAGAGGCTGTGCCTGGGCTGAAAAGGGCTGCGTCCCGCTTTTTTGCGCCGTGCGAGGTGTTGTCGGTGCTGCAGGGTGCGAAGAAGAGTCCCCGAGAGGGGGCTGACCATGGCAACTATGGTGCAGGTGGATCTCTACCTGACCCTCGTGTGATCTTGTGTCTGAGTTTGTTTCAGATGCCATGGAGGAGGATGATTCCGAAGCGGAATGTGCTCGTCCCTTGAAAAGATTCAAGTCAGAGCCGGCCATACTGAGAACGCGAGGTACCACGGCTTCGCTCACGGGTCTCCGGTTTTACGGGCTGACATCTTCCTGTCTCAGGTCATATCTCCAAAGTCGGAAACTCGGTCATACAGATGTCTCCTGTTTGCGTTTCCGGACCGCCAGTGCTGGATCGTTGGTCGCCTGTCATCACATCGGCACCTTCATTATCGGAACCCACGCTGCTCCCTCCTGTATCCATCTTCGAAGGAGCCCACGGCTGCTCTTACTACATCTGGTTCGCCCTGCGCTTTTCGTTCCTGCACAAGCTGCGCTGCGGTGCCAGCCTCGACTGTTTCTCGCCACTCTCTCCGGCCGCCTGGCAAGCTGCGCTCAAGACGTGCCCGGCCGCTGCGGCTGAAGAAGGCTTCAAGCCGCATATGTTCGACCTCGGATCGCAGTCGCCCTGCGCTTGTGGAATGCCGCCCCTTCAGCCGGTCATCGTCGCGAGCCTCCCTAAACGAGCAGACGGATCCGCGTTCTCCGCTGTCGACTTCGCGGACCGGGCGTTCCAGCAGCTTTTGTTGGTTGATCTCGAGCTTGGGCATATGCAGATTCAGCTGGAGCAGACGGATGCCATGTTGTGTGTGTCGTCCCCGCCGGCGTCTCCGTCGTCGCCGTTGTGGCAGTCGCCGGGAGATCCAGACGCAGCGAGGACCCGTGTCAAGGAGCGACGAGCGATCTTCCGCAGTATGACATTCGGCTCGTCATTTGCTGAGGAGTCATTCGAGATGGCCGAGAGGCGAGACTGGGTGCTTCGATTCGCCAAGGTGGTGAAGAACTGGCCTGGGTATGATGCTGCTGTGGGGGCCAATGAAAGCCGGGACTTTGAGTCGCGGTTGATTCGTTTCTATCTGCAGACTGTCTGGGATACACTCGGGGTTGAGCCAGCCCGCGCGAGGCTACGCCCAATGCAGGATTCGCTGCCGGTGCTTTGTCGGCACTTGATGTCGATTGAATTCTGACTTTCTATGCATGTGCATAAGTAGCACTGGACTATCAATTACATACTAGAATTCCTGTGCTTGTGTCACAACAAATTTGTGTCTCAGAGCCTGAGTGTCCGGTCACGTGAAATTCAGGTGATCGTGTCGACTTGCACTCTTTCCACTTACGAAATCACCCTGGGGAAGTGCTGATATTTCCCAATCCGATCGAACCATCTCGCCATGGGGAACAATTCTTGTCTTGAATTGATCTAGCTGATATCTCTTAGACCCGTCAGCAGAGCTTTGCATCCTCTAGTTCCCAGTCCTGTGGTCACCGTTTCTTCATCACAGGGACCCCCAGGTGGCTCTCTAATCCGAAGGCGGCGATGTCTTGAAGGAGCTGAATCCTGTGGCACAGCATGAATTCATTTCCCCGGAAAAGTGCATCGGCCAGAGAGACGTAGCGGGGCACTGGTTCCACGAGGTGTGCAACTTATGTATTCACCTCCCACGTCGCGGCATCCAGAGCACGGGTTGAGAGCGCCACCGCGCAATGCTGTTCTGGTGACCTCGAGGCCAGTTTGACTGACTCATATAAAGGTCGCCGCTGGTCAGCAGCCGTCCCAGAGGGCAAGCCCTTTCCCAGGATATGCCCGTCGTCGATTCGCCCTCTGTCGGCGAGGCCAAGAAGAAACGGAAGTTGAAGAGGATACTGTCTTCAGCCTCGGACGTATCACAGACTGCTGTCGGCATCGGCGCAACGGCGAGTAGCGCACTCCCTCCTCTGCAATGCGCTCTCGCCGGTGTCGCCGGCGTGATTGATGTGTGCAAGGTGACCTGGCTCCTTGGGGCAGTCCATCGACGGGTGTGGTTACGTTTTTTCCAGCGTGTGACCAGCGTCAAGAAGGATGCGCGTGATGTGGCTGCGCGACTTGCGCAGACCGAGTCGCTCATCGATCAGACTGCGTTTCTGGACCCGTCCCGCCAGGCTTTGTACTGTGCGCAGCTTCCAGCTTTGGCCGAGTGAGTGGGGGCCGACGGTGCTTGATCCGTGCCGACTAGACCTAGACTGATGCGCGCGCACAGAAACAGACGTCTTTTGCGGCGCGTGGCAGATTCTAGTGGATTTGATCGGACAGTCCACTTGAACGACTTCGAGAAGACGATCAAGGATGGTAATGAGCAGTTGCGCGATGCACAGAGTATATTTCTGGTGCGCTACGGCATAAGATATCCCGCGTGACGAATTCGATCGGCTCACATGGATGCTTCTCTAGATGCTTCTGGGCCTGGGTACGCTGTCGGGCTCATGCGAGATAAAAGAAGAACGGACACAGCTTAATGTCAGTTTTGAACTGGCGAATACACCTCAAGTAGCACTCATATTCGTTTTCAGCACCACCTGTCTGAAGTGATGAATACTCTGGCCCAGTCAAACCAGATATTGACTCAAACGAACCAACGTTTGGTTGAATCCGATCGAGCTAAGGATGGCGAAATCTTGCGATTAGCGTACCAACGAAACGTGAGTTTGCGTGATACTAGGCGCCAATTGGGCGATGTTGACGACAGTGGATCTACAGTGCGCAGTTGTTTTTTTGGGTCGGCCCTGACGTGCATCCTTTCTCCAAAGGCGTGGCACACTGGCCTGAAATTTGAAAGACTGCGCTGCGTGAAGCGTATGCCGAGGCTCATCCGTCCGGCATCCGCTTCGCGCAGCCTTTTAAATTTCAGGCCAGTGTCACTACTACGCTGGGTTTGCAAGGATGACTGGACGGAAATCTTACGCTTTCCCTCCTCGCTTGATCCCAGTTGATTAAGTTTGGGCCGGAAACGTCTGAATTCTGCTCAGTGACTAGGTTCCATGGTTTCACTCATTCAATGGACGGATGAGCAGGGCTCGGCCTGGCCTCAGGGCTGGGCCAAAAAACGTCCATATGCTTCCATACGAGCAATTGTTGATCCACATACACACATATTATGCATAAAGACGGCGCTACAGGCACACAACAGGAGGGTTAGAGACAGGCCAAGATCTGGTATTACATATTTGTGGAATCACTAGATTAGCATCCGCACACCGCTTCGTTCACACTCAGAGAGGGAGCCGTCCTCCACCAGCGACACCGCCAGCCCCAGAGGCATCGCCCCCCAGGAGCCCAGCCGGCCCTGGCTGGCCGTCTTCTCGGATAGTCTCAGGGGGACCATGATGATGCTTCCGACCCCACAGGCCAGCGATGCCGCCCTTCTCAGCAGCAGCAGCGACCCGATCCTTGCTGGCACTGCGTTCCCGACTGGCGCTCGAGCTGCGGTCGCGGATGTTGCCCGCACCGCCTCGGCCCGAGCTCTCGTAGACGCCGGGGTGGTGGACGATGGTGTCGGGCGCGGGGCTGGGGGACGCCGTGAGGTTCGCTAGGCCGCCGCGGCCTGTCGAGTGTCTTGCATGGGACAATCAGAAGGATGAAACACAGTGGGGATCCGAAGACTACGCACATTCCCTCGGCGGCACCAGGTGTCCGCCCGCGCTCAAACGCCGGCGCAGGCCCGGGCGTGATATTGCCCGCGCCGCCGCGGCCGCTCGAGTGCACGACGGGGGGGAGCGCCACGGTGTGCGTCGTCGACGGGGCGAGCGTCGAGTCGGGCCCCCGCGAGCGCGAGCGGCTCATGTTCCCCGCGCCGCCGCGGCCGGTGGAGTGCACGACGGTCTGCTCGAGCTGCGAGTGCGCGCGCATGAGCTCGCGCTCGGCCGGGACGCGCACGTCCTGGTTGTCCGTGGGCTCGCGCGACGGGGAACGGAAGTTGCCCGCGCCGCCGCGGCCGGTAGAGCGGATTTCGGAGATGGACACGGGGGGCTCGCGCCCACGTGTGTCAGAGAAGTCGTCCGGCCCCGTGGTGGGGCGGTCGCGCGAGTTGGATGGTGGGCGCATGTTGCCGAGGCCACCGCGTCCAGATGAAGTCTGCGGCACGGACCAACGAGTCAGGTGAGACCGAGGAACGAAAACAGAGATTGCTGAGGACGTACGACGAACTCTCGTCCACGGGAGGTAGAGCGATCGGTCATGGTTCTGCGCAGAGAGATTGGTGGGTGAGGTATGTCAAAGAGCTCGGTGGAAGTGCAATGGGAGAGGGGTGAAAAAACAGGGGTGTTTGGATCAGCGCCATACTGGCGCTATATAACGGATCTTGACAAGTGAAAGTGGCAAGCAAAAGGTGATTCATGACGTATGGGCACAGTCCGATCAAAAGGCACGCCATCGGCCAACTTTTTCAGAACGAGCAAACAGGTGAAAGTAGCAGCCCAAGCGGGAGCAATGAATCATGGGGTACGGTCATTTGCCTGAACATTATGTGACTTTGCGTCAGCTGTTTTTTCCCCAAAGTTAAGCCCGAGTGCACTATAAAATGCCCACCGCAACACGGAGATCTGAAAACGAACGCTAACTTGTCCTAGATCCGAACGCTGACCCGCGTCTAGTCCATGGCCGGACAGTTGGACAGGCACCTGTCATCGTCGCATCAGCTGAAGGAGCTATCATGCTCCCCATGCGCATGCACTCACCGAGTCAACAATTTTTCCAAGCCTTTTCGGCACAGATCGGGAATTATCTATGATGACTCATCCCAAATGATCCGGGTTGAACTGGTTCCTGCCTACTCCTGCCTCTGATCGATAAACGTTCAGTGGGCGACCAAACGCTTTCTGACGGAGGTAAGCACGCTGGATCCATCAAATCCAGATTGCACAACATCAATTAAATGGATTGTCTGTACATCTATGTCATATGGACGACACTCCATTCCATTCACCGTCCCTCTCTCATGCAAATGGAATCCAATTTGACTATCTGATTCATCACCGAGCTTTCAGTCAATCCAATTTCAAGCGGCCCGAACACAGGCCAGACTTTGACAGCATCTTCGACGTCCTCCATCTGGTCAATGCAGCCTTGTTGATGCACACAGTGCATTGCTTTCCTCAGATTCAAAACCATTCAGGTTTGATTTGATGACCTGTCAGACTACACAGGAGGTCCAATATTCCATGGTGAGAACCCAGTAAACATCAATGTTCAAGCAATGTCAGGCCTGATCAATATGCTCTCTCTTGTGCCATGTCATGTCTACCACCAAATCTAGTTTGCAACATAGCCGAAATACAGAGGACAGAATTTCCAGCTAGAATCCTGGGGCAGAATCCCAGGTCAAGGGAGACATGGAATACAGTAGAACTGCTAATAGGAATAATTTGGGAAGGCCCAGGCCATCCCAGATTTGTATTCCTTATCACAGATATTCCATATGAGGTGTCGAATTCAGTGGTGAAGGGCAAAACGGGGTAACCAATTGTATTCCTTATGACCTATATTCCTTATCACAGTATTCCATATGAACAGTTCTACTGTACAAGAATTTAACTATCAACTTGCACCTTGAGAGTTTAGTAGGTGCTCTACGGCAAGGGTGTGTGCTGGATAAATATATCCAACGTTCGTCCATCCATTTCACAATAGCGTTCAGATTCGCATTTCTGCCAAAGATTACAACAAATGTCTACAGCACTATCCAATCCAATCACGAGCAAGCGGCATTGGTGCACGGGATGATGTTCTTCAGACTGGTCGTCGCGACGTTCATCTGGTACGGGCTCGCGCGGTTCTTCGCATGCAGGTTGACGGGAGCAGGGAGCTTGTCGACGGTCAACTTGGTGTCCAGCCCGGGGCGGAGGAGGACGGGGCGGCCGCTGACGCCCACGGCCGACACATTGGGCGCGGGGAAGTTCTGGAACTGGTACGGGTCTGTCCAACGCGTCAGAACAAGCCCTTCCGAGCTGCAGTGAGTTTCTTGGACGTACTCAATGGCCCGTTGAAGATTCCGGTCAGGTTGAAGTGCGGCACGTGGCTGGTTTTGGTGTTGGTGTATCCGATTTCCTGTGCGACGAAATCGAACACGTTGGCCACAGTCTTGTTCGTGTCCTGCCGGCCGAGAGACTGCAGATCCCAGTTCGCTTGGACAGTTGAGATGAGCGAGTAGTGCGTGTACAGGGTGGCATCCTTGGTGCCCTTCAGCTTCGCCGGGATCGCCGAGCCTGATGCTTATAAGCGGAAATAGCCTGGTAGAAAGAGTGAACCGACCCAAGGCGACGGTGTAGACCGTGTTCTGCTCGCTGTACGTCTCCGTCTCGTCGAAAGTGAGCAGAATCAGAGTCCGGTCGCCGTTGACCCGCGTGTCAGACAGCAAAGGAACAAGCCAGTAGTCCAGGAACTCAGCCGCAAAGTCGATCGTCGTGTCGTGCGCATCGTTGACCTAAGTTTCCGGGCCGTCAGATCTGAGGAGACGTTCCCAAAAAAGACAAAATCACCATATTCGGCGTGACGAACATCCACTGAGGGAGTGTTCCGTTCACCGCATCATTCGCAAAGTCGTTGAAGGACCGAATGCGCTTGACGCGCTCGGCATCGCCGGCGACCGCGTCGTAGATCATAGGCGGATTGTGCTTGCGCATGTAGTACGTGTACGGGCTGAGACCCTTGCCCAGGTAGTCCGGGGCCGTGTAGCTGTGTGCGCGCGCGCGATTGAGCCCCATGTGAACGAGCGCGCGAGATAAGGAGATAGGTAGACGGACCTGTAGCCGAAGAAGCCGTCCGTCGGGATGCTCTCCTGATACGCGGCCCACGAAACGCCCTTCTCCTCGAGCAGATCAATCACGGTCGTGATGTTGGACGGGATGTGCACGAAGGTGTCATCGCCGGCGCCGAAGAAGTCGCCGCCCATGGAGGCGATGTCTGGAGAGAGATCAAGGCATGAAATTTGTCGTAGCGATGGAGCACGCACAATTGGGCTGGGAGGGATGCGTCACGGAGTTGTAATCGGTGAACAGGATCCCCTCTTTCGCGAGCTTCTGGAAGGTGGGAGTCGCGGCAGCCGTCTGTCCTTCAACTCAGCCCCCAAAACAGCATGACTCAGTCCGGAATGCGACCCACAGCAAAGTCCGTGTTCTCAAGCCACACGATCATAATGCGATCGAACACCTTGCCTGCCACGGTCACTTTATCATCGAGCGTCGAGTTCGAAAACGCGGTGTAGTTGGCAGTCTGAACCAGCGGGCCGCGGGGGGACGGCGGGGCGAATGCTTGCGAGACCGCTGCCGAGGCGGACCTGATCGAGGAGGCAGCAGCGAGCAGCGAGACGAGGCTCCGCAGCGATTGCTTCATGGCTGTGATAGAAGTGAGGGGCAATTACCGCATCCACTGCAGGTCCCCGCCGAGCTTTAAATAGTTTTCAGTAAATCAGAGTCGCGTGGATGTCTTCGAAACCCGTTTGTGGCGACGCGCTCCATGTGATGGAAGGAAGCAAGGTCACATTGGACGCAACGACGGCCAAACAACAAGTTGGCAGATGAAAAAATCAATGATGGGTGTTCCGCACACGGCAAAGCAACGTTCGTAGCTTGTCTATTTTTACAGACAGAAATGCTCTTCCTTGAGACGGCGGCCTTGTCTAGGCACAAAGGTCTCTGCAATATACTGTTGCGGCTTCCGGATGTCCTCGGAGTCGGTGGGTATTTGCTGTATTCGCACCGCCAGGAAGACTTCATGACGCGGACAAGAGAAGATGTAGATGACATGATCTTATATGTCGAGTCGGACCGGCATTAGGCAGTTGAAAGTGACTACCAGCATGCACGGCCGGCCTGGAGAGTAGAACAGAAGTGGAACTCGAGCATTGTAATTTGATCTAGTAATCTCGGCGGGTCGCAATGCCAATCCATCGGGTCACCTGACAAGCCACTTGGCAGCCTAATTACTCGGGATGCATAGTCTCCTTGAAGCAGACTACTCACAAGGCCTTTCGGTAATCGAAACTTTGATCGGGCCATAGAAGTCACGAATGTGCTGAGCGTAACGTCTGCCTTGGGGAGACTAGGGACGCACTCCATTGGCCAATTCTAGTAGCACTGGTAGCAACACAGCTGGGGTTAGCTCACTCACATTTGATGGATGACAAAATGCAAGACTTGCATAACGATCATGCACTGCACGTATCTGCGGGTCAATGCACAGCGCTGAGTTGGCAGGGCGTGGGTGACACACATGCGTCCTTGATTGGCGCATGGAGCGTGCTGGGAGGAGTGAGATAGCAAGATCGGCTCGGGGTGTCACTGCGTGGACATTGGCAAGAGCTTTGTCAGTTTCCCAGAAATCCTCGACGCTCACTGAGGCTACGTATCATGATGTTCAGTCATTTGACGAGGTCGCCGATCTTTGGGAACCAGACCCGGGAGTCACGAAGTGAAAAACGGCGATCTCTGTCATCTTCCGGAGGAGCTCGGGAACGGGCTGCTGCAAGAGAAAACAGTAAAAGGACAGTGCGAGTGAGCAGCCGGGTGAGATCTCGCATCATCCAGCTAGTACGTTCACAAAGCAAGCCGGATCGAACGTACAGTGTACTATGCATCAATGGATGATGAGTGATCAATGGATGAATCACTTGTAGAGCCTCTTACAGAGCACCTATGGCCACTATATCTTAGATTTAGCATTTGGATACTGTGCCCTCAGGCTTACCAAATTTTGGAGTGTAGGTGCGAGCACAATGTGTAGGGCATGGCGATTTGGATCAAAATAGCAGTGATCATGGCTTGATTCGGATTCCCCTTCTACCATTGTCGCCGGAAATGTCCAAATTTCGACTCTAATTCTTTTGGGCCTCAAGAGGGACCTTTTAGTTGCATTTTGTTCCATATAAGTCAAGGGTTTGGTCTAGCCTGGAATGTGCTAGAGCTGCGGCAAGATACACGTGAACGAGCGTGACAGTGCATTTTGTTGATCTGCCCCACCATCTCCGGCAACCTTTCTAGCGCCCACTCAGCCCCATTCGGCAATACCTTATCACTCAAAACTCCGCGCGTCGCATGGTCAACCATGCAAAGTCAGAACGCGTCAAGCGGCATGTGCGCAGCCGCAATCAAGAGCACAAGATCACACAAGCTCTGGCCAAATGGCAGCAGGAACAGGAGAAACCAAGCCGCCTTGGGAGACCCAAATCTATTGAAACTATCGCCCGAGAACATGGGGTATCCTATGGTACCCTACACCGTCGTACAAAAGGAGGAAAGAGTCGCAGTGAAGCAAGCGAGAAGAAACAGAGACTAACGGCGGCTCAAGAGTGGTCCCTTGTGCAATTCATATGCGAATCAGCAGACATGGGTCTTCCACTATCTCATCGGCAGATTGAAGAATATGTAAACGGTGTCCGACAGGCTATACACGGAACAGACTGTGACTTGGTGGGAAAGCAGTGGGTCTTTGCATTCCTGGACCGCCACCACGACAACCTGCAGACACATTGGAGCAAATCTCTTGATTCCAACGCGCCAAGAGCCTGAATCCGACGGCGGTGAAGTCATGGGTGGATTTGGTGAAGAAGCACATTGTCGACATGAGAGTGGAGCCAGATTGCATCTATGGGATGGATGAGAGCGGCTTCCCGACAGGATACACAGGCAAGGAAAGAGTGGTGGGCACGAGGGGGACAAAAACTCAGCACAAGCAGGGTGGTGCAAGTCGGCAGAACATCACCACACTGGTGACAATTCGTGGGGATGGAAAGATGGTCGTGCCGCCGATGGTGATCTTCCCAGGTGCCAATTTCCAGTCTTCATGGAACAAGGGTAACACTATCAACGCCTTGTAAGCCTAACACTATCTGCAAGGAATAGATTCTGACACACACCTTCGGAACAGTATCTCTCGTTCTCTCAGTGGCTGGACTGACCACGACCTTGGATATGAATGGCTTTCGAAGGTTTTTGAGCCCTCAACTGGGGCAAATGGGAGAACACGAGTGCTCCTGCTCGACGGTCACAGCTCACACTACAGTGAGAAGTTCCTTGCCTTTGCCCGTGAACACAAGATTGTCCTCCTTGGGTATCCACCCCACTGCACCCATCGACTCCAAGGCCTTGATGTCGTATGTTTCTCAAGATGAAGGAGTGCTGGAAACGCGGGATTGTGGATTTGAAGCAAGGAACAAGTGCGATGTGGCAAAGGCAGACTTCATGACGGTTTGGGCTCCAGCCTACAAGGAAGCGTTGATGAGGAAACAGTGCGAGCAGCATTTCGAGTTACAGGAATCGTACCATTCAACCCCGACTTCGTCACTGCTGAAGACATGGCACCCAGTCAGCATCGTCTACGCGTGGCGAGTTCCCAATGCCCCAGCCTAGCCCCGTCCGCCGTATCACCCAGGCCATGGCTTTGCACCACCAACACGCCTGGAGCAAAGCGCAGGCTTGCTCGATCCTCCATCCCCGTGTACCCCTGCGCGTTGTCTGGGAGACGATGACAATCACAACAAAAATGGCAGCCCAACCCTGTGGACTCCATCAAAGAAGATGCGGTCCTTGTATGCGCACTTGGGAGCCTCATCGTCTGGTTCACTACTGCTGAGCACGCCCAAGATCACTTCCCGCACTAATCCCATCTCCGAGCCGGTCATTGAGTCCATGCCTAGATCGCTACTGGCACCCGATTGGTCGTTGGCTGGTCCAAGTTTGGGAGATAGCAGCTGGAAGTCAAGGGGTCAGCTCGAGGCAGAAGGAGAGGAGCTGCGGACACACCTCAAACGGGCTGAGATGCGGGAACGAATTCATGAGCAGATGCTCCAGAGCGCGCATGCCACTATGATCCTTCAAAACATGACTTTGAAGAAGACAAATCAGCCTACACTTGCGGGAGGAGCGTGCAACAAATGAACGGGCACGGCTTTTCAAAGGCCAAGCACAATGCCTCTCGTCTGATGACTTTTTCAACGAAGTTCAAGCATTGAACACAGAGAAGGAGAACAAGAACGCAGAGAGGGAGAAGCGGAAGGCAATGCGGAAGGATAAGAGGACTGCAAAAGCTGCGCTCGAGGAGGAGTGGGCCGGGATCAAGAAGGATCATGCAGCCAAGGTGGCAGCATGGGAGCAGAAATGCACGGATTTGAAGCAGACGGGATTCAAGAAGAAAGACCTGCCACCAAACCCAAGTGCCCGCCCAAGCCACGGCTGCCAGAGGACGGGGATGACGACGAGGACGAGGATGACGAACAAGATCAAGCTGACGAAGCGTGACATCCACTCATGCCTAAACGTGACAAATTGACTGATGCGACGATCTCTTGGTATAATTTTTACAACCGCACTAACTGTACAGATAATTGGTAGACAGGGTCTTGAGTGAGTCTAGTTGGTACCTATGACCTCTATTTTAATATTTTGCAAAGTGACGAACGAGCGAGACCGAAAATCAATCAATCCATCCATTGATGCGTAGTACACTGTAGAACAGACACGAACAAGAGAGAAAAGAGCAAGTTCCCAATCAGCGTGACGGTCACACAGCGTCGTCGTCTCCCATCTTCCACCTCCCATCCATCCACGCTACACGAGCACCATGGATCCCGTCGTAGGCAACGAGTCTCCGCAGCCGCGCACGACCACGACCATCTTCAACTCTTTTCTCGGTCGCGGACGGCCGAGGAACCACTCCCAGTCCCACAACGCCGCCGCCGACCTAGGATTGACGCTGAACACGAACACCATCAACAACGCCGCCCGAGAACTCCCCGTCACCTCCCTCGCCGATCCCGACATCCGCGGTGACCCAGCGCCGCCGGGGACCACCCACAATGGGCGTCAGCGTGAGCCCCAGCACGACGCAAGCGGGCCTCCACCTAGGACACATGCTCCGTCGAAGGCGGAGCGCCAGCAACGTCCAGCCGCAGCCACCAGCCCAAGTGCAGACGCCGGGACAGGGAGGCCCTCCTGCCGTGCCGCCCGCTGCGTCGCAGGCCCAAGCACGCACGGCGCCCATCCCATCTGCCACCTTATCCTCCCCGCATCCCGCCACAGGTGCTTCGGCCGCTGCTGCCGCCGGGTCACCCTCGGGTACAGGACATCGGCTTCGTCTCGTCCCGCACATCGACTCGAGGCGCTCGCTGCGGTTCGATCCCATCACGCGGGAGCTGCGCGGGTCCGATCCCGCTTTGCGGATTGGCGGTTTCACAGATCGGTCGGGGATAGGTCGCTGCGGTAAATGCGCTGAGCACGAACAAGATTGCGTTCAAGAGCAAAGTCGTGAGCTGCGCATGCTGAGTCTGTGTCGAAGAGGGCAGGAGAGCGGGCCAAAGTTCTTATACGTGAACGAAGAGCAGCAGTGGCACTTTCTTGAACCATGTTAGGCTCAGCCCTGCGAACACGGACAGGTGTGTTGGGTGCTGAACGCGGACATCGATGCTCATGTACTGCAGCCGGCCACACCAGATCAAGGACGGCGACATTCTCCAACTTGGCGTCGACTATCAAGGCGGCGCTGAGGATATTTACAAGAGCGTCAAGATCCGTATCGAAGTTGGGCGCGAATGGCAAACCCAGGCCAACGCTCAAGTGTGTGCTATCCCGTGGCTCCCCCATGTGAACTCACATCAGCACAAAGCACTGCAGCCTTGAAAGAATCTCCGCTCGTTGGGAGTGACCAGCGATACGGAGGCAAGCAGCAAAGCTGCCACGTCTGGCAAGAGCGGGCCACCCCCAGTTGCCAGCGGGATACCCGACTGCTGCATCTGTACGTCGTTCCTGGGGCGCACACGGGTGCCTTATCTGACTGAAGCTTGATGTACAGGTCTCTTCCCTGTGCGGCTTCATCAGGCTGTTTTCCTGGCGCCGTGCTCGCACGCGTTTCATTACAAATGTATGCGCCCGATGCGGACTCGCACCATCCCGCTTTCAAGTGAGTCGTTTGAATGTAGCATCGGACTTTCCCTCATCCCGAATAGTTGCCCGCTGTGCCGTACTTTCGCTGACCTGAACGAGGAATGGAGATCGATAACGAGGAAGAGGTGCGTGTCTGTCAATCTCCCTGCCGACGTTCGCTCACGATCTTTTTCAGGATGAGGAATTCGAAGACCCCGGGTCTTTCCCGGCTGAAGCTGCAAAGGACACTGTTACCGAGACCTCAACCCGCTTACTTCGCTTGCGGCCCAAGCGACGCTGCACCCGGGCATCGTGCACACCACTCTCGGACAGATTGGCGAGATGGGAGATTGTCGGTGATGCGGAAGGTGTGCTGGCTGACGACCTCGAAGAAGCCGAGGAGGGGGACGAAGTCGAGGAGATGTTCACTGGCGCTCGCGGATGATGGCGGGAGCGGGTGCGGGCGCGGAGACCCGAAGTCGAGGAGGAGGGTCCCTTCAGCAGGGAGGTGAGCCGCCCCCCATGCTCCGAGTTCCGGGCGTGTGGCCGTGGCAGTCGTCTGACGTTTGACGCGTCACACGCCGGCCCCCCACCCTCCTCGTCAGTCACTGACTCTTGTATTGGGCGTGATCAGACGGCTCTCGATGCACGTGGTGGCGGACGAGGAGGCGTCCCGGGCAGGACGTTCGGCGTCGGCGATGGACGTCGATCATGACGGGGACTCGACCGGCGAAGGCTCGGCCTCTGGGTTCGGAGAGGGCGGGGTTGTGCAGGTTGCGATGGGCATGGGCAGCAAGCGGAAGCGGTAGATATGCGTGGGGATAGAGAGCAGCAGCCGTTCGGGCTGCGAGAACTTGGATTCATGGGATTGTTTACTTTACGACGGCGGACATGTATCTCTGTGATGCGGGCGCCGATATTTTGCTTAATGTCGCTTTCTTTATTCTGTATCACGGTCCTCATGAGAGAGATGTCATGGAGCTACACGCAGCACTCTCGAGCTTACCATGTGTAGCATGCGAAACACCCGAGCATAGTCCCTGTAAAAAGCTGCAGGCAGAATAGACCGGTCGACGATCACTGTCCGGCGCTCGCTGTGCGATCCGTCCCTGCATTTCATGGGCCATCCACCTATCCATCGGGCAGGTGCCTTAGTAAACGGCTCCCGCTCACCGGGCCGGACCTGTATCCCATGGAAGTATTTTCCTGTCGAGACTCGATTGAGACCCGTGGATATGAAATTAGGCTTATTTCCGTCTATCTCTCTCCGCTGCGACCTTGATCCGTACCACGTGAAGCCTGGGCAACTTTCATCTCCGAGCGCAAGGTTCCTCAATCGGGTTCCCGGCGGGACGAAAGGGATTCGCTTTTCGAGTTGAGACAGAAACTGCAACGGACCCAATATTTACTCGTAGATGATCTCCCCCACGTTCTGATCACACAGTTTCCAGAATATCGATGGGAAAATCCAGAACATTCCCTTGTTGCACGTCGCTGAACAGCGGACTGACTGCGATCCGTGCTTCGAGAATAATCAGGTCGCGGAGCACGCCACCAACTCTCCGCCTGGTCTGATCGTGATGGGGGATACATACGGTACCGTTCGCTCGAGATACGAGGTGGGGCCGAGGTTTAACACTCGCAGCAAGTCCTGAAAAAGTGCCTAGCTTGACTATTAATGATCCCGAACTTGGCGTAAGTCAGATCTGCCGTGAGGGCTGGGGTTTGGTTGGGCATCGAGGGGAACCAGGGTACGCCTGCTGATTGCATTTACGTCCGTAAGATCGTCGAGCGTGTCGCGAAGATTTTTCTTTTGAGAACATCTTGTTTTCTAGGTCCCGGTTCCCAGTGCGGAATCCTAACATGCAATTTACTTGGATCGTTTTATCTCGGCCTCGTTATCAGCGTCAAGAGATGCCGCTTTCTCAAGGCCGCACGAGTCTATCCTCCTCATCCCCTTTATTCGATCTGGACCGTGGCTGCCATGTTGGGCTCGTACTCCGGAGATATTCGGTGTGATACTTGGTGAGATTCTGGATCTGCAGATCCCCCCTCTCTTCCACCCCCTGCGTCCATTTTCCGGAAAGTTGATCATGCGCGCACCACGATTTGATCGCGCCTGGTAAATGCATGTTTACCACTGATTGATGCATACTCTCACAGTTGGATCCGTCTCTGCAGTCAATACGAAATTGCTGGGCATGCAAACGCGTAGGTTGTATATTATTATCTGTAGTATATTAAGCATGTGTCGCTCTCCAAGGCAGCAGCAATATCAATATAGGAGCGGCTGGTATCCACCACAAGCATCTTCAGTGATAAACACAAGATCGCGCGCTGAAATCTTATCAGCTGTCAACAACTAAAGGCAATGTGACCTGGAGCTACCTGCAAGCGCACTCGTATCTCCCACGAGGCGCTGTTTCGTCGCCTGCTCCAGGACGCGCCACTTGAGGTCCTCCCACTCGCAATGTGCCTTCCGGAGCTGGAACGGATCTGGGATGCAGAAAAAGACTGCGATGCGGGTCCATCCATCCGAGCACCTCAGCGCGGAGACCAGCGCACCCCGGATCGTCGCTTCGGGCCTTTCGGTCAGCAGCAATGCCGTGGACATCAAGCCACGCGGAACTTCCCGCAAGGCACAGACCCAGTTTTTCGGCAGTCGCGGAGGAGCCGCCGCACGGAAGCGGCGATGCGCCCGCTCTGCGGCTGGCCGGCGCGGAACGAGAGGTCGAGCGAGATGTGCGTCAGCGTGGGGGGCAGCGCCTCCCAGTGCCACAGGGACCAGTCCCCCAGATGTTGGTGATGTTGAGGTGCTCACGCGGCTGAAGACTGGCCCTCGAATGGGTAGCGGTCGGTCGGGTGCGGGTGCGTGATCCCGTGCCAGACGGATATTCGGCGCGGCTGGATCGCCGCAAGCGCGCGGGCGACGGAGAGCGGGCGCGGAGATCTGGCTCTGTGACGGCAGGAACCACGTCGTGAGGTTGTCGATCCCCGTGCAGACGGAGGTGATCCTGAGCATGTGTTCCGAGGGCATGTCGAACAGGATGCACAGCGACTTGACGTAGGCCGCGAAGAACATCGGCGGCTTCGTTCGGGAGCCCTCGATCGTGCGAATGAACGCGCCGCTCGTCTGTGTCGTGGAGAGCTGGACCGTCGATAGAGACTGGGCTCGACCCTTTGTTATGCCCGATAAGCACCAGGCGGGGGGGCCTAGAATCGTAACACGGACGCACCAGCGCTGGACCGCCCTTGAGACCCGACCAAGACCAATGCGGTCGCGAAATCCTCCTCTGCGACCCACTCGAAAATCAGGCGCAGCAGCTCAAGGGGCATATGGAGGTTCTGGAGAGAGAGGGCCATGATATATATCGGCCGACGAGAATCACTGTCAGTCATCTTCTGAAGGAAAGTACACATCTCGGAATGCCACAGCGCAATGCTGTGTCGCTGCTTGTGATATAATACGCAAAAACTCTCTCTTTCGTCCGAGGACTTGATGGACGACAGCGCTTGTGACTGGCCCCGGCTCAGGCGATCAAGCTCGTGTCTCGGAATGATCGTTCTCAGTCTTTGTCATTCTGCCTGGCCCTCGTCCCTTGTGCGCATAATACCACCGCAGACGATAGTATATCTCTATCGTCTTATCTTCTGCTGTTTCAACAGCACCTGTGTGTTGCAATCCCATGCTGGACTTGCCCCTCCCTCAATCTATGTCCGTCCCCGTCAGTGGATCACACTGGTGGGAATTCGGTGGCCATGTGCGGCCTCTCAAAAGGTCGCCGGAGGTGATGTTGATGGGAATCGAATGGTGCTGATGAGAGAACGCTGCTCGCAGCACCGCGCATGTCCACATCGCATGTCCCGAGCTGTGAGCTTCCAGACCGCCGCGTACCCCGCACACACTTCGACCCATCAGGCTCACTGATGTCTCCGTGATGTCCGATCTGTCCTCGGTTCCGGACACGTTTCAATATCTCCTCATCTGTTCTGCCACCCCCCCATTTCCGGTTGCACGAGCCGGGACCGACACCGAAGCCGTCCATGCCTTCCTTGCAATCCCGGCTGGCCCCCAGCCGAGGTGTTGGCTGTCCGACAAGCCCATTATGCACGCGAAAGAGAAGCGCGCAGCCCCCGCTCATGTGTTTGTTGGGTAGTTTCTGTGGAGATGGCTTGGAATCAGCACAGGGTCCTGCACCCGAATGAAGTGGCCGCTCCCGACAGCGCAAAGGTCGTTTTCACCGACTCGCCCGCAGCCCACATGCCTGTAAAGGGTAATAGTCAACATAATCAGCAGACGTATTCTTCGTAAATGCAAAGTCACCCACCGAGACCTGCCATAGACAGACTCGCCGAGAACAGGATGAAATTGAAGAGCTTGAAGTACCAGTGCCCGGAGAACAGACCGCGCCTCCACCGAGACCACTGTCTCCACGTGTCCACGCGGTGATAGCTGGCGCCAGAGTCGGGATCGTACGGCTTGTCGCCGGCCATGGCATCGCTCAGGACGTCGTATCCGAGAGGAGCGGCGGGAACGTGTACGTGAACTGCATGATGCCGATCGCTCCGACCAGTCCGTTGATGGTCTGAATCTGTGGAATCGCCGATCCGATTACGAACGCTAAGAGGGGGTAAAATATCTGTTGCTGATGTCCTCAGAACAAGCACCGACCCAATGCCCAGTAAGCCACGACAAGGACTGTCTCTAGTTTTGATCTGAACGGCGGTTGTCGTGGCTCACTGGACCAGATGATGCGCCCTCTGTGAGACATCAGGGGGGGCCTTGGAACCAATCTTCTACGAGATTGTGATATACGACCTCTGAGAAAGACGCGTCAACGATCGTCTTGTTGTCTCGACTGAGACGACGCACTGATGCCGATGTTGCCGTAGAGCCCTCCTGCGATGATGCCCGTGACCAAGGACATCACATTCCCCACTGTCTGCCACGCATACTTGCTCACGCCCTGGTAAGCTAGCGGCAGCACGAATTGTCCCTGCTGGGACTAAGAAGAACCAAACCAAGATCAATGCGTGGTCGGGCGGTGAACGGAGATCCGACAAACATAGATGAAGGCCCATAGATAAGATAAGCCGTGAAGATCAACGATTGGGCCATGACCTGATTGCCATCGTCAACTCACGGTCTGAAATTCGGTGCAAAGGTGGCATTTACCATTCCTTTCCAAAATCCATCGGACGCCGCATCTCGGCCATAATTTCCGGGAATATCATGGCACCCCCATAAGCGTAGACCTGCGGGAAATGTCTATCCTGTTCTAATTTGATGGTGGCGCGGTGGGACATACCATGTTCATGATCCCGTTGACCTGAGAAGTTCAGTCGGTCGGTGATTGTCTCCCATCCAAGCGAGCTCCGCACGCACGCAGAGAACAGCGGAATCTTCGCAAACGTCTGAGTCTGAACGGGCCTTGGGGGACCCCGAGGGACGACAATGCGGCTGCTGAAATTCGGGGGGCTGTGGGCCACAAATCCCATGCTGGTGAAGATGATCAAGAGGTTGATCCTGTGCACTGAATAAGGCGGCCTGATCATCGGTGGGAGGTTCCCACTGACCACACGGCTGAATTGGCCAGCCAGCCGTAATCTATTCATAGCCTGAACAAGTCTGTTGGGACAGGAATAAGCGGGGAGCGGCCTACCTTGAGTGTGCGAATCTGGCCGATAAGCATGCCGAGGAAGGCCCAGATGACTATGCAGATGGAGAAACACAACTGGGAAAGGCAATCAGCTTCTGCTCCAACCTTACAACCGCGCTCAAACGAACACGGTGCTTGGCCACTTGGGTGAGAGCCTGCGCGTTCCCCAAACAGATGATGCCGACAAAGACGACGAGCTGGAGACTTTGCAGAACGAGCGAGACCCGTCGCGCCCAGGTGCCGAATATACGCTCCGCAAGATCGGCGTAGCTCAGCACAGGCTGCAGCGACGTCAGGTCCGGCAGTTTCAGATGGCACCGAATGAAGATCGCGTACATAACGCAATGAGTCGAGGCGCACGAACAAGCGCCAGAGGATCAGGCCCGTATAGAGCGCGACCAGACCCACTGGGATGGTTGTTTGAAACAAATAACCCGTAAAAAAGCTCGCGACTTACTGATAAAGTACAGTATAATCCCTGAGAGCTCAGCGCGTGTCCAGCGAAGACACAATATTGCGCACTCACCAGGGACCCATCCGACCTGGGAGATAGCAAACGGTGCGTTGAACGGGCCGAGGATATCGTCGTGATAAGATAGAACACGGACGACCACGACGCGAGCCGCAGCGCCCGCGAAGCCGTCTCGCGCTCGGACAGCGTGATGCCGCGGTGCTTCTCGAGGTGCGGCGCGGCGTCGATGTTCGCATTGGGCCCTTTATGCGCGGATCGGCCGTTCAGCCAGGAGTTGAAGCCCCCCGTGCGGGTTCGCGTCGGACCCTGCTTCGGCGGCGCGCTGCAGCGCGGCGTAGTACAGGTACGTCTCGAGCGCGACGGGTGCGGGGGTGCCGCTGTGGTCCGAGCTGGCTGAGGAGCGCTCTTCGACTGTCTGTTCAGACGTTTTCTCTTCCTTGAGGTCCATGGCTGCGGAGCGGATTGGGATCTCTCATGGCCTGACCGGCTGGATACTTAAGCTCATTATCTATCCATGGGAGTGCATCATCTCGCAACAGCATCCTGAGTAAGAAGCACTCTGATCGGGAGACAACATGTGAGTCTCGTGAGAAAAGTGGAAAGAAGCTGAGAGGCTGCGGGAGTTGTGTGCGTTCTAGAAGCGCCACGCCAGATAAGGAAATTGATGATCAAACAATTTTGTCGAGGTTCTGTACAAGTCCGTGCATCATTAGAGTAGTCTATCGTGGGTGACGTCCATCGTGGTCGACGTCTATTTACAGGACACGCCCATCGGACCATCGTCCTCCTGCTGTGTCTTTCCTGCATCATGTATCAACACCATCGCACAAAGACACAAGTGGGAAAAAACTCGCGTGTCTCGCGCGAACAGATCGTGCTAGCCTCAAGGGGTGTGGATGGCCTGGAGGCACTCACGGTCGATGACGCTGAGAAAAAATCAGCCAGAGATCCCCGCATCCATCACACAGTAGAGCACAGTAGAGCAGAGAAAGTATGGCCACCTACCAGTCGCGCGCCCCTCCATTCCGCGTCTTGCAAATCTCGGCGGCAGAGGCGGCAGACCCCGCTGCATCCGGGACGCGTTGGTCTCGCGCTCTGCCGTGGCACACATGCCGCCCTCAGACGCCACCAGGAGGAATCCGACGAGAGCAAGGAGTTTCCAGGGGAGGATCATCGCGGCGGATTCGCAAGATATTGCGGATAGGTAGTCCTGGCAGAACAAAGAGCTGGGACAAGCAAGCAGCCTCGAGGCGATACCCAAACACATATAATGACGGGGGTGCCGGGGGATTTAGACCGTAAAGATCATTGTTTGCAAAACGTGTTCTTTGCGGGTGCGTTAGAATCGCTTGACAGACGGGACTAGACCACGCGCGAGGAAGCAGCCCAGAGCCTTGAAAGTTCCAGATGCGACAAGTCAGGTAGGATGGGTCGGGGTCGGGAGTTCAGAAGCGCATTCCGCATGAGATGGCGTACGGATAAGGAAGATGCAAACTTAAGGACTTTGATCGGATATGACGTCATTGTCGACATTGCCGAGCTGATCTTGACACGGAGGTATGTATAGGAGGTATGCGAGGGTGTATGTACTAGTTACACTACAGTGTATGCAATATCGGCCAGTATGTTACGGGGTAAGAAAGTCAGGTGATGGTCTGTTGTTGGTACAGAGGTGAGATTGAGATATGCAAGCGAAACGATTGATAAGACAAGGATAAATTACTGCATGACACAGCCGGACCGCGACTCGGACCGTTTCTTGTGGCCGGCTGTGGTTGCAGAAACAGGCTCAGACTCGGAGATCCTCGACTCAGACACACGCGACCCCAGCCGAGACCGCTTGCGCTGCATCTCGTCAGAGCGGATCTCGTCCATCGACTTGGCATTAGAGCGGCTCCCGATGCTCTCTCCGCTCCGCAGGCTGTCGGACTGCGGGTTCGTGCTCGTGCTGCTCTTTACGGACTGTGGACGCTCCCTGTGCTTGTGCAGTCGCTTGCCGTTCGCATCTTTGGCGGGCAGCTGCACAACAGAGCCGGAGGAGGAAGCGTGACCAGGCTCCGGAGACAGATTCGACCGGGACCGCTTGAACGCCGCCATGAACTTGAACGCCGGCGGAAGTGGTCCCCCTGGAGTCAGGCCAGAAGGTGCGACACCGTCAAGACTAGTCCGAGGAGTGTGGGCTACATAAGCGACCTCGGAAGCTGCCGTGATCGGCGTTGGGCGAGGCTCAGGGAGAGTTTCGAGCGGATTCACATAGGCGCTGGACGGGTTGCCTTTCTCAGCATACTGGGCGTATAGCAGGAGTTGTGACCTCAAGTCACATGTCGGAGGAGCATGGACAGCACATCGGGCATGTGCTATCAAGCTGCACTGCTCGCAAATGACGGCGCTCTTCTTGGCATTCTGCAGACAAACGCGACAGACCATGGCTGGCACCACAACATCAGAAAATCGCGGACAGACGGGGCAAAAGCCAACTCACGTTTGCTGAAAGTGGTCTTGACAAAGGAATGGTCACGCGCAACGATGTCTTGGTCCATAGGCCGGGAGGTGAGCGAGATGCGCCGCCCTGGCGGTGAGCTGCTGATCAGTCCCTCGGCGTCCACGAGAGACTCGCTCATGTCGACCTGGGCCAGGAAGCGGACCGCATCCGACTTCTGCAGATCGACACTGACCCGACGAAGGAACGGAATACTGTCTTGCGGTCTCAACTGCTATACCATTCATCAATATCGGTCTAATTACATTCAGCGGGAACATACCTTGTGGCCTGCCCAATTCTTTTTCAGCCATTGATGCTCACACAGGAACTCGGCGCTCGGCCGCTTCGTCGGATCTTTGTTGAAGCACTGGCTCAAGAAATCGTCCAACAAGGGCGAGCACCCCTCGGGCAGAGGCGGCGAATCATCCTCCACGATCCGAAACATCACCGACATGCTGTTGGCGATCTCGGCATACGGAGGCCGGCCGGTCAGCAGCTCCACGACTGTGCATCCCAGAGACCAGATGTCCGACTTGGGAGATGCTCCTTTGAGTTCGATCACCTCGGGGGCCATCCAGTTCGGGGTGCCGGCCACATCCTTGATCTCGCGTTCCATGGCTCGGAGATTGAGGGACACTCCAAAGTCCGACAGCTTGACGTTGCCGTTCTTGGTGGTCAGGATGTTCGCAGCCTTGAGATCGCAGTGGACGACGTCGCTGGAATGGAGATAATGCAGCCCTTCGAGGATCTTCACGACGTAGCTGGCGACCAGCCGCTCGTTAAGCTTCCCGAAGGCCTTGAGAGTCTGGCCCAGCGATCCGTTCTCCACGTATCTGCAAGGGCGTTAGATGGGATACGAACCGTTCATGAAGCATCTTACTCAAGCACGATGTTCAGCGTGTCTTGGTCTCGAGCCATGCCCTCATATTTAACAATGCTGGGGTGCGACAGACGTTTCACCAGATCAACCTCCCGCATTAACGTCGTCACCTCGTCCTCCTTCAAGCCCTCCAGTCGGATGCGTTTGACTGCAACCATCTGCCCAGTGTTCAGGTTCATCGCTCGGTACACCGAACCAAACTGCCCGCGCCCAATACAGTTGGCCAATTGCTGGATGGAGAAAGGTCAGCATCGACATCAACACGTCAGACACAGAAACACTCACGAAATGTATCGGGACCTTGCCCTCTTCCCGAACAGTCAATATTTTCTGTGTCGCAGCATCGAGCGAGTCGCGAGAGAGCAGGTCACTGGCACTCGTGTTTCCTGAAGCACCACCGAGGTTCATCATGCTCTCGAATCTGGACCGAGACGGCCGCGCGCCCAATTCGTCGTAAGAGCTAGGCCGAGGCCTACGTCGTTTGCTACTGGCCTCGAGGTCGCTCTGGAAACGACCGCGCGGCTGTCGTGGTCTGTCGCTGATTGGAGACGCAGCACGATCGGGGGGTGAGCTTGAGTGCTCGCCCGATGTAGTTCGTGGGAATGGAACGGCCGCGTCGGCATCTCCGTTGCGCTCCTTGGGCTTGGTGCTGTGGCGGCGTACGATGACCCGGCTACCGGCAGGCATGCCATCCGGACTACTATCCCGACGCAAAAGCGAATCCTTGGGTAACAACGCGGACGGGCTTTGAGGTGGCACATCGATGCTGTGCCGTGCCCGGTGGGTGGGACGTCGAGGGAATTGTGGCAACGACTCGGCGCTGTCATTGCGCTTAGGAGCACCAACGATGGCGATTTTCCGCGGGCCGGACGAGGAGAGGACAGACGGCGACGGGGAACGAAGCTCAGACGAAGTGGGGGATTTGGGTGGAGGTGCCAGATCTATGAAATCATCGGGCCACTTACCCTTCCCCAGTCGGACCTTGTCTATTTTCTGCCCATCTATCTTCTGTTCCCACTGCTTCCCAACGCCCCTAGACGCAGTTCCGGCTTCGTCCATCTCCTCCACCCGGGACAGATCGATGAAAGTCTCGCTCATCTTGGCCTCCCGCTGGAAGGATTTAGAGTCGACACGTTTTCGAGCCAAGTCCTCCGAAATGGAGCTTCCCTCCGCGCGAGAGATGCTGGGTGCTTCAGAGGTCATATCGGTTGTCACGGTCCGGATGGTCCCATACTTGTAGCTGTGGCGGGTGACGTCCAGGAGGCTGGACATCATCGTCGACTCCGTCATGACGCTCGATGTCGAGAGCATGGATTGACGCGAGTCAGACTGGCTCACTTGCAGTGCATCATCGTCGACCTTGACCGCCAAAGGTCGGAGGGGAGACCGAGGGGGAAGAGCCAATGTGGTCGGGCTTTCTTTATCTCTCATGACGGGTCGATCGATCGGCGACGGTCGATCACATTCGGTTTTGGCGTTCAAGGTCGCTGTGTCGTCCTTGCTGAGGTGTTCTTCGCCTGAACTTTCGTCCGGGCCGCCATGCGACAAGTCCGCGGGTGGAGTCCAGCGTGGCCTCACCGGTGAAGCTAGTGGGGCGGTCGAGTGCAAATTCGGAGTTGACAGGGCAACCCTGGAACTGCCCGGCCCGTAGGGGCTTGCCGAAGAACCGGACTTTTGGTTGCTGAACCTGGGCGCGTCAACGTATTTGATCAGCGTGATGATGGTGTGGGCCACGCGAGCAAGGGACTCGCTCGTCCCCTCGATGAGGTCATCACGCTGAAACAGATCCTCCTCTGCCAAACCATATGAGGAACAAGCAGCCAAGAACTTGGTGATATTGGATGTCCGGACAAATCCATCATCCCGAACGTCTGGCCGCACAACAGAGCTCGACCGCAGTTTATTGATCAACCTGGCATGGGAGATGAGCATATCAGCTTAGAACCAAAACGACGGTACCCACTGGCATAGTACGAAGCCATCTCTCAATGCTTCTGTAAACAGTCGTCGTTCCCGCTCTTCTCCAGCGACACTGATCCCAGACGGCGTGCCCAACGTAATGTTGCTTGAACTTCCTCCAACTCCGCTTTTCCCCCAGATTCGCTCCAAACGAGACAGAGCCCGAACCCGAACCTCGACTTCCTGCCAGTCTCTCATTCCAGCGTCTGTTCTTGCCATGTGCGGTGGTGGTTTGATGACCTCTTTGCAAAGCATCGATGTCGCTGTCCTGATGAGATCTCGGTGCTCAGGATTTGATGGAGAAGCTAGAGACGTGGTCGACGCATTGAACTGTCTGTGGCTATATGCACCGCGCTGCTGAGACGAGGGCCTGTCACGTGGACGTATCAGTGATGGGGAAGGTGACTCGTCCCGGAACGACGGCCGACGTGGAGAGTCAATGGAAGTACGTCGTACAGCTGTTGGCGAAGGAGAAGGAGCAAGGTGATGTGATCCTGACGGCGATGATAGACCTCGTAATGGAGTAACGACACGCCTCGAAGGTGAACGTGAACGGATGGGAACAGGGCTGGTCCCTCGAGATGCAGAGGCTGGCAGACCAGCGGTGTGCGATGGCAGATGTGTCACGCTTGCAGATGAAGACGATCGTCCGATGTGACCGCGCGATCCTGATGCCGGCGTTGGCGTATCTGGTGGGGAAGCAGGCAAATCACGAGTCGCTCGTCTTGGTGTCTGAGGGGAGCTGACTACCCTCGTGGGAGGGGGAGACACCGGTGGCGCTACGGAATTGAGTGGGTTTGACTTGGTCGACCGATGCCGTGTCACTCTGGGCGTTGACGGTGGCAACTCGCTAAGATGTCGCTGAACAGGTTGGAGACTGGGCCGCTTGGTGCGAGTCGGAGACACTAGCGCGTCACTGTTCGACGACGACGAAGCCGCGATGGCCGAGTGCGAATTGGGGGAGGGCAACGCCTGAGAGTAAATGTGCAGCGCTGGTGACGACACCGATCCTTGCCGTAAGGTCGGTGAGATGTACTCCCCGTGCTCAGTATCGCTCCTGTCAGGACCTGGACTTGGCGATGGAGAAGGGGGAGGCTGCCTGGTCGTTCGCCGAAAATTCCAGAGAGGTTTCGCCTTTTCCTTACTCTCCTCCGTCGCGCGCTCCTTACCCTTGACCGTCCCTGGGGATAGCGTTGCGAAATCATCGTCCGGTGTCGGGATCGTCTTTTTGGAGCGAGTTGCCGTGCGCAAGCTCTGCTCGAGAGACGAACGTATCCGATGGAAAGTCTTGGGCGCAGACTCGGGTACTGTAGCCTTGATAGTCGCACTGGGATTTTGGAATGTTGAACGAGAGGAGGATGCTCCGGGTGTCGCGGAGGATTTGGACGGTGTACGGTGAGAGGGTATGTGGTAATGACTGGACGTAGACGCCGGGACGTTTACAGGAGCGACGACTGTGGTTGCCATAACAGGGAGGCTGGGCCAACCGACGAACGAAAACGGTGGGCGAGGGCGCGCGAGTATGCAAAGAGAGACTCGATCGGATCAGCCTGTAGACGACATGAGTTGATAACAGTAAGTAAATGGCCAGTTGGGGAGCGACGTATGGGAAGGAGACGAGTCGTTAGGCCGTTTGGAGAAAGTGTTACTAACTGGGATAAGTGGGCTCTATTAGCGGCGGGGTGACGGTCCGTGTGAGTCTCAGACAGGAAGAGCAGCAAGGAGCCTGGACTGACGTTTAGCTTGCGCGTGGAACTCTTCTAAAGAACTGCCGACCGGGCTGAACGATGGCTCTAGGTTGATTGACCTGACCAGTGGAAGGCCCGCAGATTCGAGCACTCCCTGACCCTCGACAATATATTCCCGGGCCCCGTGAGCGTTCAATGAAGGAATGACGGGTGAGCTGGCAGCGCCGCGGTCCGGGACAGGCGGCACAACGCTCAGCTTACTGGCTGTCGGAAAGAAGCTGCCTCAGCCGTGCTTCCCCAATTGGAACTTCGACCACTCGGAGCTGATCACAGAGGCTTTGATCCGTGATCCTGGCCGCGACCGGTCAAGATATTGAATATGAATATATTCAGCCTGGCTTGACCAATACGCTTGGACTGGGCTCGGAGGCACTTGCAGTCAGGACCCGCGACATAAAGAAGTGAAATTGGTGGAATTTACAAATGCAGTCTGAGACATGACGAGCCCATGACGCATATGCCGACTGCCGTTTGGACAGGAAGGCACACACGGGTCCCGCCACAGGATGCAGCAATCTATCTCATGTACCGAACGTCTCCTCTCCAGAACACTGAGCTGATAACGCCAGTCCGGCTGCAGGCCAGCCCTCGGTCAGCACAGTCAGCAGATCCAACACGTGTGTGTCAAATTGCCTATCCAACACGACGAAGCAGATTTCGAAGCAGCAGAAGCTTCCGCCTGTGATTGCGCTTGATGATGCAGGCTATCCACGTACATGCGCCCGCACCCGTCTTCGAGCGCAAAGCCCTCCACTGGAGGCCCCAAAAAACACGCCTCAGGGCTCGTCCGCATCTCAGAGCTTGCTCACCTTATCACACTGGTGTGCAGAAATTCAGGCCTCGGAAAACGTCGGAGAATCAACCGATTGCTTCGCATCAACAACCGGCATATGCATATGCACAATAGATGGCTCACTCGGTCCGAAAGAGGATCAGATTCGTTGTAAGATCGGAACCGCGATAAGTCTCCTCTGTTCACAGGAATCAGAGATTGAGTGCATGACGAGTATGAATCCTCGAAATAGCTACCAGATTCGGATACTTGATCGGCCTTTACACGTGACTCAGTGTGCAATTGTTTAGTCACATAGTCACGAGCAACCGATCGGACTTTGAAACGCTCCTTGACTCTGACGACATCGTCAACAACGACGATGAGCACACGCGCGCGGACCCGGGCGGCGTCCAACATCAAGACCGCAGTCTCTAAATCTGACACCAAAACAAGATCTTCTGTGAAGCTAGAAAACGAGACTGTCCTGCTGTCCTCGAAATCAAAATCAAAACACGTCAAATCGGCCGTTCTCTTTTGTCTGTGCAGAAAAGGCGACGATGGTTCTCCGATGGTCAACTGCAGCGAGTGCGATGAATGGTGCGACCTCTCCTCCCATCTTGACTTTTACTCATCTTTTTTTAGGTACCACTTCTCATGTGTTGACTTGGGTGAAGAGGTTGCCAACGATATCAGTATGTCTCACTTGGTTCTATGCGAGCTTTTATCTCATGTTCTTCTAGATGTGTACATCTGCCCCCCTTGTGCTTCAACGACCGGTCTACGAACAGTCAGTGAGTGGCATTTCCTCCCCGTTCGCCCTTGTCGTGTAGTCAAGTTGTATATCGTTTGCCTCTCCATTGTAAAGCCCCGCGACACATTATCTGCACCTTTCACTCAAGTACGATGTATGCATACAAGGCGATCCATGGCCTGGTCGCACTTGCACGCTGGCCCTGTGGAATTAAACTACGGTTGCTAGCGGCGCTCCAATCAGTACTTGTCTTTTGGTCTATGTACATGTGCTCCGATGTTCATGGAGATCTACGCCACGCGCATATCTTTTCTCTCAGTACCCCTCATCTGACTAGCTGAGCTGACCCGATACTCTTTTGTTAGTGTTATGGGAAGGCCCTGAGGCCGTCGAAGAGGTCGGTGGGGACAAACCGACACATACTGCAAAGAAACCAAGAGTGACACCACTGGTGGTCGAGGAACGCCAGTCAGACGAGTCAGGGGACGAGGGCAGCGAGGACGAGTATGTTGCAGAGAGAACCAAGCCGAGCAAGGTGTGTTCCATCTTCCATTCTGACACAATGTAGGTCTGACGTAGGCTCCCCCAGCGCCGAACGCGACGACTTTCTTTCTCTGAGGACTCCGAATCTGAAGCTTCTGGCACGGAGAAAAAGCACAGACGCATTCGCAAAGCTGGGTCTCCGACAGTCGCACCCAAAAGTGGTGTCAAGCGCAAGGCTGCGCCCAGGAGCACCGCTGCCCCACCCAGCAAACGCAAACGAGAGTCATCCTCTGATGCGAATGACGATCCCGCGCGCGCATTTGTCTCAAGAAGTTAGAAGTCGTTTTCCAGACAATCTTCAATCGCTATCCGTACATCGGCGCTGTCGAGAAAACAACAGACGAGCTTAACGACGAAGAGAAGACGAAAGTCGAGCAAGAGGCTAAGCTTTTCGCTGTTGAACTGGAACGATGCTTGTATGAGACCTACTCCGAGTTCGATAAGCAAGGCCGACCGTCGGCGGGTGCCAGTTACAAGTACGTTTCAAGTCTCCAGTCACGAAAAGTAAATGGGCTAATCTTGTGCGCAGGGATCGCTTTCGGATGTTGCAGTTCAATCTCAGCAAGGAAGACCGTACGGTGTTGCACAGACGCATAGCATCGGGAGATATTAGTCCTAAGGAGATATCTCTGATGTCCACGACTGATCTAGCGAATGAACAGACGAAGGAATCGATCAAGTTGGCGGAGAAAGAGGCACTGGAGCACTCCATCCTGGAGAAGACGCTTGTGCCGCGTGCCAAAATAACGCACAAGGGATTGGAGGATATTGAAGTGGACAGTGTAGTTCTGTCTCGCGAGCGGGAAGCAGAGAGACAGCGGGAGCAGGAGGAAAGACGGCAAAGAGAGCTAGAGGCACGACAGCGAGTTCGGACTGCATCGATGTCTATGCCTCCGGAGTCTCCGATCACGCCCATAACTGGGAATTGGATGGATGTGCCGCGTAATTTGCCGTCGATGCCTGAGGCGCCAGAGACTGCGCTAGGGCCAGACGCGAACGAAATGAGTGCAGAGCCAGAAATGAACCTTGCGGACTTGATCAATATCGACGATGAATTGGGGCCAGTGGAGGCCACAGCCAACCCACCTGTCGAATCCATAGTGGGTGAGGCTGTCGTTGCGCCGACGCTGTCGCCGACAGGCAACTCTCCCTTCGCCAACAACACACCCTCTTTCGATCTCGACGCACTATGGACGGAACCAAATCCGACCGGTTCTGTAGCTTCACCTCCAGCGACCGACGATCGAACTGACGATGCGATGGAAGTCGACAACGAGCCGGACGACAAGGACTTTGATATGTTCTTGGAGGAGAAGGATCCCTCTGAATCTCTCTTGGCTGCATTTGAAGCAAAACCCCAGGTCTGGACTGGCAAGGTCTGTCTTCGACATTGCCCAAACGAGTCTACATCTCTTAACGTTTCATTTGCGCAGATATGCATGCCCATCGACTCGACGATCCCTCAAGAAACACGAGTGGCTGCGCGTCAGATCGGTGGCCGTCAAATTGACCACGACTCTCTTCTATGGAAAACGCTGTTCCCGACCGATCTGCTCCGGATCGACGGCCGGGTTCCGACGGACAAGTCAGCGCAGTTTCTTCTGCAGACCAGAATGAACTCGTCCAAGGAACTAGTCGCCGCCTCTTTCTCACCCGTATCCGAAGACGGCGACTCTGGCTTCCAGACATTGATGGACTTCTTGATCGCTAAAGGGTGCGTTCTCCGAACCGGGGTGGATCTGAATGATGTACACATGCTAAACCCATCTTAGGCGACACGGACTTGTATTTCCTTGGGGAAGCCGCCCGAAGGACTACCACCCGGGGAAAGAGCTCTACATGGTTCCCCTGCTCTCCAGCGACGCGATTCCGGACTTTATGGAAGTCCTGGACAACTTCAGCCTGCCCACCGTTCGAACGAGCAACTACCTGATCGGGATATGGGTGCTCAACAAAAACAAACTGGCCACACCGCCACCCATGCCTCCGCCTGTCATGACCCCGGCACCTCCCGCTTTCCCACCGCCGGCGATCATGGAACCCTCTACTTTGGCGTTCGAGGTGGCTGCGCTCACACCGGAGCAGGTCCGCCTCATGCTCCAGACGTTGACCAACACATCCCTCAACCCAGCTCCAGTCCCAGTGCCACAGCCACCACAGCCACAGCCACAATGGGGAACTGGGTATCCCGCACCGCCACCGCCACCCCCTCATTATGGTCAGCAGGGCCAGTATGGCTACCATCCCAGAGGCAGCGAGGCCCGTCAACCGGATTCTGGTTGGCCCCGACGGCGAGGATACTGAATCGTGTATGCTATTTATCCTTAGTGTATTCTTGTTACATATAGTAAATGTATGTCAAATTACTTGCGAACCAGGATCTGCAGCATTTCCTCTATCCTTTTCTGTCTGGCATCCATCTCGTTCAGCCGCCTCATGATCGGCATGTCCTTATTTTCCTCGACGTCCTCGGCCGTCGGCAGAGAGCCGGTGGACGGCGTGCGATGGTCGGGGCTAGCAGAAAGCGAGTGTTCGTCAGGGCTGGTAGAGAACGGGTCATCCGAGAGCGGGAACATCATGCGGGGAGTTTCGGACGAGCGTCGAGCATGGGCTTGCAGCTGAGCACGACCCGAGGCGTCGCGAACATGCATCGAAGAGAGTCTCCGGCGATAAGCCGGTCCATAGCTCACACCCGCTGGCGGCGGTGCGAGAGTATTAGGATAGGAATGCGATTGCGCTTGCGATTGTGTGACAGGAGGACCCAGAGAAATCGCCTCGTCTTCGGGAATCCCGCCGTCATCGATCACGAGGGGCTGGAAGATCTGAGCGAGCGGACTAGTGAACGATTGTGCAGCCTCGGTCCCTCGATGCAAGAGCGACGCAACACGATTCCGCTGACCGGGAGGGGACACGCCATTGGGAGGTGTCGTGGTGGGCGGTCGGTGAGGAGGTGAAGGCGGAGGTTTCGATACGTGGTGAGCGGTGACTGGCACTTCACCTCGGGCAAGAGCACTTTCCAGTAGATCATCCTCGATTTCAAAAACCTGTAAATAGTCAGGATAGCTCGAATAGACACCCGGAAGTCAACTCGCGATATCAATGTCGCTGTCTGAACCAGCAAGTCCTTCGAGAATGGCTGGCAAAACTCAGATGAGGGTCCGAGACAGTGGCAAGGACGCACTCAAAAGCTTGAGGCGTCTCGGCAGAGACTCCAACAATCGCTCCAGCACAGTTGTGATTGTCTCGTAGATGTTGGTTGTTCCGTGTTTCTTAGCCTGTCGTTCATACAATCCGATCATAAGCAGTACGGGGAAGCTCGTCAGCCTAGACACAGATGCCGTTCAGCCCACTGCATCCGTTTGTAATATCCCACGTGCCTGATCATGAAAACGTTGACCTATAATCGAGGATTAGACAGGATTTTCACGATCATATACACGATTTGTAGCACCTTGTGGAACCACCGAGGCGAAAGGACATAACTCGCAGGCAACATAACACATAATGCGATCAAGTTGATGGGAGGTTGGTATGAAAAGAGCGAGTCGGCTTTGACGCTGTAGACAGATCAGATAAATCTGGCCTAGCGTGCTCATTCGGTTCCAAACCCTTCAATGGTTGACACGGCCTTTCTGAACATGGCCTGACTGGGAGTCAGTCACGGTGGACGTCGGCGATCGTGATGAGTAAGTACCTCTGCAGCTGCATCTTCATTGATTGTGGCGAACGTATTCGACAAGATCTACTTGGTTCAGCACAATTCCACTGTATTACAAGAAAAAGACGAACAGACACGAGCACTGCATGGCGGGTCAGTTGAAGAGATCAAAGTATCACGAAGGTAGACGGACCAGTCAGAAGCAGTGTGTTCGACAAACACGCGTAGGTGACCATCAGGATAGGCCCAAAGATGGGGTGAAAATGGGCTGAATCATCAGATATGAGCAGCAGAATACATCAGGAAAACGCACTAGATTCGTCGAAGCCACTGGCATCCAATCCAAACCAAAGATCCAACATCCACCATGCTATTGTCGACGGAGGATGGGATCTAAGAAATGAGGGCTTGTCTCGCAAAAAGGAACGGAACACACTCGGCTTGATTGCGGCTCAGTCTGGGACAATTCATGTAATGGACTGGGAAAGGAAAGGAAGTCACTCACGTCCATAATGCGTAGAGAAAACCACAGAAGCAGAATGCGGCAATCATCATCAGGATGGCGAACTGCATTATCATTGCTCGAAGACTGAGGACCATCAGATTGTTCTTCAGAGTGACGAAGGCCAATCGCGGAAACATCATGCATGCAATCAGCGCCAAGCAATCGACACCGGTCGACCGAGCAGCAGGATCTGGCAGACGGTAAACGGCAACGTCAAAGCATGAAAGAGGGTGCTGACGGTCATAGTAGACACCGTATACGCTCAAAAACGCATAACAGCAGTATGTGGCCACTGTCAATCTTGCTCGGTACTGCCTGGCTTGACAGTGAATGCTGAAGCTTACCAAAAGCCGTGTCGAACCCATTCTACCCGCAAAGTCAGCTTACGAGGCGGGATAAAGCTACAGGACTAACCCAAGTACCCTTGAAATACACTTGATTCCAGGCATCAACACGAGTCCGAGAATGTAAACATGGCCTCGCACCTTTGATCCCATGTTCCTGCATAGCTGCTATCTTTTCGAGCGTAAATCCCAAAGCGTATATCATAAATGGGGCTCAAGGGGAGACGTCACATTCAAGGATCAGGATCTATTTGTGCGACATACCTTCAGCCAGGTTAATGCGTTCCGGGTCGTTTTGTTCGATCGCGATTATGAACAGCACAAACAAAATGAGGAAGCTGAACAAGATTCAGTTACCGCTTTCAATAGCAAACGCGCTTGACGCACTTGATGTATTCGAGCACAGATCGAATGGCCGGGACTTTGAGACTACAGTTCTGTCAGAAGATCTCCACGAATGGTGATTGGAGAGCATGCCGGTAATGATCGAGCATAGGCGCCTTATGGGGATCGTAGAAGTGTACCGGATTGCGTTTGTATGTCTGACTGCTCATCAGCACGAAATGCTAAGAAAGTCTGGGAGCACAAACATCCGACAGAATTGAGTGGCTGCTCTCCGCCTGATAGACATATCGTCCCCTGGACGCGGGGGTAAACGCAAGAACACGCAGCAAAGCATACTCACGACCAAATCGCGTCGATGACCTTCTGACACGAAGTGCTTTTGATGAAGCGTTTGGCCTTGCCGACAATAGCCATTTCAATCGCGTTGCCCACGCGTTCTTCCGGATCAAAGTCCACAAACTCTTCGCGTCCGTGTTCGAGGGCTTCGTGACTGGCTCCCGAATAGACTGAATGGCATTCAGATGCAGCCCAGCCTGCGGATGATCGCAGACCCACCCGGCCAACTTGTCGTGAGGATGAGAGCCAGATCCATCATGTTTTCGGCAAAGTCCCGTAGCACGCGAATAGCTAAAATCTCGCAAAGGGTCGCCCGTGAGGCGGACACAGCTGAGGTCACTGCAGGCGCAAGTGAGACCTCGAATCGAGAGCCTAGAGGATGCGGATTACCAATGTTGTCATCCCGAATGAAGTGGATGCGGTTCAGGAGAAGACAGAACACCACGCTCAGATTGTTGTGCGCCCGCTGGATGTTGCAGTATTTCTCCAGCAGCGGGTGAATAAGCGTGTATGTGAGGTCGGGCGCGGTCAAGGCCTGCAGAGAAGTAGATTGATTGAGTTTAGGAGTAGGTTGTCTGAATGAGAAGCGTCGACCTCGTACGTCAGAGGCGTGTCGATGAAGTGCTGGAACGCTCAATGAATTTCATATGGTTGCTCGAGAGGCTAGACAAACTATGATGTCCTAAGGATGTTGCGGTCAGTCCGGGGACACCAGGAGATTGGAGATTGAAGCTCGGAGAAACACACCTGTCTGATCATATGGATGATGGGGTAAACGGGAGTGGCCTCGATGGACTCGCTATATGCGGGTCGTGAACACCATGCATGTGGAAAGCTTGAGAAGTCTACCGGCTAAGCAGAGGCTGCCGCTCTTGCACCCCATTTTCCATCGAGGAGAGGTGACTGCCTGGTTTGAACCAAAGTGTGACTGCAATTATCAACTCCACAACGCGTGCCGGTAACTGTTCTTGACCACCACCACGACGCGTGCGAAGCCGTACCTTTCCCGCCCCTATGCAGTCGAGCGGCAACACGGTGAAGATATACAATGCCGTCTACTCATCCGTGCAGGTAGTTCACGGACTTTTCCCGTCCAATAATTGCCCACCAATGGTATTCGCTAGGTGTACGAATGTATGATCAGGAATATCGCGGTGATGCGCCGACGCGCCGATTCATACGTGAACGCGACGCAAATTCTCAAGGTGGCGGGTGTGGACAAGGGAAGACGCACAAAGATCCTCGAGAAGGAGATTCTACCTGGGAAACACGAGATCGTGCAGGGAGGCTATGGGAAGTACCAGGGAACCTGGTGCGTGCGCTTCCCGCAGTGCATTTCTTTATTGACATATCGCGACAGGATTCCTCTGGAGCGTGGCCGGGATATCGCGTTACAATACGGTGTGGGCCCGTTGCTGGCCCCTCTGTTCGACTTTATACCTAGCACAAGCTCGCTGGGACCACTTCCTCTCACCGCGCCCATCGGGGCGAACTCTCCCCGGCCCTTGTCTGCCGCCTCATCCTATGGCACACTTCCGGGCTCGCAGGGAAGCTACTCCGGACAGATACCTTCCAGTCTCGCGCCACCGCCCATTATGCCCGGCTCTGCCCTTCGTCTCCTCAACCAGGGACGCGCGCAGGGCCTTTTCACGCCTTCAACGACAGGGCAGCGTCACGGCTCGGGATTTGTATCGCCTTCGTATGGCTCGTCAGCGTTCTCCCCAACTGCCGCCCACACTCCTCCGCCGACCGCTCCCAACTCGTTGAAGCGGAATCGGTCGGAAGCAGATGTGGATGTTGCCATGAGCGCTCCAGGTGCGTCTCATTTGTCATGAGTGAGTTCCCTCCACTGACTTTCGCGCGCGCGCAGAATACGGCAGCAGTGTTGAAGGTCGACCAGCTTCTGTGGGGCCGCAAGCCAATGCAGATGGGGGGCCTTCAGCCACGAAACGCGCGAGGACAGATTCAGCACCTCCAGCACCGGCGCCAACAAACACTCCACCAACTCCTGTTGCCACTGCCACTGCCACTGCCACTACTGTGAGCGACGGGCCCATGAATGGGACGTCTCGCCCAGTCAGTACCAAACCCCCGGATGCTCCTCCTGCGAACATCACTTACGAAACGCGCTTCGCGAGCAAACCTTCTATTCCTCGAAACATCGACCCGACAGCGCCGATTCGGGACCAACGCCGACAATCTGCCATCAGTGCAATATGCAACACAGATGACCCTCATGCCGTTCTCGATCTCCTGCGGGAGTTGACACCCGAGGCCGTCGTCAACACTAGCAATACGAATCCTCCCCCATTTGATGCGGACACGATACTCGACGATCAAGGGCACAGCGCCCTGCACATCGCGGCTGGCCTCGCGCATCTGCGGACAGTGGCGTCGTTGATCGTGCAGGGCGCAGACATCCACCGTGGGAATCATCTGGGCGAGACGCCGTTGATGCGAGCCTGCCTTGGGACCCATGCCTGTGACAATTGCACCTTCGACACGCTCATCACCACACTTGGGTCGTCTGTGCGCACTCTCGATACTTCACGCAAATCTGTGCTCCATCACGTAGCCTCTGTGGCCGGCGTCAAAGGCCGCGCAGCCATCGCTCGATATTATCTGGACAAGATCTTCTATTACATTGCACAGAACCAGGGCGGACAGTTCAAGACGTTTGTTGACTTGCAAGATGAACATGGCGACACGGCATTGAATATCGCGGCTCGGGTGGGTAACAGGAGTATGGTCCGGACTCTGCTGGATGTCGGCGCGAACCGGATGCTCCCCAACAAGCTCGGGCTACGACCCGGAGACTTTGGGGTCGAAACCGAGGTTCGTGTCAGGGGGGTTCGTCCCACGACCAACTGATCGCATGGTCCTAGGAACTGAGCACGGCTCCAGCGGACATCCTGACATCGTTACGGTCCGGTCCTCCACCTCCCGTACAGAAAAGCCAAGATGTGATAGCAGGTTGCGTTTTCTAGTTCCGTATGGGCCTGTTATTGATCCGGATACATACAGATATGACCTCGATGATTCAAGGCTTGAGTAACGAGTTCCAGCACGAAATCAAGTCCAAACAGGACGCGCTCGATGTCACGCAAGCTCATCTCCGGGCCGCGACGCGCGAACTATCGGAGCAGCGCAAACAGATCCAAACATGGCAGACCCGCTGCGGCGAGCTAGACCAGGTGCATCAGCGGATACGAAATCTCGAGAAAGCGTTGGTGGACGAGGACCAATTCGATTGGACTGGGCGCAGCAACGGCAGCGGGGATCCTGATGCGGAAGGCGAGGTCGAGGACGAGACCGAAGATGTGAATGCTGGAGACGAGAACAATGGCGGCCCTGCATTCCAGTGGCGGGGCCCCAACTCGACGATGATCGGAGTGGATGGTGCCATCGACCTACCACAGGATGTCGATCCCGAGCCGCCGATTCCGACTGCAGACGACATCCCGAGCCTCATTCGTCTGCGGCGGCTCAAGATGTGGCACGCCCGAATGGAAGATCTGATCAAGTCGCGGCTCAAAGGATTGCATGGAGTGAGCTCGGAGAAGGAGTACCAGTGCAAGAAGATCATCTCGCTGTGTGCTGCGATCCCCATTGACAAAGTCGAAGAAGTACGTGGGACTTGGTTGTGTGTGTGTGCGTCGAGATGGCGGGTGTACTGACTTGTGCTCCAGATGCTCGAGAACCTGGTGATCGCTGTGGAAAGTGATCCGCAGATGCTGGACATCGGTCGAGTGTCTGGTTTCATGCAAAAGGTGCGCGATCTTTGAGTCGTTGGCCGCACGGACCCATGAGAGTGCTCCAGGTTCGTGACGGGATTGTGTAGCGTCGGCCATGTCTTCCTCTCCGTGTATGATTGAATTCTATTTTGCCCGCCCGCCCTCACGCGTCGTGCGTATATCACGCGATTACATCATCACAGAGGTGCCCGAGAGATCTATTTACATAAACCGAACCATCCTGCCAGGGGCTAGTTTTTCAAGTCTGCCAGCGACGCTGACTGTAAAACTGGCATTCAGTGGCTGTTCGGGCATCAGAGGCTCGAGGACTTACGCGAAAGTCGTGCATCGTATTGGTCTCGATCCGGATCGTGATAGGATCGTGTGTGTTCGTCGCAGCTGAGGGTGGCAGCTGGGATCGATTTCAGTACATTTCGACTCGGATCATGTGCGACAGAAAACACTCACTCGTGCGCGCACGGAGTTGTTCTCCAGGGAGTACTGCTCGTCGCTGTGGTTGTCGCTCGTTGACTTGATGTATTCTCTCGAGTTGAGGGTGACCAGAATCGAGTTTGTGTACAACCGGCCCACTGCAACGTGCGGTCATTTATTTCCCCGTGTAGGAAGCGCAAGAGTCAGCCTACGCAGCAGGAAAAAGAAGATGCTATGTTAGATTTAGGGTGGCTCGAATCGTGTGCAGCGAAGACATACTAGAGAAACGTGTTTGAGAACGCAGCAACCTATTTTGGACGTCAGAGAGGATTGCTTTAGGTGGAACAGCCACCGACACAGATGGTGGCGACCAGAGCGCATATGCTCGTAGGAAGACCAGTGTTGAAGCTAAAGATCATCTGCCATCACACTCAGCACAGGCGATCCAGAGAGCGATAGTAGAATGCACCAATCGGTTGATCAAGTCAGTTGATCGCTTGAAGCCCGTCTTGGCTACATGCAGGAGAAGAACGAGCACAACAGAGATGGTGATATCTGCTGCTGCAGACAGAGTATTCGCTGCGATGGAGAGGTTCTTGAGCTTGATGATATCGGTGATTAGCTTGGTTTTGACCGCTTTGACCGCATATACTGCCACTCGTCAGGGGAACGTCGATCAAGGAGAGGTCAGATAAGGAACACACTCATGAGCACCACTGTATTCAGATCAGACGGTGAGTTCGATGGCTCGATATGCGCGCTGCGCACCACATGATGTCCAGCTAACAGCAGACTACACAATAAGTCAGAAGAGACACGCGGGAATGGAGAATGGATGGAAAGACGTGCCACAGCAAGTGCCAAACCAGCATTATTTCCAACTGTCGATTGTCAGTGAGCGATCCAATGTTGTATTGCGCCGCAGTACTTTTGTATATTCTCCAACAGTAGAACCTGCACTCGAGTTAGGAACTGTGCAGGAGACGAGGGGACAACATACTGCTGGACAAGAGTGGTGATGGCACAGCTGAAGATGAGCTCGACCGTCAAGGACCTGTTCGGGTTCAATCGGCATGCGATATCGCGAATTGAGGAAACGTACTTGACGGAGCTCCCCAGGATAGTCGGATCCATCATGGACGACACTGTGACTCATAAATGGGTTCCGAAAATGAAGTGTATCTGAAAACGCACCCAGATATCTGTAGACTATACTGGTTGTAAGTGCCCGTTCGCTGCAGCCAGGGAATCGATTACCTGCGTGGCACACAAGCACCTGCTGAACAGTATCCAGAATCTGCACCGCGATGACCTGATCGATTAATCATTCCTGCAGTGCGTATCATCAAACATCAGTGGCCTACCACGCCCTTGACCAGCAAAGGATCCTTTTTATGGTACTTGCGGATGTACATCCAGAACTGCAGAATCCCCGCTAATCCGCGGACATCAGCGAGGATCGCCAGAGCGGGCGCGACGGAGCAGCAGACCTCCATACAATCTGCACAGGAGTCACGGACCGCGGAGGAGACTGCACCCGGTAAACTCACGCGGATGAAACTGCCACTGCGACGAAGAGCATCCCGAAGGTGTTGTCGGCGCTCGGTGCCAATCCCATGACGGTCAGAAAGAAGAAGGAAGGAAGAAAATGCAGAGAGAGAGAGAGAGACAAAGTGTTGTGGAGCAACTAGGCCGCCGTAAATTGGTCATTATTCGAGCGGTAATGCACGTTGGCGGGAAAGTTTTGAGGAACACCCCTCAAGCGGCCTGAGCCTGCACGAATGCCCCTGGACGGGCGGAAGACGATCGAAAAGCAGACAAGAACGCCGCATAGTTATGAAACAAGCGAGAGACCAAGAGAGCAAGAACTAGCTGCGCTCCCGGGTCAGCAACTCAAGTGGCGCTGTTCATTCGGAGAAGGGCGCAGAACGACTGGGCTTCGACAATCATCCCTCCACATGTCTGCCACGCTGCTCGAGAGCTTGTAGCGGACAAGAAACTCCTAGAAACAGATTCAGGTCCCAAGGACCAGAAGCATGATAAATTACCAACTGCAGTCCGTAAGTACGCAAGACAGCACGCCACAACAGAAACGGCCTGGAAACCGGCGATGAAACCTCGAAGTGGTATGCAACTCGATCGTCCTGGTGGACTTGACAACGCCAGGACGAATATTAATATGATAAGGTCGCAAGGGTGAACTGCGCATGCGGCTGCTTGAACATTCGGGCCGCGCGCAGCTGTTTGCGCGTGTGTGAGTGCTCTAGCGCCAAGCGCCGCAGGTAACTGGAGCAGTACTGGAGCGCTTGCTCGGCTATGCTCGGGGACCGGGAAGAATGAGTTAGCCGGCCTGGCTTCATGTGTAAGAGGATGGATGCAATGATTGAGTCGATCTCTAGTCGGCGAATCGTGTGCGATTGTGTGAGGAGCGAGTAAGCGCACGATCAGGTGCTTATCACGTGATATCCTACTGATGATCCGATTTCCAAGTCGACGCGCATTCTCTGACTTGGTACAAGGGCATGCAACATGGATTACGGAGATAGACTACTCGTGTGATTCTTCTGACTGGCTTTTCTCAATAAAGGAACTACTCGAATATCGTATTGTATTGACCTCGCAATTATCTCGATCGACTACTGTACACAAAGCGTAAAATATATGTAAGAAAGCGATATCGCCCAGCGCGCTAGTTTTTCAAGTCTCCCATTGATGTGGACTGCGAGGTGGTTTGAGCAAAAAGGGCACTTACATTCGGGGGTGTGAACTCACGTGGTAGTCCTGCATGGTGTTGGTCTCAATTCGAATCGTGATCGGATCGTGGTTCGACGCTGGAATCGTCGGCATCTGGGGACGAAGTCAGAGCAGTTCATGCGACGGACGCCGGGTTTCGACTCACTCTTGGGCGCCCCGTGTTGTTTTCCAGCGAATACTGCTCTCCGCTGTTGTGGTGGTCGCTCGAGGACTTGATGTATTCCCGTGAGTTGAGGGTGACCAAGATCGAGTTCGTGTACAATCGCCCGACTGGTTGGCATGGGACCGTCAGTGGGACTTCGCCTCAGCACGTGATCTACTCACGCAGCAGGAAGAAGAAAATGCTGTGTGGGGGTCAGGAGGCTAGGAGAATCAGATGCATCGGGACGCACTAAAGGAACGTGTTTGAGAACGCAGCAACCTGGTCAGGACGTTTAGGAATGAATCACGCTTAGACTAATAACAACTGACACAAACGGTGGCAACCAGGGCACATATGCTCGTAGGAAGACCGGTGTTGAAACTGAAGATCATCTGCAATCACAGTGAGCATGGGCGACTACGGACAGGGATAGATAGCACGGCGCACCAATCGGTTGATCAGGTCTGTCGATCGCTTGAAACCCGTCTTAGCCACATGCAGGAGGAGGACGAGCGCGACAGAAATGGTGATATCCGCCGCTGCAGACAAAGTGTTCGCTGCGATCGAGAGGTTCTTGAGCTTGATGATGTCCGAAAGCAAGTCGGTGCTAACGGCTTTAGCAGCGTAGACTGGGAGAGGGAATGTCAGAATGTGCGACATCCTGCCAGAGCACGGGACCCACTGAGGAGCACGACTGTATCACTGGATGAGAAAACGACTCAGAACGGAGTAATGGCTACGCACCACATGAGGTCCAGCTGACAGCCGACTGGATGGAGACACTCAAAGAAAGCTCGGCTGATAGAAGGAAACAAGCGTACCACTGCCAGCGCTAGGATGATACTCTTTCCGACTGCGATGATGTGAGTAAGCGAACAGGGCCTAATCTAATCGCAGTACTTCTGTATATTCTCCAGCAATAGAACCTACAACGAGTGAGTCAACTGGGGGCCGAGCCTGTACGGTAGGTAACTCACTGTTGTACGAGGGTGGCAATCGCACAGCTGAAGAACAGCTCGATCATCAGGGTTCTGTCAGAGCTTCAGCTCAAGGGACACGGCGACAGCAGCAAAGATGCGCACTTGACGACAGAGGCAAGGATTGTCGGATCCCTCATCGACGACACTGTGGCTTATGAGACACGAACGCCGATGAAGGCCGTCCAACCCACCGAGATACCTGTATACTTGACTGGGTGTCAGCATATTCTCATGGAGGCGAGGGCTTGAGGTACCTGACTCGCAGACAAGTGCCTGCTGAACAGTATCCAGAATCTGTACTGCGATGACCTGGGTGCTCTTGAGCAGGGTTAAAGCCGATATGCGTTGAGAACCTACCACGCCCTTGACCAATAGCGGGTCTTTCTTGTGGTATTTGCGGATGTACATCCAGAACTGCAGGACGCCAGCTATTCCTCGGATGTCAGTGACGACATGGGAGGTCGGCGGAGGGGAGCGAACCTCCGTACAATCTAAAGAAGCAAAGTCAGGCACCGTGGAAGGAATCGCGTCGCGTCGCGTGCACTCACGCGGATGAAACTGCCACCGCGATGTAGAGCATCCCAAACGTGTCGTCGATAGTCCCTGCTAGTCCCATGGCGGCGGTCAACGTCTGAAGAGAGGAGAGGCGGCGGGGAAGAGAGTGTGGAGAGAAAATCGGGCTGCGCTCGGTCAAGTATTTGAATACGACTCCGCATCGTCGCCGAAGGCTTGGAGAAAAATTTGAAACTTCTGCAGTCTCCGTGGTTGCGTGGAAACGTCTGGAACATGAGAGATTGCGTCCAGATCCATCTGAGAGAAGACGAGAAGTACTGGGCCGTTGTGGACGCAAGCGCACTCCACCTTGATGGGTGATGAGTGATAAGATGATTTCAATTTTGTCCATCCGTCACTCGGTCATCGTGCCGCCGGGTCCGAGGGGTCCGACCCCGTGGCCGATCAATGTTTCTGTGCTAAATAAGGACTTACCTCTTCGCTAATCAGCGCATTTGCAACAGCGCGTCACACGCTGTGGAGAATCGGACAGAATCTCTCCAAGCGAAGTCATTCCTCAAGCGGGGCCCGGAGACCATGACTTTCATCTTCTCCTTGAGCTCCGACTGGATCGTGTTTCCCTGAGCTGGGGGGATAATCTGAACACGCCGATCTCGATCCTTCTTTCAAGGATTTGATTTCTTCGATTTTCATGTTTTAGATCCCCTTGAGGTAATCGTCCCTGCAGTCTAGGCAACCAATCTGCCGAGAACTATATACAAGACATTCCAAAGTGGACTTGAGGCTCCAAAGTTCCCTCTTCTTCGCATCTCATCTTCATCATGGCACCCAGGGTCTGGTTCAGTGAGTCCCTACACGAGACATCTGGAATCTTCTCTAATTCCCTCCAGTCACTGGCGCGAGCAGCGTATGGAGCCGGGTTCCCGCGCAGTTCCCGCGATGCTCACGAGTTTCATTCACAGGGTTTCGGTCTGCTCATGGCGCAGAAAGCTTTGGCCAACGGTGACAATGTATGCCGTCGACCTCCCCTCTCTCAAGCGAAAAGACAATTCACCATCGTCGGATAGGTTGTCGCAACGTTGCGGAAGCCCGAAGTCATCTCGGACCTGGCTGCACAATACGGCAAGGACCGTCTGGTCGTGCTCAAGCTGGATGTCAAGATTGTCGGGGAGATCACTGCTGCGTTCGAGGCTGCGAAGGAGGCTTTTGGCAGGATCGATGTTGTAAGTGGATCTTTGTCTTTACATATCATATGCACGGCTAACGTCCGGTAGGTTTTCAACAACGCTGGTTACGGCATCATTGCCGAGGTGGAGGGCACGAGCTACGAGAAGGCCCGGGACATGTTTGAGGTGCGCCTGCGGCCCCGGCGATTGCCGGCCAACTGCTCACTATCTGCTCAGGTCAATTTCTGGGGCGCATTCCACGTTGCAACGCAGGCGGTCGCTTTCATGCGGGATGTGAATAAGCCACAGGGCGGACTGTTGATGAACATGAGCTCGATGTTTGGGATCGACGCCCCGCCTGGTGCAGGGTTCTATGCTGCAACGTTCGTTTCTGCTCTGTGCTGGCTCTGATCATCTCGCTAACCCAACCTGTGCTCATAGGAAATTCGGTATGCGATGTCTGGCCACCGCAGAGCCGGCCCAAGCTCACGTTTGAATCCGTAGCATTCGAGGCAATTGCCGACTCTCTGACCCGGGAACTGGACCCCGAATGGAACATCAAGACGGTTACATTTTGTCCTGGCTGGTTCAAGAGTACGCTTTCCTATTACCGGCTCTCGGTCCGAGCTGACCACCTGAAAACTAGCCAACATGACACTCGTCAATGCCGTGGTGGAGCCTATACACCCTGCCTATGATCGTCCAGGGAACGAGAGCCTGGGTTCCATTCAGGTACCGGTATTCTCTGTCCGTCCGGCTCCAGTCTCACCCGAGTTTCTCAGACCCGCACCGCTGGTGTCGCCTTGATTCGAGGGGACAGCCCTCTGCTCCAAGATGCGACCAAATTGATTAACAAATTCTGGGACATCAGCAACTTGGAGACCCCCCCAACCCGACTAGCCTTCGGCGAAGATTCCAAGGTTTGCTCTCCCCCTGCGGCTGTATCACAAACCCGTACTGATTCTCTTGCCAGGCAGTATTCCAGGCCAAGTGGACTACACTCAAGGCCGATCTGGAGGCCAGCCAGGAATGGTCGAAGGATTTGGGCTATACCGATTAATTATTTTTGTACAGTACATGGGTAAATAGAGATGACATCATTGTGGGCGCATGCATTGTGATTGATCTTACCGGGTCCGAAGCATTCCAATCAGACCCTGACTTGCAGCCCCCTTGTTACCAGGTTGAACAGTCTTTCCGCAGAAGCGTGCAGTGGCAATCACTGTGATTACTGTGACATGGACGGAGAGAGTTACATGGCACGTGGAAATTATTGGTATTGGATCCCACGGATATAACGACCGAATGATGCAAATCTCATTCTTTTTTTGCAATTACATATCCTCTGGAGAGAACAGCTGGAAGTTTCGATTGTACGTCCCTGAGGCAAGAAGTTTTCCGTTGCTGGCGATGTCGACGGACATCACCTTGCCTGCATCAGTGGACAGAGTGCGAAGGAGCTGCCAGTCATCCGCACTCCACAGCTTCACTTGTCCATCGTACCCTGAGCTCGCCAAATACAGACCAGACCGATATTTCCACTCGTCCATCGCAAGCGACGGCTTGTCATGACTGGCATCTTCATCCATGGGCTCGGCAGTGCCCGCTCCGCCCGGGAAATTCGTCTCGTCTGTCCGGAAGAAACGCACGTCGGACACATTGGACCGGTGCGCAGGAATGTTGTACAGCGACTTGAGCGATCTTAGATCCCATATTCGCAGAGTATCATCGCCGGACCCGGTGGCTATTTGGTACCTAGTCTCGGTCAGCGTGGACTGAGGATGGCTAAGCAGGGAACAACACTGACCCGTTCGGCGAGAATGCGATAGAATAGATGGCCTGGACATGACCATCCAACACCATCGCCGTACGACCGGTCCGTAGATCCCAAACACGTCCGATCGCGTCAAGACCACTGGAACGGGATGTAAATGATAATATCACATGCCCACAGAACTGAGCCGCACCCGGAAGCGACTAATGCGCCGTCATCTTGAAACTCTACCGAATACACCTCTTTTGAATGTCCCTCTTGTAGTAGCAGCTCTTTAGAGGTGTTGACATCCCAAAGTCGCCAGGTCGTATCGAAACTAGCACTGCCGACATAGTCACCCGATGGATGAAAGGCAACCCGGCAAACGCGGTTCTGATGTCCTTTCAATACTGCCAGAGGCGACTCGCTGTATGGACAATCATCAGCTCCATATGCAACCGAGAGGCTTGAGAGCATTCACGAGTCCAATCCCCAAAGATTCACGTTGCCCTCGCCTCCACCGCTTGCCAGATTGACGACGCCTCTGGGCTGCGACAAAGTTGCATTGGGATGCCAAGCGACACCCCCGACGCGATCGCTATGTCCTGTTCGAACTCAATATAATGCATGCTTCAAATCGGGACCGATCTCACCTCGCATGGTGTGCGAAATGGTACAGGCGGGGACATTCCAGATTTTGACAGTTCCCGACCAGCTTCCCGTAGCGAGGAACTCATTGTTGGGAGAGAACCGGACTTGGGATATAGGTCGTTCGTCTCCGATCTGTGAGCCCAGATTCGAGAATTTCTGTCCAGTCGGTCATTGAACGTGTCGTCAGAGCAAATATGGTCACATGCCTTGACCTCAGCAAATGCACGCTTTCGAATGTCGACTATGCGCCCCAGATCCATCTTACTGTCGATCCGCTGCTGGGTGACGCGTTTTTGAGCTCTGTAAGAAAGATAGAAGAGAAAGTAAGCACCTTGCTGCAGCCAGAGAAGGGATGGACGTGTCCCACCTCGGCAAAGAGTATTCCGCGATGCGCCTGCGAGCTTCAAGCAACTCAAGCGATCCAGGAGAATAAAACTCCTCTTGCTGAAACTTTTGAGTGCTGTCTTAGAGCGCCGAAAAGAGTGGTGTGGATACCTCTTCTTCGCTATCTGAGGACGAGTCTTCGTCCACTTGCATAGGTTGATCGCCCCGCGCCGCATTTATTTGCGAAGTGACATAGATGAGTCGGTCTCTGCGGTCAGCGGCCTAGGGCGCGTGTCAATGATGCTGTTTTAGACACCTACAAGAAAGATAACGCACTCGTTCTCCGAATAGGGTGATGGGTTCTCCAAGTTCCCTTAGCCTTGCTTTGACTCGGTTGTCATCGGTAGGAACGGCCATAGTCCTAGCCTTCTTTTTGCGCTCGAGTTCATCGAGGATGACCTGGTTTTCGAGCCTGACGCGCTCTGAACCCAGATAGTTGCCATCATCCACCAAAGATTCAAAATCCATCCTGATTAAGACGGTGCTCGAGACAGCGCTATCAAGGAGCGAAGAACACGCCGAGTGAGCTTTGATTTAGAGTGGAAGGGGAGGCCTGGTCACTGGTGAGAGTGCTAGTTGTGGCTGTGCTACACAATTGAAGTTACCACGACGATCACAGGCTCCGAGTTGGGTTTACGACAGCTAACGACCACTCGATTCTTGTTTCTCTCTTGAGTCTTAACCGCGAGCTTCCGCATCTCTCATCTCTCCCGAAAGACGAACAGGATGTACCAATCACAGCAGGGTCCTTCCAGTCCCATGCTCCCGCCTCCGTCGCGTACTCCCGAACCGCCCCAGCCTAGTCAAGGTACTTGCTTTCTAATTACCGACCCGTCTTTCTGTTTTTTCTCGGTAGCTCCAAGCTCACGCACTGTAGACCCAGATTATGTCTACTTCGAGCGTACAACGACGGGCTTCACATCGGACGCCATCGCTCGCGCCACAGCCGCGAAGCTCAAACTGGCTACTTACTATAAGGTTGCCGTGGAGGCTGCCATCGCTCGCAACGCCCGGTACGGCGACTTCCCCGTTCGACATTCAGAATGACCCTAATCAACGATAACCCCACAGGCGGATTGAGCTTGAGACGCGGTTAATACAGATCCCTACGCCAGATGGAAAGGAACGCGAGATTCGAAAGTACACCAAGCTCGAGTGTTCCCATTTGCGTCTGAGAAGGACGAAGATCACGCTGGCCGACTTCCGCACCATCAAGGTTATTGGCAAGGGCGCGTTTGGAGAGGTCCGGCTCGTCCAGAAGCAGGATACGGGCAAGGTCTATGCGATGAAGAGTTTGAACAAGGCGGAAATGTTGAAACGCGATCAAGTGGGTGGCCTAGCGACATGAGAGCCAACAATCTTGACAGTCTACAGCTAGCTCACGTCCGCGCGGAACGTGACGTGCTGGCAGAAAGCAATTCTCCTTGGGTTGTACAGCTTTTCTATTCGTTCCAGGATCCCTTCTACTTGTTTCTTGTCATGGAATTCCTTCCTGGAGGCGATTTGATGACGATGCTCATGAAATACGACGTGTTCTCTGAGGATGTCACGCGCTTCTACATGGCCGAGTGTATCCTCGCGATCGAAGCAGTCCATGCGCTTGGCTATATTCACCGGTCCGTATTTCCTGGTGTCCGCGGTACTGGACTGATGATGATCTAGCGATATCAAGCCCGATAACGTGCTGATTGACAAGAACGGACATCTCAAACTGTCTGATTTTGGTCTCTCCACTGGCCTGCACAAAGCCGCGGATGGGGACGTATACAAGCGATATCTCGAGCAAGAGAAGACTGTCAACCCGGCCCGTAACAGTGTGCAGGTAAATCCAATCAACTTGACGATGAGCAGAGAGCAAATCGCCACTTGGAAAGCCAACCGTCGGAAACTGGTGAGTTGTCTCTAGTACTCAAGTCATTGGATTGTATGGCTGATTGCTTCTCAGGCTTACTCGACTGTTGGTACTCCAGACTACGTGAGACATTTGTTATGCCCTCAAATAACCGACTAATATCTGACCAGATTGCCCCCGAAGTTTTTATGATGAAGGGGTATGGCAAGGAGTGCGACTGGTGGTCTCTTGGTGGTCAGTAGAGCTTGAATGCCGTTGTCTACAGCCACCGCTGACTGATCTTTTAGCGATCTTCTTCGAGTGTCTGGTTGGATATGCGCCTTTCTGCTCCGAGAACCCTGGAGACACGTACAAGAAGATCATCGATTGGCCCAATTACCTGTTCTTCCCGGAGGAAGTGTACATCTCCCCAGAGGGAGAGGATCTTCTGCGGCAGTATGTATCAGCACATGCGTCGGATTGCGTTCTTGACCCCTCCTTTAGTATGATGACCTGGGCTGATCAACGTCTGACCGTCAACCAAATCAAGTCCCATCCGTTCTTTTACGGTGCAGATTGGAACACGCTCCGACAAATTGAGCCACCATTCGTGCCTCATCTGCAGTCCAGCACAGACACCTCATACTTCCCGACAGACGACTTTGGAAATGTGCCCGAAGCAATGGACAAGGTGGAGGGTGTCACACCGGAGAAGGACATTGCCTTCTTGAAGTAAGTCCACCTCAAGCGCTTATTGCTTTCGATAACTGATCCGGTCTGTGCAGCTTCACTTTCAGACGTCTGGATGGACCGCAAGGGCGGTGATTTTGTCTTGGTTTCTTTATCACTCGTACTACACAATGGAGTTCTCATCAAATGCATAATGTTCCGCATCCGTAGTCCCTACAACTGGCAATTCGCTCGAGTACTTGAGCATTGAATTTGGATCAAGTTACCTTCAGATCTGTTCCGCGGTGCTCCGTAAAGCTTAACCATCTCTCAAACGCTTGCGGTTGCCGGGCAGATGGGCCGCGGATGCCGGATTTGTCCGGGCCGCCACATTGTCTCGTGGACACTGATCAGTCTGCTTTCACGGGTCTCGAGTCTGCTGAAGGATCATCTATATGTAGTGCGTGCGTTGCCACTTCCAGCGTTTTCACACCCTTTTTGCATCATGTCCTCCGAGGTTGGCAACGCAGCGATCTACAGCCCTCTTAAGGTGTTGCAGCACCCCACGTTCAGGGTCCTTGCACCGGGTGAAAAGCCGGACGCGTCTGCCAACATCGCGGCATTCTACAATCCTGCCCATGAAATCCATCTTGTCGAGAAACCTCGTCCCAAACCTGGTCCCGGACAGGTTCTCCTGCATGTCAGGGCGACCGGGATCTGTGGGTTCGTGTCCGATTCTGCACTATGTGGCCTTCGTGTGAATTTTCGTTCGCAGGAGCGACGTGCACTTCTGGAAACACGGCGCCATCGGTCCCATGATTGTCACTGACGAGGTGGGTGCATCGTGCATTCAGACCCACCACCGAATCTCAGACGATCACGATTCAGTGTGGATCCGGACACGAATCGGCGGGTGAAGTCATCGAGATCGGCGAGGGTGTGACCCAGTGGAAAGTCGGTGAGACCCGATCTAGTCTTCAGGAATATCTCCTTCTCATGATTGGGATGAATCGCAGGCGACAGAGTCGCCATCGAAGCGGGTGTTCCTTGCTCGCAGCCATCCTGTGATGCCTGTCGCACTGGCCGGTACAATGCATGCCCCGATGTCGGTGAGTCTGTCCCGATAACGACAGGTATCAGTCGCTCAACAACCGATAGTCTTCTTCTCCACTCCTCCGTTCCATGGTACGATATGTCTCAGCCTACTCCGATCGGGGATGAAGGATTGTTCCAGGAACCTTGACGCGGTGGCATCTCCACCCGGCCCAGTGGCTGCACAAGCTGCCTGACAACGTCAGTTTCGAAGAAGGCTCGCTTTGCGAGCCTTTGGCCGTCGCTCTGGCCGGCATCGAACGTGCAGAACTTCGTCTCGGCGACCCGGTTCTCATTTGGTCGGTCTCATTGTTGACTCGTATCCTCTTGTGCCAATGAACTCTGCAGTGGAGCGGGTCCCATCGGTCTGGTTTCCTTGCTTTCTGCTCGTGCTGCCGGCGCTGAGCCTATTGTCATCACCGACCTGTTCCAGAGCCGACTTGATTTCGCGAAGAAGCTAATTCCGGGAGTGCGCACTGTTCTCATTCAACGTGGATCGACGCCGAAAGAACAAGCTGCCGACATCAAAGCAGCTGCCGATGGTCCAGTCAAGTTGGCGTTGGAGTGTACTGGTGTCGAGAGCAGTGTGCACACAGCAGTCTACGTGCGTACTCGGGTCGCAAGTATCATCCAATGCGATATTCACCCATCGGCAGTCGATGAAATTCGGTGGAAAGGTGTTCATCATCGGTGTTGGCAAGAACGAGCAGCTGGTCAGTCAACCTCCTCGAGACTGGTGATACGACTAACGGAAACAGTTCCCATTCATGCATTTAAGCGCCAACGAGATTGACATCAGCTTTCAATATCGTTACGCGAATCAGGTATGTGTGCTGCACCAACCAGCCGATCAACCCCTCATCATCATGTACCAGTATCCCAAAGCAATCAGACTGATCTCCGGCGGCCTCATCGACGTAAAACCCCTCGTCACTCATCGCTTCCCATTGGAAGAAGCGGTCTCCGCGTTCCACGTCGCTGCGGATCCGGCTCAAGGCGCCATCAAAGTCCAGATCCAAGACTGAGAGGCGGAAGGGCATCCTATCCAATCTAAATCCTTCGCTTTGATACCTTATTCCAAACCAAGTCGTTGTCGTTCCTGTTTGTATTTCTCTAGCTGGTGTACCCTCAATTCTGTGTCAAGGACCGCATCATCCCATGCCACAAAAAGTTCAGAAAGTGCATCGACCTAGAAGAAGATTTGTGATTGCATATCCAAGCCTACGATCCACCCACCTGAGTCGCGTGCGTCTGCATCAATCTTTCAAGCCGCTTCTCCAAAGACGCGGCAAGAGCCAGGTCCTCTTGTTGCAATTGAATCAGTGCGTCTAATCTGGGTTGCAAGGATTCATGATCTGGGAAGGGAGGAACATCAGAGTCCTGGCTCAGAGGTAAGGGAATCCAGAATACCTGCCAGCTTGCCAGCACCGGTGATCCCCTTCTCTTCCAACAACTCGATCTCTTGCATGTCGCGTTCAGCAGCCCGTATGTCTGGTTCCATTTCGACCAGGAGAACTTCAAGTTCGCTCGCAGAGATATTCTGGTACGTGGGACCTTCGGAAGGGGCGGATGATGACGCGAGGAGAGCTTCGTGCTGATCGTCTGGGGTCCTGCTTAGACAGACACGGTCATGTAAGGCAGTGGGACACACGCACAACGATCTATGAACCGCTTGAGACCATCATTGCTGCTCACGATGGCGTTCAGCCGCTTCTGGATATCATCTGCCGCGCGAACCAGGGTCTCTCCACGAGGCAAAGTGTCTAGTGCCTTGCTGGTGTCTAATTGCTTGACACCCAGGAGGATCGCCTCGAGCCACCGCAGGCGAAGCTCCAAGGACAATGCGGGCTCGATAACCGCGGGGGACTTCGTGTTGGGTGATGCTGAGGACGAGGAAGGGATGCTGGAGAACACAGCGGACATTGAAGTGGGAGGGGGTGACGAAGGAGGAGTTCCCGTGGAGTTCGAGGCGGTCGAAGAGAGAACTCGGCGCCGGACGGTCGCGTCTCCGAGAAACGCGCTGCCAATGTTGGCCATCCAAAGATCTAACCTTCGTGGACCAAGGTGAAGCCTGTGTACTAGGCGAATGCCGCAAAGGCCAAACGTGGATGAAAAGGCTTGATGAGGGCTGTCAAATTGAAAGATTGATTGAACTGTCACGTCAAAGTCCAATGCAGCCCAGCACTACCTATCTTAACCTACATCCCGCCGGCCGTGCTCGCCTCCAGCTCCGGTGGCAGGACTCGCAACTCCCTTCCTATGCCCACGAAGGTCCCCCGTCGAGCGGCCATGGAAGACGATCCTTTTGCTAGAGTGATAGCACCTCCACAGAATGAATCCCCCGAAGAGAGAGACTATCGGCTTCACGAGGAACGTGTCGCAAAGCAAATCTCGGATGCTATCGATGCCTCAATCCTTCGAGAGCAAGCGGTCGAAAAGAAACGACCTAAACCCGTGAAAATTCTATTGCTAGGTCAGACCTCCCATTGTGTCCGACCCGACACAGTCCTCATCGTCACATTCGTCTCGCAGGCCAAAGCGAATCGGGTCCGTATTCTGTGCATCGCTCGATCGGTCTGAAACTCATTTTTCTCGCACTCAAGGCAAGTCCACGACGCTGAAAAGTACGCCGTCCCCCCAAGTTATATGGGTAGCGATTGCTGAAATCTACTCAACGGTTAGATTTCCAGCTTCTCTATGAACCCAAGGTCTGTCGTGAAGTGTTGTGTATCTGGGTCTGTCATTGAGCTGGCATTGTCAGGCTTTCCGAGCTGAACGGGCATCATGGAGGGCCATTATACAGCTGAACATCGTCCAATCGATTCACATCATTCTGACTGCGATGACAAGGAGCGAGAACATCCCCCCGACTCCCCGATCGAGCTTGTCATCACAGGACTCGCTCCGGTTTGACAGCGACCTTCTCGCTCTCAGATCTCGTCTACAGTCTCTACTAGAAATCGAGAAATCGCTGCTGAAGCGGTTGTCACTTCCTGGGTCGACGGAGGTGGAAGCCACAGAACGACCGCTAACAACTCGACGTCGACAGTCACGGGAAGTTGCCATCAACTCGTCTATGCCTTGGAAAGGCGCTTTCGCCCGAATGACAGGGGGGTCTAATCGAGACAGTGTTGACACTGACCACCTCGTGGACTGGGACGATCCGGAGGACCCCGGAGTGGTTCTTCACTCGCTGCGGGAAGATATGAAACGGCTTTGGGAGCATCCCACCGTGCAGGCAATCTTGGAGAGGCAGTCTATCCGCCTGCAAGAGTCTGCCGGGTTGTACGTTATATGCGCGCTATAGTGTCCGAGATGCTCACGTGTACTTCCAACAGCTTCCTGGACTCCATAGATGAGGTTACATCGCTGCGCTATGTCCCGACGGATGGTCTGTCATGATAATGCCACCAGCTGTGACTTGACGTTGTTGGACAGATCACATATTAAGAGCACGGTTGAAAACGCTGGGCGTTTCCGAGCACCGCATGCGGCTGACTGATCCCAGTATGTACAGGATCTCATCTATCACCGATCTAATTCCTCATTGGTTTGCAGCTGGTGGCATGAGTCGGGATTTCCGTTTGTTCGATGTTGGAGGGACGCGCTCACTAGTAAGACAAGTCTTCAATTCAGCCTGTTTCCAGACCTGAACGACTCGTGCAGCGGCATGCCTGGGTCAGCTACTTTGATGATATGGATGCCTGGTGCGTGGCCCTCTTGCGGCTCCGTCCATGATCTCAAAATTACCAGCATATTTCTCTGCCCGATATCCGCGTTCGATCAGGTTTTGGCGGAGGAACCCACAGTCAATCGCTTGGTATGGTGGGATCTTCGCATGACTGGCCGGATCTAACATATGTTTCGCAGGCCGACTCGTACAAGTTGTACACGGCAGTTGTATCAAACAAGCTGCTGCAACAGACAAATATGATTTTGTTCCTCAACAAAGTCGACATTATGCATGCCAAACTCATTTCAGGCATTCGGCTTGCTGACTATGTCGATTCCTACGGCAAACGACCCAACGACTTTGACAGTGCATCACGATGTGCGTTTGTATCACTGAAGATAGAGATAACTGTGTGAACTGATCGATCGTATCAGATTTGAAGAAGCAATTCCGTGCGATGATGTGTGGTCCCTTACGTTGCGGCACTGACCAGAATTCCAGAATCGATACTGAAACAACATTCACCTATTCCTCGGGTATTCTATTGTCATTTGACGAACGCCATCGTACGCGATCCATCTCTTCTCGTCTTCTTCCAACTGACATTGACATAATTCAGGACACCAAATCCACACGATATGTTCTAGCCGGAGGTGTGCCGATTTCCGCATTCTTTTTGCTCTGGCCTAAATTTGTCCTCCAGTGAAGGATATGCTCATGCGCGGGCACTTGCAAGAATCTCATCTCATCATATAACACTGTTTTGTTGTCGCTCTCGTAGCTTTCGTATCTTACTTGTCGTATACAATCTATAAGCTATCGCGTCTCTTTCTTTATTGATTTCAAACAATCTCTAACTGGCTGTTTCTAGCTGGACCATATTCCGTCCCGGTTCAGTACCATCTCGTGCTTATGTATTGGAGCTCCGACCTTATATCACAGATCAGATCAATTTGATCGTCGTTCCAGTAGGTCTGGATGTTGTAGTCGTTGGCGTACGCGGGATGGCGTCTGCACCGAAGAGACGCGTCTCCTATATAATCCCAGCTCCAGTGGACCCTGTTCCCCGCCTTGTGCTTCCAAATCCAACCACCAACCGCCTTGGCCGTGTGCGCCCGCTATTGATCCCGGACTCCGTCCAGCCCGCTGCAGTCGATTCCGATCCTGGTGCACGCAGCCGGCACCCCCGCCACCGGCTAGGGATCTCCGCACTCGCGCTCGATGCCTCGACGCTGCTCACGAGCCGGCATTCTCCCGAAGGGATACTCTACACGGGCGGACGGGATGGGCTCGTCATATCATGGGATCTCGGGTTTCCGATGCGGCGCCGCTCTACGGATGAGCGGGATGTGAGGAAGGGGCGGTGGGAGGCTCTGACTGGGTGGGCAGATGACTCGATAGACGAAGAGGACGAAGGGGAAGGCCCGACCAGCGACGGAGATGTGCTGGGCGATGTCACTTCGAGTCTCGCACGGAGGCGCATGCCTGGCGTTCGAGAGACTCCGTATGAGGAGCAGTGGGAGGTCGATCCCGAAGGTGTCGCTACGAGGGTGCGTGTGCGCTGCAGGTCTCAGGTTCTAATCCCGATTGCTTCGTGTTTATCCAGAGCAGCACTTTCCGCCAGTGTGCGCAGAGCCATACCGACTGGGTGAACGACATACTGCTGTGTAATTACAACCAGACACGTATGGTGTTGGCCTACTTGCCATGCTCTTCCAGTACCTGACATGATTCTCGTCTAGTCGTCTCGGCATCGTCTGATGGGACTGTGCAGGCTTGGACCCCGCATGGCCCAAGCGACTCGCAACCCAGTCTTATCGGCAGACACAGCGACTATGTGCGCTGTCTATCTGGCTGTCGCACTCAGAACTGGGTGGCCTCGGGATCTTTCGACCGCACTATCGCTCTTTGGGACCTCGGTCGCAGCCAAGCTAGCCCAGATCCGCTGGTGACACTGCAGCCCGTCGACGCGCAATCACCCAAGTGCTCGGTATATGCGCTGGCAGCTGATCCGTTTGGTCATGCAATCGCTTCTGGAGGGCCCGAGCGTGTGGTACGAATGTGGGATCCTCGGTCAGGAAAACGATCAGGTCTGTGATGTCTACTCAATTGTACGATTTTCCGACACCTCCGAAGGCAAACTAGTGGGGCACACAGACAATATCCGCGCCATCCTGCTTTCCGAAGATTCCAAATATGTATGTCCTCATCACTCAGTTTTGCCTCCCATGCTCAACCGAACCGCTAGTTACTTACAGGCTCTGCTGATGGTGAGGAATGATCTCAGACCTGCTTCTCTAAGTTATCATAATACGTTTAGCCTCCATCAAACTGTGGTCTCTTGCCAGCCAACGATGTCTGCACACATTTACCCATCACGCGGACTCGGTTTGGTCGCTGTTCTCGGCACATCCGACGCTGGAGACATTCTACGCTGGAGACCGCTCGGTTTCGTCTCGCGGGTGGACGTATCCAGCCTACCCAACGACGATGTCGGCGACGGAGAGTGTGTCTTGATTTGCAAAGAAGGGGAAGAGTCGCCTACGGGCAGTGCCGTGTCGGGGCAAGGTCTCGGGGGGATCAACAAGCTTGTGGTTGCGGATGACACGTTTGTCTGGACCGCGACGAGTTCGTCTTCGGTTCGTCGATGGAGGATACCCACCCGAGGCGCCACCAACATGGGTGCAGGCGCGTCCAGTCCGCGTCAGAGTCCGCCGGTGGACGGAGAGAACGACTTCGAAGGCCGCTCGATCGCGCCCTCAGTTTTGTCCTGGGAAGGCGATGACGACGGCGACAATCGACACGGGATTGCTTACGCAAGCCTGATTCGGCTGACGAGCCCCAACGACCCGTATCCTGTCCGCAGCGCCGGCCGCGATGCAGAAGTGGCCACGCTATACTCCGCTGCGAGTGTTCTCAGTGTGCCAGCACTGAGATCTCCCCATCTGCCCTCTTCTCCGCATGGCCACGTGTCATCGCCTAGAGCACCGCCGCATCCCAACTCCCGCGAGGCCTACTTTGGGCGTGAGCTGGCTGCGGATGCGACGGCCCTGGTGGGGTCACCTGATCCGGCAGGCACTCTTTCTGGGGAACGCGGGTTGGTCCGTGCGCTCATTCTGAATGATCGGGTGCATGCGGTCAGTGTCGATACAGGCGGTGAGGTCGCTGTCTGGGATCTGGTGCGGGGTACATGCGTTGGAGTCATCCCGTTGGAATCGCAGGACTGCTCCAAGGAAGATTGGGCCCCCAGAGAAGCACTGGAGAGAGTGAGAGAGTGCATCGAAGGAGAAGCGGTGGTCAACGGCTGGGCGACGGTCGACACGAAATCGGGTGTACTCGCTGTTCATGTCAACGAACGCTCGTTCGAGAGCGAGATCTATGCTGACGAGGTTGGCTTTGCTGGGGATCGGCGTTTCGGGGATGAAGCTAAATGTGCGTGTTCAATCCTGCCTTGAGAACGCGTTCGATTTTTTCAACATCGATAGTGAACATCGGAAAGTGGGTCCTCCGCAATCTGTTCCTGCCTTTTATCCGGGAGGAGCAACGCTCGAGGCGTCCCCGACGTGACAGCAATCACAGTCAAGACACGCAGTCAACTCGACGAAGCAGTGCTGAGAACCGGCAAGCGTCCATCACCTCCACTTCCCCCAAGTTCCTGCCGGCTATGCCGCCCTCTGTTTCGCCCGCACATCAAGGCGCGTCGCCGCTCCTGACGCCGATGATTCCCCTCCCGCGAGGCAAAGAGCACATACCGATGCCCACTATTCCGGCCAGCACCGCTGTAGACACAAACGATGCCACCCCGATGCCGCTCCAGCCGAATCGTCGTGGCCCCTCGGATCTGCTAGGAAGGAACAGGGCGACTACTTCAACCGGCCCAGGCACACCTCCATGCAGGGCGGCGCGACACCTGGCGCGGAGGATTTCTCGGGCTGGGGCGGACCCAGCAGCGTGCCGAATGCCACACCAAGCACGCCCACCGGATTGATGGGCCGGTTGAAGAGTTTCGGCAAGAAGCGAGCCCAGGAGATGGCGATGCCTCCGGTGCCTGCAGCGATGCCAGCGCCTGTAGTCGAGGTTCGTCCATGGCATGTGATCGGAATATTCATCTGATCTCCTTCAGACTGTGCACCCCGAGGCAGCTACGAAAACGCAGTTGCAAATCTTGCTCGCTACTCCGCTGTCTCCGCCGCCCTCAAACGAAGCTCCGACACTGGGCTTAAATTCCCACGTGCCGCTGTTGATTGAGGAGGAGAATGCAAACGGGTTCACGGTGAAATACCGCGGGACCATCGGCTCCACGTCCGCCGATGCAGCTGTGCTCGAAGAGGTGATGCCCCCATGGCTGATCGAATATTTGCTGTTCCATCGGATGCCTAGCAGTCCGCCGCAGATCAAAGTCAGCTTCGTTCTCGTTCCATGGGCAGGAGACAACCAGCAGCAGCTGCCGGAGCTCATCAACTCGTCTGTCCCGCTCTTCTCTGTTTTCCACCTGACTCTTCTCAATCTCATCGTGCAGCGCACAATCTAAATTAACAGCGAGTAGGCAGCTTCGTGTGCGGAAACTTCTCGTCCACGTGTGTCTTGCGTGTGCCTTGTCTCGTCCTGTCGTCCACTGATCATTTCCAGGTCCAAGAGAAACTGGAAAAACTGGAGCCTCCACCGCCCGATGTGCCTCGCGCTCGGCCTGAGGACTCTTACGAGATACTTTGCAACGATGTGGTTTTGCCTATGGATATGACCATCGCCGCCGTCCGCCAGTATGTCTGGCGCCAGAGCGCAGAGCTGGTCATGTGCTACCGCCGGAACACTGCTCATCGGACCAAAAACTCCAGACATTAGATGATGTAATCCCATATATCCTTATTCTGTGATAGCGTGTTTTGAGTATATTCACCTAGATAGGAACCCAGGCGTTGTGGTCAATGCTTCCAAATACGGACGTGTGACATCGTGTGACGCATGGCTTGTGTTTCGATCATTAATACCTTGCGTACACCCCGATGGTGTACATCGGTGTTCCCTCCAACAGCCGCCCGCCACTCCTTTCGAAACTTCTCCCAAACATCACCATGGGCCAAAGTGTCTAGGAAAACAACTGCCACTCCGCCACCGCGCGCTGTCCTACGCCGACGCTCCCCACTGAGCCCCGTCGAGCCTCATGTGAGGCGGCCACCGGTCTCTGAGCCCGTGCCCGAGGAGGCTGATTTGCTGGGGAGCGATCTCCGCACCCCTGGTTCCACGCGCAAGTCGATCTTCGTGAGCAGGATCTCCTCGCATCCTACGCTCCTGCCTGGCTGAACTGTGCTGTAGTTCTTCGGGACGCTGTCGTGCGGCGTGTTCTTCGTCGCGGCGCTGGGAACGAATTATCTGACCAACTACTGGCGCGATGTGGTTCTGAGTACGAGGGGTGAGGCTGAGCTCGATCTGGGGACGCTGCTCAGGGTGAAGGCCCAGACGGCCCGCCAGGTTCGTGTTCGCTTGCCCTTCGTCCGCTTGCCCAGTCCGTTCCGCTGCTTACATCACGTAGAGCGCGCAGGAGTGGGTGAACCGCGTAGCGCAAGCCACGAAGGACTTTCGCCCATCCCCCGCTCAGTCGTTAGAGGGATCTGCGAAGCGGTTGCCAATGCGTCTTTGGACTACGACGTGAAAAAGGTGTGCTGGGGATTCGTCGCTATCAATATCTCGGTGTTTTTGGCATGGCGCGTCCCCCGTTGGACGGCATTCATGGCGCGGACCTTCATCCATTATCCACTATCTGGGAGGTATCTGCCGATGGTCACGTCTCTGTTCAGGTGCGATTCCCTGTGCTTGCGGCCCAGCACAAGACGTAACGCAGCGACGCAGTCATATCGGCCTGGTGCATCTGTTCTTCAATTGCTTCGCGTTGACGGGTTTCGGATACCTTGCGGGGATGTACTTCAGTATCGAGCAGGCAGACGGTCCGTCTAAGCTCCTCGAGTCGACGAACGCCCCGCACTTCGCGGCGTTCTACATCACCGGTGAGTGGCTTGTGCGGCACACTGCGCGTCGACTCTGATATGTGTGTTGCAGCGGGTGTCTTTGCGTCGCTGGTTTCTCAACTCATACACACACGCGCCTTTGATGCCAAGAATGCGATCCTCATGGCTACGAAAGGCTTCAGGATGCGCACAATGGGGGGCCAGCTGGGCGCATCGGGTGCTATCTATTCGTGTGTGATGGTCGCCGCGGCCGCGCTTCCGCAGGTGTCCGTCAACTTCATGTTCATCCCGATCAACATTCCGATCCGATGGGCGATGGGTGCCATGGTCTTGTTTGACGTCGTGGGGATCCTGCGGGGCTGGAAGTCAGTCGTTTTCGCTTCTGCGGCCCTGCGTTACTTATGGGCTGACGATGCCGCAGGTCGTTGGGCCACCACGCGCACTTGGCAGGAGCTGCGTTTGGGCTTTTCTACTACTTTTGTGGCCCGCAGCTCTGGGACTTCTGGCGAGGCCTCGCGAGCCTCTTTGTGTGAAACCGGATAGGATTCCGAGAGATTGGATACCAGATTAATGCTACAGATTCGGACGTCCGATGGCTCAGCCCTTGAGAGAAAGAGAGAGCAGCACAGGCTGTCAGCGACGGCGGTTCTGTGACGGTTGTGTCGATGACGCAAATGCGTTTCTGAGACCGCTACCCTTCGGCCGTTGTGAAGAGTTACCGATGCGCCACCGTCCTTCTGCCACCTGAGGTACTTTTCTGGACTTGCTTTACTTTATCCTCCTCTCTGCATACCGACCGGACTCTTTTGGAATGCGTTTGAATGGCTTGACAGCGGAATGAGCCTCAATTATTCAAGGTTGTGGTTGCATGAGCTTTGAATGCCCTGTGAGCCATTTGTTGCCCACGTGCTGCGGCTTATCGGTTCATCTCCAGCCATTTCCTGGCTTAGAAACGCATGCAAGTCTCTGAGCTGGGTGGCTAGATTGTGTGTGTCCACGACAGCCAGGACCGAGGGTTGAACGTTGAACAATGGCAGTCTCGATGAATACGTCACATCAGTCCTCTAGACTAGATAATCAACTCGTGCACAGCACTCTACATACAATAATTATGCCATACGGTTCTTGGCGTTGTGTCGCTTGTGAGCGTGTCCCGAGGCACTAACTCCATTCCAGATGGGGGGACCAGGCATCCGCACGTTGGCAGGGTTGAACGAGGGGTCGAGAACCTGCGCCCATCAGACTCAACATGGGACGTGTGTGGAATTCTTTAGAGATGCTCACATTGGTGTTCGCAAAGGCACCGTTCGTGAGATACAGGCTGCAGTGGGTTCAGTCAGGGACAGACTCCCACGTGACACGAGGACGCACTCTTTGGCCTGAGTGCCAGCCGGCAGAGTGGCATCCCCTCCGTTCTTGACATCCAACTGGATGCAAGCAATGTCTGCGAGATGCATTAGCCGCAGCCAGGGATAGAAAAACACTGCCATACAAAGCTGGGGACCCGAAGTCGGATCACTCGTCTTGGGATTGTGGACGGCACCGAGCTCGTGTCTGATGAGGTACTGTCCGCTCTTGAGCGAGGAGGAATCTTGATGGCTTCAGGAGCAGCAACAGTCGTCAGTGGTTTTCGGCTGCAAGCCGAGCGCACTCACACCACTTGGATCCATTCTGAACTGCAGTCGGTTCAGCCTATCATTCGAGGCAGGACAGGAAGATGACTTGCCAAGTTTGGCCATCCCCCACAGACCAGGTCCACTGGTGGGGTAATAGCGCTCCGGCTTGTTGTCATCGTCTGACGCAGCCCGCTGGAGATCGTCTGCGACATGTCAATTCCGGCGTGAGCGAGCTTGGTCCAGCCAGCGTTCGTCGCGTCGAAGTTCGTACAGGGCCCATTGCAGGAGGTGATGTAATCAAACACGAAGCCCATACTGGAGCAGAGCTTCAGGTAAACAGCAGTAGGATGGGAGACTCGAGCCACGAACGCATGGACCCAGGGATTGTAGGCGGTCAGGGAACCGGTCCCGGGCTGTCCTCGCAGCTCGGAGGTCGCGCCTTCCCAGTAGATCTCGATTTCTTCACCGGCAGAAACCGACATGGTCTGCGGCGCGGGCGCCCGCGCCGAGCCTTCGCAAGCCATCTTCCTGTTTGAGCGCACAGTGAGAATTGGGAATTGGGAGATCGTTACGGCTGCGGCACGGCATGGCACACGTACGAGTTGTTATCGAAGTCACTGGACAAAACGTAAGCTGGCGAAGAAGCCTTGTACATGACGCGAGTGGCAGTCTCCCGGTTGACCGTAGCTTGCGCCCAGTATTGCTGCAGACATCGTCAATGACCGGATCGGGCAAGTGGTGGATGGTAGCACGTTGGGGCCAGGAGTGGTAGTTCCCCCGATAGTGACGTGGTTGACCTGGCCATGGCCAGCAACGAGTGATACCGACGCGAACACGAACGCAAGGAACGAGTGAGAATTTGGACATTGGGGGATCGAGAGCTAGGGAGGAGAGATGGCTTGAGGAACGGAGGCGAGGACTCCACTCTGCAGCACAGCGACCATGAAGGAGTGCTTTAAGTAGTCGTGGAGAAGGAAGGCATGTCCAAGAAAAGAAAGGCCCAAGAAGCTATGCTTGCGGCCTCACGACCGGTTTTCCGTTTCGTACAGGCGTCGTCGCGTGTCGTCTAGTTCTCCGCACTCCACCTAATCACCAAATTAAATCGGATTTGCTAGTGTCATGGGCCTTGTTTCGGGACCAGATCCGTGATAGTGCCACGGTCGTACTGGCAGTCAAGAGCTTCCTGAAAGCGATGTCCGAGGGAGGAGATATGCCAGTGGTGGACGCGTTTTCTCGGTCCATTGTCAGCGCACCCAAGGTTCATGCTAAGCTTGAAGCAGCGTCATGGGCTCAGGCCCATCCGTGCATGGTGGAGCGTGGTCAAGCCTATTTGATCTCGGAGTCGCAGTTGCAACTCTAACGGAATGCAAGCACGCGGGAGATTATTCGAAGGTTCTGAGAATAGTGTTGGCAAGATGTTGTTGACCAACAAGTTACAACAATTGCTTGCCTCTTACCGTAACCCAGTCCGTTATTCACTGTCCTCCTTTTCACACCCTTGGGCACACGTACATACTTCTCTGAAGAACGGCTTCTTTTACGCGCATCTCACCAACATCCACACCCATTCATGCGATCTTGCTCAAGCAGTGCCTGATAGCGCTCATTATGGAGAACGGCCGCCGCAATCTTCGACCCGGTCGCAACGTCTGAGCCCTCCACACGGGGATGGGGAAATAAGACGTCAATGCACGATATAGCATTTCAATCTCGACCGACACCGTCGCTGTTAATCTCGCAGACGCGTGCACTTCCATACACATTGTCAGTCGCCCGGTGCGGTCGAGTCATCGGGCCGGCCAATCTCGTTGTCCGCGCGGGCGGTCTGGAGCTAGATGGATTGACGCTCTGCAAGCATCCGTTCTGCGCGCGTCCATTCCGTCTCGGATTGAGTCCGCAGCAGTGATGGCAGTCGTAATTGCACATGGTCATCCAGTTGACTCGTAAGGCATTGGTCGCCACCAATGGAAGGATCATGAGCTTAGCTTCCGGGCACGTCGAGGGCGAAGGGCACAAGAGAGGATACAGGAAGGATGCGATGTTGTGGTGATATATACATGACTAGAGGTACAGTAAAAATATAAAGATAGACCTAGAGAAGAACACGCTCATGAACGCTCGCCACGCAATCGCCGGGCGAGAGCAAGGTCTTTGGGCTGGATCGTCACTCGCTTCGCGTGGATGGCAGCCAAGTTCGTGTCCTCAAACAGCGAGACAAGGTATGCCTCGGCGGCCTCCTGCAGAGCCATCACAGCAGACGATTGGAAACGGAGGTCGGTCTGCGCAATGCATGAGAGACACCCAGAGAAGGCAAGAAGCACAACACACCTTGAAGTCCTGGGCGATTTCACGCACAAGACGCTGGAAGGGCAGCTTCCGGATAAGCAGCTCCGTCGACTTCTGGTACCGACGGATTTCACGGAGTGCGACCGTACCAGGCCGGAAGCGGTGAGGCTTCTTCACACCTCCAGCGGCCGCGGCGGTTTTACGGGCAGCATTCGACTTTGCAGCGAGCTGCTTACGGGGCGCCTTGCCACCAGTGGATTTACGAGCTGAGAGAAAAGGGGAGGTCAGCCACAGTGCAAGTGGAAGCAGGACAGCACACAACACACCAGTCTGCTTGGTTCGGGCCATTGCGTAGGAGAACTGGAATGGATTGTGTGCAGTGGTTGACTGCTGAGTGGGATGTGCGGAAGGCAAGGGGCGGATGGGAAGAATGCCCTGTTTGGCGGCGTCCTTTATACGCACGCGGCGAGGTTGGATCACGTGGAACTCACGCGCGCGCGTTTGTTGATTCAACACGCAAACTCTCCACAGCCACAACACAGCCACCTGTCGGTGTACAAAACTAGGGCAGTGGATCAGCGGTGCTCTCATCCGTTCCCATCAACGTTACCAGCGAGTAACCACCAGGCACACCACAAACCACAAACCACCAACTCTTTATCAACTCACAATGTCTGGCCGTGGAAAAGGTGGCAAGGGACTCGGAAAGGGTGGTGCCAAGCGTCACCGCAAGATTCTTCGGGACAACATCCAGGGTGTGTGGTATCATGGGAGACGTGGATCTTTGGGCTGATGGGTGTCTTGCCTGGCAGGTATCACGAAGCCTGCTATCCGGCGTCTTGCGCGTCGTGGGGGTGTGAAGCGTATCTCGGGTCTGATCTATGAGGAGACCCGTGGTGTGCTGAAGATCTTCCTTGAAAACGTGCGTGTATTGGGCAGCAGTTTGCACTGTGTGGATGCTGACGGCTTTGCTGCAGGTCATTCGGGACTCCGTGACGTACACTGAGCACGCGAAGCGGAAGACGGTGACTGCGCTCGATGTCGTGTACGCTCTGAAGCGGTCTGGCCGCACTTGTACGGTTTCGGCGCATAGGCGTCTGGGCTCGGTCGTGTTTCTCCATTCTGTTGCATTATCATTATCTCTGTACACATTGTATAATTTATACACTCTACAAAGGAAAGCCCTGCCGGGTGTTCCAATTGTGTCAATTGCGCCCTTCTCAGCCCAGTGGATTGACGATAGTGGCTTTGCCAAGGTCGCTTTGACAAGGCGCTGTGTGACCCTGTGACCGAGGCTGACATTTCCGGATTCGAACATCAGCGTTGGTTGTGCCAAAAGCAAGCACCTGGTGCTACTTACAGCCCCCATTCATCTTCCCCTTCATCTTATCCTCCATTTATACCCGCCCCGCCTCTTGACAACTGCAATGAGCGTTGCCGTTCCTGCCCCTCTCAAGTCGTCCGTCAAGTCTGCGGCCTCCAAGTCCAGTTTTCTCGGCAAGGCTGTTCGATATCTCCTGGATACAGACGCCAACCCGGACCAATGTCGAGATCCAATTTTCCTCCTGGGAGTTACACACCCAGGCTACGATCCAGTAGACTCGGGCGAGGCGGAGGCGCAAGGGCAGGACGGTTCCCATTTCTGGCCTCCTGAATTCTACGCGGACTTTCGCAGCCGGGTCTGGTGCACGTACAGGCGCGACTTTGAGCCTATACGAGACGGAGCGTCGAGGGGATTCACCTCCGATGCAGGATGGGGCTGCATGCTTAGAACCGGGCAGAGCTTGTTGGCCAACGCTCTACTCAACATACATGTTGGGCGTGGTGAGTGGGATAAACTGAGCTTATCTCAGGACGCCCTGGGCTCACCTTAATCAGACTGGACAAGGCCGCTCTTTCCTCTGCCCTCCGCACGCTCGCCGTCCTCGTTCTTCCACTACGCGTCCCATCACACCCATGCTCCATTAAGTCAGCCTGCGCCATCTCCTCTCGAAGATGAAGGTTCTCGGTCACGTCAGGCCGCATATGTTCGGATACTTACATGGCTGAACGACAACTCAAATGCCCCATTCAGCGTTCATCGTATGGCTCTCTCCGGAAAGGATCTAGGAACGGCCGTCGGACAGTGGTTTGGACCTAGTGTCGCTGCGGGGGCTATCAAGTGGGTATTCTCACAGACTTTCCTTGTCATCTTCTGTGCTTATTCCGCACTCTAGAACACTGGTCCAACAGTTTCCGACCTGCGGACTCGGTGTATCTGTCGCTACGGATAGCGTTTTGTACGAAACATCGGTCTTCGAGGCTTCGCATGCTTCACCGTCCGTGTGCGATTCGAATTCATGGGGAGACCGTCCCGTCCTCCTGCTCCTGGGCTTGCGGCTAGGACTGGATGGTGTCAACCCCATTTATCATGACACCATCAAGGTATATACGCCACGCTCTTTCCTCTTTTCGGAACATGCTCACCGCTCTCAGCAATTGTACACTTTCCCTCAATCTGTTGGAATATCAGGAGGTCGTCCATCCTCATCCTACTACTTTGTTGGTGCTCAGGGTGACGGTCTTTTCTATCTCGATCCACATCACTCTCGACCTGCTCTCCCAATCCGATCCGACGAAGACAGCGGGGAGGAATCTTACACGAGTCTGGAGCTGCAGACGTATCACTGCGAGAAAGTTCGCAAGATGCCCATATCTGGACTGGATCCGAGTATGCTGCTTGGGTTTCTCTGTAGGAGCGAGCAAGATTGGGTTGACTTCAGGACGCGGGTGGATCAGGTGAGGTTATCATTCTTACTGTCACATTCTGCCGCTGAATTTGTTCAGCTTCCTCAATTGATCTTCTCCATTGAGGACGAGCCGCAGTCGTGGCCTTCCATGGATCTTGGCGAGGACGACGACGAGGGACTCGCTTTGGAGAGTCTCGCAAGCTCTGACGATGTACCTGCCCTTCCGGTGACTCCGCAAGCCGTTTCCCTCACACTAGACACGGAAATAGCCAGTCTTGCCCGACACGACTCACGATCGCTTGCCCCAGACAGCCCTGTCTCGTCTTCCTTGGCTCACACAAGCAGCGCAGCCTCGTCACGCTCCACTCCTGGAAAGGGCCGGCTGTCCTTCTCTATGGACGGTCTGCGGCATAAGTTGCGCACATTTGGCCGAAGCCGGACTTCTCTCGCCGTCAACGAAGATTAAGACTTTACCTGTGTCATGCCACATTTCCATCGTATCTTTCCGTGGACAGACGTTATTCTCTTCGATATTGATACCATTCATGCTCCGGCATCTCTCCTCGGCCTCGCCTCATTACCCAGGATGCTGTTTTGTGATACCCTCTTACCTAGTGTACATGTAAAGTCTATTTCAACTCTATCCGTAGATGTTGTTGTGTATCGTATCTTCTCCTAGTATGTACCTCGACTCTGTAGCTTCCCTTCGAACAGTTTGTGTATGTTTGCTTGACAGCTCTGAATCTTTCCTTCCTACTTCACTATTGCATGTCAGGTCCGCATGGAGGCAGTAGCGTTCTGAGGCCGGACGGATCTCCCGGTGTTGCCGAGTAGAATGTTCTCCTCGGTCTCTTATCTTGAGGCTGACCGATCGCAGTCCAGAGGACTTGCAGTCTGATCTTGGCGAGGACTTCAACTTGACTGCTTCGCAAAGTCAGCCCCATCTTCTGCAGAGGACATCAGTTTGTCTGAGTCTTCTCAGTTCGCGCGTTTCTTTCCAGTGCTGAAGATGTTGACGTCGAGCAATCTACTATCGAAGAATTGATGCACATCTTGGCTTCGGAACAAGAGCCTGGGGAATCACATACTACTGCGGCCGTGGACGTTGATGCCTTCGACCTCGAAGTCTCTGACATCGACATGGCCGCATTGTATTACTCGCCAGAAGACGGTGAGGCACTCATGTCGAGTCTCGCCCCATGCATGCCAAGACGTGCTTACCTGCAGACGAGCAAACGTGGTCTCAACAACAGATCCGGTCCATGATGCATCATCTAAAAGAACGTGGTCAGTCCGCATTTCGAGTTGTGGCGACTAGTCTTCTTACCGCGACTGTCCATGAAGGAATGTCGTCCTGGGTATCTGAATATGTTGTGAAACGGAACACGGCGATACCGCAGCTCTTGACTGCGTTTGGTATCCACCTGGTTTGTATTTCTAATGCTTCTCTATTTCTTGAAGTTATCGAATGAGAGATTGCAGAGTCCTCGGCTGCTGACTGTATCGCCTTTTGCGATGGCCTTCTTTCTTCGTGCAGCAATGAGCCGGGAGTGGGTCTCAGTTCTCCTGCTGGTAGACACTTCGCTGATCTTGTTTCAGGCTCCACTTGCGCGACAAACTAACGCAATACAACACTATTGACGACGCTCTCCGCCTCATTTCTGAATCCCGCAAGATCCTGATCCTGACCGGCGCGGGCATCAGTCTGTCTCTTTCACAATCCCCAGTGTGTGGGAGATAGACTTGTCCACAGGCGTTTCTTGTGGTATACCTGACTTCAGGTCCAAAGATGGTCTCTATGCGTCGCTTAAAAAGCGGGGTGATTACGACCTGGACGATCCACAGCAGATGTAAGTACGGGGGCAATGATGTTGTATTCGTCCAACAATTATTTTCCGCAGGTTTGACATCAACTATTTCAAAGAGAACCCGACCGGTGTGATATTTCCATATCTCCTTGACTGTCCAACTCAGAACCCTTAGTATTCTAGTACGCTGCCCCAAGCTCTGCTCGGTCCACTGCTAACCATATCATTGTCTAGTTCTTTTGCGAGGTGATTTCCACTGGATGCCTCTGTGATAGGGCTGTTCCTAACCCTTACACAGTCAAATCTATCCCTCCAACTTCGTACCCTCTCCATGCCATCGCTTTATCAAAGCTGTTGAAGACCGAAATCAAGTATGTGCCAGCGCGGGGTACTTTTATCTGCTGACGGCGGCTCCTAGCTGCTGCGGGTGCGGACTGTTCCACAACCGATATCCTCGAATATCGAATATATGATCGCAGAACTATACGCAAAACATCGATACTCTTGAGACTCTAGCTGGGGTCAGCCGCGTCCTCCAGTGCCATGGGTCATTCGCCACGGCCAGCTGTCTGCTCTGTCGACGAACAGTGCCTGGTGCTGAGATAGAGGCCGACATCCTGTCTCAGAGGGTGCCATTGTGTATCGCATGCAACGTTTCTCGCAACAAGCCGAAGAAACGGGGAACGAAGAAAGCCCAAGGCGAATGGGACAGCCAGGATGAAGACGAAAGTGATGGGCCGACCTTCCCTCCCGGAATTATGAAAGTGCGTCATTCGCAGCCTACACGTCGGCTCTTATCCAACAGTCCAACCAGCCTGATATCACCTTCTTTGGTGAAAAGCTAACCGACCACTTTGACCGCTCACTTGCTGCGGATCGAGAAGAGGTCGACTTGCTGTTGGTCATCGGGACCTCGTTGAAAGTAGCTCCCGTTGCTGACATCCTGTGTAAGTTGCACCCTCGTTCTGTACTTCCAACCCTGATGATGTGGTTCCCAGCCCATGTTCCTCATTCGGTGCCTCAGGTGAGTGGTAATTCTAATCCTCGGAGGTGCCCTTTTCGAGTGTGCGCAGATATTGATCAATAAGACACCCGTGCGACACATCAATCCAGATGTAAGAGTTGTGCTCTTCAACTTGAACTCGCAACCAATATTGGCAGATAATCCTTCTTGGAAATGCTGACGATATCGTCCTGCATCTTTGCGCTAAACTGGCGTGGGAGTTGCCTGCTGCTGTTCCCAAGCAACTGACGACGCCTGTCTATCTCGGGGACACCCTCCGAAAACGTTCAGCGGCAGATCTACATGCGGCGGAAGAGCCCAAACGCGTTGGCTCGTCGTGAGTACATCTTCGGAGGCTTGGCCAGCCGAAGGCTGACCGGATTGGGCAGGCATGTCTGGTTGTTCGAAGGTGCAGAAGGAGGAGACTGGCTAGAACGTGTTCAGCAGCAGCTTTCAGAAGAAGCAAGCGCCGAACTTGTCTTGGAATCCAATGGCCTTAGTGCAGTAGAACAGAGTTCTAAAAAGCCTCGTCTCGTATAAAACTAGCCTTTTGTTTGCGGGCCGGAACCCGCGCACGGATCATTCCTCTTTGAGCTCACTCTTCTCGTCCTGATTACCACTAGTGTCTCTTTGTTCCTCTACGTATGGTCATCAATCCGGAATCCCGCCTCGGCTCCCCTTTGCTCCCTGTAGAACTCGTCGATCTGATAGTCTCTTTCCTTCTCGATGACCCCTGCATGTCCAGTCAAGACCTGTTCAAATCTCTCGCTCCAATAACGCTTGCTTCATCGCAGTTTCGTTTGCTTGCTTTTCGTCGTAAATGCAAGCAATTGCGTCTTGCCGCATTTTTCTGACAACTGGTTTCTGTGCTGCAACTCAGGCTTTTTCCGCCACATCGCATTCTCACCTCAAGAAACCAGGAAGAACACTGATTGGAATCGGCTCTTCGCTCTGTTGGACTGTTTTATGGAAAGAACTGGAATACAGTGCTTCACTTGGATTAGGTACGTACCATATGCTCGGTGAATCTTGGGACCCGCATATATCTTGCCCTTAGATCTCTGCGCGTCTCCTCCCGTTCTCTCATCAGCTCGACATATTCAGCCCGACTTGCTGCTCTGACCCATCTGCAATCCTTTGCTGTCGATTTCCACCGCGAAGGCTTTTCCACGCAAAGGCGTTTTATCAAGCTAATCAGCCAAGCATCCCACCACTTGACGGTGCTTACTCTGACCTCGCTACCATCGATCGAGACATCTCTCCTCCGCCTGGTGGCTACGTTTCCCCGTCTCTCTCATCTTTGGCTCAGCTGCACTGAACGGATCGACGCTACTCGTGAATGCTGCTGGTCGTGCTACGAGGAGAGTCTACAATGTCTGACGCATTCACCCATCCCCGGATTTTTTTCCACTGTGCAGAGTATGATTGCAAGTACTCCTGTATTGCTTACGTCTTTAGGGGCTTATGATTCGCAGAGGATATATGCGCGAGTCTTGCGCCCTTTGCAACATCTTGTGCACGTCCATCTCGGTATCTACCTCTCTGACGAGATGTTGAGTTACGACCACATCGACCACGCGAAGGGCGAGCAGTTTCCTTTTGGCCCCGAGGACTGTCTGTTGTGCGAGGAGCTGTCGGAGGCAGTGGCGTTGCGGGAATTAGGCGCCGCGCTCGAATTTGCGCAGATGCTCAAAGGCCTCCGGAAGGTCGGATTCAGCTCATTCTTCGACTACGCAGCTAGGAAATCGGCTGAAGGAGGAAAGCGGGACGAACGGCATGCGACGACGGTGTACATTGCGCGGCAGAATGGGCGGATTAGAGTTCGGAAGAGTCCGTGGGGAGTTGATTGATGTCCGGATAAGGCAATCCACATTCTTCTTTGTCCTCGTTCCAACGTCAATGGCTTTGAACAATGCACTACTGATCGACCGTACAATGTACATGTGCCTGGATGGCCCGAGCTCATCTGTCGCCACCGCCATATATAAAGGTGGTGGCTCTCACAATGCCGCGGAACCATTCTGTCGCGTCCACGTGCTCGTCTTTGGCTATGGCTCCCCAGACACAAGCCGACAAGAATGCCGAGTTTGCGAAACTCTTTGATCTCTTCGAGATGCTCGCGACACGTCGTTCGCGTCGGGCTGTCCCCTCTGACGTGGCCGACGACGCGCGTGTGATCCAGGTGCCCGCAGAATTGGAACCTGTCTTCCGTAACCTTTCGAACGTCGTGCCGCCTCGCGGCCGACCGCGCCGAAACACGGTGGCAGCCCTCGGCCGCACTGTTATCCCCGAATACGACAGCGAGGATGAGGAAGGGGATGTCGAGTCGGTCGCCAAGTTCCCGCTGGGGAAGACATATACTTTCACCTTCAAAATGATGATCCATAAGCTGTATCAGGTGTGATATTCCCGTATCGGGTTGCGCGCACACTAATCGTCCGAAACAGGTCGATGAATGGGCTGCAAAGGTTCGCGACGTGCTCAAGCAGAGCAAGCTCGAATACAAACCTCTCGCAGAGGTCGAGCCGCGGGTCAAGCATGCTTCGCCCGCCAAGGTCACCAGTGACAATCGCATCCATTTCAAGCTCGACCCTCCCACTCGTGACAAAAAGATCCACAATAGCGCGCGCCGCAATTCGTTAGCATCGAGTAGCCGCCCGCCTTCCTACTCAGCGAAGCTGTCCGGAGCAGTTGGTGCCGACGGTCCTGCCACCAAGAAGCGCTGCATCGCTCGACGCAAGTCCCTCAGCGGGCCGCTGTCGCCCACCGCGATGGGAGATCCTGGCTGGATCTACGATGCCCGGGTATCGGCAGCTACGTCGGGAGGCGTCCGCGAGACGACGACTACGAAAGCAGAGCCTCGACCCCGCCCACGGTACCAGTCCCTGCAGACCGGTGAAAAGAAAACCGGCCCAGGGTCGCACCGGGTCGTCTCAGCTGCTGTGGAAAAAGAGGAAAACATGCGGACTGCGACAAAGAGGCGCTACGCTGAGTGAGAGTGCCACGCCAATTTTTACGACTCTTATGATAGCTATGACAGACCATATCAGCTCTCGACTGTTCTGGAAATGAATCGCATACCTGTAGCATAGACAAAAACATAGCATTTTCACCACACACCATTCACACGGAACTGAGATTCTTCAAGCGATCAAGTTCACGTGCTTACAGTCCGACCGTATAAAGTTACACAGTACAAAAATCAGCTCGACGGGTCATATTGTCACCTCCACTTCAAGATAACGGTACCTCAATGGTCGCGGGACTTCCTGAGGAAGAAAACGTCTAAACCAGCTCCTCCTACAGTGCGAATCGGACAGACCTGTATTCACCCTCGGCCGCAACACTCAACTCCTCAATTTCGCCTTGCAGTCCAGAGAGACTCTCGGCGGCAGCGGAGAAGTACATGAGCTTGGGGAGGACAGTCATTTACACTCTCCGGAAACATCGAGACCGACTCACCTGTGCTTGAACAAGGTTATTGAGGTTCTTCAGGGGTTCGGGCTGAATGGCAGTGTGTTAGCTGTCTGCCTTGACTCGACCCCAAAGGGAACGCACATTCTCCAACACAGTCTTCATGAGGGTGATGGCAACCTCTGTCTTCTGGACGAGATCATCCTCAGCGTTCTCGACCTCGATACGGGCTTGCTCTTGCTTAGCAGGGTTAGCGTTCTTCAACCTGCAAACATTGATTTCTTTGGATGTTATGCTAGACAACAACTCACGTCTGTTTCGCAGAGTCGAGCTCAAGTCGGCTAGAACGCACGGCCTGGCGGGCTTTGATGGCCACGTTGATGGAGGTGCTCAGCGTGGCTTGCCAAGGGTGGAGGAAGTCGGATCGGACGGCCACGTCGTGCTGGACTACACAACTGAGCTGTTGCCAGTAAGAAAGCGACGTGAAAACTCACCGCGAGCCTCGGCAATCTTGTCCCATCCATCAGCATATAGACCCAGGGCTTTGCCGAGCTTGTCATCGCTGCCCGTGGCTTTGATAGCAGAAGCAGCGGTGGTGGCCGAGCGACCTAGCGCGTGGGGAAGTGTCTTGTGTTGTTGCGCCGGTGCTGTGACTGGTCCCGGGGCTGGGAGATTGGTTCCCTTGAGGTTGGTGGAGGCAAAGTTGGTGATCCCGACACCGATGTTAGTCGACAACTCTGTGATAGACTCCTGTATCTGGACGGGATAGTCGTAAGTCTCGGTTTCGTAGACGTTGGTGATCCTAGAAGCTGGATGAGGACTGCCATGACGATGACACGGTGCACGCACTTCAAGATAGCAAGATGAGCTTCCTTCAGGGCGTCTACACGGGCCTCGAGATCCTTGTACTCTATGGAGCAGTTAGGTCACTGCGCTCAGATAAGAAAATGGACTTGCCCTGAGGCAACTCTGTTATTTCTTCCGGCGCAACAGTGCCCAGGGCCTCCCTGGTTGCCTGCACACTGGAGTTGAAGCCTTTGGCTATCTTCGTGGCCGATGCGCTCAGGTTGAGGCTACCGAAGCTAGATTGGAGTTTGTTCCAGCCTTCCATGGGTGAGAGCGAGTGAGGGTTTGTGTCAAGCTGGTGTCGAGCACCGCCTTCCGTTTTTGGCGCCAAAAGCGCTTCATGATGACATACTGTACGTCCGACCACTCGTCCGCCGAGCTGCGCCCAGTGCTATGCTATTGTGGCCGGCTATACAAATGGTGCTAGCTAGATATCTCATCTTCAACCGCAGGCGCCCCGCGACGCGTATGATACACAGTCACGACGCATCGCTAAATCTTGTGGCAGTGGTAATAGCTTCCTGAATCAGGTAAGATGACTATATCTGACTGCACATACAGTAATGCCTCATGCAGCCTGGCTATGCCTGGTTCGAGCGGTCGAGACAAGCGTCACAGAAGTAGCCGAAGTCAAGGGTCTGCAAGGACAATGATGCATGTAAGGAAAACGACAGCAGCAACGACACTGATGATAACAAGATGCGGTCTGTAGAGACGATAAGCGGAGACAGCAGCGAAGGGACGATGCTCGCACTTGACTGCCATCAAGAAGGCGTGCGTATTCCGTATATCCCTGTAGCCGCAGTAGTATTCATAGACTCCAGCGATGATCGCGGCCAACGCAGCGCCGAATTGAAGGCATGCGATCACGAGTGCGGTGGTCGAGGACATGCCAGTTTGAGGCTGACGGCTCTCTTCGGGGACCAAGCGCGCACGAAGAAGCACGGAAGAGGACAGCAGAGACAACAGTAGAGCCAACTTGAAGTGGGAGAGAAGATTTCGTTCTAACATACAAAGATCGCGCGCTAAATCCTGTTTATGAGAGTGGTCTGTCCTTGTGGACCGAAAGCACCTGTGCTCCCCGAGTTCTTCAACATGAGAGAGCGTGAGAATAGAGATTCCATGTTTGTGTTGGGCAGCCAAGCGTAAGAAATCGCAGGACTGGCTCTATCGTGATCGCGGCCAGGCTCGAAAGGGCGTGGATCTGCGGCCGGCACCTGCCGAGTATCCGTGATATCAGTGATGTTATGGCACGTGACGAAATTCAACCTTGCAGTCCGAGCAAGGACCCATAGCAAATGAAAGTTTGCGCTGCACCATCATGGCATTCAAAGGCTTGAAACGTTTCTTTTCAATCGGAAACAAGAAGGACAAGAAGAAGAGTAGATCGGGCGCAATACACCATTCTACTCCCCCACTCCAATGCATCTTCGAAACTCGTCCAAATACTATGACCCACCCCGCCGACGATTCGGCTGAAGTAGCAGCCAACCAACTGTTGCGGTCATCATCCGCACGCTATGCTGTCGTCAGAGAGTACGATTATAACACGCTTCCCCCTCTTCGTGCGTTGGATTAGATTCTAGGTCATTCTACCTACTGACTGCGCTTGGCCCGCACAGCCCACCCCATTAACCACATCTTGCAGACCCCCGCCAGTTCGACAGTCAGCTTATCTAGTGCATCAAGCAGCGTTACAAGTACTACGCGTGGATCATACACCGTCACCGTCCACGGACGCGAGCGCCTTGGGCACACAGAATTCCCCAATGCGAATCGGGACCTGAACGAAGACAGTCGAAGCAATCAGCTACTAGGTTTACGCTCCGATCCATCTGTCGCAAGTCTGCTTGACATGTATGACGAACATGGGCGGCTCCCCGCGCATACATTCTCCAATTCACCACCAAAGCATGGGCGGGCTCAAGCTAAGCGGGGCGGATCGACATTACGCGAGCTGCTGGGTAATCCGTCTCCCAGTCTGGCGTCTGGCAGTGACGGGAGTTCGCGAGAAGGAGACATCTCTTGGGCAGAGCGGTTCCTTGCGTGCGTTTTCTAGAAGGGTGCCTCGAGCATGGATCTGAATTGGCTTTTCACAGGGAGTCAGAAAGCAGCGCATCATCGTCACCGTCGCTAGCAAGCATCGTGACGCCCGACTTTGATGCAAGTCTGAACCAAACGACGGTCCTTCACCAGTACAACGATTCCTTCGGGACAGACGCGTCATCGATGCTAGTTGAAGTGGCTGGAATGTCATCCACAGAAGTTCAAGCGAGTGATATGTCGCACACACCTCCTCGTTCTTTGAAGGGCCCCAGCCCCTACATCACTCTGGACCCTAAGACACCGCAACGAGCGTCTCAAGTTTTCGGTTTCCTGAACCAAAAGAAAAGACAATCGCGGATGCTAGAAGACGAGAGGCCTCTGGCGGTTGTCCCCGACAAGTCAGAGCCGCCCTCTGGCGAAATCCACTCGACTCGTCCTATGACACCGACCGAGCTGAAGTGTCAGCCGAAAGAACCGAATGACGTTCACGTCCTCATGGACAGGGGACCAACCAGAGTCATTCTCACTGCCCCGACCCCCCAATACAACAAGACAACGCCAAGAGGCCCACGAGGACCTCGTTCACATTCTCGACCGACACGACAGCTGTCCACGCGAGACGCATATACGCAACTGCCTACGCGCCGGCATCTTTCACGGTCAAATTCCGTGGGGAGTACTCCGAGCAATGCTGACAAGAAACGCCCGTCTATTTTGGCGGTCTTCGAGAAAGAGAATCATTTGACCGCGAGACAAGAGATTCCCAAGACTCCGGTCCGAACCAGTTCCATCTCGCGCCCATATAAACGAACACCCTCAGTTAGGGCACCTGCATCAGTGTCTCCAGCGGCTTCAGTCGACTTGTCCTTTATAGGGCAGCAAGTGATGGGAGATTTGCGCAAACAACGGGCTCGTGCACGGGACTACGAGCGCAAGGGACAGGGCTATATTTGACCAGCCGGATCTGGTAAGGCCGTCTATTTTTTCGTGTTCTGTTTATAGCACTAGCCACGATTGTGTTTTGTTTGCGCATCCTGTGTAGCATCTATTTGTTCGCTTTCAGTTTGACGGTTACCGTGATCCCCTGATTCCACTCCTTGACTCCAACCTTTCTTTTCCTCCGCCCTCGCGGCAAAATGAGCTACAATCCACTGCAGAGCAGTCATAATCACCAGGTGTACCAGAATGAGGACCCTGCCTTCTACCAGTCGACTGGCTATATAACTCCTGCTCCTGCTAAACCAAAGCGCACGAGCAAATGGATCAAAGTTGGGATCCCTATTCTTGTCATTCTCATCGCTGTTGGAGTCGTCGTTGGCATCCTTGTGTCTCGTCACAAATCTGGCTCGGCTTCCTCGACATCCTCCTCATCCTCCTCCTCTGCTGCTGCCGCCGCGAGTGCCAGCGCCAAGCTAGCAGCCGGTGTCCTCGCCACCGCAACGAACAGCTTGTTCATGATACCTGTATACCCCTCCTCGACCAACACGGCATCATACACCACTCCCACCTTCAATGCCGCCGCTGCTGGATGGCCCGCTGACTCTTTTGCTCCCGCCACTCCTTCCGTTCTTTCTGTCCGCCCGGGTTCGCCGTCTCACTCATATTTTCTGCCTGCGATACTGATCCAGCACTAGACCGACCGAGGTTGATTGCGCCCAAGTACAAGTGGGATGCCCTTCCCGCACTGATCGCCAAAGACCCGTATTTGGCAAGCTGGAATCACAGCATCTTCCTCAATGCTTCCCAATATGACGCCCTCCCTGCTGTCCCGTATTTCATGGAGTAAGCTTCCCACATCTCATTGAAAGCCAATGCCGACCAATTATGTGCTATAGCGGAAGTAGCGGTATCCTTGATGTTTGTCGTATGATCAAGCAGCGTGTCAAGGCGTTTTCGTATGTGTATCGCATGACAAACAACTCTCACTGGGTGGATCGGACTTGGGAAGAGCTTCAAGTGAATCCCTATCTACCATGCGTATGAGACCAACCCAACTGACTCATGAACAGAATGCTGCCGGAAACGGCACCAAGCCCTGGGGCCCTACTGTCGACCCATGGAACTCTGCGCATTTCTTGGATACAGCCGAGCTGTCTGCTGCGTTCGGTATTGCCTATGACTGGCTGTATGATATGTGGACGGACGACCAGAAGTCGAAGATTCGGACCTCCCTCATCCAGTACGGGTTGGAGCCTGGTGTGCAGGGGTACACGAACAGCTCTGTATACACTGGCTGGTGGAATGCTGTCGATGGCAACTGGAATTGTGTCTGCAACAACGGTCTCACCATGGCCGCCCTTGCCATTCTCGGGGATGACACCACCGGTCACGCCGAGCAGCTGCTTGGGTTGACTGTGAACAACGCTAAAGCGCACTGTGCGTTTGCTGTGGCCAACGATGGCACGTGGAGCGAAACCAACGACTACTGGTACTTTGGCAACACCGGGCACTCTGAGATGGCAGCGTCTCTCATCAGCGCTACCGGCTCTGACTATGGATTGACGACGGTGAACCCCGACTTTTGGAAGACGGGAATGTTCCACATGTATGGGACCGGTGCGACCACTGTCTTCAACTACGGCGACACGGGTCCCAACAAGTTCACCGCGACGGCTAACTCGCTGATCTTCTACGCGAATGTGTTCAACCAGCCTCAGTATGCTCTGTTCCAGCGTGATTATCCGGATGCAGCAGATCCTTGGAATATGTTCTGGTACAACCCTCAGATTCAGGGCGTATTCTGGGATGGACTTGCGCTCGACCACTTCTTCGACAACTCGACGGATCAATGGATGTCGATGCGCAGCAGCTGGACCGATCCCAATGCTGTCTTCGTCGGTGTCAAGGCTGGTACGATTCTCAACCATCAGACTCACAACGACTTGGACACCGGAACATTCGTTCTCGATGCTCTTGGAACGCGATGGGCCGGCGAGCTCGGCGATGGGGACTACAACTCTCCTGGATACTTCAGCACCGATGGTCAGTCAATGACCTATCCGAAGTTGATATGATCTCATCCCTTGCATCAAACAGCGCAGGACTCTCAGCGCTGGATGTATTACCGAAAGATGACTGAGGGCCAGAACACCATCTTTGTCGGATCCTCGAACCAGGATGTGAATGCGAAGCCCACTGTGCAATACGGAACCACCAACGAGACACAAGGACCCAGCACTGCCTACACTGTTCCCAGCACTTCGACTGCTTTCTTCACGACAGATATGACGACCGCTTACTTCAATGCGTAAGTCCAGCTATATTTGAGCTTTCGATTGTATGCTGATGGTTTTTAGAACATCCATGAAGCGGGGTATTCGTTTGCTGAATGGCCGCAAGCAAGTCCTTCTCCAGGACGAGATCACCGCCAGCGCGAGTGTCCAATGGCGTATGCACACTAATGCGACCGTGACGACATCCGGAACGACGGCGTCGCTGGCTCTAGATGGCAAGACCATGGATGTGTCTTTGCTGAACGCGCCGTCTGGGGCAACTTTCTCCACAGCTCAAGCGGTCCGACTACCAACTGATGTCACGCCCCCGATCCCAGACCAGGCCAACGACGGAGTGACTGTTCTAGTTATCACACTGCCCGCTGGCACATACAACCTCCAGGTTCTCTTTAGTCCCCAGTGGAACGACGGAACCAAGCTCGTGACGCCTCCGTCCGTGCCGTTGGACAGCTGGTCCCTTACGAGTCATAACTAGACGCGGTGCAGGCCGTTTCTGTATTTTTATTGGATATATTTGGACAATTCAGCCATATCCTCGCTCGCTTGTACGGCTTTGACAAGATCTAGCTTCACCACGTTCGTTGATTATTTATATGGTACCATTTCGATAATCATTTGTCGCCACAAAATTGAGTCAGATCACTGGGCTGATTCACGGTCTTGATCGAACCACCTTTTTATTCTACGACACGCAGCTTTGGTCAGGCAGCCTCTAATAATTTCATTAAACGTTACGCCTCGGTTGTCTCATCTCCCTGCCACCGCCCGACATGAAAATCACCCAAAAAATTCGTCAATCCGACAAGGAAAATAAGATTTGGTGGTCCTTCGAGTACTTTCCGCCTCGCACTGCTCAGGTCCGCCTCACGGCCATCGCCTTGTTGTAATGTCTGCTGATACACACACTTTCTCTACAGGGCCTCCAGAATCTGCTCGATCGTATAGAGCGCATGCGCGCATTGGGCCCAGAGTTCATTGATATCACCTGGTGCGAAACGCGTTTTTTGACTCCGACAACGCGTCAGAAAACTGACGAATCCATCGCTCGATGTGCAGGAATGCAGGCGGACGGACTTCCGATCTTACGGCCGAGATGGTGAAGACGTGTCAGAGCCTCGTTGGGATCGAGACGTGCATGCATCTTACTTGCACAAACATGCCGGCGGCCAAGGTGGACATCGCGTTGAGGGTGCGTGTGTCGTACGTCGTACATAGGCCTCCTCTTCACATTTTCAACAGGAAGCAAAAATTTCGGGCTGCCGGAATGTTCTTGCGCTACGAGGGGATCCTCCGGCAGGGAAAGAGGCCTGGGAGGCAGTCGAGGGGGGTTTCGTACACGGTGTCGACCTCGTAAATCATATCCGCAAGGACTATGGTGACTACTTCGATATCGCTGTCGCCGGATTCCCTCAACATCAGCTCCTTCCACCCGACGAGTTCCAGCAGGAGTTACAGTGGCTGAAGCAGAAGATCGAGGCCGGCGTTGACTTCATCTTCACCCAAATGTTCTACGATGTCGACATCTTCATTGCCTGGGTCAAGGCTGTCCGTGCGGCCGGCATCACTATTCCCATCGTCCCCGGCATCGCGCCGATTCAGACGTGGAACGGGTTTATGCGCGCAACGAGTCTCGCGGAAATCAAGATCCCCCAGCACTTTATGGACGCATTGGAACCTCACAAAAACGACGACGAGACCGTGAGGGCGATTGGTACGAAGCTTGTAGCGGAGATGTGTCGCAAGATCCTTGACGCCGATCTCGGAATCCACGGACTACACTTCTACACCATGAACCTCGAAAAGGGCACAAAGATGCTCCTCGAGGAGCTGAACCTCGTTCCTCGCGTGGAGACGATCAAACCTTTGCCTTGGCGGCAGGTGCGTTGATTTGCAATCGTTTTTGACTGAACACAAGCTGAGCTGATACCGGACAGTCGCTCACACCGAACAGGCGGACAGAGACCATCCGTCCCATCTTCTGGGCCAATAGGACAAAGTCCTACATCTCACGGACGGAGAACTGGGACGAGTACCCGAACGGACGTTTCGGTGACTCTCGCAGTCCGGCATACGGTGATCTCGATGGTTACGGCGTTTGGCTCAAACAATCAGTTCGTCTTTCCTGAAGCTGTTCTGCTTGCCGATCTGAAGGAGATGAATGAATAGAAAGAGGACGCACTCAAACTCTGGGGAGAGCCTACTGAGTTCGCTCAGATCACTGATCTATTTGCCCGGTTTTGTACGAAGAGCTTGAAAGCCCTTCCATGGTCGGACCAGGCTCCTGCCGGAGAAACCTCCATCATCTCTGAACAACTGGCCCGCATGAACCGTTACGGCTTCCTCACGATCAACTCTCAGCCTGCTGTCAATGGGGCCAGCAGTGATCACGCTGTATTTGGATGGGGACCTAGGAACGGCTATGTCTACCAGAAGGTTGGTGATTCCGCACGGCAAACACGTTTCTCTCTCACACACCGATCACAGGCATATCTAGAGTTTTTCGTTAGCGCTCCTCTCCTTGCTCTACTGCTTGCGCACATCGAACGGGACAGCAACATCACGTACTACGTGATCAACAAACGCGGCGACCTGCGCACGAACACCCATTCTGACGGACCTAATGCTGTCACATGGGGTGTTTTCCCGGGGAAGGAGATCGTGCAGCCCACTATTGTCGAGGCAGTGAGCTTCATGGCTTGGAAGGTGTGTTGTCTACTTCAGGGTCCTGAATGTGCATTCATTGTCTGCAGGACGAAGCATATGAGCTCGGGCAGCAGTGGGCCAATGTTTATGAGCCCGAGTCCGCTTCCAGAAAGTTGATTACTGAGCTGATGGACGATTGTTTCCTGGTCAATGTGGTGCACAACGACTTCCACGCTCCAGAGGCCATTTTCCAGCCGTTCTTCCAAGCCGGAGAGGAATACCTCGCGCAAACGCCCTGATCTTCTCCCCATTGCATTGTTGTATATCTAGATCTCATCTCGGGTTCAACCCCCGTACTGTATTTGCTACATTCCTTCTCCCCATCATCACTCACTCATACTGCATCAACTGCGCATCCTGCATCAACTGCACATCTCATAGCTGTACACAGGCTGTAGACAGTACTTTCATCAAGTCGTCTCATGCATCGAGTACCGGATCAAGCCGGCTGACCGGCCAATCTCGGCTTCCATCGATCATCACGCCGATTGTGATCCGAACATACCAGGGTACGTAGGGTCTTGACGCGTCGTCATCTTCGGCTGAGCGGTGATCGTCATCACCTTTACGTGTCAGTCGGGCAGTGTATTCGGCACAAAAGCAGGATGATCTCCTACAGGCTGTTGCTACAACTCTCCAATCCACCCTTCACCTCATGTCTACTCACCTTCTCGTGCTCGTGCACGGAATGTGGGGAAACCCCAATCATCTCGCCGAGCTGCATCGCATAATAACGGAAACACATCCCGAGCTGCACGTTCTCGTATCGAAGACCAACAGCGAAGAGGGTGTGTATTCCCACAGGCGCTGTATTCAGAAACATAGCTAATGTTCCCTCTTTTCGCATCAGCATGTGTATAGCGCTTCAGTGTCGCTCGATCTGTTTAACATAGCCCTTGTAGAACACGTACGACGGAATTGATCTCGGCGCGGAGAGGGTCGCTCAAGAGGTATGCATGATATCGCCTTCTTGTCCAATCCCTCGAATATTCATGTTTTCTGCAGATCTACGATGAAGTGGCCAAGTTGGATGCAGATGGCCGCAAAGTCAACCAGTTCTCCATCACAGGTTACAGTTTGGGAGGTCTGGTATCCCGCTATGTTATCGGGTGAGCAGTGCCTCAGTCATAGTTTATGTGAATTGACGGGTTTCAGCATCTTGCGACAGCGATCGTTTTTCGACCACATAGCGCCAATCAACTTCAACACCTTTGCGACTCCTCACATCGGTCTGGTCCGATATGCGTCATTTTTCTCGTCCATGGCATCGTTTTTGGGCCCGAAGCTTTTGTCTCGGACTGGTGAACAGTTCTACTGCGTGGATAAATGGTCAGCAAAAGGACGGCCTCTGCTTGAAGTCATGGCCGATCCAGGTTGGTCGTCAGAAACGCTGCGGATGACTTCTCTCAAACATGTTCTTCAGACCGTATCTTCTATCAGGCCCTCGCTTCATTCAAAAGCATTCAGATATATGCGAATGCTTTGAACGATATGACCGTGCCTTACGTGACAGCGGCCATTGACTTGCACGACCCTTTTGTAACGATGACTGCCACAGGATTGAACGTGCAAGTCGTACTATCTTCAACCTTTCAATCATGTTCTGATCAAGCTTAGAGATCTGGATGAAGAGTTTAGTCCACTCATCAAGTCCTATTCAACACCACTAGAACCTCCCGTTCTACCGTCGAAGCCTGTTGTCTTTTCTCCTGGTTGGTTCAAGTCTCTGAAAGCGCCCATGCTCCCCCCATTTTTACAATTCCGATTCCCTCTCAATCTGGTGTGTTTTTCTCCGCGCTGTTGATTAGGTTTCCACTCACATCTTTGCCTAGCTTGTTTACACCTTACTTCCGCTGCTCATTCCTACCTTCATGACGCTGGCCCTGCTACGTCTGTCGCTCTCTGCGCGGTCATCCCGGGCACGTATCCGATTGCTGGACAGCGACGAAAAGAACGTTTCTACGAGACTTGCTGCGGTCATCGCTGATCTGGAGCGCCAGATGGAGGATGCTGTGATTGACTTGATTGAAGAGCCAGAACCTGTGTCCACGAAGGAGTCAACTACAGGCTTGAAGGAGCAGCCAAAGCTGCTTCCATCGCAGCGCCGCATGGCACAACAGCTGAATCAGCTGCCGATACACAAATACCGCGCATTCTTTCCTACAGTCAGAAACAGCCACGCCGTGATCATATCTCGTGATGTTCGCAACTTTGAGTTCCACAAACAGGGGCATGGGATCATTAGACATTGGGCTACCACATTTATTCTCTAGATCTAGATTCTGTACAGCTACTATCTTATCTAATTCGTATACTGTACACTGCCACCGATTGGCGGCTTTCCCACGCGTGATCGGTCCCTACAATTTCGGGAGGAACCAAGGAACTCAAGAAGAAGAACCCGCCAACCGACATATTCACCAATAGCTTCTCCGACCATGATGCGTCTACGCGAGCGTACGACGAACCGACCCTGTAGCCGAATACCGGACTTTTATTGGAGTGAATGTAACGGGCAGAGCGGTTGTAGTCAGTGCCTGTCTGGCCACGGGGGCTGTAATTTCCGCTCACCGTCTAATCACGCACAACCCCTGGCTACATTTCAGATCCCCAGCCGACGCCACTCTACCCTCGACGCCGCCGAAAATCTCCCTGCACTCTCTACTTCCGGAGTTTCTCCGGTGCTTAAAAAGAACAGCAACCACAGCGCTTCCTTCCCAACTCTCCATCCTCTCAACCGTTCACTAAACCCTTGAAGCGAAAGATGCTGCGTGCCAATTCGTGGGCTAGTGCTGCCGCGTCGCTCCCCAACGAAACACTAGTCGAGATATTCGACTATCTCACACCTTCTGTCCTCGCAGCATTATCGCGCGTTTCCCGGCGATTCAATGCTGTTGCTGAGAGGCTGCTCTATTCGACTATCTACATCATGGACGACCTGTCAGACGCATCTCGCTTGCCCGTCCGAACACTCCGGTGTTGCGAGTCGATCCTACAGCGTACTCATCTCGTGCCGAATATCCGACGCTTGCAGATCCGGTGGCAGGGCGATTTTAGGGCGTTATCGGTCCAGGACCTCACGAAATCATGCATACAAGCCTGCACAGCATTGCGTGGCCTTGTCTTTCTCGAGGTGTTGGAGATATTCCTTGGACCCGCGAACCTGGTGACGATACCGTGGCAGCCCATCCACGCCATCGAGCGTCTGATACAGGGATGCCGGTTCTCCGGCCTCCGGTATTGTTCTCTGGGCGCACAGTGCACCAAGCAATCGCAGACGTACACCGATATTCTGCCCGCCTTTCTCCAGGGTTCCCCCTCATTGAACCAGCTTCGGTTATCGGACCATCAGACGGCGTTGGCGCTGCACTCCGACGGGCTACCCATACTGTCGTATTTCCGAGGATCGCCTGAAGCAGCGGCCAGTGTGCTTCCCGGCAGGCCAGTCGACTCACTCGCATTGATCGGGCAGGATTCCGATGTGGACAGGCGGATCCTCTCCAGAATCGGACTCGGTTCTGTCCCGCTTAAAGCCCTCGATCTGTCGGGGATGCAAGTGCGACCGATGCTTCTCCGCGACATACCGAGTTATCTCAGCACGATCGAGACGCTGAAGGTCCGGCTCGCACTGCGACATACTTTGCACTACGCATTTTCAGGAATCGTGAGTGCATTTCCCTGTGATTCGACCGTTCTCCAGGTGTCTCACCACACCTTGCAAAGGAATAGACGCTTCTCACCGGGCTATCGGCAGTCCTGAGCAAATACAGTCATTTAGTTCTATTTGACCTGTCACCGACCGAACTCGTGGCTCCCGCTCAGACCGAAGCCACGAGACAGGCCAACACGGCTTCTGAGGCTGCTCTCTGCGCAGAGTGGTGCCGTGTTTGTCCCACGCTGAGACGAATTCTCTTCCCGTCGGGCTCTTCATGGTCGTACGATGGGCATGCGTCATGGGTACTGGCCGCCTCGGCCTCTGATATTCCAGGTTGCGTGCGCTAATGTAACAGTGCCGTACAGATGCTCGAATAAATAGCGAAACGTCCATGACAGTTACCAGAACTATTCTATCCATCGCTTTCATCTACAAAAATGTCCCGGTAGTGCATAAGAATGGTTTCAATCGCCTGCGGATGTCAGCTCATCCGTTCAGCAGTCGAGAACAAGCACATACAAGATTCTGCGAGCTAGCATCCGCCATCCCACCTTCGGAATTGTTGGCAGCACCGGGCTTGAGTTGACCAAATAGGGTCGGCCCGAAGACGATGGCCAGATTCTGCACAGACATCGAATTCTCCTGCGCGTGTTGGTTGATGCTGAATTGATACTCAACGGCACCGCCCTCACTAAAATTAGACACGCACCGATGGAGATGGCCCATAAAATACTTGAGTGTGGCATAATTGGCGTCTGGCAAGTCATTGACTCGCTCATGCAGTCGAATATGCCGCAGCCTTTCATTCTCGATTTCTGAAACCAGTCATTTCGGGCTCGAACAAACAGAAAGATTGGAACTTGCTAGCGGCATCAATGAAACCTTGTTGCAATTCAAATGTCAAGAGCGGGTCCGGCAATTCTCTCAGCCACATCTTCATCACACTGGCCACATTGTTGATGTCTGAAGACCATTCGTTATGATCCAGATCCACAGATTCAAGATCTGCATATAAAGTTGCAGGCCAAGGTCCAGGAAACAGACGAGAACACGGACCTTTGTCCAAACGTTGGCGCAGGTTAGCCACTTTCGAGACTGTGCCGCTTAGTCTGTAGATTCCCTGCAACTTGATGCCATACTTCTCGATGGCCTGACAGCATTTCTCCATGATGGGCGGCACTTCCACATTATCTCTCATCATCTGATCCGCAAGATCAACACCGAATGTTGGTTGACCCCGGTCTTGCACTGGATTGGCGCCGTTGCCATTGAGGTTGGGCGGGGCATGAGGCTTCTCATTAGAATGGTGTGTTGGCAACGGTGGAAGCTGGATGCTCCGATTAGCTCGTGGGGGATGCGGACATGCCACCGTACGCACAAATCCTTCTTCTGGGGGACCTTCGCGTCGCGGTCCACGGGGAGTGATAGGCCCGCGAGCGTATGCGTAATTCTGCATGTATGACCTGAAGTCGCCTCGGTTGTCGATCAGCTCCAGGGTAGCCTTCAGCCCGGAAGCTGAAGAAGCTGGAGAAGAAAGACGCGGCAGCATCAGCAGAGCAACAGTGCTATGGAGCTCAACAGACCGTCTTCGTTCGATGGGACAAGGGTGGTCCCATCGTTGAGAACCGTGCTCTCGAACAGGAAGGCATATCTTGTCAGATGGTACTGCGTTCCCAAATCCATCTCGTCAACACATTCCTTGAGAGCCTAATGAAAACTCTGAGTATCCCGGCCACATGATAGAATCGTCAAATACGCACTCGAAGAATTCGAGGCAATTGAAAATTGAAGTACTCTTGCCGCATGGCTTGTGTGTCGGTCACGGCTTTCCGGTATGCATCCGACGCAGTTGACATTCGAGAACGGATGTCGTCTTCTTGCCTCTGAATCTGGGCACCCGTCAATCATATTGAACGGGTTGTTGAAAGTGAACAGAGCCTACGTTCCCCGGATTCTTCCCCTTCAGTAACAGACCACCCTTGGCGACCGCTTTGCCTATCGCTCGTTTCCCGCCGGCGCCGCCTTGTCGTGGCTGGATGGAATTATCCTTCACTGATTCCCCTTCCTTCTGCAGCAGAACGCGTTCCAGCTCTTCGGACATGAAATCGAGACGTGTCCTATGCTTGTCCGTTAGTGCTTCTGATTCTTGTAGAGCTCGTTCGTATCGTGTCGCCAGATCCTTGGTCTAAAGCAAGGTGAGATGCAGATAGCACAGAGATCAGGCAACGAACCTGTTTACGATTTTTGTCCACTTCTTTTGCCAGTGTAGACAGCTCCTCACTCATCTCATTGAGCCTCGAGGCAAACCGCAGACGATTCTCTCCTATCGTCTCATGGATCTTCAAAGCCGACTGCCAAGAGGACACGAAAGAGCTTCGATGGGTCATGAACAAGAGAGATGAGACTAGAAACATGACGTACCCTGCTTTCCCATCGCTCGTGGCATATGCATCCGCAGTTGACCGAGCGAGTTTCTGCATGTTCTTGCCGTAATCTTCTTCGAGGTTGGCGCGCTTCTTCAAGAACGCGGATGCTTCCTGTAAACATTCTTTAGAATGCAACACGTATGCTGGCGGGCCGGCGCACCCGGCATGAGACCATGCCCTGCTTGATGCGGTCCAGAAGTAAAGGCACACCACACTAGATCCACAAGTCGATACATCTTCAGCCAAGCGCGCAATAAATCGACGCACGTCCAATTCGCACAGTGATCTGAGTACGCTTTCGTCAAAAGTTGGGTCGACCAGCGTGGCGGTTTCTGTGGGCGCGCGATTGTCGCCGGTAGTCGGTGGGCTCTCTCGCCACGAACGGCCGGCCGAGTCGTTGCTCGAACGTGGTAAGGATATAGAGCCATTTGTGACGGGCGATGTTGAGTCTCGAGACTCATTCAGTTGAGCGGGATGATGATGCGAGCTTGGCCCGCTTTGTAGGTCGTTTCCATCGGAGTGCTCCCATGCTGATGACGGATACGAGTCGTCCGCCATTAAGCGGCGCGTTGAAGGTCAGATCAGAGTTAAGTACTAGCTGTGTCACAGTGTGACCGCTACGCAAATGGGTTTATGACACTTAACTGCTCTATCAGTCGGGGCCATTGACAGTCGCGATCAGTGAAATGCAGCTCATTTGCGAAGACTATAATTTATTATTCAACGAGACAGCCTTTCTTGGTCATTTCAAACACCGTTGCACCTCGCCACAGTTTCCGCATATCCTGGCCTTGTCTTCAAACGCGTCGGCATCACGGGTGTCGAAGTACGGATGTCTGTCGCCGCGGTACGCTTTTCCAGTGCGGGAGCTCATATGATACCAAGCTGGCTCTGGATGGTGATATGTGAGCCGGAATTTCTAAGACCGGGGATGGACCTCACCCATCTCGCAGTAGAGATTTCCAAAATTCGAGTTCTGGCACCAGCACGATCCTGTTTGGCAAATGAATCGATATGTGCATGTCGGAATGCGTGCACAGTCCAGTACCTTGACTGTGATCGACAGCACAGTTTTCGCAAGCAGAATATCCGCAGTCGGGGCATTCAGAGTCAGGCATATCCCCCTCGTCGTCGTATCTTATATTGCACCCGGTGCAGTGGGTCGTCGGCGGTCTCCCCCCGGGGGACTGGTCTTCTTTTCCCTCCTGTGCTTCCCGACAGATGCGCTTCATCTCACATTCATATTTGTGATGAGACCATGCTTTGCGCCAGTCATGCTTCGTTGCCCGACGGATACTGAGAGACAAGCGCACCTTCCTTCTGGCAGGCGACACCGCAATATGTCACTTCTTTGCAGTTCGAGCACCTCTGCTCTGCCGCCTCGAGGCATCCATCGTTGTAGCAGAACCCCATGTTTGATGTACCGAGAGAAATGGCGGTCGCAAGGGAAGATGTATTTACAATCTAAATTTTCAATTCAAATCGAGGTCACTCGGCTGTTTTACTGCATGATCATATTCCCACCGTGCCTCGCTTCCTCTTCTCCCAATCCATACACTTCTCCATGAGTGTCGCCTACATTATCTGATGTGTCGGGAAATGAGCCGAGTAGTGCCAGCTTCTCGGATGACTTGAGAACACTGTCCTGACTCCTTCACAGGCCCGGGGACTGTGAGACCCAGATCCAAGAAGAGAGTCCAAGCTCGCATCGGGAGCCTTGAGGTAAGTCACGAAAGCTTGCATATTCTAGTGCTCTACGTTCAGGGAGTTTTCGTTCCTGAATCGACGTTTGGGAGTGCTCTCCTCGTCCCACTCATTTATCTGCGATTTGTGTCCGCACGCGCGAGTCGACGAATCGATGATCCGCAAGCCGGAAAAGAGACATCAAGAGGTTCCAAACGTGGGCACGAGTATGGGCTATTATCAGTAAACTCTCAAGGTGAAGAGCTGATGCCGACGGGGCAGGAATGAAGTTCGACGACTCAACCAGCATCGGCCACGATTTTGCGACATGATTCTGGAACTCATTTCCCGGACAAGGATTGACAGCTGATTACAAATTTTGACGTCATGTGGGCGCGCAAAGCAACGGATCAGCACCGGAAATTCTGCGAGTGCTGATCCGGGACCCAGATTGCCTAAGATTGAGTTAATGCCACCGAGGCTGGAATCAGGCGGAGAGCCTCTAGCTCCGGAGCAGACAGTGAATGCGTCACCCTAGATCTCTGCTAGCCATCAAGTGAACGCGAGAGAAAGACCATAGCATAGGCACTGTAAGCTACGGCTAGCGAAGTGCACATTCATCACAGCTTCCCCCGCGATGTTCCACGACGATTCTGACAGGAGGCTGGAGTCTGAGCACGCCCCGGATCAATTTCCACATCGGAGGAGCGGAGGAACCAACGCACTGCTGAGCGCAAGTGCCCGGGCAATCATGGGGATTCGGGTCGTGGTATTTGCTCAGGGCACATCGCGGGCTTTTGCAGTCGGCCTGTGTCGACGATAAGCGATCCGTTGCATATGCAAAGATATCTGGGCAGTGACTTGGACACGGCTTTGGGCCAGCTGATGAGCGCAAGAGTGCTCAGTCATGTAGAGATATTTGCGGCACATGTCGAATGGGTGAGCCCTTGACTGACGAACAAGGCTTAAGTAGATACTGGACACCGAACCGACTCCTTGGCACTACCGGGATCCGTGGGTGCACCATTCGAGCTTTCTGTTGATCGTTCATGCATTGGCCCCTGGAGGACACATGCTACCCTCTCAAGCAGAGTAATAAACAGTAATCGTCACCGAGGGTGGTTCTCTATTTGATTTCGACAAAAGTAGAATCCAAATACATTCCCAACAGTCTGTTTGCCATTGAATGGGTGGGAACTTTTCGTGCTGGAGGTACATGGATGAAAAGTCAAGCACCAAGTACAGCAGATCTTGCCAGATACTTGGCCAGAGCCAGTCGGACGGTTTTCAATCGGTCCAATGCCTCCTTGTCGCCAGCCCCTCGGATCGTTCGAGCGAACATATCCAGATAATCACTGCCAGCGCCTTGCGCAGACCTTGTGAAAATCTCCTCCAATTTGCATAGTAACGCCGTAGCCCCAGAAGTCGAGAAGAGAAGCGTCGGGCCTGGCAATTTTTAGAAAGATCGATGTCAAAGAAGTGTCGCTCACCGTAACGCAAAAGCTCGACCGAATCGTACAGCATCACGGCCCACCAGGATTTGGGCGCAACATCATCCCGAAACATGGCTACGATGTCCGACGCAGCATTTTGAAGCTCCTGTCGGTTACACAGCTGTAAGAAGTTGGCGTAACGGACAGCGAACACAAGGCGATGTAAGAAGACCCCATGCGTTGATCCATCCTTGACACTTAGGCTCTGCAGTGACGGTGCGATGTCTGAAGCGAATCCGGCGAAGCTCGCCGGCCCTTTGATCCGTTCAGTCCTTGTCATAGAACATCCGGGAACGGCTGCCGCTCACCGCTGATGATGTACTCATCCAGAACACGGTCGACGATACGGCCAAGACCTTGCCAATCTTCAGCTGAAGATGAATAGGAGACCGCCAGACCGTAGTGTTTTTCGCGGACAAACGTCTGTGCGGCAATCTGGACAACGGATGAATATTGGATGAGCGAGAGAGTGGTGCTTTTAAACTCGCCCGACAGACAGTCCTACGAGCAGACTCTCTCCGATGTTCGAAGCAGGCTTGATTAACATCTTTCAAGACTCCAACGACACTTCCGTCGCGTATCTCGCCTTCACTGAGTCCATCGGTAAGACCAGACGCCTTTTGCTGGTTCAACCTCAGCGGAACGCGGACCAGCACGTGGTCGGCGCGTTCTTTTCCAACATGTTGGCAGGTGTACATGTAGTCGACGGTTATCCGCCATAGAGCTGGGTCGGCGTGCAGATATTCTGCGTAGCTCAGTATGTAATGATCCCGGAGAGAGAGTCTGTTCTTTTCTCGTCAGTACCGCAAGGGTCGTCAATAGCACGTAACTCACTCTTCTCCCGTAATGGTACCGAGGATGGAGAGCGGACTCATGATGTCTGCGAGATGAGCCGACAACCATCGGTCCAAGTGGAAGGCGTGTTCAAGGGCTTGGATAGGTTTTCCCCCGAGGAAGGCAGCGTGAATCATGTCTTCTCGATTGGTCGGGTCAGGCGGCATATCCTCGAGGATTCGTCCGACAACATCACTGCCCGTGTGAGACGCGTTTATCGATATCGGAGTCACCATCAGACTCACGGAATGTCCTGCCGCCGGAGCCTTGGGTCAACAAAGACACCCCAAGCTGCACAGACTTCTTTCCAGTCAGCACCGAGTTCTTCGCACACCCGCTGAACCACTTCGGGTCGACCCTCCAGGACACCAACGATGTCACTCAACCGGTCCCACCAATTTTCGTACTCGTCGGATCGATCAGATTGGGGAACCTTTTCCATCTCGACTCGCACGGCCTTCACTTTGTCCCTCCATCGGCGGAAAGCGTATGCAAAGTCACGCTCGACGTCAAAGTTAGAAATCCGGGGTTGAGTCGAAACAAGACTGGCCATGCTCTCTGCCAGCTCTTGTAAATCTTCGGATGGATGTTTGGAGAGAATCTTGAAGAAAAACTCGGATGCTTTGGACAGCCCCCGAATAGTCGCCCTCATGAAGATATCAATTGAGAGTGCGACAGTTCGTCAGTGATTGCGCACCTGGTGAGATACGGCCAGAAAGATTCGTCTTGCCAAGGGGATCCCAGCGAGCTAAGATGATCACCCTCTTCTGTCGAAGGCTCAATGTAATGTATATTGAGCCACTCCATGAGTTCTTCCCCAACCGGTGCACCATCTGCACCTGGTTCGGGCATATATACCAGCACAAATATGGCAAAGCAGGTGCAGAGGATACGATAGTGATCGGGTGAGAACTGAAGTGGACCATCGGGTCGCAAGGCAGGTTGCTAACTGGGGTCAGTCGGAGCTTCGTCATGAGAAGAGGAATGATCCTGACCGACGCAAGCACCCAGCTATCCTTGATAAAGGCCACGTATTCGACACCAAACTGCCGCACCGCTGCGTAATTCTCGTCCTCGTCCATCCTGCGCATACGTTTGTCCTAAACGGTGCCAAACACAGCGTGTATAACGCACCATCCCGAACCGTGGGCACGAGCTGTTTGAAGCAATTGTTGAAATTGACTGAAGATGACCGACGAGTCCGTGACGAACTGTGTTGGATTGAAACTTTAATACATACACGCGGCGATGGGCATGGGGAAGGAAACACACCATTCTTCGCTCGGCAGATGGTATCTCATCTAGACCCCCAAAGTAGACAGGCTGTTCTTCGTCAGGGGGCCGCTTTTCTGGTAGCTTCGCGGGCTTATGCATGTAATCAGCGCAGGCCGGTAGGAAAGCGACGGCGGTGATGTTACAGCATTGGTTAGGAAGACGGCGAATGAGTTGTCTAATGGCGAGAAAGTCGACGCCAAGGCCTGATTGCTCGCGAGAAGATCCCCAGACTTGCCAGCAGGAACAAGTGGGGGCGCGAGATTGAAGTGGTCGGACATCTGGCGCGTGGTCGGGGGACCAGGACGCGAGCGTGATCGAATAGTGGTAGAGCGCGTAAAATGCTGTGCAGCATTGTTTGGTGTTGGTCAACTTGCGTTTCTCAAACCACCGTCAGCCACTGTGCGTCATGTCAAGTCATCTCTCAGCCACTTCTATCTCTCTCTGCTTCACTTCTCCTCGGCCGTCGGAGTACTCTGTGAGAAACGGCCTCCTTTTCGACACTGGGGATGGCCGACAGCAGGCTCAAATGAAGTCATTGGTTTTCGGTTACGTTGTGTCGAAGATCCTCGCTGCTGTTTCGGACAGTAACCTACCATATGTGCCAAGTGAAAGGCATGAAGACCAAGCGCCACCGCTCTAGCCCGACTTTCTGGAATTTCGACAGGCCCTTGTTTCTATGAAAACGACAACCCTCCATCAATGACCCCAAAATCTATCCACCTGTGCTTAACAGACCTGCTTCCCCGTCGGTTCCAACAAAATCAATCGCGTCTGGCTTGAAGTGCGCGTCTGGCTTGAAGTGGTGTTTGGTAGCGCATGGAGCGCGTCAATGGTAGGGCAGTATTTGACAATCCGAACTGAGTAGTCGTTGTCCAGTCCCATTGCTCTCAGTCGGGCATTTTGGCCACCTCTGACCCTCAGTTCCAGTTGTTTCTCAGGTCAACTACTGCCTGAGAATTAAGATGACGCCCCGGGTCGCCATCAGACAGGTACAGTGGCAATATAGTTCATCATGACGCGTTTTCTGTCTTAAATATACCACGGCATGAATAGTATCATCCTGGGAATTGAGCACTGCTATCCACGGCAGAAAAGTCGTACCTACTGCTTATCTCTGCTCCGGACCTCATACCAACTTATCGGATCGCTCAGATTGGAATCGATTCTCCAGTGGATCGCATGTAAAGTGGCCACTTGGCACGACGCTTGATGCACGCAAGTGCGCCGGTCTCTACAGCATGCACGGTCAAAGCAAGCCTACATCAGAGGCATGAAATGAAGATAGTTGCTTGAGCCAACAGGGCGGCCACTGGGAGTTATCGCATTGATAAATGATACAATGTGGTACAGAGATAATGATAATGCAACAGAATGGAGAAACACGACCCAGCCCAGACGCCTATGCGCCGAAACCGTACAGAGTGCGGCCAGACCGCTTCAGAGCGTACACGACGTCGAGCGCAGTCACCGTCTTCCGCTTCGCGTGCTCAGTGTACGTCACAGAGTCCCGGATAACCTGCACAGCGCCTTCAGTATCCGCACGGAGGCAGCCACAGCCCAAGACACGCACGTTTTCAAGGAAAATCTTCAGCACACCACGGGTCTCCTCGTAGATCAGACCCGAGATACGCTTCACACCCCCACGACGCGCAAGACGCCGGATAGCAGGCTTCGTGATACCTGCCAGTGAACAACTTCGTGAGCCCAAAGATCCATGTCTCTCCAAATACCACACACCCTGGATGTTGTCCCGAAGAATCTTGCGGTGACGCTTGGCACCACCCTTTCCGAGTCCCTTTCCACCTTTTCCACGGCCAGACATTGTGAGTTGATAAAGAGTTGGGGGAGAGAGTTGGCGGTTTGTGGCTTGTGGTGTGCTCGGTGGTTACTCGCTGGTAACGTTGATGGGAACGGATGAGAGCACCGCCGATCCACTGCCCTAGTTTTGTACACCGACAGGTGGCTGTGCGGTGGCTGTGGAGAGTTTGCGTGTTGAATCAACAAACGCGCGCGCGTGAGCTACACGTGATCCAACGTCGCCGCGTGTGTATAAAGCACGCTGCCAAACAGGGCATTCTCTCCATCCGCCCCTTGCCTTCCGCACATCCCATTCAGTCAGTCAGCCACTCCACACAATCCGTCCCAGTTCTCCTACGCAATGGCCCGTACCAAGCAGACTGGTGTGTTGTGTGCTGTCGTGCTATGTCCTCCACTGTAGCTGACCACCTCTTTTCTTCTCCCAGCTCGTAAATCCACTGGTGGCAAGGCGCCCCGTAAACAGCTCGCTGCAAAGTCGAATGCTGCTCGTAAAACTGCCGCGGCCGCTGGAGGTGTGAAGAAGCCTCACCGCTTCCGGCCTGGTACGGTCGCACTCCGTGAAATCCGTCGGTACCAGAAGTCGACGGAGCTGCTTATCCGGAAGTTGCCCTTCCAGCGTCTTGTGCGTGAAATCGCCCAGGACTTCAAGGTGTGTTGTGCTTCTTGCCTTTCTCTGTTCATTTCTCATGCATTGCGCAGACCGACCTCCGTTTCCAATCGTCTGCTGTGATGGCTCTGCAGGAGGCCGCCGAGGCGTACCTTGTCTCGCTGTTTGAGGACACGAACTTGGCTGCCATCCACGCGAAGCGAGTGACGATCCAGCCCAAAGACCTTGCTCTCGCCCGGCGGTTGCGCGGCGAGCGTTCATGAGCGTGTTCTTCTCTGGGTCTATCTTTATATTTCTACTGTACCTCTAGTCATGTATATATCACAACAACAACGCATTTCCATTCTGTAATATCTGGGAAGAGTGAGATGATATGACCGTCTGTAAGCTGGGTCTTGCCACTCGGCTTTGAGCACGGAGCAGTTCAAGCTCCGAGCGGATCTGAGGATTCGCGGAGGGCTTTAAGCCTTGTTCCAATGGCGGAACTACAACTCTTATGATGCGTCTTTGCCCGAACGGTGTGTTCATTAGCTCAATTCGTGTATCTTGCCTGTCTGACTGAAAATTCACGCCGGCTTGGACCAAAATGCCCTCGCTTGGGAGCGAGCTCTCAAGCTTTGCGACCTTCGTCACGCTTGACACTGAACCAGCTACATTGGCGATCCGTGGCTGACCCGGAATAGTGGATACTGGTGGTGAAGAGGATGTGTCCCGGTAAGATGAAGTCGCCTCGCTCGGCGGAGCAGAAGCTTTGTGACGCTTAGTCTGGGTATTATTCTGCCGTGAGGAGACGGATGTTGGTACTGGACGAGACTGGCCACCGCGCCGAATGGGGACAGCAGTGGGTGGTTCCCTGGGCGCACGGTGTGAAAGGGGACGAGGAGGCCGTGCGCTAACAGCTAGTGTATTAGAAGTTGTGCGCTTTGTCGCTTTCTGTTGAGTAGAGCTTGTGGATGATGGACAGTGATAGAATGGGACCCGAAAGGGTGCTTTCTCTCTGATCTCGAGGTGATTTTGAGTTGGTGACGCGGAGAAGCGACTCGGAGGCCCGCGTCTCTTTTGCCGAGTGACGGAAAGGGGAATAGCAGTTGTGTGGGACATGGCCATAAGATGCGGGACGGAAGAGGCCGTCGATTTCCAGCGTTGCAGATAGCTGCTCGGCAATGGTGAGAACAAACATCGACGATGCATGAAAACGACTTGCTGGGATCTCCACGACCAGGCTTGCTGGTGGCGATTGGAAGTGAGAAAGAAGAACAAGGATCTGGCCTCTAATCTCTCCCACGGATTTCTCCATGGCTACGCCATCTGCCAGATCTCCACAGCATTTTCACCGCTTCCAACGATTCGCCCTACAGACTGGAAATGAAGGCCACCAGCCTCCATCATCCCCCACAACTCACGCTCACCAGGATCACGCTCCTTGTATCCCAAGATAATCTGAGGTGTTTTGTTCGGGCTCTTGTTGACCAACGCTTTCACGGTCTGGACCAAAGATGGAAATGAGGCCGTGTTGTAAGTCACATCTGCCATTCTGGAAACAGCGTTGGAGCTGCTACGTGCTGCCGGACGAAGAAACAGGAACGCACATGATCAAATCGAACGCCTCGCACTGGTCCACGCAGTCCGGAAATCGTTCCTCATCCCAGTCGAGTACCGCCGCTTCAACATTAGATCTGTTGAGCTTGATGTTGTGCTGCAGCAATGGCATAGCGGTATCTGGTGTGTGCGCTGTATCAGTTGGAATGACAGCGTCGAGAACAGGATGTATTCACCGACATCTGTCGCGATGATGCGAAAATCTGGGCGCAATGTTCCGAGAACGATGCTCACAATGCCAGTGCCTGTTCCCAGTTCCACTACACGCAATGGTTCCACAGAGTTGAGAAACGCCGGGGGATGAGTAACAAGCCAGGAGCTCAGTCCAATTCCACTGTCCCAAATTTTCTGGGGGCCCTCTTCAGAGACACATCTACGATGGCCAAAGAGTCGTTCACCTTGTCCAAATCGAACGAGGTCTGCTCCGTTACAACGACCCTGTGGATGTTTTCCTCGTCCGTACCCCATGTATAGACTCTCTCTATTTGGTTCTGAAGTTGTGCCTTGATTTTGGAGCTCTGGGGCCGGCCCAAGAGAATGGGCATCGAAACCACCGCGTGAGGAGATAATACGACCTCATCAGCCGCATCTAGGCGGACGGCCAACGGCGCGTTGGCACTGCCCTTCAAAGCAAGCCTCCACGCGCCATTCGTAGACGACCGCGGGAGGGGTACGGGAATCTCCTTGTATGCGCTCGCATGCCCGTGCCAAGTGGTCAGCTTCATCGACCGCGTCTCTTCCCCACTTGCGACGGAGATCCACGAAAAATAGATATCCTGTTCGCCCTCATAAAGCTCCGTTCGAAGATCGTTCGCGATTTGGGGAGTGATTGAGAAGGGAGTAATACAGGACGTCGGCGGCGGTCGAAGAAAAGACAGATAGTAGTACATGATCAAGAATCAAGATGATTATGATCTCTGGGAAGGGTGACTACTCTTGGATGGAGGTTCGTCTACTGAGTTAATGCGCAACCAAATCCACAGCTGAGTCCCATAGTTATAGTAGATTGCAGCAAACGCAGCACCGGCCAAATGCGCAAAATGGTCAAAAAACCTGTCCAAATTGTGAGCGCTGGTTCCGATCCGAAGCAAATCGCCAGCTTACTTCCATCCCCTCCAAATACCAACAACATCAAAGACCAGCATGACGGACATGCACCATTGCAAGGGTAGAGACCAGCTGGGTGGATAATATGGAGAGATCTCAGCGTCAGGGAAACCCAGGGCTGTCAACATCATCATGGCATAGAGCACACCCGTGGCTCCAGCTCGAGGCATGAGCGACGGATTTTCTGGGGCTTCTGAACGTCTGAAGAAGCGAAGAAGCCGCAGTCGAGGGGTTGGTGCATTAGCGGTACGCAAAGCAGCGGCCCAAGTGTCTGGGCGCGACGCAGAGTGGCTATCCTGTCTCGAAAGGCGAGCTATCATTCGGGGATAGATGATTTTGAGGTGGACAATGTGGGATACTAGGCCAGAGAACAGCCCCGCTTCGATTGCAGTCGGTAAAAATCACACACAAAGTTGTTGGAAGCACGAACCGGAGACGAAGAATGCCAGAAAATGGTATGCGCTCGTGGCTTCCAGAGGAGCACCGATGCTTTCATTCATTCGTTTCGTCATATGAAAAGAAGACGAAGAACCTGACGGGAAACTCAGATCGAGGAAGGACAGAGCATCCCAGCAGACCAACCAAATCCATCCAGAAAGAGCAAGTTCAGGAGAAGAACGACAGAGTATCGCGAGCTAGGACGCGTGAGAGCAGAAATTGAGTTGATATGGGACATACCTCAGTATGCTAGTCAACAAAGTCCTAGATTTACCGGACAACACGTCGTGCGCAAAATTACGTTGCATATACGACCGAAGGCCATTCGACCTCCATGCAAGCCACACTCCGACATTGAGCAGCCCGATCTTCCAGCATAACCGTTTCCCGTCGGTCACGTTGAGATATGCTTGCGCGACACTCCCATACCCATACACCACGAAGTTCCTGATCACATTCGGCAATCCCTCGGTCGAATCCGCGAGCTTCTTGAGATTGTCCCTCAGTTCTTGAGCAAGGGAGATATCAGCTGCGCGTTTCAAATCTACTGAGCGTATGGTGTTCGGCCAGGTGCGGGAACCTTGACCACGCGTCAATCTCGCTACCCATTCGTCCGTTTCAAGATTCGTCGAAATTGCCGCCCATGTGAACACGAAGAACGATCCAAGCACAACGAACTGGAGGTTATATTCAATTCTCAGCCTGGCTGAGCTGTGAATGTAGCTTACAATTGTTTGCTGTCGAACAGGCTGACGGCGGATTCTGGCAACTAGACTCGGTGTTGTGGTCGAATTTCGTATTGAGGGAAAGACTGTGGGGATTTTCTCCAAAACTGTATGTCTGGGGATGGAAGAGGAGAAAGAAAGGCGCCCGATGAATGGCCTTGAAAGTCGGTTACTTGTGCATCGACGAAGAACGGAATGAAGCATTACTATTTGCGGCAATATCCGCCACGCGTCTTTTCGGGCCGAGCCGCTTTTAGATGACCTCTGGAATCTTCCTCTTCTTTTTTCGACGAACTGGGCGAACTCTGCAAGGGGAAGATACAACTGAGGGGTCCCAGCATGAATTCTAGACTTTTACATCTTCCTGAAGGCTCGGAGCGTGTGTTGGACGCAGACGAAGAGGTTAAATGCGCGTGCAACTCCCCACTGCGGAACTTTTTCAAACGATAAACACAGGTTTTCATCCTGTACTCCCGGCCAACACCTCCTCCGTCAGATGAACACCGGGGCTTGGGCTATCTCGATTCGAATACGGATACATTGACGCTCGCTTTCAATCTGACAACTCCCGATCTCCCGTCCGACGTCAAGAAGAAACGAAGAAAGGGCGCGCTTAGAGAAAAGACTGTCGAAGTCGAGTTGGCTCAGGATAAGACTTCGCTCAGATCTCGCACTGGCGATACAGGGTCCGTTGTCTGGAAGGCCAGGTATATATGATCATTTGTCTTGCATCTGGTAATAAACCGTCGCGGTGCATTTCAGCGTCGATTTTGCGCAGATGATACTCCAACAGCAACATTCACCAACATCGTCGCCTCTGCTAGATTTCGAAGAATTACGTGGGAGCCATATTCTCGAATTGGGGTGAGCTTGGGTGACTGCTCCCGAGTACGACTGCTCTATTGATGACTGGTCGCTAGATCTGGGACTGGTCTACTGAGTGTCGTACTTGCTCGATTCGTTCATCATTACACGGCGACAGATATTGCCGAACTTTTGCCTCTGATACGGAAGAATGCCACTCTAAATCTCGCCAATGTTCGCGTCGAGGAACTGAATTGGGAGACTTTACACTCTACTGCGGCCTCCCGACGGAATCTCGTGTTTCCTCCCCATAATCCTCCCGTCGATCTCGTCCTGATCGTAGACTGCATCTACCATCCATCACTAGTGGGACCGTTGCTCTCGGCCATCGATCACTCTGGTTCTCTCGTCCTGGTGGTCATGGAACTGCGTGCGGATGATGTGACCCGGGCATTCTTGGAGGGCTGGCTGTCTCTTGGCAATTGGGAGATATGGCGCGTCGAACCGGGATTTGCGGCTGACAATCCGTATGTGATGTGGGTTGGATGGAAGATATAGATATGACGAGGCTAAGTATATGTGCTATGCTACATTGGAATTAGTGCAGTCCACTCTAACAAAACGTGTATAGCAATGGTCCGATAGCAGCTGCCGCGATGGCGATAACAGAAGTCTGTCGGGAGAAAATGGCGCCGCTCTTGTGCCCGTTGACTGCGGCAGTCGCTGCGGCAGAAACAGAGCCAATCGTCGGGGATGGCACGTTCAGATTGACGTCATCGTTCATGGCTAGGGCAGTGTCGGACAATGTCGCGAAGCCGACAGACGGAGGGTTATAGCGAAAGACGGAGTAAACGTTTTTCTATCATGATCCCTTAGCTTCAAAATCGCACATTTGCAGCTGAGCATTCATACCATGAATGTATCGCCAAGGATCCACGAGGGAGCCCCGTTTCCGGTCTGAAGAGTGAAAAACGATCCCAAGCAAGTGCCTTGTTGTATTTCCTGGAGCTCGAAATCGGCCGGACTAACAGACCAACTGCGTCCACCAAAGGAGATCGACACGGAGACTGCCGTGTTGCATGCTGAGAAATCATCCATTGAGTTGCATACGACACACGACAAAAAGATCACTGACGGTACAGATAGTAACCTGAGAAGCTCCCCGTTCCAGGAGACGATCCAGGGATCTGAGCGTAGATATTGGCGATGTCTTCTGCCGGTCCTCCGACCAGGGTAGTACCCGAATCGATCGCAGCATAAGCGCTTGTTCCAGACGACATCGAAATCGATGCGCCTTGGACTGTGATGTCTGTGACAAGACGTTGAAGATGGTTCTCTCTTGCGAATAGACAAAGAGACGAACCAGTAATGGGAAGCGTCCAATACGAGTTGAAGGCGGTGGGCATATTGATATATTCAATTTGGCCAGTGTAAAGCGAGTTGTTGACGAATCCTGCGAACGATCAATGGAATGCACCATGGACTCGAGATGCGCTTACCCATCGTAAACGATCCCCCAGCCTGGAGATTACCACTTCGAGACTGGTTCAGAAATCTGGAGCGGACTGTTCAGTCGAAGCCACTGCCACAAGGATGGAGGCACTTGCCTCGTCAACTGAAAGGCCATGACTGGAGAGTCCCATGATCCACCGGACACAAGTGTTTCCCAGAAAGGAGGTGCCCGAGACGAAGCGATCGCTTGCCAGGCGAGACCGAGAAGGCCCGACACGGGACTGGTGAGCAATCCTTTTGTCGCTTGGTCGCAGACTCCGAAGACCTGATTTGCTACGGAAAAGCCGGCCATTTGGACTACATCCGAGCCCAGATTGCCGGCCGCAGCACCGCTTCCGTAAGTTATCGAGAAAGGCGTGCTCCTGTTTGTGAAGGAAGACGAAGCTCCGGAGTCGAATTTGGCCATTGAATCACATCCTTGGTTGCAAGTACTACTTGCAACCCAGAGGTCGCTGAGAGAGGCATGAAGATCATCGATATAACAAGGGGACTCCCAACTCACGCGGATCCGGTGTCTAGGATGACGTCGAATGAGACTGGCGGTGTTCCGATCGCAAGAGAACCGAAATAACTGCGGAGTGTTAAGCCAAAGCGCAGTTTACAGGGGTGTCTCAATTTACCTCGAGTCGGCACCCTGATTCGTTATTCTGGTGCAAAGTGAGTGGGTGAGGCATGATTGGCACATAGCCACTCACAAATTGGTGCCAGTGCTGCGCTTGACAGTCTGTCCACCGTACTTCGATGTGAGACCGTGACGTTCATTCTCAGCCCATGCTGCCCAGTCGCGGCCGGTCCTTGGCTGAGGCCGACGCCTCAAGGGCATTGAGAGACCCTTCGACGGTGGCGTTGGTGAAGCAAGAGCATCGGAGAGCAAGAGGACAAGTGTAAGGGGTAGCGGAGAAAGCATTAAATGTGAGGGCGTTTGAAATAGTCTGGACTTCGTGAGTGTGTCGTGAGGGTTTGAGCGAAAACTAAATCGAGGGGGTATAAAAACTGATTAGTGATGGCCCCGGATCGTCGGCTTGGGCTGTAAGCCGTTTATTGTCTTGGCCCGGAGCAATCTGTTCGGCCGCAGCAGCGGATGTAGCGAGTGCCTGGTGGTGCGGGTGTAAGGTAAGACCAGTGGGACAGCCTGGTGAGCCGCCTGTACTTTCAAGCAAGGAATGATGTCATAGCGTATGAGTGATCAGCGATGACAGTTTACGGTCCGGTCTGGCGGTTTTAGCCGATCTTGCCCTATCAAGCACAGTCGATGAGATTTGATGGGGAGATGAATGAAGCGTGAATAACTAGGAAGCGCCGACTGCGTCGGCAGACATGCCTTGCGTCTGGGACAGGAACAATCACATTCATTCTCGAACGACTCAGGCGGTAGACGAATACATATGAGGCACCAGCAGACGAATACATATTAGGCACCATAAACAGAGCGCTTCTTCTTAGTCGGGCTCTGCTCTTCCTCATCTTCGCTGTCATGCAGTGCCAGCTTTCCACGCTTCAAAGGGCTCGGAGCAGTAGACTGGTTAGCTATGATGCGCATCTTGACAATATCGGCAGACACCAAATCCTCCTTCTTCGATTGAAAGGCGATGTGAGACAGGTTCATCGTCAACATCACGGTCACACCGCGCAGCTTAGACATGTAGTCTTCCGGTGTGATGAGCCTGCCATCTCGGTCATACGCTCGTATTCCATGCACGACGTGCGAGCCTTCCTTGAGCATCAACCGAATAGCATTTCGAGCTTCGGGTTGACGCGCCGGCCAAACTTCCAGATCGTGCGCTGTATAACCCCATTAAAACCAACACCGAGCCACAGCGTTCTTCTCACATCCTACTAGTTGCTCGCCGGGCTTTACTTGCTGTTAACGTGTTAGCACCGCTAACTTCGAACGTATCAACTATGACCGGACGCACCTCAAAGGGAATGTGGCGCAATTTGAATCCACCTGACCCTTGGCTCATGAACCCTTTCTGCGTATACCCTGGCGTCTTGATGAGGTCCACGATGCGGCGCAGAGCGTCGACAGTCCGTGTGTAATGGGTCGCGTACTTCGAATCTTGCGGGGCCAGCGCCTGGCAGTTCAGTCTGATCGCTGCCAGTTCCTTTGCGTATGTGCTTCCAATCGGCCAATTGCCACAAGGCGTCATCCAGCAACCGTCGTGGCCGATGGTGACCACACAGTTGAGATTCGCCGGTTCTGCGTCGAGGTCGGCGCTATCGTCCTCGTTGTCGCTGCTGACAGGGGCTTCGGGTGAGACATCAGCGTACGCAGCAGATGTCTTTATAATCAGCAAGTTTCTGTCGCTGTAGCGTTTCCACGTAACGTTCTCGAGGACCTCGTCCGGTCGCCCAAGATAGAAAGCTGAATCTTCAAAGCTAGGGGTCACAGTGAGCATGGTGGTGGTAGGGAAGAAAGGCGGGCGGAACCCGAATCGATCATATGTTTGTCGCCGATCGTCCCAGACATTGAATGAGAAAACAGGGGCCTTCAACGCCATTGTCAGCACTCATGGCGGCACACACCGACGTTGGCCCCGTATCTCCGCTCGCGCACCTCACTGTGCCCCAGATCCTATCACTTGCACAGGAAGGCATCGATAATCCCACTCGGTTTCCGCGACGCAAGGCTGAACTCGTTGCCTTCATCGAATCGAATGTGCCCCCAGTTCGATTGCGTGACATTCACGCAGCCGCTGCAAACATTCTTGCCGAGCGAGGCGCCGCCAATTTGAGGAGCTTGAAACGCAAGCGCGAGGAACGAGAAGATCTGGCGCGGCATGCCAGAATGCGTGCAACGGAGATTCAGGCACTTCCAGCAGGCATTGGCGGCACCATTGAAAAAAAGGATATCTCGCAGTTCATGGCCATGCCGGACGAAGATCGGCGCAGACTCTTGTACCGTCGATTCTATTTAGCGACGTCCAACAAAGCTGTAGCGACCATGGTGTGCGCTGTGTGTGGTCGTGAGATTGACATCAACGACAAGGAAGAAGCAACGCCACGACGACTTCAAACACTCCCTAATCCACACTGTCTTGCGCCTGCCAGTCCACACGCAGCGCACGACCTCTACCATGGCATGCTCCTCGATCCGGCGGGCGTTTTGCAGCGTGGAGAAGAGGCATTCGTGCACGTTTGCGCGCATTGCTACTGCTCTCTGGTTGCCAACGACAACAGGCCACCAAAGTTCGCCCTTGCTAACAATCTGTGGCTCGGTCCTGTCCCGTGGCAGTTGCAAAAGCTCACCTTTCCTGAACAACTCTTAATCGCCCTTGTCTACCCTCGCGTGTTCGTTTTCAAGCTCCACCCTCGCGTTGGCGGCCGTGATCCGACGAAGCTACAGCGTGGAATGCGTGGCACAGTTAGCTCTTACGAGCTCGACACGGATGGAATTGCTTCGATGTTAGCGGGAAATTTGATGCCACGACCTCCAGCAGTTCTAGCGTCCACCATCGCGGTAACTTACATCGGCGTTGGCAAGCTCCCAAAAAACTGGCTTCTATCCACTTTCCGCGTTCGCCGACAAGTCGTTCACGAAGCTCTTCGATGGCTCAAACGGAATAACCCCAAGTACTACGGACATATTGAGATCAATAACGAGCGCTTAGCAGCATTACCTGAAGATGATGTTCCTCTGGAGATATCTTCCCTCTTGCGCCAGAGTGATGATGTCGCAGCCGTTGTGCAGGAGAGCGACACGTATGTTCGCGAGCAGCACGTCGATGAACAAGCAGAAACGTTAGAAGGTAAACAAGCCACTCATCAATAACATCAAAATCTGATGCCATTCGCTCCCCATAGCACACGAGTTGGATGGATGGAGAGACGACGGCGCAGGACGCTCAGACGATGAAGACGATGATGGAGGTTCGCATCCAGTCACACTTCCCAACTGACTAGCTCACACGTTAAACAGGCCCGGATGTTATACCGTTGACGGTTACTGGCACAATCGACACAGACTTGTCTTCTATGTCCACAAACGAAATGATGCAGTGGGGGCTATCGAATATGTGGAACTCAGGACAAGAAGGTGTTTATGCGGTACGACACGGATCGAAGCCTGTCAGTGACTTTGGGCGCCCACCCCGGGACGCCGGCTCAGAACCGGCCGACCCCAACCGACCCAACTTCTTCGAGCGCGCTTTTCCTTGCCTGTTCCCATATGGTGTAGGGGGTTTGGAAGCTGATCGGCCCGTCGATGTCACATTCGCTGAACACGTTAAGTGGTCTCTCCAATACCATGACCGGCGTTTCCGCCGTCACGAAACATACCCTTTCGTCGCTTTTGGCATCTCACAACGCCGCCAAGCTCTGCTTTCAGCTCGCTTACAAATGCGGCGGAAAGATTTTGACAAGGATGCTCGCATACTGAGCACAATTACTGCTGAAGCTCTGGAAAAGTCGCGGCAAGAAGAACAACAGAAGCTACCAATTTCAAATCCCGCTGTGCGATTGCTCCGCCGACATATTCATACCGCTGTTGGTCGTGTTCAAGGGTCAAACGAATCACGCACCGTGTTGCGCAGTCAAGTCTGGTCCACCACACTTTACACAGGACCATGGAATCTATGGATCACGATCAACCCGTCGGACATTCACGATCCAATCGCCCAAGTCTTTGCTGGCGAGCGCGTGAACCTTGACGAATTCGTATCAACAGTTGGACCCGACAGTGATCAACGCGGGCGCAATATTGCTGCAGATCCCTACGCGGCAGCCAAATTCTTCCACTTTACCATAAGAACAATCCTCGAGACTCTCCTTGGTGTCCGCGTCTCCGGCTCACAAGTACTCAGTGAGATGGGTGTTCTGGGGGAAGTCGCCGCGTATTTCGGCATGGTGGAAGGCCAAAACCGGGCCGCTCTGCACTTCCACCTCATTGCTGCGCTCAGAAACGCGCCAAACGCTGACGAGATGCAAGATCTTCTACAGTCAGCGGCCTTTCGGGAAAAGATTGCAGCCTACATCAAAGAGAACATGCGGGCCTATGTCGCTGGCCTGGAGAGCGAAGACGCTGTGAAGCAAATACCCGTTGAGAAGGATATCGCATACAACCGGCCTCCCAATCCTGATTCAGATGATTACACTGCACAACTTGCCGCGTTCGAGAGACGGCTTGCTCGCACTGAACAAGTGCATACGTGCGACATTCGGCGTTGTCTGGTAGTGACGAAGGCCGGTCGATTGCGATGCAAACGTCGAGCACCATTTGCTTGTTCTGATCATGACTTCATTCATAGCGACGGTAACTGGGGTCCCAAGCGACTGTACGCCTTCATGAATGGTTGGAACCCCGCCATCCTCGTCAATGTCCGGTGCAACAACGACATCAAGCTTCTTACGCATGGCGAAGATACAAAGAAGGTCACGTTATATATCGTCGGATACGCGACGAAACCGCAGCTGCGACACCAAAATATCTCCGCTATCTTGGCGAAAGGATACGCATACCACCTAGCGCGTCAAAACGAAGCCGAGGGCGAAAAAGTGAGAGCGCTGCGTGAAACGCAGCAACTCCTGCTCTTCCGGCTTATCCACGCCATCAACCGCGAACAAGAACTGGGTGCCCCTATGGTCATATCGTATCTGATGGGTTGGGGCGACAATTACCACTCACATCGCTATGTGCCGATATATTGGTCGTCCTTCGTGTCCGAACTGCTATCATCCGTTCCCGATCTGCGTTTGAACCAGTATGTTGTTTATTTTCAAAGTCCAAGTTACTAAGTGGCCAAGTGATGATAGGCAGCTTTCGGACGAGCATGCAACGGTTCCACATTCCGAGTCATCCACGCAACCACCTGTTACCGGCGACCCATCCGCTGATGATCAAGATGCCGAGGTAAGCACAGGCCATCCCGCACTGGAAACCTGGTCAAAGAACTAACCGGATACCCAGGACGCTGAGCAGGCCAACGTGACGTTGAAAGTGGACGGTCGCGGGCGACTCTACGTCAAGAATCAAATCTCCGATTACATCTTCCGCAGTGAAGAATTAGAACGCCATAACGTGATGGACTACTTCGTGAACACATACGAAGTAGAAGTCAGCGTTCGTGACCAAGCGTTGCCAACTGAACCCGTGAATGCTCAACGTGGACGGCCGAAAAGCACGCGCTTCCGTTACCTCCACGGTCATCCATCGCGTAACCAGAAACAGCGTGTTTTGCGATCCGGCGGACACAATACGCTTCCGAATTTCATTGGGCCATGGTTTCCGCGGCGCGATGACAATGAGCGTCGAGATTTCTACTGTGCATCCATGTTGATGTTGCTCAAGCCCTGGCGTAAGCTCGAGGACGACCTGAAGACTAAATCGCAGTCATGGCAAGAAGCTTTTGCCGCTTTCTTGGAGAGTGCACCCGAGCGCACCTATGACCTCCTCGCAAACATCCAGTTCTACCACTCCTGCCAGTCAGCTGCACTGGCTTCTCAAGACGATGATCTGGATAATGAGGACGTGACGTACGATCAACTTCCAACGAACGAGTCCAACTTCGAGTCTTTTGACGAAGATGCCGACCAGGTAGCCATCACGCAGAACAGGATCAAAGCTCTCCTTGAGTCCCAGACGTCGAATCGCGAGTCAGCGCACGGGCGCATGGCCATTGAAATTGCGCGTCTAGTCAAACTGTTTGACGCGCAACCTGTCAAGCTTTGGCCAGTCGATTCCCATGATGCAGAACGCACTCACGCATTGCCTGCAACCGGAAACGATCTAAGCAATCTTATCAAATGGCGTAAAGAGCTTGATCGCGTCGTGCAAGTGCAAAACGACATGGGCGCCAGAGCAGAAGATTCGGAAGATGAAGAGCGCCCTGAATCCGCCCAGGAGGCAAACGATGTTCTGCCGTCCGTCGAGATGATTGCCGACAATATAGAAGCGCCAGAGGAACGCAAGCGCAGGTCACTCGATGGGGACACCGCCAATAACGACGTTGATCCATCAAAGGAGGAGGAAATCGTCTTACAGCCAGATCAGCAGCGTGCATATGACATAATCGTCTGGCACCTCAAGCACACGCTCGCTGGGCATGAGATGCCTCCCCTGCGCATGCTTATTCACGGTGAAGGCGGAACGGGCAAGTCGAAAGTGATCACTAAAGCCACCCAAGCATTTCGAAACCGGGGCGTGTCGAGCTGGCTGATAAAAGCGGCGTACACGGGAGTTGCCGCTTCACTCATTGACGGCAAAACTACTCATGTCATTGGCGGCATCTCGTTGAAAGCGAAGAAGATGAGCGACGCCACAAGATCGAAGCTTCAAGATTTCTGGAAAACGCGACGATACCTAATCATTGACGAAGTATCTATGCTCAGTAAAGATTTTTTCGCCATTCTTTCTCGAAACATCGGGGTTGGGAAATCGTCTAGCACGGACAAATCTTTCGGTGGGATCAATGTGATTCTTTGCGGCGACTTTCACCAGTTCCCGCCTGTCGCAAAATCGATCAATCAAGCGCTGTATTATCCTACAGGTGGTGCATTGCAAGCGACATCTAACGACGGGCGGTTCCGCACTGCTGGCAAGATGAACGACACTGTGGACACGAAAATCGGTCGTGTCGTGTATCAAGAATTCACGACCGTCGTGATATTGAAACAACAAATGCGTGTGTCTGACCCTGTGTGGTTGGATTTTCTGCGTCATCTTCGGATCGGCGATGTGGAAGAAGAACATCTGGCCATGTTGCGAACCTTGGTGTTGAATCCAAGCGAGAAGTTGGATGATGGATGGTTGGCGGCCACACTGGTGAGTTGAGTGTCAGTCTCGACCGGCTCAGCATAAGGACCATTCACCAGGTGACACCTCGGCATGGCGTGCGAATTCCATGGAATGAAGAAGCAACGCGTCGAATGTGCGCCAAGAATCGGACGCAGCTGTACGTGTGCCAAGCGGAGGACACCTACCGGGGCTCGGAGCTCAATCTGGCAGATCGTCTAGCGCTTGCCGAACATCTGACAAAACATAAACGCGGAGGGAACAGTGTGGAGAAAGAGTTGCCATACACCATCGAACTGGCGGTCGGCATGGAACTGATGGTGACAAGCAATATAGAGACCGATTTGGACCTCACAAACGGGGCACGAGGAACAATCGAGGAGATTATACTGGATCCCGACGAACCTCCCATCGGTCAGGAGGCGGTGGTACACTTGACGCGCCTGCCAGTTTTCATCTTGGTCAAGTTTGAACGCACTCGAGCGGGGAAACTGTCGAACTTAACAGCAGGTGTGATACCGGTCGAACCAGGGAAAGCGACATACCATGTGAAGACCACCATATCGGGCGGGGCCAGTGTAACGAAGACCATCCGAAGACGACAGTATCCAGTTACCGGGGCCTACGCGTTCACCGACTACCGTTCACAGGGACAAACTTTAGGCCGGGTCATCATCGACATAGCCACGCCGCCGTCAGGCGGTCTGAGCCTATTCAACTTGTACGTGGCGCTGTCGAGGAGCTCAGGCAGGGAAACGATTCGGTTGCTGCGGGAATTCGATGACAAGATATTTCGGCAAAGCCACGATCCAGCACTCCTCGCGGAGGACGACAACCTGGAACGGCTGAACGCGGTAACGAAAGAGTGGTGGAAACGCATGTCCACGAACCGTACGGATGTGAATATGGAGTAATGTCGACGCAGATCAAATGTGCAAATTGCCTAAATGTTATGTGAATGCTGGACTGCACATGGACGTCGCCTTAGCTGAGTTACGGCGAAATACGAAAGACATCATCATATATGGACGGCGAAAATACCGACAAACAATGGATCATAAGCGACGGAAGAAGACGGAATGGCAAGCGGAGAAAGCCGGCAGCTTTTTGATCGCGAATTATGGTGGTGGAGATGCCTTGACAAGCAAGGCAATCCTCAAGTCGAACAAGTGCATCCCACATGCTTCCTCTCAGATAAAGTGCTAGGTCCTATCTTGATGTTGTCTAAGCAGTTTTGGTGGGCTAGGGGACAGTGCCCATTGTAATTGAGCGTCGTTGCAACCGCCCATACTCACAGGCAGCAACAAATTGGTATGTACTATGCGCCGAGGACACTAAGGGTAAATGACCAGTGACGACTGGAGACCCTTCAAAATATCAGAATTCTTGAGTTCCACAAGTACATGAATAGTCCAAAGAAAAAGGGATACAAGACGTATGCTGTACAACAAGACTAAGATCGCAACACCGGTTTGGTCTTTTCAGACACCTGAGAAGTCCATGCATGGACGTCCTCCATCGGAACACTTTCCCACGCATTATGCGCCTATTCATTGCCAGATGAGATGGGAAATGGCGTCAACACAGACTGAGACAAGGCGTACCTCATCAACTTTGTCCAGGATATCGTCAATCCGTTTCTGCAGGATGTCCCCTTCTTTGACCACAGCCTGGAGGTCGTCAGCGAGAGCCAGATTCTGGCCCTCCATCTGGCGAGTTCATGAGCAACAAGATTCTAGGATGAGATATAGCGTACCTTCGCATGTAGGCTCCTTACCCTCGCTATTTCAGCCCGCAATATCGGAACTGTTCTGCCATATACTGCAGATTGCGGTCGCATTTCATCTGACCTGACGTCGGGACCAAGGTCCCCAGAAGCCTTCCTCGTCTTGGCGTCTCGCACCATCTTATCCAGAATGTCTATCTTGTTTTGTAAATCGTATTCATTGAAGAGGGCCTCGAAATTCCGCTGCGGATAGATGTTTCAGCAGAAGTTGAGAGAGATGCAACCAACAGGGCGCGCCTGGTTTTCACTCTCGATGTAATCCGCCACTTGATTGTAGATTCGCATCGCACGGTCTTTATCTTCTTCGACAAATTCTGGAAAGCACTCTGCAAAGTCTTCGGAGCTGGAATAGAAGATGGTTGAGGTGTGCATGCTGTGGGTGGGCAGACCTAGCGTACGTCCACCGCCGAGCGGAGCGCTGGATCGCGAGTTCGAGCGCGGAAATGAAGTGCTGCCACCTCCTACTGCCGGTAGCATACCCACGAAGAGACATGACGCGTTCGTCGTTGGTCGACGCGTCTATGGTTCTGGTCAAGGTTCGTGACGTTGGAATTTGATCGGGATCAACAAGCATCAGCAAGTGTGACGAAGTCCACCTCGTTTCCGCCGACATTGATTCCCGCGACTCGTACTGGAATTCGCCCGGCCAGGCTTCACATCCCGAGGCATGGAGAATCCAAATCCGACTAGAGAGGATCAGGAGCCTGAGGCTGCTAATGGCCAGCGGAGAAACTCAGTGCCGCACTTCATCTTCATCAGTTTCATGCTCTTCCTCCTCACCAATCACAACGGAGACGAATTCCTTGCGAAGCACCAGTATCAAGACGCTCTTCAAACTCTCGAGCATCAGGTTCATTCGTTTGTATGTACTGGTGCATCCTAGTGCTTATCCTCAACGTCAGCTCGGGAACTACAGTGCTTGGATGAATGGGACAGCTTCTAACTTTAGTCTCGTGTGTGGCGTTTCACGCATTTTCGTCCCTCGTTTCACTCAACAGCGAAACCTTCTCAGCCGGAACAGAGCCCCGCTATTCCTGCACTGCTATCCTACTTCAATTTATCGAATGCCGCGCTCGACATCACACACTCATCTTATTATTCTAATTCCACCGGCACATTTCACGGGGACGTCTCTTTCTACAACATCACACCACCGTATTTGAATGCTACCGCTCCCGACGTTCTGACGCCTTTGGCTACACAGTACATGGGTGCGACGAACATGAGCGAAGTCGCACTCAAATTGGGGAATTGGAATTTCTCTGCCTCGGACAAGGTTGCCATCAGTCTCGCAGAGAAGGCCCAGCTCTCCGGAACTGCACTCATTCATGTGCGCACCCATATATCCATTCTATGGGACGTGTGGTAGACTGTTTCGTTATGAAGGGTAAGCTGGAATTGACCGATTCGATCAATGAACGGGATCTTCGTCTTGAATTCGAAGGGATCCACTATCCCGAGAACGGCACAATGTACGCGATCGCGGAGGGCATCGGGTGGGTGAGAGTTCTGACCCGTTTCAACGTCATATTCAAGTTTCATAGTCAGCACGTTGACATCCGTTATCTACCTTCGATTGTACCGGCCTCATCTCGAAACCATACGGCTCATGTCGTTGAACCAGAACTTGCCTCACGTGTCGCCAAGCTCAGAAACTTGATTGACGCGGGAGTCATCGAACCAGAGGCCGCTGCAGGTCAGGGCACCGTGTACATCACAAGCTGGTATCTCACCATTGTGAACAACATTAGACGATTCCGCCAAGACCGAATGTTCTTTCTCGCTTTACCTCTCACTGGATCCAGTCAAGGTCCCTGAACGTCTGTTGAGGGAACTGGAAGCCGAGACTCAGCATCCGACTGGGGCATGGACCGTGACACCGCCAGCCATGACCCTTCGCGGACTTCTTCTCAGCAGGGATTGTGGTATCGTATACCAATTCCACAAAACTGACGGGGTTGGGTGAGTGATCTGGCGTTGATGTTGTTTGCTCTTTCTCAAGCAGGCTAGCTTGCATTCACTCTTTCGTAAACTTACAACTTGTGGGTATTATCATATCTCGTTCGATTCAGCTTTTCTGAGATACCCTAGACGCCGGAACCACTGCGATCACATATCTGGTCATGCTCGTCCTGTTGTCCCGTCAAATGCAACGCAGCCGGACTCCCTCGGGGATCTCGCGTCTTTCGTTTTGGACATTTCTAGTCCAAGCAACTGTCGATTCGCTTTCTTTCGCTGGGCATACCGTTTTTGCGCTGGTAGCTTCCGGGACACCTTCGTTGTCATTGATCGCCCCCGCTTTTCTGGCTTGTGTTTTGTTTGCCCACGAAGCAGTGCGTGACTCTGGAAGTCTAATTGGTATCCCTTAGTGCTGATCATCTTCGAGCAATTTGCCATGTTGATTCAACAATTCCAAGCGCCTGAGAATGCACCTGCACCGGTGCCTGTTGTGGACTCTCCAGCCCCGGAGATAGGCTCCCCTCAGCCACCAGTTTCTCCTCCTGCGATGCAGCCAGTTGCGCCCCCAGCACAGCCATCCTTCCTCGCGTTTCTCATCCATCACTTGCGCACGGATCCGCAGCTGAGACTTTGTGCGCTTCGTCCAAGTCCTCACGTGGCAAGCCACTTATACAACTTTGGCAGGGATTCTTTTGTTCGCTTTTCTGACGTTGATTGTGCACACAATCTTGTCGGCCACCATGTCCATGATCTTTGTGGTTGTCTCGTATTCCTCCCTGTGGTTGCCTCAAATCGTTCGTTCTGTCCAACGAGGGAGGTCTAGTGGGCTCGCCAATGAATACCTGATCGGGACGACCGTCTGTCGGCTCTATATGCTGCTTTGTTTGTGCTTCTCTCACTCTCATGCTGATTCTGATTGCCTGCAGACTTTTTGCTTTGCCCCAAGAATGTGCTGGACATCGAGCCTCGTCGTAAGTCTCAATCGAATCTGACAGTTGCGGTGCAGTGACTAACTCTTTCCAGCTTGGGTCATCATACTTGTTCTACTCATCTGCACCCAGATGCTTGTCGTGATGCTCCAGGATACTGGTCTGGGGCCTACGTTTTTCCTTCCGCGATCGGTTCGTATCCCGCGGTGTGTAGTTCACATGCTGATGGAGCTCGTAGTATGGGGTCGTACAGCGTTACGACTATCATCCAGTTTTTCCAAACCCAGACGAGGAGTCGGCGCAGTCCTCGTTGGGAGACTGCTCCATCTGCATGGATGCCATCATGGTTGAGCGCGGACGGTCCCTGGACCAGGACAAGTCTGGCAGCATCATGAGCGCTGTGCAGATCGGTGTCGAGAATGTCTCCGCGCGGAAAAACTACAGTCTCGCTCCTTGTCATCACCTTTTCGTGCGTTGAATTGCTCAGATCTCCAGCTGCAGTGTCTGATCTGTCGATTGCAGCATACAGATTGTCTGGAAAGATGGCTTGCGATCAAGAACATATGTCCCCAGTGTCGTCGGCCGCTACCCCCGCTATGAAACTTTGCTCTCTGTATTTACATCTGTAACATTGCATATCATTTGGCCGTGGCTTTGGTCAAGCAAGTTTGCCCGCAGTACCCTAGTTTGCCGACCTGTGGACGTCGCCGGCATTGCTGATCATGGGTCAGTCGCGAAATGGCGTCCAAAATTAACTCACAGGGCAAAGAGGAGGGATGTGCATAATGTCAGCTTTGAGACATACAGTGCCACAGTATAAAGACTCTGCTATCCGCGGTTTTTTGCCACAGTTCTACGTCCAGGGCCGTAAGGATTCAATTATCAGGATCAGTTACGACCCAACTCGGACCTTGCATTGTGTTATCGTCCTCGTCGGCGTCTTCAAACCACCCAAACGTTCTCGCACACGCTCCAGCGCGCGCCCGTACTCATTCGAGCCGAGAAGGTCAGAGCCAACACCCCAGAACGAGTCTGTCGTCGAATCTTGATACAACTCGGCATCGTCCGTCGCGAGCAGCACGGCTTTCGCAGCCGCATGTTGAGAAAATCGGAGGAACAGTGCCTCCTCCATCTGAAGGAATCAATCCATTTGTCGCGTGCGCACGGCGTCGGTCGTACCATGGATATGTTCACAGAGAACCAATCGGAGCGTGCAGAGCTCTGGTGGGCATGTGCTATCTTGAACGCCCCGTCAGCAGTCGCCTCCTTGCGTACGGCTTCCGCTAGATCGGGTCGGATGCCAAGGAACTATCTATGGACGTCAGCGCTTGAGCGCTCTGCTGAGAGATGACGCCGGAACCTTGAGCCCTTGGAAGAGATGCTGCGAGGTAGGCCATCTGAGTCCCTGGTGTTCCACCTCTTGAAGCGCGAATTGGTCAAGCTCTGGGTGAGGCCCTCGCGACCCGAAAAGGATCTTCTCTCTTGCGTGTCTAGGCAGCCGAGATTTGTTTGAGGGTGTGGCCGGTTGACTCGACGATGACGACGCCTCAAGCGAGAATTTTACCTGCCGCGGGGTGTCTTCGAGCCTCGGCTTCTTGGCCGATCGGTCTTTCTTAGCGGGCGCACGGGCGAATGCTTGTGCTAGGGTCAGTTGAGGCATGGTGGTCAGGATAGGCACTCAGACGCGTTCAGGTCACACGATGAAAGCTCATTGATCACTGATTCCTCCCATGCTCCTGACAAATGCGATTTGATGTACATAAAGGTATCATATAGTGCTCGTGAAAGAAAAGGCATGCAGATACGTGAACATGAATATAAAGGTGAGGTAGAAAGTCAGGCCCTAACCACCGAAGTCCCGCGCTTGGTCGCACTCGAATTCACGGCTGCGACCACTCTCAGAAAATTGCCTCCACTGGGCCGCTTGGTGAGCGGCTTCCGACCAGCGCCGGCACCCACGCTGGCTGCGGCACTTCCGGCTGCAGCGGCGACGCGTTCCGTTCGCTTCAGGAATGGACTCGGTAGATTCTCGTCGTCGTCCATATCGTATGTTGGCGCGGTATTCGATCTTGTCGGCAAGGCTGTGCTGCCAGTTGCTGCAAGATGAGGATGCGGTAATGGTCTTGCTTTAGGTTTTGACTGTGTCGTTGACGTGGACGTGGTCGCGATTTCCGAATCCGAGACAGTACTCGGGACGAGCGAACGACGGCCAGAAGTGCGGATAGATGGCCGCCGGAGACGCGTCGGAGGTGCTGAACCTTCACCGTTGACATCAGCTCCAGATTCACGGCGCCTGCGCACTTGTGTCGTCCTCCGAATCGTCTCTCTTTCTTCATCTTCGGCTTCACTCTCCGATTCCAAGGCTGTCTCCCTCAGTTTCTGCACAAGCCCTCGGCCTGCATCCTTCTTGTCCCCATCAAAAACTTGCGCGAAGTTCAGGCCAACTTTGGGCGATGCCATCACCTCGTCTTCGAATCGTCGGCTCAAGTCGAACATCTTAGCCAACTCTGCTGGTGATGGTGTCGTCAAAACCTCGCCCGTGTTGGTCAGCACGACGCCCTTCATTGCCGAGGGTTGAAACAGCTCTTTCAGTTTGTGGGTCGAGCTTCGTTGCAGAGGAGTTACGATGACGGGACAAGGCATTTGGTTCTTCATCGAAGGTTTGGATGCTGCGGATACCTTCGGGGTGACTTGCTGTGCGGCACGGGACAGGATGTTCTGAACTTCGTCAAGAGGAGAACGATCCTTCTTTGACGCTGAAGGCTCGCAATGAACACGGGGAATGCATAAGAAGTATGCTTTGCGCACCTGACAGGTTGGCCATCTGTTCGTCTAAAGCCTTGACCTTCTCCTCCAATAATCGCTTCGCAGAGTCCACTCGCTCTTCATCCTCTTTCATAGCAGCCTCTCTTCGAAGGAGATCTGATTCCCGTTCTTCAAACATCCCAGATCGCGCCTCGAGCTCTTGAGCTAATGCTAGACGGAATTCTTCCCTCAACACTTCTTCGCGTTTGCTCCAAGCATCTAAAACCTCCGCCTCCCTTCGCCGGATCGCCTCCATTATTTCATCTTCTCGTCGTTGCATTGACTGGCTGACCTCCTCCTCACGTTTCAAAACGAGAACTCGGAGCTCCTCCTCGCGTTGTTTCACTGCCGTATTGACATCCGAAACGTTGGGTCGTGAGTTCATATCCATGTGACATTCGTGCAGCTGGGTCTGCAGAAGATGAATCTGTCCGTCCCGCTGCTGTATTGCTTCAGCAATATGAGCCTCCTGCTCTTTCAACGCCGATTCTCGTGTACACAGATCTCGTTCTTTGGCAGTAAGGTTCGAACGATGCATTTTGATGGTGTTCAGCCTGGATGAACCTCAGCACACGACATATGAAAAAAATGCAAAACTGACAGTTTTTCAGTTTCCGAGACTTTGTGTGCGAACTCGATTCTTTCGTGCTGAAGTAGCTGTGCCGCAGATGGACGCATGGCTGGCTGATGTCATTCAGTAAGGCAATCTCTTCGGGAGAGCAAAGATTGTGGTACATTAACGTTGAGCATTGATTTGATGATCGACGACAACGACTGTGAATAGTTTCGCGGTAAAGGTGGGATTCGTCCGCTCCTATTGATGACTCAGAATAGATCCCACCCGAGCAAGAAAATCACTAGCCGAATAAGAATGCTCAGCTCACTAAGCGTCTTTGCCTCGTGGAAAGGCGGCTTCAGCGCACATAGCTCGTAGATCAAGCATCCCAATGACCAAATGTCGGATTTGGAGTCATACGCCTTTTCTTGCATTAACTCCGGCGACATGTAGTAAGGTGTCTGCATGAGGTTTAGCTTCGAAGAAGAAGGGGCGCTTTGAAACGCACTCCGACATAAGTGTTCGCGAAACTTGCTGCCTGTGAAAGGGCCTTGGACAGCCCAAAGTCACCTAGCTTGACGGTATTAGATTCATCCAAGAAAACTTCACTGTATGTTAGTGCATGCTGCTTTAGCGAACAAAACAAACGCACCGTTGTCCGGCTTCAAGTCGCGGTGCAAGATCTGTGCCCTCTTCTCTCTATTCTCCATATCACCAGTGCTACCAGCGCTACTGGTTCGACCGTGTCCTCCCGTGTTGTGGCAGTGGTTCAGAGCTAAGAGAATTTGCATGAAGTAGTTCCAGATGGCATCCTCTGCGATCGGCCGGTTGTGCTTGATAGCTTGTTTGATCACGGAGGAAAGGTCGCCGCCACCACAGAACTCCATGATGATGTAGAGCGTGCCGGCATCGCGGTCCACCGAGCGGTCGTGGTAGCGGACGATATGGTCATGATGAAGATCTTTCAGAATGTTTCTGGAGAAATCCGTCAGTGCTCTGTATCACAGCTCGGCAGAACTACCCACACTTCAGCCACGATCTGCTTCTTGTCCCGTTCACTCATCCGCTCAAAGTTCAGCTCCTTGCGAGCGAATATCTGGTGGTGAGGTGAGTTGATGTTGCCACCGGATTTCGCAGCACGTACTACGCCATCTGTTTTCCGGCGGACCTTCCGAATGACACCAAAGGAGCCGTTTCCAACGACATCCAAGGCCTCGTATAATTCCAGAAATGCGGCCGTCATTTGTCGTCCGGCCTTGCCAGTGGATGTGCGGGAAGTTGGTACAATGAGGAAGTCTGCTGTTGTCACGCGTGACCAGGCGTTCAACTCACATCATGTGATCGAGATGCGATTCAATCATGAGTTTAGCACCTTGGATCGTGATGGCCATGATCAGAGGGTTTCCCGAATCTCGGGACGTGGTCGGTCGAGATACCCGCAGCCCAGGTGTTCCGACTCCAAGTCCAATCAGGAACCCGGGAGCCAGAAGGTCGTCAATGACGCACCTACAAAGAAGCCAAAAATAGATCCATCAAGCAGTGCGCCCTAACATATCTTTTTGCACCCACTTTTAAGCCCCCTGTGTATGCGAGAAAAATCTGATTCGGAGCTCTTCAGAGTAGATGTTCCCGTTGAGAAAATCTCGCGCGTTTCCTCAAATAGAGTGGGACTTTACGCAATGAAACACGTCACCTGATCGCGTTTGGCACCACGTCACGCGTTCAATTAGTGCTATTCTTGGCACATCTGATCTCAACTCTTCTCCAACGGTCAACAGATTTAAGTATGGCGTCTTGCCTCGCTTCCTTATACCCCTTCTCTCGCGCCACCAACATCTCTGAAGACGACATGCCGCTTCCTGAAAAGCCCATCGAGAACATCCACCCGGAAAACAACACCCTTCCTCATCTCACCTCCGACCAGGCTGCAGAGGGGCTTGTGGCTCTCGTCGACCATAGTGCGAACCACACGGATGTATCCCAGGGGATTCATGCCAGCTCTCACACCATCTTCTCCATTCCGTGGATTCACAAGCTCATACCGGGTATCGAGAAACTTGCCAATGCCTATCACATTGGCAACTTCGTCGCCATTCGGGGCTCGAAGGACCAGATCTTCGAAGCCATGCCCATCTATGCCAGGTTCGGTGTGTGTGATGTATGCTCAAGCGTCAATTAAACCTGGTCGTAGAATCGGGATGCACCTCCTGTTCTACGGTAGCGGCCAGATCAAGGTCCTTCACTGGCAGCACATTGAGGATCTTCTTCGGGAACAGTCAATCAAGGTCAGGCACTCCCAACACTGGCCCTTTCTCTTGACTCACCGAGTTGATCAGGAGGGCAAAGTATATGACAGCCCCGAGTCGACGGCTTCCATCGCCTCCTTCGTGAAGACGTATGAACTCAGCACTGACGAGTTGCTCGAGCCCGATCTCTCCAAATACAAGACCTTCAATGAGTTCTTCTTTCGCAAACTCAAATCTGACGCACGACCTGTTGTCCATCCTGGGGACTCCTCGGCCTTCTGCAGCGCAGCAGACTGCCGCTTGACTGTTTATCCTAGCATTGATCTGGCCAAAGAATTCTGGGTCAAAGGTCACTGCAACTCCACCCTGCTCCTCTCCGCGTCTCATTTGGGCATGTACAGGTCGCCAGTTCACCGTTCCCAACTTGCTTGGCGTCGAGCCAAACTCCGAGAAGGCTATCACCTTTGAAGGATCCAGTCTGGCTATCTTCCGTCTTGCACCATCTGATTACCACCGCTTCCACTCCCCGTTGGACGGTACCGTTGGGGAGACGGTGCACATTCCCGGACAGTATTACACCGTGAATCCACAGGCGGTGAACGAACCCGGTTTCGATGTGTTCACTGCCAACTCCCGTTCGGTTCTCTATCTAACTCACAGCGGTACCGGCCTCCCCGTTGCTTTCGTTGCGATTGGTGCGCTTCTGGTTGGAAGCATCCGTTGGACGAATGGCGGCGAGCCGGGAAAGACGATCAAGCAAGGCGAAGAACTGGGGTGCGCGCATTGTCGAAGCATATCTGAGTGGTATTCATTTCCTTTCTACAGGTATTTTGCGTACGGCGGAAGCACCGTTGTGGTCCTTTTCCCCAAGGGCGTCATTGCGTAAGCTGCGTGCCTGTTTGCTGTCAAAGATGCTCATGGAGCGCGGCAGATTCGACGATGATCTCGTTTCGAACTCCGCGGTCCCCGTCGAGACTCTGGTGAAGGTGTGTCTGTCGAACATGCTCATGCCAGGCTGCAGCGGCTCACACTAGCTGCAGGTCGGGTGGTCCCTTGGAAAGACCCCAAGCAAAGCATAAATTCCGATTAAGTTCGTATGCGACGTCTACATGTGGATTTTCGCCTGGGGATTCAGTGAATATCGTGCCTTCCTGATATACGTTATACCCATATCTGTGTGCATACCTTATTGATAAATTGGATCATAAATATTTCTTAGCTTGGGATCAATGTGTCCTCCTCCACTCGGCCAGCATCTCTACACTGATCATTTTAAGCCCCCAGCGATCGGCGAACGCCCTGCAGTCGTCGCGGCGAGCCATCGTCCCTTGCGCATCGTCGTTCACGAGTTCGCACAGCACACCTGCGGGAGGCAGCTTCGTGAGCCGGCACAGATCGACCCCGCTTTCCGTGTGGCCCTTTCGTGCCAAAACGCCGCCTTCCACCGCACGCAGGGGCACCATGTGGCCCGGACGTGTAAAATCCGCCGGGACGGAAGACGGAGAGGCGAGAGCCCGGGCGGTGCGGCTTCGGTCTCCCGCAGAGATCCCGGTGGTCACTCCTGTACGCGCGTTCGGTATGTGAGAGTAGAGCGCATGGCGGGACACGCACCGTGTTTGTAGTCGACCGTGACCGTGTATGCGGTACGATGTCTCTCCTGGTTATCCGGAACCATCATCGGGATGTCGAGCTCCTTTAGTCTGTCCCCTGGGAGTGCGATGCAGATGTAGCCACTTGTTGCGAGCTCAGTACACCGAATGCATTCACACATCGGCCAGTCAGATGCGCACCTGGTGTGTTTGATCATCCATGCCATTTTTTCGGTCGTGCAGTGGGTCGCAGCAATTATGAGATCGCCCTCGTTCTCTCGATTCTCATCATCCATGACCACCAGAAACTCTCCGGCCTCAAACGCCGCCAGAGCATCCTCCATAGCATCGAAAGCGAAGGTCGTTCTCGGAGGGATGCCGGCGGTTTCGACCGCTCTCCATGGCTTGGTGGTTCCATTTGACCCGGCAGTATTTGCGACGACAGAAGGCATGGATGCTTGTTGTGCGTAAGTGTAGGAATTTCAGAGTTCGGACGGGGCCTTTGCGGTGATGAAGCCGAATATTTAAATCAGATGAATCTACGGTCGAGGGGCGATTGATAACCGCTATGTCAGGCGGCGGCCTCCAGTAAAGGTGCTTACGCATGTGATTATGACAAAGCAACTGATTCCCGATTTCTATAACCTTCGAAGTTCGTAGTCTCTCATGCGATTGGACTGGTCACTGATTCTCAAGCTTGTTGCCTATCACCACCACTTGAATCCAGATTTCAGGACACATCCTGTCTAATGCTGAAGCGCTCAAGCTTCCGCTCACGCCGCTTACCTCGGATGCGTCACGGTCAAACGAACCACTACAATTGCAAAGGCGCCGAAGGCCAGTCCCTTGGCCGCCTGAGTTTCACTGTGAAGCTTCTGCATACCGCCGCTATGAACGACCTGTGGATCTGCAGGTTGTGCCGTCATGGAACCTAGAACCACAGAAAATCCTAGATGAGCGCCAGAGGCCGGTTCTTCCTCGCCCATCGGAATAGACCTTCGTCCAAGCACATGCGTCCAGCTCGCATGCTCCTTCGATTGAGCGTGGATTGGGCTCCCGCCCCGATTGACCGGACAAGAGACAGGGGCACCACCGAAAGGAATTGCGGTGTGTGTAATAACGTCTAGTATTTTTGACTTTTCGCTTTCACTACTGGCTTATTTACCCTAACACCTAAACCATCTAAAGCTTATCTGGCACTCTCGTTGGCCATTTTCTCTCTGCCGACATTTGAATGGCCAGCAATATCAACGTTGGAGAATATCAACCAGATCGCTTCCGGCGTGACCGCCCGCTCTGGCCTGCCGCGAATTCAACGAGCGCCGATCTCTCGTGATCTGCATGCGCTTGAGCCACGTGTTGAACTGAGCCTGCCAATCCCGAGAAGAAGCAGACCCATGATCCGAATGGTAGCTTCAGACGATGAGTTTGTGTGTGCAGATTATAAAGGCGCAGCCACGCCTGGAGCGAAACCCTCGTCGCCCACCATGTTCACCTTTCTTGCAGACAGCCCAGAGTACGAGCACCGCAAGCGGACCCCCTTCTCTCCTCCTGCGGTGACGCTCGCACAAGTCCGTGCTGCGGTTCCGAAGCATCTGTATCAGAGGAACACACTCAAAGGATGTCTATATGTGCTGCGGGACGTCTCGATCGCAGTCGCGATCTTCAGGTTCGGCTGGGCGATCGACGCGCGGATCATCCCGTTCCTGTGGCATCTGGGTGTGCCGTGGACTGTGGCCTGTGCCACCAAATGGCTGCTTTGGACTTGCTACTGGTATGCTCAGGGAATCGTGCTCGCAGGCTGGTGGTGTATCGCACACGAGGTAAACCGAATGATGGTCCCTTCCGCACGATCGCTCACCAACATAGGCGGGCCATGGCAATCTCTCTGATATAAAATGGATCAATCACATCGTCGGGTTTGTTCTGCACAGTGTGGGTTGTTTTGATCCCTCCTCACTGGCTTTTCTCATATGCTTTGCGACAGTTTCTTCTGACCCCGTTCTATGCGTGGCGCGCGTCGCACAACGCCCATCACCGAGCAACCATGTCTCTGGAGCGCGACGAGAACTACATCCGTCAGTTGCACTCGCAACTCGACTCATTGTCGACTGACGTGCTTTCCCAGCTCGAACTCGCCAGGGATACCATCTGCCTGATGAATCTGTCGCAACGCTGGATGACTACCATGACATCTTTGACGACACGCCGATATACACTCTCGCGCGCATGCTCTTCATGCAAGTCGTTGGCTGGCCTATGTATCTGCTCACCAATGTCATGGGGTCGCCAAGACATCCGCCTGGAACCAACGTAAGTTCATCTCTCTTCACGATTCTAAACAAGCTCATTCGCTTTGCAGCACTTTAATCCCTGGTCGTCGATCTTCAACCCACGGGAAAGAAATCATATCATTGCTTCAGATATTGGCCTTGGCATAATGACCTGTTTGCTCTATGTTTGGTCCCAGCGCGTTGGTCTGTCCTATTTCACCAAGCTTTACCTGATACCATATCTCGTGCGTGACCAGCCCTGTGTTCCATCCCTTGTCTGACGCCGTCTTCCAGTCTGTGAACCACTGGATTGTGATGCTCACCTACCTGCATCACTGCGACCCCACTGTACCGTACTTCCGACGACGCCAGTGGTCCTTTCTACGCGGGGCACTTTCGACTGTCGACCGCCCGTTCCTCGGTAAGGATCGATGCGCGGTCAGATTCACTTTCTAATCGCCTCGCAGGCTGGGCTGGCCGGTTCTTCCTGCACAATGTTTCTCATGACCATGTCCGTCTTGTCAGCCATCATTTGGCTACTGCTGAACTGAACTGGCTTCCAGATCTCTCACCATCTCTTTTCAAACATACCCTTTTGTCAGCAAATGTCCACTTCCACATGTCTCCAGTGCTGAGAGCAGTTGCAGACAATCAGCCACTTGTCACGGAACACATCAAGAAAGTTCTACAGGGCAGTTACAATTATGACTCGACGGTGGGGCTCTAGTTCAATTCTCTCTCTCTGTGTGTCTCACCAGCATTACAGAACTCGTTCCGTGCGCTGTATCGCACATTTACCGAGTGCTGCTTCATCGAAGACGACGGCGACATCGTGTTTTACCGCAACAAACACGGCCAAATCGCACGCAGTCTGGCTGATGGGGCGTTGGATCATCCAACGGTGCGCGGCGCGGGGACGTGGTGTCTGATCCATCTGACGGTATCTTCTGTAGCATTGAGCAGTGCATCGATCGGCGCGATCTTCCAGGATGCCGCCACTGATATATCGACGCTGGGAGGGTACAGCGCCAACGATGCCATGGCGAGGTAGGTGTGATAAGGGTCTGATTGAGGGAGGCATGTCAGCCATTGCCAGTAAACATCCAAAACGAATGAATCCAACCTGGGGTCTCCCCCGGAAATTTGCATATGCCACCAAACTTGAATTGACAGCTGGCGATGAATGATGCGTGTGATTCGGCATCGACCAGGTCTGATGCTCCTAGAAGCTGCAGATGGCATGGGGCGTAAGTCTCGGGAGCAGTCCTTGCAGAGCCTGAATGAACCTTCAATCCTGCCCCGCACCAGAAACTATAGCATGCGTCGGCTGTTTTGCCTGTGCGCCCTCGGAAGCCCCCGCTGTCCTCTTGATTGTGGACGAGCCAGTGGATGCTCCGGTGGCGCTCTGACGACGTCAACGGGGATCCGGTGTCTCGAGTAGCTAGATGGAGAGATGCCAGTGCTATGTATGTCGGCCCGCCTGCGTATGGCCGCAATCAACTGCTGTATATAGAGCTCTAGCAGCGCGCACGAACCCGAAGCTTCACAGAAAGGATCCTGACCATAACCGCCTTCGTATGTCTGCAAGCCAGTCACACTACGTGAGGACAGGCATCCAGAATCGGGAACTACGCTGCCTCACCCTGCATCGGGAGATGTACTCCAGACTGCGCGCGACGTCAATTCCGCTCCAATCGCCGAGCATGTCACAAATGGCAAAGGCACAGTACAGGCTTCGCAGGTCACATTCGTTGCTGCCGGGTGTAATTGCGAAACTGCCATCCGCCCTTTGGCACGAGCGGACGAACGTGACCAGGCCGGGCCTATCCAATTGCGCGAAATCGTCGCGAAGTATCGCGAGCGTCAGGATGGCAGTATAGGACATCACGAGATGCGGTCCGTTGTGCGCGTCGTAAGGTTCCTATCAACGTCTGTTCGACAGCACGTCCTGGCTTGGCAGCTCGGGAGGGCTTGCTTACAGCTTGCGCGGCATACGGAGTGACGAACGGACTGGGCCGGAATCCGGATCCAACTGGTCCGTCTTGGCCGAGACTTCAGATCGCAGCGGGCATTGGGTAAGAGAATGGATCGCACGAATCTGCTGTTCCCATATCCACTCCTTCCACAACCTACGGTCAGTCGGTGTCGTTTTTTTCTCCAACAGACCCAGGAGATCGAGCGCCCCGATGCAGTAAAAACCTACGGCCATACTGCATTTCAATGAGATGTGGTTAGTCCTGGAAAAAGAGGGGTACATGCCGGGATGCATCGTACTCGACATGCGAGCCTGGAAGGCCGGTGAGGCAGCGGTTGACGTGCCCTGCGTGGAATGCTTTGGAGAGTTCCGGCAGCAATTTCGACATATGTGTGGGAAAGCGATCAAAATGAATCCTTCGAGTAAAAGAGACTGGAGACAGGCAAGCGATCGCGCTCAATCGTGGTTGTCAAAATGAAGCAGTGCATGCAATGACGTCGGCAAGTCCCGAGTTTCCTTATCTGTGTACGCGGAATGGCTCACTCGATCACGTGATGGCGTTTCGCTTACTATGCCGCGCGAGTTCCTTAGACTCATAGTCCTCCGAAGACGATTTATGCTTCGCATAGCCTGTGGAACACTACTTTTACAGCAAGTGCTCAGTACCTGAAGCTTCTCTACTACCCAAACGGTGCGCAGACAGGTTCCATGTCTTGAGAGCCTAATATAGGGTCCTCGAGTGTCTCTTCTAGCTCTAATAGGTGGGAACGACTGAGCTCCACGTCGTGCCCAGGGTGTCATCGCTTATCCTTTGATAAAGAACAGACAGTGGGCGGCAATATATGCACACGGAAATGAGCGCGGAAGCCACTTGCAACAAATTCGCAGAGCGAGCATGATAACCGCTGACGCTGGTTAATAACCACGGACATCACGCTCCACTCGGACTGCTTCCTGACTCGAAATCATGGGGATCACCATCTATGGAACAGGGATTGCATGAGGTCACAGGCCACGACAGACCTGAGTAGGGTCGCTTCATGAAGCGGTGTCAACGATCGCCAGCGAGTGCCAGTCGTCCTGTAAACGTGCTGTAAACCACATGTGAGCCTCGACCTATCGGGTGGTCCTGAGCTCGCCCTGCTCCAGTCTCCAAGAGATGGTATCGATTGCCGAGGCGGTATTTCTCCAGGAACACGTACTGAGTGGAGACGTGCAACGTTGGAGATGTGTGTGCGGAAGGGACAATGGGCGCGCTGATAGTGGCTTCGGAACTTTTGTCCGGGAGCCGGGCGACACAACTGGAGTTGGTAGAGATCTTGAAAAGCCCCGAGACGGAGAATATGTATGAGTGGTGTGCTGTCTGTACTCTACATTATACGTGGGTTCAAGAATGGATACAATTTGAATTTGAATCAGCAGCGGCGGCGGCTGTCGCATACAGGATTTAGATTTAATGGTGTGGGAGACCGCGACACGAGGCCGGTGCCCTGACTCCAGCGGCGAGCCTTATTTCACACATATGGACTGATTCTTCTCGCCAGGCCAAGATGCGATCGTGCCAACTCACGCCTGTGCTTCGACGATCGGCTGGTTTTCGCATGCGCACACAACGCCCATCCGTCGACCCATAGTTACCACGCCTCGTGTGGTTGGCGGCGCTATTTTTTCTCTGAAACGCGGGCTTTGCGAGCTCAGAAAGTGCTTCTTCTTTGAGCTGTTTGTCCGAACTGTTGATGCAACGACCGTGCAAAACACAAAGAATTCAGAAATGAACAAAAGACAGCCGTGGGAGCCTTCGATCCATCCGTTCAACGCCACACAACTTCGAGATCGTGTCGATTCGGTTACCGGTGAAACGTCCGACTCGCTTCTTTCCTTAGTGTCACTCGTCACAACGTCGGTCACCATCAGGTCCCCGGATACATATTAAAACCAGCCCACACCTCCATGACCCACAATCCTTTGAGTTCTTAGTATGCGTGCAAACCCCGCCTTCGATGCCCGCACACCCTACTCTTCTTATTTCCTCTCCGGGCTCATGAGTCCCAGCTCGTCTCCCTCGTCTCCGGCCTCATCTCACTCTTTCGACTTTCCGCGGAGAGGCTCCTTGCCCGAGAGTTCTTCATCTTCTTTCGCGACCTCCGCCGGCGATGACTCTTCGTTCTATCTTGCTATGCATTCTCCTGCAGTGGTGGACAAGAACCAATATCGTTCCTTTCTGTCTCTCGATCTGGCCGAGTCTTTGTCCTTGAAGTCTCGGCACGCGCGACGTTCTACGCGAAGTCAACGAGAGCAAGCGGAGTACGTCGCCAGGCCGTCCCATAATACTTGTTCCCTCATTAATCAACTTTCAGTCCGGTACCCGACTCGCCCTCTTTGCTCCCACCATCGCCGGTTTTCGCGCGATCGTCCCCGGTGCATTCTTCCCGTGCCATCCCGTCCCCAAAACCTGCTCCTTCAGCCTCCCTGCCTTGTGTGCCGTCGCCAGTAACCACTGGCTCTCAGGTCATCGAAATTAGAATTTCCCGTACCGTGGCGCCTGTCGACATCCGGTCCGTTCCGCAGCGGAAGCCGTCCCTCGTGTCCCAAGCCACTCGTGCGTCAGCCACGACGTCAACCGTCTCGACCCGGTATCGCCGCAAGCGACGGAACAAGGCGCTTGCCTGTCTGGAAGGGCGGCGTCCTGCGCTTGCCTTGAACACCACTGGAGATTTCATGAGTCTTAGCGACGGTGATGACAGCGACAGCGATGTCGGCTCGCCGTCCGACATGGACCTGTCGCTCAGGGACGATCAGCTGATTATGCTCATTGCACGGCTGAATGACGGGGAGCTTATGCCTCACAATGCTTCTCCCTCGGCAAAATCATCGCACTCCCACAGCAGAAAACGGGAGTCCTCAAAAAGGTCCCTGCGACGATCCAAGACTGCTATCGGTCTCAAATCGTTCATGGACTTCCAAAACGATGACGAGAGTTCATGGGGTTGGAACAGTTTCATTGAAGTCAGGTCTTGAATTTGGCACATCGTCTGCTGACCGTTGATCGGCGTCGGCTGTACCACCAGTCCACCACTAATTCTCACGTACACTATCATCTCCCTATTGCTATCCCCCGCTATCGTCAGCTAGCCCATTCTTGTTGTCACAGTCTTCGTCATACCACTTTGCTGTATTACTAACGCACCCGCTCCCTCGCTTTGTTGTATATTTGTACCGGCGTTTGAAATCGTACCTGCGCGCTTCGCATCGTGTCGGAGCATGGGCCCGAATGTGGCGGTAAAACCAAAGATAAATTGCAGATCCATGTCGGATGGAAAATTCTTCCGTGCATATTGATATCACTGCCACTGATAGCTGCATGAATTACACCGTATTCCTTCCGTCGTGGCTGTGCACGTCATAGTGCACAAATTGATCCGCAGTCTCAACGCGTGAGGCAGGCTTGAAGTTCTTCAGGATCTCCTTGCGATGCACATTACTACTTTGATCCTCTATGCATCCTCTCTCGCCGGCGTGGCGCGTGGACTGCGGCATCTCGCCCGCGACGCCCCATCGACCTGCCAGCCGCTGAATATCACATTCGGCGGCTCGACTTCGCATTCGGACGCGTTTTACGAGCACTTCGCGCCTATCAGCTCAGACGGATCGTACTCCCTGACGGACTCTGGGCTCGAGCTGTATCTCCGCAAACCGCCTGGGATCGTCACGACCGCAAGGGGGGAGAATGACAAACTAGGGTATGGGGCGACGATCAACTCTACATTTTCTATCTTGTGCGGGGACCACCTTTCTCTATAATCTAGGAAGAGGATCTAATCTACAATGTAGCAATGGCAAAGTGACATTCCTTGTCGAGGCTCCTACCATATCGGGTGTTATTGTGGCGGGGATCCTCATCGGTGCGTTGCGGTTGCCTTGCTCACAACGCGTTTGGTCTCTGATTTTCATACAGGAGACTCGGGGTCATCCGATGAAATCGACGTCGAGCTGATCTGCGGAGACCCGGATACATGGCAGACGAATCTTTTCGTGGCTGATCCGCGCGACTCGAAACCAGAATACGGCGTTTTCAGCTCCAAGGAAGCGGTCGACAATATCAACGATGTACATGCATATAGCATCGAGATGAGTCCAGATGCTGTTCATTGGAGTCTGGATGGACACGCCGTAAGGACTTTGAAACGAGGTGAGATTCTCTCTCAATTCAGTTCCTGAATCGGCCCACTCAAGCGACGAAGATCAATGCACCAGGAACGGCTTCTTGCACTATCCGACACATAGCATGAGACTGCAACTGGGTGAGCTTCATTCATTCCACTCTCTGTCTCTCATCTCGTTGGTATCAGGTATCTGGGATGCGAGCAGTCCCGCGAGCACAGCAGACTGGGGCAAGGGACCAATAGACTGGCAACGCGCTCCAGAACAGATTGTAGCTACCTTCAAGGGCGTCCAAGTCGAATGCCCATGACAGCCCATTGGCTCGTTATCTACGCGAGTTGTGTAGTACCCGTGGGAAAGACGCCACATCATGTGATCGCGAATGCCGTAGATATACTCAGGCTGCACGCACGCGACCACTTCCACAACACTCGCTCATTACTACCATGGAACACGACTCGTACTGGAATATGGCCCCTCCGTTCTCCTCTCCTCCATCTTCGCCCCCCGCGCTGAATGATTCGTCTCCAGCGTCCTCTCCGGGCCCGTGGGACGAAGACATGGAAGTAGCCCCCGCGGACGAAGATGCGGGCCACTTTTCGCGCTCGTTCTCACGAGAGAATCCACGTGTGCATCCGCTTGCTGCGTCTGCAGGAGGGTTCTGGGACGCGCCTGACTACGAGAAGGGCGCGAAGAGGCGCCACCAGCGCAAAATATCGCCCTCCGCAGCTGCCTCACCGCGCAAACGAGCAAAAAAGGCGCGATTGTTCGGTCCCAGAGACAGCACATCTAGTATTACACCTATTTCATTCTTTGGGAGCGGAAAGCAAGAGGAAGCCGACCTCAAGTGGGATGAGGCCATCCAGGGCATGTTTCAGACAGGAAATGGCAAAATCGATCTAGAGTTTGTGGCGTTCTGGTGTCGCAGTTGGCATGGGCTGACATGCATGCAGTGACCAGAACATCAGCGAGATTCCAGCGAAATACGTCCACGACATGTGTGCGTTCTTCGTACCTCCAAGCAGAGACGACCTTCCTGCGGAATCATCCCGGAATGTGTCGGCGAGACGGGACTTCACCAAAGCTATCACGTCACCAGCCATCTTGGAGTCACACGAGACGGATAAACGAATCGAGAACATCCCGCGCAATGATATCCAGCTATACTTGGCCAAGAACCAGATATCGCGCGTGCCAATCGAGCTGTTTCTCTTGGAGCGGCTAGCGTTTCTCAGCTTGAGTGCGAACAGCCGTCCAAAAATAGTACCACATCTGACTTTATGCGCACAGGAAACAACGATCTCACGTATCTTCCGCCGGAAATCAGGCAGCTGAAGAATCTGCGAGAACTGAACCTGTCTGGGAACAAGTTCCGGTTCCTGCCAGCAGAAATCATGGATCTCACGCTCAACCAACTACATGTCTTCCCCAATAATTTCCTGGACCCGCCAGTCTCGCGAGAATTCCGCCGCGTGAAATCCATCCGAGAACGACGAGTCGGAGCAACGCAGTCGAATATGGCGTTCAAAGGCCAGCGTGTTCCGAATCTGATGGAGCTTTGCTATCGCCTTCTCCTCGAGTCAGCGACGGGACCGGCGTCGATCAGCTACGACGAGCGCAAGCTGGCGAAATACTACGAGTTTCCGCTCCCTCACGACTTTGGAACCACTCCGATCCGAGAGGTCCTGCGCGCGATACATCCGAGAAGCGTGGTTTTGGCTGAGGCCTGCTCAGCGGATGATAGTTTCATCGAGCCGGATGATGAGGTGTCTGTCGGCTGCTGTCCTTCGCCCCATCACACGAGCAGGCTTTCGCTTTTTATACATCACGCGGAAGAGCGGTTCACCTGGGACGGGGTAGTGGCTGGGTGTCATGTAGGGGGGTCTGTGCCATTGAGATGGAGGGGATGCCTGCCAGGCTGTTTGGACCATCTCTGGACGCCTGTCGTCGAGTCTACTGCCATTGCTGCTGCTGTTGCTACTGCTGCTGCTACTGCAGTTTCAAGCAACGAGAATGCGGACGAACAGAGTGGCATCACCCGCGTCCAGTTTGACTGGATTTGGAGAGGAGGACTTTGATGATTAGCATGCTAGCTTTAGTGCCAGAATTGAAGTGTACCGCGAATGATCCCATCGCACATCCCATCAATGGTTTTCAGGATCTCACTCTCCCAATTCGCTGTGTAGCCTTCGTAACTTTCCAACTTAACCTTCTCTCTAATGCAGCTCTATTCCTATCACTTGGCCATCTCTTATCCTAATTCTTCTTTCCGCGCTCTTGGTCGATACGTGATCTAGGCCGAAAGCAAAGCACTTGCTTTGTGTCCATTATGGCCTAAACGCCCTTCCTCGTGGGATTTAAAGGTTCAAAGCAAGGAACCGTTGTCGTAAAGGCCCACCACCATCGCCCCACCAAGGAAAGACGCGCATGCACTTCCCCTTCTCCTACCTCATCTTCACGCCCCGACACATCCGTTTGCCGGAGGACGGTGCACAGCCTGTCGCGCGCGGGAGATCATCGTCGTGCGTCCGGTGTCTATTGCGGCTGTTCTGCATCTGATCGCGGACCGGAATGAAGCACCCCACCGCGTTGGCCGAGGCGTCTTGCGCAGGGCACGAAATCGTTCAGGTCGTACAAGGCAATCGCTAGACAGCGCCGAGCGACGTCGGAGGAGCTCCCAGCCGACGCGGAGGCTGACGAGGACATCCAGGTGGAGGACCGTTGGTGAGCAGCAGCATCTGCATTATGTGGTAGATGACAAAAATGAAATCATTATCCTTTGCAGAATGATCACAGCACGGAGGATACATAGGATACAGATAACGGGTGAACGAACGATAAATATGCGCGGGAATTGTACGATGGAATGGAATTGAATGAATGCAGTCGTCATCATCACATACTAGAGTCACCAGACATGCTGCCCATCTCAGTGACCCCACCGCTGCTAAACATGGCCTTGAGCGTCATTTCGTTGCGCCGTTGCCTGACACGTTCAGCTTCCTCTGCGCCACCCGTCATTTTCAGCTTCTTGTTCGTCACAAAGTCGGTCAATTCAGCTTGCATCTCGTCCGAACGGCTTGCCAATTCCTTCTGCCTGTTCTTCTGGCTGGCCTCGATGGCCTTCATCCGCTTCTCTGGATCGATGGCTGCGCCCCGGATCTCGAGCATGACCGTGCTGAGCCCATTATGCCCTTCATCGATGGGTGGCGGGCGGAACCCTTTCCTGCCGTTCCGACTGCCCACTGAACCAGGCCCTCGGATGCTGATGATCTTTTCGACATGCCCATAGACCTCGACAAGCGCCTTTTGGTCTTCGATCAGATCCTCGAGGAACTGCTCCTGGTGATTGAGGAATCCCTGCTCGTCAACGATGTTCTGCAACTCTTCTTCCCAAGTCTTCTTCCACATCGGTTTCACCGTGTCAATGTGCTCCTTCAGACTAGCCATTTCTGCGGAAAGGGCCTCGATGTCGTTCTTGATGGTCTTCAAATACTGCATCTTCGGGGTGATATGCCGTTTGACGACGTCGTCTTTGACATTCTCGACGGCGTCTTGGAGCTTCTCGATCTCCGTGAGCACATTCTGACTGCGGTTGTCCAGTTTCTTCTTCCCCGTGTCGATGTAGCCACGTGCTCCGCCGACGTTGGTGTTTGCTAGCTGCTTTACGGACTTGGTCTGCGCACGAAGAGACCCCAGCGAATCTTTCGTCGACTTCATGAACTCGGTATAGAGCTGACGCAGAACCCCGAGGTCTCGGCGCAGATTCTGAACTTCGTCGAATTGCGTTTTGAGATCCGTCACGACACGAGACGAATAATCAGAGAGCACCGAGCCTCCTGTCATCTGTGGCTGCAGCGTGCTCTGTGCAGATGGCATCGGCGGTGGCGATGTGGAGAACGGCGGCATCTCAGACGAGGCATCGCCGACGAATCTTGATAGCCGTCGCGCTACGTTCTGGAATTGGCGATCCGTTGGTCGATTAGGGGCTGGTGTGCTTTCGGCCAGAGGTTGGCCGACAATCGCCGGCAGATGTATCGATTGCCGATTGCCACTGTTGCCGCTGCCGTTGTTATTTACAACCGACTTGAGCTCTTTGATATCTTGGGACAACGTCGAGATCTGAGCATCGATGTGCTGCTTGATCTGATCGAGAGCTTCAAAGCAGAGTGAGCGTAGGCCACAAATAATGACGGCGCCACTCACGTTCAATGTTGAGTGAAAGCAAACACTTCTCCTTGACCTCGTCCATATCCTCCAACTCGTACTGCACTCCGCTCGCAGGATCCCTGATATAGATCGCAGGAAAATTTTCCAGGCCAGGATTATACGAGAACTTGTCCACAAATAACATCCGAAGCGAAGCAACAGACAAGCCTCTGTCGATTGTGACCTTCTTGACCTCGCGTCCCAGTTGAAGAAAAACGATCAACTGGGTTGCAGGTGGCGGTGGAGCTGGGGCGACCAAAGATTCCACCGACGCAGCAGCAGATGAAACAGCCAAAACGGGCTCCGGTGTCCGCGACGGAGTCGACGGAAGAGGCGGAACCGGAGGTGTTCCTGCTTGGCTGCGATCAGCACCGGACGGGCTCGCACGCGACCTTGAATTGCTGCTTTTCCTGACCAGAGTGGGTGCAGCAGGTTCCTCGTCGTCTACTTCAGTGAGAACGGCAAGGTCCCCGGGTGTGAGCGCAGACCCGGCTGCCAGAGACCGTCGATTAGCTGCCCCTGAACCTGTACGCACGGATCGTTCTCGGGTCGGTATCGCCCCAGTCATCTTGGAGATATTGTAGGTCGAGAATCGCTTGGAGGCGCGGCGCTCGAGTGTATCACTCTTTTTCAACGCAGCCAGAGAGTTGGCAACAGCGGGCGCCTGTAATGCATCGATGGGCGGAGTATCTGGTGGAGGGGGGGATACAGTTCCATTCAGACGTTCCATGTCAGGACCAGGAGTTGAAGGCTCGACGACTACCTGCGGAGTAGCCAGTGGTTTGTCGACCAGTGAATATCGCTTCACACTGGCGGGGACGTTGGGTGCTGGCGACGGCATTGGAAGCGTGGGGTCATTTGGAGAGTTGCTCGGATACTGGTCCACGCTTTCGGCGGGCGGAGGGTCGATGGGCGGAGGTACATTTCGGTTTCGGCGTGATTGCGGCTCCGGCGAGTCAGCAACTTCCCTTTCCGGGGTAGGTTCTGTCGGCGTGGGCTCAACTAAGGCTGGGGCAAAGCCTCCAATGAAAGCTTCTCCGTTCATCGTGTTTCCAACTAGAGGTGAGCCAGGGTCCCTTCTTCTCGATGAATGTCCAGCACTCCTTCGTGACGAAGTGCTGTCGCGCGCAGACGTTGGGGTTGGGGGATTCTCGTCACTGAGTCCCGAGCGTGATAGTTGCGAACGGTGAGAGCCTTCGCGCTTCGACCTCGAAGAGCGACTGTCCGTCCGCTCAGACGTGGATTGCTCGGAACGCCGATGGTCAGACATGATGCGTCGGTAGATGGATTGTTTCCCTCGCAGCCCTTGTAGGAGATTCGTGATTATCTGTCGTACAGTCGGGAGATAAAGTTCCAGATTATCCTGTGACGCGTCCTCGGCAAGGCATTGCTCGAGGACATTGCGCAGATCATCCGGAACAGTCATTAGCTCACTGCAGAACGTCTTTAGGTATGCCTGGAGATGACTGGAGTGTAACGCACGCCATATCAATATTGTAGGCGGCAAATGCGGCCACCGCGGCATTGAAGTCGTTCCCCAGCCTGACATACACATCGCTCACACTATTCTCGTCGATCTTCAGCACACTCCATTGCGTAAGCGACTCGAGTAGCTGCTTGATTGATACAAGCAGACGCGTCACGGCAGATTCGACGGCTGGCTTCATAATCACATTAAATCGGTTGTTGAAGAGGACCACTTCGCGCGACGTACAGAAGAGCCGCCATTCCTGGAGCCTGCCCGCTCTGTCCGACTTGAAGACGATGATACGGACTGGTTCGTATCGCGCCGAGAGGCAGACCCGTTGCCGGACGCCGGATTGGAAGGTAGAGCACTCCGGCTTGACATGGGAGGCAAAGGACACCGTGGTCGATGTAGTGATTTCGACTTGCGATCATCGAGGTCACGGGTGTCACGATTGCTGACACACCTGTCAGAGTCACCAGAGTCCAAACTCAAAGTTGGTATACAGAAAGCAAAAGTGGATAGCAGTAGAAACAGCCTAGCGAACAAGTGCGATATGGGCAATATAATTGGAATGGTCTGTGGTGTAGAGGCTAACAAGCCGCATTTGATGAAGGAACTGGATCGAGACCTCGGCCCCGGAAGCAGCAGCATCTGCGCGGCTGAACTTATTGTGCTTGAGAGGAACATGAGCCAAATGCACGCTTGAGCATGAAAAGCGTACCTCAAAGAAGGAGGAGTAGGCCTCAGCAACACTGTATGCTAGGTTGAACCGAGACACAGGTCGGTGCTCACAATTGCTGGCGAGCTCTTTGACAACAATAGGATACCCAGGATGCTGCGCGGAAGTGCCCGTAAGCGGCAGGTAAAACGAGCATATCCAAATTACCTGGATTTTCAACTTCACGTCCGCCGATCCGTGAAGAATCGGATCTCGAGCGCCTTCGAGGACGTCTCGAAAGTCCAAGATTTCCGTCAGAGACACGCCGTGTGAATCCGTGGTTTGGCCCTCCATCGGCTTCGGATTGAAGTCTATCATCTCCATACCAGGCAACGCGGGGAGCTTGGTGCGTATTTGAGGCTTCAGTCCGTGGGCAAAGTCGGCATACAACGCTGGAAAGCTTGCAGCCACTTGCTGTCGGCTCTGGATTCTCAGATCGTAGATACATTGGGGACAGGTCGAATTTCCCGACGCAGCGAGCAGCGCTTGAAACGCCCGCTCTGAAGCCTTATGACGAGCCTTGGCCTGCTCCTTGGCCTTCTTCAAAGAGCGTAAGTCAAAACGAGAGCGAGATTCAACATGTATGACACCACGAACCTCAGCTCGGGACTTTCGCACGATGCGTACTGGTCTCGATGGATGATGTGGCCTCAGCTAAGCGCCAGATCAGAGTAGCAGGCAACCTAAACTGTGGACATACACCGGGAGCATGAGGTTGGCCATTACTGTGGAACGGCGTCTGTGCGTACCGACCGCCCATGCGATTAGGGATGATATCGGCTGGGTCAATCTGAGCCTGGAACACATATAAAACCCAGCGATGGACGGTACATTTTGTATACATACCTGGAGTTCGGGGGGTAAATCATCCACCCTATGGCCATTCCATTTCCCCGACTACTCTCATATCTGCAACACCGAGATGGTCGAGAACGTCGATGACTCACGAGTGGCTCATCGGTCGGCGGTCCAGCTGTCTTTGAGAATGTGGGTGAGCAGGCTGCAGACGGGATTGATGATGCGGACACACATAGTTCTCAAACGCTATCGGCGACCCCTGGAAAGTTGTTGGCAGTGAGCCCATCTGCAGTGAGATTCGTTGACTTGAGGCGATGGACAATGTACCTGTGAGATCGAGTGTGGGTCTCCGCCGTGTCGATCGCGCTTGCGACCGGTCGGCCCACGGGAAGAATACGAGGCAGTCGAGGGTTTCATTGACTGTAGGAAGTCTAGATGAGAATTGAGTGGCAAGTCCAAGTCTGGCTTCTTACATGAACGGCTGAGACTGAGGGTGACCGTGGCATGAGGATCAGATCAAGGGGACGCGACAAAGCAAAGAGATAGCAATAGCAAAAGCAGAGACAAAGCAAGATAGATAGCAAGATAATTGGCCCGACGCGTAGCAGTACCTCCAGCTAAAGCTTACTGGAGCCAAAGAACACGGGCCCAGAAAGAGGGACGGGTGATCATAGGGTGGTGGTCAGAGCGAAACCAGGGTTCGAGTGGTTGCCGAATTGCGGCTTGAGTCAGCTCCGATCAAATTTATCTGACAAGTATCAGTGACTGTAATCGTCTTGCTGCTAAAGTACAAGGCCTGAGCGCTGGGCTTGGAAGTCTGAGCCTGTGCAGCCAGAAAGTCGTCTGCAAACGGTTTCGAGTACTGTACAAGGATTATCGCTGATATACATGTATATTCCGGAGAATGACTAGATCCATATCCTGCACGACTCTGTATGTCGTCACACTCGAGCCCCTTTGCCAACGAGTATCACCTCGTCAGTTACTTCCTCGAAGTTGTTGTGTTCGGTGCGTTTATATCTGGATGTGCCTTGATCAGATGGAAGGCTGACGCGCGATGACTAGTGATCGTACGTTCTGATGGTTTCGCCGTAGTCTGCGATGTCGTACACGCGAAAGCGGCGGTCGAAACTGCAGCCGCATCACTCACATGACTCTCCAAGAGTAAAAGCAGCCTTACCCAAGTTTGCCATATCCGGAATAAGACCTTACGGAGTTAACACGAGAGAGGAAAATCAGACTAAGAACGTACCCGCCGCCCCCGAAGCAGAACCTGAACGAGTCGATCAGCAGAATGATTACAGCAAAGACAACCAAACACAAACCAGACACCCTTGACGCGTCGACAATTCTCAGTGACTTGAGCTAGATAAGATCAAAGTTGGGGGAGATGGAGAGGACGACATACCATGAGAATGTCCGTTTCCGATGACCTTGACCTCTTGGAGGTTGCTACTCACGTGATCGCTCTCCATAGCCTTGAGGATACCGTCAGCGAAAAAGCCATCGTTGCTTTTTGCGTTGCCATTGGGTTCTTGACCCGAAATCCCTATGTCAAGTGGTTTCCCGTTGGCACCGACGTCAGCTTTGTTGTATGTCTCTGGTCTGCAGAATGGATGGGTCAGAGATGGATTCCCTACTTCAAGCTTGGATGGCACTCACAATGGCATGTGGAAAAACATGATTGCGTTTGGTTTTGCCAGCTTCGCGGCAAGAGGAGCAACCTGGTCATGGCCCTGTCGCGCCCAAACATGGCCGAAATCCTTCCCCGTGTCAGGATGAAACGGTCGTTGGATGGGTTTCACGGCAGCTGACAGAGAAATCAGTACGCGAGTCTGGAGATGCGAGGACTGGGAGAAACAGACCAGACTGTTGAAGAAACCAGTTGATTTGAGTCTGCAACCAGTGTCAAAAAGAATACAAAGTGAAGCCATCGCGATCGACCTTACGGATCCAGTCATACGCAGTAGGTGTAAAGAAACCGAAGAAGTTGAAGAAACCCTTGGAATAACTGCCCGAGTCGAGGAAATAGAGCGTCAAAAGTTGGGTTTTGGACGCATCGGCGCTCTTCACGTTCAATACGTAATTGCCAACACCGTGAACATCTTTCGGGCCACGTTCCACAAGGCTGAAGGGAAGGGCTTGTAACAACTTGACTTGTTCCTCCTTCGACACGTGACCCGTTTCTTCGTCGTGGTTTCCGAAGATGACCGCCCACGGCACTCCTCTTTCAGTGACGGCCCGAGAGAATTTGGCAATCACAGATTTGGGATCCCACGATGTGCCTTGCCCATTAAGTTGGTCGCCCGTGAACACTACTAGATCAGGTTTCTCGATATCCAGCATCCGGCCAATCAGAGAGGTCGTGGTCAAATTATCAGACCCGGCCTTGCAACCAGCAGCCGCAGACGGAGGAGCATCTCGACATACTCCAGCAGAAACAGAGTAGTGAAGATCAGCAACTTGCAAAATCTTAAATTTACCGTCGCGAGAGAAGTGTAATGGAGAAGCTCGCGGTGGCACTGTCCTGACATTATCAGATGACCGAGGATGGAAGAAAACATACACACACTTGACACCCCGTCTCATGGTCAACCATGTGCTCTCCGTCTCACGATGGTGGAGTACAGTTGGTGGATCGAGTTTCTCGAAGCCGTACCAGGGGATATCATCCCCATAAACAACGTCCAGCTCAGTCACAATATTGGATCGTTCTGCCGCATCCATATCTCCGAAAGTCTTCCCGGTCCTGTACCAAAGATAGAGGGGTGGAGTCCCTGCGACACCAGCTCTGAGTGATGTACCGGCCTTCTTCCATGAGCCTGGTTGGGACGGCGATTTCCCACTGGCAAGAAGCTGGATATCCGTTATCAAATTCACATCTTGTCGTCTTTGGGGAGATGAGAAGAAGCATCTATAACCGGGTGTAACAACAGACCTCGTCCGGCGGTAATAAACGTTCTTTCGATCCATTAGTAGATCCCATGTTGATTGAAGACAAACTTACCAAGTATCCAGAGAAATATCCTGCGTCAAAGTTCAGATTCCTGAGTGAAAGCTTGTCAGCGAATAAGACCATTCCAAAAACTAGATGATCATAACCTGTCGACGCGAACCCATTTGCCGCGAATGGCATCTTGCTCCGAAGTCGAAGATGGATCACAAACATCGCTCAGACGTGGATTAACAAAGCAGTGTGTAATCGTTATTTCAGACACTGGATTGCAGATGCGATGAGGATACAAGGCGAAGGAGAGGACATACGCACGTCCGGTATCGTGTGGCATGAGAGGTGCCCAAACGTCCAAGGGAAGGCTGGCATAGTCCACTGTCTCCGGAGTCGACACGTTCCACCAATCTGTACCCGAAGTCTTGTCTCCCGGAAGGCTGGCGGATCCCCCGGAGCCTTGCACAACACCTTCACTAGTCGAAGGGAGTTTGGCGCCGCCCTCGGAGAGCGAGTCCCATGATTGCCAGCCCATTTGCTGGATGTCGCCTGGTCCAGGCGTAGGTTGGTACAATATAAACAGAAAGATCAACAGGCAGACGAAAGAAATGAAGGTGGAGGCTGGGACCTATGTCGGTGTGTGAGTTCACGCCCGTTTACGATGGAGTTTCATCTCCACGAGAGACTGACCGAGACATTACTCAGCCAGCGGCCCATTCTAGCCAGAGTTGGGACGGCCATAGGAAAGGGTTGTGCGTTAGCACAAGTGGTACTGAAGCAGTGGTAGTGAGGGCTATGATGCGAATCCACGTGTTCCGGATTTCGCTGCAATATCACGTGGCCGAATTTTTGCTTCCTCCCCCAATGCTCCGAGCTACAGCAGCGCGCCTTTCCGCGTCTGCGAAGCTGCCCACGTCGCCCAATGCTGCTGCTTCTGCTGCGTCCAATTCGTCGTCCAAGCAGACCTCTCATGGAACTTTAACGCGACCCCATATCCACAATCCGCTGTACAAAAAGCAGGCGTCCTTGTCCCTGGCACGATCACGACCGCTTGCCGTCCGACTCCGACGTGCGCAGCGTTATGCACAGGAAACGGGGAGAACACCCTCGACCGACAAAAAGCCTGTCCGGAGGCTGGGCTTGGATACCTTCCTGAAACGTGACGAAGAGCGGACGAAGAGCATACCCATCCCTCGCATCCGTGGCATGACGGTTGCCTACCACAAGGGCAAGCCTTACACGGTCAAAGTGGAGGGACAGAAAGTGTATCTACCCAATATCGTATTCCGGCTTGTGCGCAACTACACCGCTCCCGGCGAGCCATACAATCCATGGCAGGCCACATTCCGTATCCCCAAGAACCTTACGAAGACGGATGTCCGAAGCTATCTCATGGCTGTATATGGCGTCCAGACGACCTACATCCGCACTGACAACTACTACGCCGAGTTATCGCGACGTCCTAACCGACTGTCCAGCCCCGACAAGAACCCCTCTCTATCGACATACAAGCGAGCCATCGTCGGACTTGTCGAGCCGTTCTACTACCCTCTCCGAATGGAGGATATGACTGCGGAGCGAAGGGAACAGCGCGAGGCGGAATTGGAGGAGAAACTGATGATCCAAGTGACCAAGGACATGGAGATTGTGACGCGGCAGAACTCCCTCTTGATGCAGCATATGCCCAAGAAGCAACACCGCTCCACATACTGGACAAGGGACGTCAAACCAACTCGGGCAAAGAGGATCAGAAGTGCAGCAGAGCAGAGACATCGTCGACAGGATTTGGTTTCCGAACAAGTACAGGCGTGGCAGCAACAGAGGGCAAAGAACAGGGATTCTACTTGAAGTACTTAATTATTTCACTGCACGACCATTTCATGGGAATAGATCGCGTGAAGCCACCGGCCAAGGGCAAATCATTGTTTACAATGCCGCACCGTCGAAGCTTTCCGACAATGCGTCCACGTGACTACAGTCCCAAAGAGGAACAATTGGGTTCTTTTCCTCATTGTTCTTAATGCTCACAATGGGACCAGCGTCGCATATAAAACGGGAACGATGGCCGCTACTGCCTCTACTCTTTTTGACCTCCTTTCCGCCAGGTAGCGGCAGAACACTCTTTCTAACGACCCAGAAATGATGTTGACGACCCTCATTACGCTCACCCTCACGCTCGCACATGTTCACGGAGCCCCCGTCGCCCGAGCCGCCTCGAAAGCCGTCCAACTCCAGAACGGGATCGACGCGCAGAAGCTCAATGCGCAGTTCAAGAGCTTGACCTCGACCTCCAACTGCACTGATGGACAACAAGCCTGCCTCAACGGTTCCTTTGCGCAGTGCGCGAACGGTGCTTTTGTGGTGACTCCATGTGGTGCAGGAACGACGTGTGTTGTGCTTCCTCTCCTCAACTCTCCCGGCACCAGCGTATCGTGTGACTCCCTGAGCGATGCCGCTGCGCGGATCGCTGCATCGGGAGCAAGCGGCGGGATCGATGGGTCCGCGAGCTCAGTGACAAATTCCACTGTTGCCAGCCCGACGAGCACCACCACATCCAGCGGCACCATTGTATCAACGACTGCCTCATCGACATCGTCTCCTACCGCCACATCATCGGACTTGCACCTCCAGAATGGGCTCGACGCTCAGAAGCTGAATGCCAAATTCACATCGCTCACGGCAAACTCTTCCTGCACCGAGGGAGAGCAAGCTTGCGTGGGCGGGTCATTTGCTCAATGCACCAATGGTGCGTTCGTTCTCCAGTCATGTGGGACCGGAAAGACCTGTGCAGCGCTTCCACTGGTCAACGCCCCTGGGACGTCCATAGCGTGCGACACAGTCAGCGATGCTACGGCCCGTATTGCCGCGACCGGTGTTTCCGGTGGGATCGATGGCTCTGCCTCGGGCAGTACTTCGACGAACAGCACCTCGAGCTCCAACTCCACCTCTTCGAGCTCCTCCTCTGCGGTGCCACCCGCGTTCTTGAAGATCAACGGCCAGGAGGCCCAAGCGCAGAACGCAGCATTCAAGGATCTCACTGCCAATTCTACCTGTTCTGGCGACGAGCAGGCCTGCATCGGAAACGCGTTTGCCCATTGCGTTTCTGGTGCATACGTCCTGACCCCGTGTGGCACCGGCATGATCTGTGCTGCACTTCCACTCTCCAATCTTCCCGGCACGACTGTTGCCTGCGATGCCGCTGACGACGCGAAAGCCCGTATGCTGGCCTCGGGCGTTTCCGGTGGGCTGACTGGCTCAGGATGATGACGGACTTTTTTGTGTTTTTATCAGTAAACAATGTATCAAGTAGTACAGATCTAATGGGAATACAGATGCAGGGAATATCGTGAGGATACATACATGAAATACCGGCCAGCATAGTATCAGTAGTAAGAGTGGGAGATCAGGCAGTCGGCTGCTCGAGCCTGAACCACAGCGGGATCATTTTCCATAGTTTCTCACGCTCTCGGGCAGCCCACAGCTCGAGCGACCTTGCGCAGGCTTTACACTCGGAGAACTCGGCGCTCTTCAGCTGGCCTAGTTCTTCCGACACGTAGAGCGGATCACAGTGGCCGCGTTCGCGATCAAACAGATAGTGCTGAGTCGCAAGATCAACGAGCTCTGAGAAGTCCTTGCGGCAAGCAGCCGCCGAGATGCAAACACCTCCGGATGACGACTTGCGGAAGTGCGTCTGCATTTGCGAGTGCCTGATATACGTCTGAGCGTGGCTCATCGACTGGATCAGGGCAGTCACGTTGTGTTGGGCAGCCTCTTTGCCCAGCGCCAGACGCTGCATGTCCGAAACCGCGAGCGAGGGCGACTGAAAGAACGGGTCGTCGTCCGCAGCTTCGAATATCTGCGCATACGAGTGACGCGAGAGATCGTAGAAAGCGGCCGGAAGGAGACTCGGACAATCAACCTCCCGCGCCAGGTTGATCACGGCCTGCATGTGCTCATCAGACAGGGAAATACAGGCAAGAGCGAATCTCTCACGATGGGAGAAGGATAGAACTGTCCGCTGCTGGTAGCTGTCTCCATTTCAAACATGCGGGCAGCATCTTCTCTTGCATCCCAGCCTTTCAGAGTCGAAGGCCAGCCGATACTCAGATGCGCAATCGCTTTCGCACGCAGCGCATCGACGATATACTTGGTCGATAACCTCAGAATCCCACAAACAACATCAAAGTCCTCCCGATTGTTGTTCCCGAAATCCGGGCCGTCATAGAGAGCCACGAGGAAGTTCGCCACGTCCTCTGTCCTGTCCTGCAGTATCACCACAGGACAGTTCTCGCACTCGTGGATCAGCGTGCGTGTTGCCGAGTCCATATCGGGCATGTCGGAACCATCAGGGTCGGAGTAGTAAGACGCAGATGACCGTCGGGGTTGTGGCAACGTGAATATATCAGCAAAGAGCACACTGTGGCGCGACAGCTGCGAGATATGAACCCGGAACAAAGTCCGGTCTGCTTGGCAGATAACACTCCCGTCCTGGATAGCACTTTCGGAATCGAAATCAGACAATCGCAGTGACCACTTACCTTGAACCACAGATCCGCATGTCTAATCAGCTCCTCTCCCGTCTTCAAATCATGTATCCTTGTCGTGGACCCCGAGTGCGTGTAACGAAAGTTGGGCTCTGAGTGGCCCTCTAGTGTCGGTGTCTTGAGTTGAGGCTGCCCCGACGTCCTGGGGATCTGAGCATTCAAGAACCTGGCAGCATTAGCCATGGAGATTAGCGACAAGAACGGCAGGGATGAGGCGGAAAACGACTAAGCACTGGGTCTAGAACTGAGAGACCCGGGCTCATGGAAGCTTCAGAGAAACCCCGCTCGCCAGGTTTGGTTTAGTTTGTTGTACGGTTACCATCGACCACGATCTAAATTGGTACTTAATTTGACCGGCAATACAACCTCATACCAAGCCTCATACAGCTATGCCTCCCGAGCTTCAGCGTATTGGTCAACCAGATGTCTCAATTCCTCGGCCTCTGCAATCAGCTGTGAGAGCTGACTCGAATCAGCCTCCTTAGCCGGAGCCACCGCTTCCACCGTCTTCTCTTCGAGCGCTGGTTTCAGACTCCTCTCCGCCACGGCGAGGTCTACAACCTCCCTCCATGATTTCCCCTCCTTCCTCAACTCGTCCGCCAGCTCATCTTTGATACGTCTGCACGCACCTACCCCATCGTATCCAAACCCGGTGTAGACTTGGACCAACGCCGCACCCGCTCGAGCGTATTCTAGCGCGTCCTGGCCAGACGAGATACCGCCGCAGCCGATTAAGGGAATGGACGCGGGGAGATGAGACCGCAATGTCTTCAACGCAGCGATCGAGAGTGGCTTCAGCGGCGTCCCTGACAGTCCACCCATCTCGGTTTTGTTTTCTGCGAGACGTCCGTCAGACTGCACCCGCGTCGTGATAAGGGACGACGCACCACTCAATAGATGCACCGGTCTCTGTATCGTCGTGTTGCTTACAATCACGCCATCAACGTCGGTCCCTGCAATTACACCCGCCATCTCGACCAGCTGGCTTTCCGTGAGGTCCGGCGCAATCTTGAGCATCAGCTTGGGTTTCCGGCCACCCGCCAGCTCAGCCCGCGCCTTCGTCACTCCATCAAGGAGCGACTCCAGCTGTTCTCTGTTTTGCAGCCCTCTAGCGTGGTTGAAGCTCCGAATTCATGAGACAACACAAGCACGTACCTGAGACCGGGTGTATTTGGACTCGACACGTTGACGACCAGGACATCCGAGTAAGGGCCAAATGCCCGCACGCCAGCCACAAAATCCTCAATCGAATCCACCTCGCTCTCCTTGTTCTTGCCCAAGTTCACTGCGAGCAGGGACTCAGGCCTGTATGCTGCGTTATCGGATTCCGGCGAGAAGCGCGGTATTCTGGCGCGCAGGCGTGAGATGACGGAAGCGTGGCCATCGGACGGGAACCCATAGCGGTTGATGAGCCCTTCATCTTCGGGGAGGTGGAAGACTCGGGGCTGTGGATTTCCAGGCTTTTCATTACGCCCCTCAGAAAACGGAGAGCATAGAGTAGACTGCCCGACTCACCTGAGGCTTTGGCGTTACGCTGCCAATCTCTACCCAACTGAAGCCGAGGTTGAACAACCCTGCACATTGACCGTTTACTTCGGAATGCAGGCGCGGATGGGACACAAACCATCAATAGCTTCGCCGTGCTTGTCGAACCCTGCTGCCAGCCCCACAGGGTTCGATACCTCCGTACCCCACATCTCGGCTTTCAACAGCGTATCATCACTGAGGGGGTCCCGCGGGGCGAGTCCCGACTTGAGCACGCTCACGGCCAACCGATGTCCCGTCTCCGCATCCAAGAGGTTCCGTAGAGCCGGGGTGAGGACGTATCGGTGGACCGCAGAGCGCGCATCGAAGTAATATACGGCGAGGAGGCCGGTGGAGAGCACAACGGCGGTGCCGACGAGGGCGGTTTTCAGCGGCGCGAGTGGCGAGGGGGGCGGTTGTGGAGAGGCTTGTGTGAAGAGACCGCGCCGCAACGCGCTCGGGTTGCGGCGGAAGGCACGATACATGATTGCGGGTGAGGGTGACAACAACTTCAAGCAAAATCAATTCGATGTGGCTATGCCGATCAGATTAGATTACATCTGCATACAGCTACGTAACTAGTCTTCCTCTAGGGCCTTCAATAGATCGCGGGCCTCCCTTGCTGGACGGGCTACGAATATGCGATCACTGGCCGCACTCTCCTGGACCTTTTGGGCTACGCTTTTGAGAAGTCCGAGCGTCTGGAAGACATTTTCTTCGGCGTCCTCTGCGCTGAGCAGTGCGAGGATGGTATAGGAGGACATGATGGTCGCCGGGGTGCCTCCGACGAGATATGACTCGACAACAGGGCGGATCAGGTCGGGCTCAGTGCTGAGCGCACAGAGCAGCTCGCCCACGGCTTGAGCGTACGTGTCTGGTAAGAACATGAGCGCAAATAAATCAGGCGAAACATCGACACGGACCCTCATGCGGCTCCCTGAATTGCTCCATAAGCAGCTCGATGCAGGCCTCTTTTGCCTTTTCTCCGACATTCTGCCCGCCATTCTTCACGACACTCGCCAGGGCCAGCACGAGACTGGCGCCGATCTGATCGTCGCTCGTGCGCACACCAGTTAAGAGTTCAGTGATGACCGGATCAACTCGGGGCTGATTGCGCATCAGAACACCGAGAGCCATCGCCGCTTTATTTCGCACGACTCCGCTAGACGGATCACTCGCACTTTTGACGAACGTCCTCTGCAATTGAGGGAAGAACGGCTTGACGAAGATCGGAATCCGCTCCAGCATGGCCATCAGTGCAGTCAAAATGGCCGTCTTGACGCCAGGCGGATACGCCGTTGCTTGGGTGGCCACACGGATCAGCGGACCAGTGAATGGAACAACATACGGCTTGATCGCCGCCTCCTCCGTTCGGTCCACGAGATCCCCAATCGCATAGGCTGCGTTTTCGCGCTGCTCGTTGTTGCCGGTGGTGAGCCCGGCAATTATGATCGGAACAGTCGGTGCGACGCCTTTGGGGAGACTGAAGCCGGCCACGTGGTGCCCGGGGACCCCTGTGCCCTCGATGGTTCTCCGGAGAGGCACGACCAGCGGCTCGAGCTCGTCCTTGGGAAGCGACTTGACAAAGATGTCGAATGCGGTCCATGCAGCAGTATGGACCTCGACTTGGGAGTCCTCGAGGAGCGAGACCAGCTGACGCACCCAGTCGACTCGGTAGAGCGAAGAATCGATTTGCGACTCCTGGCAGAACAGTCCGAAGAGCACACAGCCACTCACTCGCCGGCGCGGCTTCTCGTTTTTGGTCCTGGAGATCTCAGAATAGGCGAGAGTGGGACAAAACCAGGAGACTCACCAGCCCAGCAAGATCATCATCAGGGTGTTCAAGGCCTCCGAATCGTTGATCGACGAGAAGATGGCCTTGAATGCGTCATCGACGGCCTCGGCGAGGTCGGGGTCTGTTTCCATCGTGGCTACCAAGGCACCAGTGATCACTCCCAGTCGCCTGCTGAGCGCGGGGCCGGCCACAGCCACCAGGGCCTCGACGGCCCTGACGTTGAACAGCGTCATCGGCAGACTCGTGAGCGTGGGAATCAGCACCGGGAACACCGTCGTCGCCCGCACGCTCATCACCTCCCTCAGCGCACTCAGTGCAGTCCCGGACGCTCGGCCCGGCTGCCGCAGCGCATCCAGCAGCGTGGGAATCGTCTGGTCGATCGCTTTTGCACCGAGATGCTCCTGCAGCATGTCGAATGCGCGCGCTGCCGCAGACCGAACGTTGGCCTCGTCGTCGACCAGCGAGTCGCGCACGATGGCAATGAGCGCGTCTTCGTGTCCATCTCTTTGTGCGTCGGTCGAGTTTTCGAGGATCTCGCTTGCCATGAGACAGACCGATTCACGCGTCCTCGCGTCCAGGGACGTCGAACTGGTTTTCAGAATCGACATCATTTCCGTCAGCACGCGCTCGCCGAACTTGCGGCACAGTTCACCGACTGTTCTCTCGGCGGTCTGTCACCGATTCATTAGCGGTTTTCATCTAAGCGGGACAAACTCTCACTTCTTGCTGCTCGGGCTCATCGCTCGAGATAAGCACAAGAGTTTGGCGAATCAGCTCTGGTAGAATCTCTCGGACAGTTCTTGGCGTGTTGTTGACAAGGGCCTTCCAGATCTGGATCGAGGCCTGGCGCACAACGACCACGCCATCCTGCCTGACCAAGTACAGCGCAGCCAGGATCCGATCTCGTCTCTCCATGCCAAGCACTTCGACCAGAGCCTTCTTGGACGTTTCAGCTGTCGCCCCGGCCGCATCTTCCTCGGTCTCGTCGTCCAGGTCAGACGGCTTGCCCGAGATCCCTGAAACTTTGAACAACAGCTCGCCGACAAGCGTGATTGACGACTGTCGGATGCGCCAGCCCGGGTCGAACATGCCGTGCTCCAGCTCCGGCAGCAGCAGGTCAATGGCCCGCGTCGAGTAATTGGTGACAACCATGCGTCCGGCGCGCATCGCGGCCTCGCGGACGTATTCTTCGACATCAGCCAGCCCGCTCAGAATCGGGGCGATGATCTTCGGCAGGTGCGGCTGGAAGCGGGTCCCGAACGTCGCAGGCAAGTACACCAGCAGCGACATGAATCCTTCGCGCACAGTCGCTCGCGGTGATTGCGCGTTGGCAATGATGTCGGGGAGCAGACCCTCGAGGCGCTCCATGCCCAGCCCCGAGAGCACCTCGCTCAGGCCCTGGGCAGCACCCTGTCGGTCGACACCGGATGTATCCGTCTTGAGCGTCCGCAGCAATCCAGGCACGAGATCCGGGAAATGGCCCTCCCCGAGTCGCTCGACCAACGTCCCAATGCCTTGGCTGCGGTCGCACGTGCCTCGGGCACGGGATCGACGAGAACCTGATGCACCATCGGGAGCAGCTTGTTCAGGTACGGTACGAAATCTTTCGAGTCCGTCAACGATGCCAAGTTGCCGACGATCTGGGCCGCCTTCTTCTTTATATCGGCCCCCGTTCTCGGAGGCCTCTCTCCAGAATCGGCACAACCAGAGCGAGTGAAGAATGGTCGATGTAGTGCATGAACGAGGTCTTGAGCAACGAGCTGAGGGCAGCAGCGGTCTTGCCTGGATCCACCAACGCCTTCAACAGCACCGGAACCAAGTTCTGGATCTCCGGGTTCTCGATTACCTCGCCGAACTGCTTCAGACTCTTGTTTGCCGCAGCTCTGACCTGGGCATGCGAGTCCGTCAGCACGTCCGTCAGACGCGGAATCACGATGGGCAGCGAGAGTGAGAGCTGTCGCGGGGAGCAATACGCCATCATCCCAAGGAGCTCGATACTTCCTTTCTTCGTGCGCCACTGCTTCTCATCAAGCCCCGACAGGAGCGAGGGCAGGATAAGCTTGACACCATATCCTGACATGTTGGCCATAATCACTCTCGCCGCATCTTGGGTGGCCTCGCGCACATCGGCTGTACCGTCGCCGAATGACGTCAGCAGCAGCGGCAGGACGTATGTGATATACGGCTCGAAAAGACGTCCCAGGGTCGTCGAGAGCGTCTCGAAAGCAAACATTGTGCCCTGCCTCGGCTCAAAGTGTTTCTTGTCTTCTGCCGCGTTCTTCAGGCGCGGGATCACATCGAACTTCTTCATCCCCACGATGCCCGTGCCGTTCAAGACGCCCGCCAGGCCATAGGCCGCGCCGCGCCGCACTGCGTATTTCGGGGAGCTCACGAGCTGCTCGAAGAGCTCGTCGACCAGCTGCTTCGGATCGCCCATGATCTGCACAAGCGGCGACAAGCATTCGGACACCGCCATCTGCACCGGCTCGGAGGGTGTCTTGAGCGCTTCGACGAGCCGGGCGACGATCGACGGCACGCGAGGATCCGTGGAGTCCAGATGCCGCGCAACACGTCCAAACAAGATTACCACGGCCTCTTTGATCTGGTCCCCGGTCTCTGTGGCAGGACTCGGCTTCCCGAGGTGCGACTCGAACATCTCGATCAGAGACGCGAGGCGCGCTGCACCGTGCAGATCAATCACACTGGTCCCCGCCGCGAGCATGCCCTTTCTGACCAGCGCCGATCGGTCTCCGAGTGCCTCGTCGTCGATCAGGAACTCGAAGAACGAGGTGACGCGGTCTTCTGGCAACTGCGGTGAAAGCAGCTCGAACGTCTTCGATATCGCGACCCGGGCCGGCCACGGATCCGCGCGGTCGAGTGTGTCTGCGATGACCATTCCGTACTGGTCAAACTCGGGTGCCAGCAAGCGCGCCTTCTCTCGGTAGTACGCCTGGATCCCCGCCAATGTCGCCTCCATGGCCTGCGGGTACAGCTCCACCGACTCAGCAATCGCCGATGCCGCCGCGTTCCGGACGTACGCCGTCTCGTGGCTCAGGAAAGGCAGTAGCTCCGCTAGGAATGCCGATTCTGGCACGTCCAGTCCGTTGTCGTCCCAGACGTGTCTCGCGAGCCTTGCATTCTGTTCGTCTTCGTCGTGGCAGGCGATCCACAGCTCGACGCTCCAGTCGAGCTCCGTCAAGTCCAGAGGCTGCAGCGCGAGTAAGCACGCATTCCGCGAGTACACCTCCGGAAGCAACAGTCCTGTGATCAGCACCGCAATTTCTGCACGTGCGGTGCTGGAGTTGGCCGTGTCGATCAGTGCCGACGACGCGTCTTGCCTCAGCTTTGGCACCAATCGGATCGTGCGCAGGAGGATCTCCAGTGTCTCCTTCCGGGGGAACGTCGGATCGAGGTCTGTTCCCTATTGTTTGAGCCACAAATGAGGGAGTGTGTGTGTCGGACACATACATTCAGCAGAGTGGAACTTGATGATATCCAGCGAAAGCATGAGCTGCTCCAGCGTCTCATCTTCTTCCTCCGCGTCAATTCCGCCGACAGCGAGGACCTGGCGGATCAGAGGAAAGATGTATGCATAGGTCGCCGCATCAAAGGCTGTCTGCTCTGATAAAGAGCGAAGACGGTGCAGGACTCGCAGCAGGAGCACTGGACACACGGTTTTAGTTCATGCTGTGTGCGAATTCCTAGACCAAGACCCACAATTCAGGGGTTCAGCGGTGAGCTCGGCTGGAACCGTGTCCAGCCTCAAGCTGCGCAACGTGGCCACGCCGATCCACATGCGGAAGCTGTCCAGTCGGTCTGAGCAGGCTTTCGCCAGATCCTGATGCCGTCAACACAAATGCGACGAGGAAGGCAGATGGACCCACCAAATATGTGTCCACCGCCTTGTTCCCAACCAACTCTGCGCTATTTCCTTGTGGATTCAGAGCACCATCCAGCAAGATCCTAACGACCTGGGATATGTACAACCGGAACTCGGGGACGCTCGCAGAAACAATGCTCCGAATCAAAGCCAGGGCGCGCAGTATGTTCTGTTGGATGCGCGAGACTCGTTTGCGGACGGTCAATTCCAGGGCAAGTTGTGTCTGAATCAGGGCTTGTTGCGCTTTGTTCAGGGTGGTTGTCTTTTTCAGCTGGCTCTCGCGCACTTCCGCTTCCCAGCGAGCGATCTCGGCATCTTTCCCTTTTTGGGGTGCTTTGGTGGTCGTTTTCGTAGAGGCAAGCACTACCAGTCGATCGAAGTCAGAGTGGGGACAGCAAATGCGGAAATAGCAAACCGTCAACAAAAGTGACACCTTCCTCCGTTCTCCACATCCCGAGTTCCTCAGCCGTCAGTCCCCTGACTGTGGCGGCATCGAGATCCGACTCGAGCTGTGCGACAATTTTGGGCAGTGCGATGTCTGGAGCAACAAATACGAGTGTCGTCGCAGTTGCGTATGCTGCTTCTGGCAGTCCAGTCTACAGAAGCGGTGAATGACCAGTAACGTACTATGATTGGACGTACCTTGACATCCTCGTCTGTGGCATCCAGCAGGATCTTCATCAGTGCATCCCAGTTCCTGACTACTACATCCCGTGGGTCCAAACTCGACCTCTGACAGATTTCGATCCAGGTTTGCTTGTTTCGAGGGTCTAGTGACGGTTAAGAAAAGGAAAGCACATGAGACAATACGCACTAGTCAGGATATGGTGGCATAGAACTGCGGCCTGGACAATCTCGTCTTCGTTCTCGTGCAATCCCGCATCGAGAAATGACGCCAGTCGGCCTTCGAAGCCAGCTTCACGCGGCTTGGTCACGTAGGCCAGCACCCCCGCGCGGACAACAGCTCCAGACCCCGCCTTGTTGTTATTTCGCAAGACGTCGAGGACCAATGCGCGCACTGTTTTATCGGGGCGTAGTGCGAAGTGGAGCAGAGGCGGACCAAGACGGGTGCGTGATCTGATCACATGTAGATGAGATTAAATTGATTAGATGCGATAAGATAGACTCACTTGGAGACCGACCAGACACTCTGCAAGGCGCGGACATACCATAGACCATCTTCGACGCGTGTATAGACGCGCTCATTGAATAGCCACACAGGCTTGTCGCCGGCTGGCGCTAACAAAGTTTTGACGTGGGCGGTTGTTTTCGCCTCCCCCAGCCGCAATGCGCAAGCGGCAGCAATACAGCCCTCCCAGAGAACATCCTCTTTCGCACTCACCCCGTTTCCGACAGCTCCGATCGCAGCATCGAGCACCGGGAGCAATGGTAGCGCGAAAGGTTCGTAGTTGGATGGTGCATTCCAAATGACACCTCCAGCGACTGTCCACCATGCTTTGCGGACCGCGGCAGGTCCCGATTTGGTGGTCAAGCCCTTGGCGACGGTATCCGAGATAGCTTTTATCGGAGATGAGGACGACAGTTGGATCAGTAGTGCTCGTTCGAGAACCAGCCCCAGTGGCTCAGCTGCTTCCGGTGCGGTTTCAGATGCCAGAAGGCCCGCGAGGGTAAGCACGAGATCGTCTGATACAGAGACAGACAGACACTCGACTAGCATGCCATACAACGCTGCACGATGCCAGCCGCTTGCGGTTTTCCGCGTTTTGGGCAGCGCAACCAATTCCTCGATGGTTTTGTTTAACTCTTCGTCTGGCGGGAGGCGCGCAAGGATGACTTTGAAAAGTCCGACCACGTCTTTCACGGAGGGTGCGTCCTTGACGCCGCGGGATAGCGACAGAACAAGAGACGTCAGCTTGTGGAACGCCGAGAACGGCACAAGCCCGGAGTAGGCGCCGAGAAACGCCCGGGGGCCTGAACATGGATTGGTATGTTTCACATTAAGAGAACTTGAAAGTACCAGAGACTGACCAACAGTGAGACTCCTTGAAAGAGCCCGTTCTAGTGCTGGCATGACCACGCTCTCGAAAGCTTTTTCATCCACGTAAGTTCCGACGAACAGATCCAATGCTTTCTAATGGCATGAGTCAGATCAGCACCGAGCTCCGACATAGCGCGCATACAAGAACGTGGGTAGGTAGCGCGACCCTGGACTCGATGATTGATTCGCAATAGAATTCTAGAACAGCGGCCTGGAGCTCCGAGGGAAGTGGGGCAGGGGTCCTGAGATGGACGACAACATCGATCGCGATACCGAGGAAGGGAATAGCGCGCATATCGAGGAGGAGTTGTATGATACGGGGAAGGTCATTGGATACCTGCAAGGGATCGGTATAGATATCATCAGGAGTCCAGTCTCCTCCACTCACACCTCGTAACGTCCGTCTGACACGTGTAATCACACCAATACGCATAGCTGGTTTTGCACGTTCCGAACCCAGCATAGTGTCCAAAAGCCCGGCCAGCACTCGGACCAGATCGTTCAGCGAAGGCTTATCGACAACCACAGGTAGAAGGGCGCACGACCACGAAACAAGAGCGAAGAGATCGCTGGGCACGACAGTATGCTCAGTCTGTGCTCCAAGCCACCTGATGATATGGTTTGCCACATCGTCCGTCGGATCGCGGCGCACAAGTGCTAGTGCAACGCGCTCGACGGCGGCTCGAGATTCAACGTCGTTGTACCGAGGAGAGATTGTCGTAAGAAGAAGTAGTATATCGGCCTCTTCTCTGGGTCCCAGAGAGTCTTCGTCGGCATCTTTGAGCACGACGAAGGCGCAACAGGGAACGCAACGCACCACCAGCACACAACGTGAAAACCTGCTCGTTTAAAAACCGCACTCGGTGGCTGACTTTTCCTTTCATCAATACATCCCGCGCATAGTCCATGGCACCCTCCCAGTCCTCAGATGGGGGCCATGACTCGAAGGTGGTTTTTGATTGGAATATCGACTCCTCATTGTCCATCGTGTGGGCGGACGTCGACGCTGATGTGGATGCAAGCCAATCCCGAATCGAAGCTGAGGATGAAGCGGATTCCGACGATTGGGACGCTTTGAGACGTGCGTAAGGAGATGACTTGAGCGGCAGTTTTGCAAACACGAGCTAAGAAGGAATATGTACGGAACCGACAAATGGATCTTTCGAATCATCAAATCATGATTTGTCTTGATTCGAGTCGGGACTCGGTCAGACGCCACAACTCATCCTCAACCAAACGTAAATATACTCCGTGTGAGTATAGAGCATGAAGGCGAATTGCCACCGCGAGGGATGTCTTTTGATACACGGGTATATATTTACAAGTAACCGATTCCGATTCAAATCGCATTCATTCAGTTTGTGAAATCGAGGTCTTCGAGGCCAGGACAAAATCAGCTGGCATGTAGGAGAACCTGAGTGACCGTCGGGCCTGTTTCGGTGCAGTGAGACGTTTCCAAAACAGAACTAGCTTTCGCTTCATGGATTTGCGCGACCGGCGCGTGCTGCTGTCCAGGAGCACTTTGCGGATGGGACTGTTGCGGATGGGACTATTATGCGAAGTGAGAGGATTTGGCTTGATCTGGCTACGGATTCTGAAGCTTTTTCTGGTGAATCGTTGAGTCACGCAGGAGACAAGCTGGCGAACCTGACATGGGGTGCTTGCGGAGAAGTCGCCATTTGGGATCAATAGGAGCCTTAGGTAGAAGAGAGGCAGCTGGAGAAAGCAAGAGACAGTGATCGTCTGCTTTTTATATGACATCTGGGGCGCTTGGAACAATGTCGCTTCTTGGACAGAACCAAGTCCATGACAATGAAAAGGATAAAGAATTTCTGAAGCAGGTGGCATGATCCCGTTGGTTCCGTCAACGAAGCGCCAGCAGCCGTGGGAGATGTTTGAAGCAGGCAGATGCCAGAAAACTTTCGCGAATGTGTTGAGATTGCAAGCGAGCTCGAATGACTTCACCGTCTAAACGGAGAAGTTATCCGTCGCTGTCAATGATTGGCATCAATTGGTGGCGGTGCAAACGCGTAGCACGTGCATGATTGGTGGCTGTGTCGAGGCCGAAATTTTTATGCGACTGAAAAAGTTGAAATTGAAACTCCGCCCATCTCTTCATCTTATTCCATATTCCTTCCGACCTCCCTCCTCCCTTCCTCCTTCCGCCTGTCATGGTGAGCGTATTGTATTCACCCCGATCGCATAGACCTCATTGCGCAGTCCAATTTTGTTCAAGGGCTTCACGACCTTCTCCAGCAGGCTACTGCCGGAGACACAAATCTATTGAAATCCGTATGGAAACTCTTCCGTGAGCTTGATCCCAACCTCACCCTCTTTTGTCTCGTGTAGGCGACGGCCCAGCTCAACCTTGAGTACTACAAAAACCCGGCATGCATCCCCGCCCTCGCTTCGATCATGTCCAGCGCCGCGACCCAACCTGTAATCCATCTCTCGCCATCGACGCGTTGATCTGGGTCTAACTTATCGATCCAGGTCCGCCAGCTCGCTGCCGTTGAGATGCGAAAGCGGGTCAGCCAAAACAGCAGTGCTCTGTGGACCCAGCTCGGACAATCCGATCGTGAGGAAATTAAGGGCAAGCTACTACAAATCGTGCTCACTGATCCGGAGTGCGTTTTTCTCATCACGCATGACCCCACGTTTCTGATCTTTTCACAGTCACCTTGTTCGACACTCTGTCGCTCGTGTCATTGCTGCCATCGCTAACATCGAGATCCCGCTCGGTACATGGCCCGAACTCCTGGGCTTCCTCACCCAGACCTGTGTCTCCCAGCAAGTGCTGCAACGGGAATCCGGCATCTTCATGCTTTACACGGTACTTGATAACATCGTCGAGGGATTCAAGGATCATCTTCTCGAGTTCTTCACATTATTCTCACAACTTCTCGCGGATCCCGAGAGCATCGAGGTCCGGATCACCACTGTTCGGTGAGTACTCTCTGTCTTTTTGTCTTCTGTTGCATCTGATGTACCCTTTTAGGGCTTTGGGCGTGATCGCGAGCTACATTGACGTTGAGGACAAGGCCGAAGTGGTTCGTTGCCCCAGTATCTTGCCTTGAGTGCATCACCAACAGCGCGTTCCAGAAAGCCTTCCAAGCATGTCTACCTGCCATCATGCAAGTTATCGGACAGAGCGTTGAGTCCGGTAATGAAACTGGGGCGACACAACTGTTTGACGTTCTCGAAACGCTGTTGATCCTGGTATGTTCCGCTTCTTCCAGATTGCGTCGTTCTCAATCTAATTTCCGTAGGAAGTGCCTGTCCTCGGAAAACACATCCCCGAATTGGCAGAGTTCCTGTTGCGGCTGGGTGCCAACCGCAGTTACGAGACTGAACTGCGCGTTCTCGCGCTCAATGCGCTGAACTGGACCATTGTCTAGTCAGTCCTCCATCCCCAAATACTCGCACTCCCAACTGACGGGGTACTACAGCAAGAAGTCCAAGATCCAGTCCAACAACCTTGCCGGTGCCATCCTGCAAGGTCTCATGCCCATCACCACGGAGGCCGAGCCCGAAGACATCGACGACGATGCTCCTTCTCGGGTAAGTTACTGCCGTGCTCTCTGTTATCGCGCCTGATCGCAGACAGTCTGCTCTCCGTATCATTGACGGCCTAGCCACTGGCCTCCCCCCTTCGCAAGTTTTCCCTCCCCTCCGAAACCTTATCACCGAATACTTCTCCTCTCCCGATCCCAACAACCGTCGTGGTGCCATGCTCGCTCTCGGAATTTGTGTCGAGGGTTGCAGTGAGTTCATGACGCCGCTGCTGAATTCAGTGTGGCCCGTCATCGAAGCCGGTCTGCGGGACAGCGATGCCGGTGTCCGCAAAGCATCGTGCGTCGCTGTATGCTGCATGTGTGAGTGGCTCTCCGATGAGTGTATCCTGCGTCATGAAGTTCTCGTGCCGGTACGTTAATTGCTGGCCGATGCCCACCGGTGCTCAAATGGATCTAGAGCATTATGGCTCTCGTCAATGACGCCGAGACGCAGAGGTCTGCTTGCACGGCATTGGATGCCCTGCTCGAGATCTTGCACGACCACATCAACATGTACCTTGCTGGTATCATGGAGTGCCTGACCGGTCTCCTGGCCTCTGCGCCCATCAGCGTCAAGTCGGTCGTCATTGGGGCCATCGGCAGTGCCGCACATGCCGCGAAGGATGCCTTCCTGCCGTACTTCCAGCCCACCATGGAGCACATCCAGCACTTCCTGGGTCTCACCAACGAGGGAGAGGAGATCGAGCTGCGTGGAATCACCGTCGACGCCATCGGTACCTTCGCTGAGGCCGTCGGAAAGGATATTTTCCGTCCTTTCTTCCCTAATATGATGAACCATGCAATCCAAGCTCTGGAAGTTGGCAGCCCTCGTCTTCGCGAGTGCAGCTTCTTGTTCTTTGGTGTCATGGCCAAGGTGTTCGAGGATGAGTTCGCGGTGTATCTGCCGGCTGTCGTTCCCGCCTTGTTGGCGAGCTGCGCCCAGGTTGAGCAAGGGGAAGAGTGTAAGCATCAGTTTGTCGTCTCTCGTTCGCTCATACTCATGCGCTTTCATCAGTGTCTGTGGTTGAGGCTTCTGCCGCATTCGGCACCGGATCCTCTCCTCAGAATGCCATTTCCATCGTTGACGAAAAGCTGGACGACAACGGAAACTCGGTCGTTGAGATCGAAGACCTCGATGTCGACAAGATGATGGATGCCAACAGCGCCATCGCCGTGGAGAAGGAGATCGCCGCTGACACCATTGGGACTCTGTTCACCGCTACAGGCATCGCTTTCCTTCCGTTTGTGGAGCAGTGTGCGATGCAACTCATCGACTTGCTGTCGCACTACTACGAGGGCATCCGTAAGAGCGCGACCGACTCTCTTTTGGAGATTGTACGGACCTTCTATGACATCAGCAACCCTGCGGAGTGGACGGCTGGCTTGACCAACGTGAGTAGATTCTCCATGTTGAGGGCCAAGTGCCGCTGACCAAGATCTATCAGTACCCCGCGTTGCCATCGACCGTCAAGGACCTGAACGAGCATGCCATCAAGGCTCTGCTTGAGATGTATGAGACGGAAGACAACAAGTGCGTTCTCATCCTTCCAATCGCATTCTGCTCGCCTCTTTTCGTGATGAAACAATAACTCAGCTCACTTCGACGCAAATGCGCATGAGACTAAACGTTTATTTATCCTGATCTTCTACCCTGTTTCAAATCCATCGACAAAGTACTGACTACCCTCAGGTCCGTTGTCACCTCCCTGTGCACAGGTCTCGCCGAGACTATCAACAAAATCGGACCCGCCTTCCTCGATGGCCGTGCGTTCTGATCTTCTTGCTCATCATATGTGCTTGTCTGAGCCATAACCAGATATCGAGGAGATCTCTAAGATGGCCATCGAAATTCTCGACCAGAAGGCGGAATGCCAGAAGGATCCGGATCAGGATGACGACGAAGAAGCACCCGAAGATTCGGCCGAATATGAGACCATCCTCATTTCGTCTGCTGGGGATGTTGTTGCTTCCATCGCCAATGCTCTCGGGCCCGATTTTGCCCAGGCGTTCGGCACCTTCTACCCTCTGATCTCTAAATACTATGTAAGGTTCTTTTTGTTTCTGTTCTATGGCCTAATCGTGTTGTGCAGAAAAAGAGCCGATCACTCAATGAGCGTTCGTCCACCATTGGCTGCCTGGCAGAAATCATCTCTGGCATGAAGGGCGCCATCACCAGCTTCACTCAGCCATTGCTTGAGCTCTGCTTCAAGGCTCTCAGCGACCCGGATGCGGATGTGCTGAGCAACGCTGCGTTTGCTGTTGGTGTTCTCGTTGAAAACACCGACATGGATCTTTCCGGACAATATCTCCACCTCCTTGGCGCTCTCCAACCTCTCTTCAACGCTCCACCGGACGCCCCTGCAAACGTCCTCAATGCCCGAGACAATGCTGCTGGCGCCGTTGCGCGGTTGATCGTCAGAAATGCGGCCGCCGTTCCCTTCGACCAAGTCCTCCCCATCTTCATCCACGCCCTGCCTCTCCGAAACGACTTCCTGGAGAACCGGCCTGTCTTCCGGGCATTGTTTTTCCTCTGGCAGTCGAACAAAGCACTGTTGGTCCCTTACATGGGTCAACTGCTACCCGTGTTCGCACATGTTCTTGACCCCAACGGCCCTGATCAAGTCGGCGACGAGATCCGACGCGATCTGATCCAGCTCGTCGGCGAGCTGAATGCGCAGGATTCGGCTGCGGTCCAAGCGGCAGGCTTGGGTCCTTTCGTTGCTGGCGCCTGAGAGAGTTTTTGCATACCATTCCTTCATTCACCTGGAAGTATCACCCTATTGTCATTTAGGATATTTCGACTTGCATCCCAGTACGTAATGCTACAATTAACGAGTCCATCATCATCACATGACCGTGTCTGATCGTCCTACCTTCTCCCACTGCCAACGACCACGACTTGTGTGGGCACCTCGCGCCCGCCGCTTTTCATTCCTATGTCACCGCCTCTCTTTTTAGTCCTGGTTCTCGTATGGGCGGTTGGGAGCTCCGCCGTGTCCGTTTTGACGCCCATTGAAAATCAGCGACCCCTCGTTGCGCGCGTAAGCGAACCGTATTCTTGGTCTATCTCGGCTGCGACTTTCAAATCATCGGATGGAAACCTCGACTACGACACCTCCAACCTCCCTCCATGGATGTCCTTCGATGCTTCCTCGCTGCGGTTCCATGGCACTCCTGGGCTATCTGACCAGGGCAGTCCACAGATTACCGTCACCGCTCGAGATGGATCGGGCTCGTCCGCCTCCTCCAAGTTCTATCTCTGTGTCACCTCGTATCCTGCCCCTGAGCTCCACATCCCGCTAGAGTCGCAATTCTATGGCGACAACCCCGCTCTGTCGTCCGTCTTCACACTCTCTCCCAACTCGGCTCTTGCGACTCCAAATCCCGCTCTGCGCATTCCCCCACACTGGTCGTTTAGCATCGGGTTCCAATATGACACGTTCACTGCGCCGCATAATCTGTTCTACGATGCCGCTCTGGCCAACGGAGCCGACTTGCCCTCTTGGATGGAGTGGAATGAGAAAAGTCTGACGTTGAACGGTGTCGTCCCCAGCGATCAAGTTGCGCAATCGCCCTATTTTGTCTCGCTTCAGCTCTTCGGGTCTGATCAGGAAGGCTATCAAGCTCTAGCACTTCCCTTCGATATCGTGATCGCAGCTGATGAATTCTCTCTGGCTGGACCGCTTCCTACTATCAACGTGACCGCGAATGCGCCCTTCAACACAAGCTTCCTCTCTCCTGACGACTTCAATGGTGCATTGATTGATGGAAAGAACATCGCGCCCGGCAATGTGACTGCACTCGATTTTGACACTAGTGCTTACGACTGGCTGCACTTTGACCTCCAAAGCAGACTCCTTTCGGGAAATCCTCCAAACAATTTCAATGAGAAGAAGCTTGTTCTGCCGCTGGTATTGACGGTTGTTAACCAGTCGCTCAATACCAATGTGTCGTTGGCGTTTGTTCCGTCCTATTTTTCCAGTGCAGTTCTGCCTCCCCTCATTCTCCCCGACGATGGGACTGTGAAGTTTGACCTTGACCAATACTTCTCGAATGCCACCAGCGATCAGCGTGCGGATGTCACCCTTTCTGCTGCGTATGACTCGTTGGACGGCGCTCAGTACATCTCGTTTGATCCAAACACCGGGCTCCTCTCTGGCACAGTGCCTGAAGACTGCCCGGTTTCTCATTTCGACGTCGCCTTTACTGCCTACTCCCACAAAACACATTCAACATCGCATGCCTCTCTTTCTATATCGACTTCTCCGTCAAAAGGAAAGAAAGCTTACACTCATCCTGTCAATCTGTCGGCCACGGCTCACCGGAAGCTGGTCCTTGCCTTGGGCATTGCGTTTGGAGTGATTGGAGGCATCTGTCTACTAGGCGCTGTTCTCTCGGCCTTCAACAGATTGGCTCGCGTCGACGATACGGCTCTATCGAATGAACAGGGCTGGACAGCCAACGAGAAAAGATGGTACGGGGTGGCAGATCCGGAGAAGGGCCTTCCGGATGTTCCGCGCGGTGCCATGGACCTCAATCCCTTTGGATCTGGCGCGCAGCTTGTGACTCCAGTCCGACCTGCGCCAAAATACGGTCCGGTGGGCCTTGGGCTCCGGCGCGTTTCCGAACGCAGTGGATCAGAACCTCTCTCGAGCCCTCAGAGTCCTGGATTCATGCGCAAAGCCGAGTTCTTGGACCGAATTCGGCAGACCGTCAGAAATGTGAGCGAAAAGTATGGCAGCCGAGGCAAGGCCAGTCGGCCAGCGATCAGTAAGCCTCGGCTAGTGGTTCCTGAGTCGGTTCACATTCCGTATGGTGCCAATTCCTACGCCTCCGATCCTTTCCACGACTCGAATGGGATGGTGAGCTATCCAGGAAGCACGGTGATGACCAATTCGCCCTCAACGTCCACTGGAGAGCATTCGATCCCGCGTCGAAGAGCTGATTTCGCGCCACCGAGAGCTCCGGCTGCTGCGCACGTGGGAGATGGTCTTGTGCGCAAGGACTCGACGAGTTCACTGGATTCAGAGGAGGAAGGAATCGTTCATGTCGCTTCCAAGGCGACGAGTCTTCACAGCGGGACCTCGCACCACGATCGGCCGCGACTTGTTCCTTTCACGAGTGCAACGCGGGTACCAGTCCCTCGCGTGCCTTCGCTGACGGCCGGTGGGCTTTCGGGAAGTTCCGCCGTACGCAAAGTATGTTCCACACGTTCAGATACGATTGGCGCGGCTGATTGATTTCGCCAGAGTCAGACTCCCGACGAACTGAGCGAAGGGTTTCATTACGTTCGGACCCTCGGTGGCGATGATCTGCAGGTTGCGGCGGATCCTTCCACCCCATCTATCTCGACAAACGTTCGGTCGTCATTCTCGTCCCTGGAGTCGTCTCATCACGGACACAGCCCTAATCCTGTGATCCGCAACTTGGTCCGGGCAGGCGAGAAGTTCAAGTTCCGGGTCACCATCCAGAACAACGCCAACGGAACAGCGAGGCTGGAAGCCAAACTTGTTTCTGGACAGCCTCTGCCCCGATTCCTGCACGTAAATCTGACGAGAGCTTCGGCGACCGGCTCCGTTGAGTTCTATGGCGCGCCGGGAGCCAGAGACATGGGCGAGTATGATGTCGGAGTGTTTAGTGTGGAGAATGGTCTGCGCGTGGGGAGAGCTGTTATCGAGGTTGTTGGAACTAGTCGCTGACCGATTTTATTGCATCAAACTGTACAACATTGTATCACTAGAGCAACAACATGTAGCACATACTATCTATCCACAACGTACTTTGTATTCGTACATTACTATCATCTATACCAATAGCATTCAATCTTGCGCGGAAGACATGGCGAGAAAGAGGCCGTGCTGTTCTCCCAGGCCGTAGGTCAAAGTCATCCTTTCGAAGATCCCTCCACGCGGAGACGGGTCCTGTTCGTCCAGATCGAGCTATCAAAGATGGATGAGCTGGGGCATTTCTCGTCATGGATACCCACCATAGACAAAACATCATCCAAGAGATGTGCCTGGCCTACAGACATGCCCATCCCAGCTTCGTACTCTGCATGAACGATGTGCACATGGAAATGATCTGGTCCAGCAGCAGTTGACACAGGTGCGCCCCGCCAGAAAAAGATAGCCACTCACAGTAGCTGGGCTGGTAGTGGATGTACATTCGCAGGCTGCCGGCGTCGAGACCCCACTTCTCTTTGACCGTCAGATATACCTCTTTCCGGATGCTGCGCAGAAGAGGTATGTGCTGGACCCGCAGGTCCCGGATGCTGCGGATCGACGCGTCGCGGATGATCGCAAGGAGATACAGGCTCCCCAAGGTGTGCAGATCCCACTTCATGTCCGGGAGGAGAATGAACTCGGGGGACGTAAATAGGATCTTGGATTGTTCTTTGCGACCTTCCAGGATTTCATCCACCCTGTCGGATTCTCATTGAAGAGGGCTCGATAGAGGACTGGGGACAAACCATCTAGTTCTCTCAGCAGGGAAGGCCTGGATGAAGGGTAGCACGATCTGGCGATAGAGATCGGGTGTCTCTGTGACGAGAATCGAACGTTGCTTCGAGTACTGCTTTCGATCGGTCTACTGACTCGAGAGGTATAGGTAGGACGTCACCTTTCGGATGTGCACTTCGGTAGCAGGGCAGACGATGTTGACCTTCACATCCCCTTGCGGCCGATTCTCCATCGATGCCGTACCGAACCAACCAGCCAGCCACATGTACTGTACAACGAGTCAGACAATCTCGGGGGCTGTAGTGCATAAATACAATGTCAGTATGTTCCATGCACCGTAGATCATCCAAGAACGTGCTGGCTTTCGGGTTCGAAGCATCGGGGAAGAGATTGTTCACAGCGTGCAGAGGGAAAGCCGTTTTCTCTAGTCGAATAATCGCGGGCAATCTGTCGGGCGAGGGATCGTCACTGCCAGAAAACGAGCCAGGGAATGATCCCAATAAAGTCAAGCGGCATTTCTCAGGCTCTTTACTTTTCGTGTCAGGTCAAGGTCTCCAGGGGTTAACCCGGCTTCACCTTCGAGCAAGATACGCTCGAAAGAGAACCCAGTCAATCGAGACTTAGGTTTCGTATCAGAGCTCATGAAGTCAGCGCGTGTGTGATTCACTGGTGGGTCAGGACAAGAGAGCAGATCTAGCTGCTCATGTGATCGGGGGGTACAAAACCGTCGAATTGGATCATCAACTTTAAATCGCACGCGCTTCCGGGGGCAATCGTGCATGATGCAATAACGTAGGCTTCTGCGACGCGTGGCTGCATCGAGGGAATGAACATGCGAGCAAGAACGTATGTATGTAGTTGTCGATCGGGCACAAGGAGTACATTGTGGATTACAGTGGCGACATCGCTGGAGGAGGATGCCATATACGCGAGAGTTGGGGATTCATGATTTCCAGATCAAGATGGCGAGGGAACCGACGTAGAAGTAGATGAAGTGCTTCGTTTCTTGAGAGGCGAGTCTCGCGGTGAGCACGAGGGCGACGGCTGAGACGGTGCTGAGTACACGCACCGTGGGTGACATAGCTCCCAAAGTTTTTCCCGACTACGACGTGCCAGGTCGGTCCGTGCCGTCTGTCGAACTCCTTCTTGATTTGGGCGGCGATGTCTTTCTCGATGTTGTACTTTTCGAGCGCGGCGGACGCGATGTCGACGCTCTCCTGCTGCATTTCGTCGCTCATGTCGACGTTCTTGATGATGGCCTTCGGCCCAGCGCCGCCTGCATCCTTCAGGCTCACGTCGGTCGTTGAAGGGGTGTCAACTTTATCGGCCATCGGACTGGAAGACGCGTCAGGAAGACCGCGATTGGGTTGGATAAGGTGGGACGGGAGAGGTATGACTTCACCTGCAGCAACGAGATGAGCAAGCTCGACAGAGGTATGGGTATGGATGATTCGGTTGAGACTGAAAGTAACGTCTGGATTGGCGGTCACGTGCGATGTGTGGCTCAACGCGATCACGATGTTCTGAAGACAATTTGGAGGTTGTCGAGGGCCAGGACGCGAAATGTGCTTCGAACTTCTCTTATGAATGTTATCCGGCCTGCCACGCCGTTACTGCTTGTCTCTTGGCTCGTCCGTTAGACTCTACATCCGCATGTAGTACACGCGCTTGTGTACTGCGAGCCTGAGAGTGTTGTGATGTCTCCCTCATACCACGCGTTTTTTCATGCAGGCATTTCCGCGTGCGACTGACCTTCGGTTTCTTCCAGCGTACGTCATCACGAAGGTGCTGGCTGGGAGTGGGCCGGGGCCGTCGCGTACTTACCTCTATGTAGAAGTATGACGTGTCTTGCGACTCCTGCGAGAGTTTGAACTGCTAGTATCATTTTTGCCGCCGCTCGCTCAAATTCTCTGGCCATGCAGTGTGACTTGAACTTGGTTGGCATGTGATGAGGAGGCCTGGGGAACATGTGCAGTGATATGCAATCTGCATCTCGTCGTATTTACACCTTCGGGACATATGTACTGGGGCAATATTCTGCTGCTTGGGAGTCGGCAGCGCCTGCGGCCACGCCAATTCGCTACTGTGATTGTGACGGGGATCCCCACAGATTCCGAAGCGAGATTTTTGGGGAGGGCGGCGACGGCCCAGATTCAGTCTCCCTGGCGCGCATACACTGGGCAACGAAGTGCGGACAGGCTCTCACTCGTAACAGCCCGATTTAGAGCAGTGTAACGGACCGTACAAGTGACCAAAGCATTCAAAGAGTCTAGACCAGATCATCGTCGAAAACTTCCGTCACCTTGCTGACGTCAGTGAAATGTAGACTTCAATTCTTTGGGGCGACCCCACATACCTTGCTTTTCTACTTCCCTGACGGGCCGTCGACTGCAGGTTTATCGCCCCGCGTCTTTCTCTCAACATGTCGGGATACGACCACTCAAAAGTGCAGCATTTCATCGGTACCCTCCCCTGCCCTTCATCAGTCCAACATCGAGGCTAATACGGAGGTTCTCAGGCGGGAATTCTGTAGACAAGGCCGCGTCAGGGAGTGTCCAAGCTTTCGTCAAGGCCAATGGAGGGCACACCGTCATCACCAAGGTGAGTTTTCTCTGCATCTCAGCTTTCAAACGGAGCACTAAAACATGTCGCAAAGGTCCTCATCGCTAACAATGGTTTGTCCGATCTGCGGGACGCGATTTGACCCCTCTCACGATTCTCAGGTATTGCGGCGGTCAAGATGATTCGCTCGATCCGTCAGTGGAGCTACGAGACTTTCGGGCACGAGCGCGAGGTCGAATTCACTGCGATGGCGACTCCGGAAGATCTCAAGGTCAACGCAGAATATATCCGTATGGCAGACCGATATATCGAGGTGCCGGGAGGTGCCAACAACAACAACTACGCCAACGTGGATCTCATCGTCGATGTCGCTGAGAGAGCTGGCGTGCACGCAGTCTGGGCCGGTTGGGGACACGCGTCGGAGAACCCGCGTCTGCCGGAAAGCCTGGCCGCCAGCAAGAACAAGATCGTGTTCATCGGCCCTCCCGGGAGCGCGATGAGGAGTTTGGGAGACAAGATCTCTAGCACCATCGTCGCGCAAAGCGCACAGGTCCCGACCATGGCTTGGTCCGGGACCGGCATATCGGAAACTGCTCTTTCCGAGTCCGGTTATGTGATTGTCCCCGACAATGCCTATCAAGACGCATGTGTTACAAGCGTCGAGCAGGGATTGGTCAAGGCGGAAGAGATTGGCTATCCCGTCATGATCAAGGCTAGCGAGGGTGGAGGCGGTAAGGGAATTCGAAAAGTGGAGAAGCCCGACGCCTTCAAGAATGCCTACCATGCAGTTGCCGGCGAAATACCTGGTGCGTCAACACAAGTTCTGCAGAAATCGAATGTCTGATCCCACCTAGGTTCCCCTATTTTCATCATGAAATTGGCTGGCCAAGCTCGTCACCTTGAAGTCCAGCTCCTCGCTGACCAATACGGAAATGCGATCTCTCTTTTTGGTCGAGACTGCTCTGTGCAGCGTCGCCATCAGAAAATCATCGAGGAGGCGCCTGTGACCATCGCCAAGGAGGATACCTTCGAACAGATGGAACGCGCTGCTGTTCGACTAGCCAAGCTTGTTGGATATGTCAGCGCGGGAACTGTCGAATGTGCGTTTCGTGTCCCCTGCACCCTTTTCTTGGGCTTATCATTCGCAGATCTTTACAATCACGCCGAAGACGACTTCTACTTCCTTGAGCTGAATCCTCGTCTCCAAGTGGAGCACCCGACGACTGAGATGGTCTCTGGGGTCAATCTGCCCGCTGCACAGTTGCAGGTTTCCATGGGTATTCCTCTGCACCGTATCAAGCACATTCGCCAGCTCTACGGGGTGGCTCTCAACTCGTCGTCCGAGATCGACTTTGACCAGGTCAAGCCCGACTCGAACCAGCTGCAGCGCAAACCTCGACCGAAAGGGCATGTAGTGGCTGTGCGTATTACGGCTGAGAACCCCGATGCTGGGTTCAAGCCTTCGTCGGGATCTATCCAAGAGCTGAACTTCCGATCGAGCACCAATGTGTGGGGGTACTTCTCTGTCACCACCTCCGGCGGTCTGCACGAGTTTGCCGATTCGCAGTTCGGTCATATCTTCGCGTACGGAGAGGACCGGAGCGAGAGTCGCAAGAACATGATCGTCGCGTTGAAGGAGCTGAGCATTCGCGGAGATTTCCGGCATACGGTCGAGTATCTCATCAAGCTTCTCGAACTCGAAGCGTTCCGGAACAACACGATTACCACCGGCTGGCTTGATTCGCTGATCAGCAGCAAGCTCACCGCCGAACGACCAGACGCCACACTCGCCGTTGTGTGCGGTGCAGTCACCAAAGCATTCCTCGCGTCGGAGGAGTGCTGGACGACGTACAAGCAGATCCTCGACAAAGGTCAGGTGCCCACACGTGACATCCTCAAGACGGTGTTCGGCGTCGATTTCATCTACGACAATGTGCGCTACTCGTTCACGGTTGCGCGGTCTTCGTCCAATGGGTGGACTCTGTACCTCAACGGAGGGCGGACGTCTGTCGGTGCCCGTCCTCTAGCTGACGGTGGACTGTTGGTCTCGCTCGACGGACGCAGCCACTCGATCTACTGGCGTGAGGAAGTCGGCGCTCTGCGTCTGATGATTGATGCCAAGACCTGCTTGATCGAGCAGGAGAACGATCCCACCCAGCTTCGCAGTCCCAGTCCTGGAAAACTCATCCGGTACTTCCTAGACAGTGGCGATCATATCAACGCTGGCGAGCAGTACGCGGAGATCGAGGTTCGTATTCGATTTGTGAGCTGCTCTCTTTGACCGTTGCTCATGTTTCTGCAGGTCATGAAAATGCTCATGCCTTTGGTCGCGTCGGAAGATGGAACGCTGCAGCTGATCAAGCAACCCGGAGTCAGTTTGAGCCCCGGCGACATTCTCGGAATCCTGACATTGGACGACCCCACTCGAGTGAAGCATGCCAAGCCTTTCGAAGGACTGCTCCCTTCGATGGGCCAGCCGGGAGTGATCGGGAACAAACCTCACCAACGTGCTGCCCGCTGCTTGAAGGTGCTGGAGGACACCCTCGATGGCTTCGACAACCAGGCTGTGGTGACAGCGACATTCAAGGAGCTTGTTGAGGTTCTGCACGATCCTGAGCTGCCTTATTCAGAGTCCACCGCCATCTTGTCTGCTCTTTCTGGCCGGATGCCCGCCAAATTGGAAGAGAGTGTCCGCTCTGCCATCGATGCTGCCAAATCCAAAGGCCCTGCGCAGGAGTTCCCTGCCGCCCGCATCAAGAAGCTCCTCGAGCATTATATCCAGGACAACATTCTGGCACAAGATCGGACCATGTTCCGCGCTCAGCTGGCCCCTGTGTTCGATGTGCTTGACCGCTTTGCTGGTGGGCTGAAGGGCCACGAGCAAGACACGGTCTCCCAGCTGCTTGAGCGCTACGCCTCGACGGAGAAGCTGTTTGGAGGCAGCATCGAGACACGCATCCTCGCGCTCCGAGACCAGCACAAGGACGACCTAGACAAGGTCGTCTCCCTCGTGCTGAGTCACATCAAGGCCCAGAGCAAGGCCAAGCTCGTCCTTGCTATCCTCGACTATGTCAAGTCCAGTGCCTTCAATGTGTCGAACGTCCACGGGCGGCTGTACCAGGTCCTGCAGGATCTCGCGATGCTCGAGTCCAAGTGCGTTGGTTACCACTATGCCTTCATTGGATGCTGACTTGTTTGCAGATCTTCGACGCAGGTCTCTCTCAAAGCGCGCGAAGTGCTCATTCTTGGTCAGATGCCCTCTTACGAGGAACGTCTGGTCCAAATGGAGGCGATCCTCAAGTCGTCGGTGTCCAACACCACCTATGGAGAGCAGGGCAACGGCCCGAGGTGAGTAGTAGCCCGAAACATGTCTCGGACAGCCCCTGATCTCTGCACAGAACGCCTTCGCACGACGTTCTCAAGGAGCTGAGCGACTCGCGCTACACCGTCTACGATGTGCTACCCGCATTCTTCAATCACGATGATCCGCTGGTGACGCTCGCCGCGTTCGAAGTATACATCCGCCGCGCGTACCGGGTGTACAATTTGTTATCTGTCGACTACGAGGACGGAGATCTGCTGGACGACGACATCAGCACTGTCACGTGGCGATTCAATCTGGGACAATCGCATTCGCCGCCCTCGACACCTCGTATCGATGTGTCAGTGCTTTCGGCTTGTGTTTAGAGATATATTTGACTTTGGTTTGTAGGGCACCCAAGCGGTCCGGCTCAGTTAGCGACTTGTCGTATCTGATTGGTCGGCATCAGTCGCAACCCGTCCGGACTGGCACCATCGCTTCGTTCATGACGTTCAACGACTTGACGCGAGGGTTCGCCAAGGTTGCGGCGACGCTTCCGGCGTTTGACCTGAACGAGCACCGCCGCCGCTATGGCATCAACATCCAGCCGCCCAACGTCATGAACATTGCGCTGCGCATTCTGGACGAGGCGGACGACATGGCTGAAGACCTGTGGGCGGACAAGTTTGCTGCGCTGACCAATGAGCAGGCTGGGACGCTTGCCAAGCGCGGTGTGCGCCGCATCTCGTTCCTGATCTGCCGCCCCGGGCAGTATCCTGTCTATTTCACCCTGCGCTCGAACGAAGGGAAGTGGATCGAGGAGCAGGCGATCAGGAACATCGAGCCCGCGCTGGCGTTCCAGCTCGAGCTCAGCCGGCTATCCAAGTACAACCTCAAGCCGGTGTTTGTCGAGACCAAGCAGATCCACATCTACCACGGTGTCGCGCAGGAGAACCAGCTGGACAACCGGTTCTTCGTCCGTGCGCTCGTCCGCCCCGGTCGTCTCAGTGGCTCGATGAGCACTGCGGAGTACCTCATCTCGGAGACGGACCGTCTCGTGACCAGCGTGCTCGATGCTCTTGAGGTTGTGACCGCCAACCAGCGCAACGCGGACTGCAATCACATCTTCATGAACTTTGTGTACAACCTCGCGGTCACATACGACGATGTGCTGGCTGCCATCTCGGGCTTCATCGAGCGGCACGGGAAGCGGCTCTGGCGACTGCACGTGACGGGATCGGAGATCCGTATTGCGCTGGAGGACGACGAGGGCAACGTAACGCCAATCCGCTGCACGATCGACAACGTGTCCGGTTTCATCGTGCACTACCACGGCTACCAGGAGATCTCGACGGACAAGGGCACGATCCTCAAGTCCATCGGGGACAAGGGCCCGCTGCACCTTGAGCCAGCGCATCAGCCGTACCCGACCAAGGAGTCGCTACAGCCGAAGCGGTACCAGGCGCACCTCATCGGCACGACATACGTTTACGACTTCCCGGGCCTGTTCTCGAAGGCGCTCACCAACGTATGGGTCAAGGCACGTGCCTCCGATGCGTCGCTGGTCATGCCCAAAGAGTGCCTGACATCCAAGGAGCTCGTTCTGGACGAGAACGACCAGCTGACCGAGGTCGACCGGGCCCCAGGCAACAACACGTCGGGCATGGTCGCGTGGGTGTTCACGTTGTTCACTCCCGAGTTCCGCCAGGGCCGGAAGGTCGTCGTCGTCGCGAACGACATCACGTTCAAGATTGGCTCGTTCGGGCCGACCGAGGACCAGTTCTTCTACCAGGTCACCCAGTACGCGCGAAACCTCGGCCTTCCGCGGATCTATCTCTCGGCGAACTCTGGAGCGCGCATTGGCCTGGCCGAGGAGGCGCTGCCGCTGTTCTCGGTAGCGTGGAACGACGACGGACACCCTGAGAAGGGCATCAAGTACCTCTACCTCACGCGCGAAAACTTTCTCAAGCTCGAGGAGAAGGGCGGCGACTCGGTGCGCACGGTCGAGATCGACGTCGACGGCGAGAAACGCCACCAGATCACCGACGTCATCGGGCTGCAGGACGGGCTCGGTGTCGAGTCCCTCCGGGGCTCAGGGCTCATCGCCGGCGAGACGTCGCGGGCCTATGACGACATCTTCACGATCACCCTCGTGACCGCGCGCTCCGTGGGAATTGGTGCGTACCTTGTGCGCTTGGGCGAACGAGCGGTGCAGGTCGAGGGCCAGCCTATCATCCTGACGGGTGCGCCTGCGCTCAACAAGGTGCTCGGGCGGGAGGTGTACACGTCGAACCTGCAGCTCGGTGGGACGCAGATCATGTTCAAGAACGGCGTGTCGCATCTGACGGCGGCCAGCGACCTGCAGGGTGCGACACACATCCTCGACTGGCTGTCGTATGTGCCCGAGGTCAAGAACGGCCCGCTGCCGGTCCGAGAGTCAGGCGACAGCTGGGACCGCGAGATCGGGTACATGCCGCCCAAGGGCGCGTACGACCCCCGCTGGTTCATCGAGGGCAAGATGGAGGAGGAGCAGTGGCAGTCCGGGTTCTTCGACAAGGGCTCGTTCCAGGAGACGCTCAGTGGCTGGGCACAGACTGTCGTCGTCGGCCGCGCCCGTCTCGGGGGCATCCCGATGGGTGTGATCGCTGTCGAGACCCGGACGATCGAGCGCGTGGTCCCGGCCGATCCGGCGAACGCCGCGTCCTTCGAGCAGCACATTATGGAGGCCGGGCAGGTGTGGTACCCGAACTCGGCGTACAAGACCGCGCAGGCCATCTTCGACTTCAACCGCGAGGGGCTGCCGCTGATCATCTTTGCGAACTGGCGTGGGTTCTCCGGCGGGCAGCAGGACATGTACGACGAGATCCTCAAGCAGGGCTCCAAGATCGTCGACGGGCTGTCGAGCTACAAGCAGCCTGTGTTTGTGTATATTGTGCCCAACGGCGAGCTGCGTGGCGGTGCCTGGGTCGTGCTCGACCCGTCGATCAATCCGGAGCAGATGGAGATGTATGCCGACGTCGATGCGCGTGCGGGTGTGCTCGAGCCGGAGGGCATCGTCGAGATCAAGATGCGCAAGGACAAGCTCGTCAAGCTCATGGAGCGTCTCGACTCGACGTACGCGCAGCTCAAACGGGACAGCAGCGATGCATCGAAGACTCCTGACGAGCGGGCCTCAGCCTCGATTGATCTCGCGGCACGAGAGACTCTGCTGCAGCCGACATACCAGCAGATTGCACTGCTCTACGCCGATCTACATGAGTGCGTTTCCGTTCTTTCTTCCTGATCCCAAACTGACTCAACCGTCACTCCAGCCGAACGGGCCGCATGGAAGCCAAAGGCTGCGCCAAGCCAGCCAGCTGGAAAGAGGCGCGCCGGCACTTCTACTGGGCGTTCCGCGCCAAGATCGCGCAGTCGGCAGCGCTGGCGCAGATCGCCGCCGCGAGCCCGGGGACGTCGTTTGACTACCGTCTGCGGCTGCTGCGTTCGCTGGCGTCGATCGAGGCCAACGCCGCGCCCCGCGCCGTCTGCGAACAACTCGAAAAGCTAGACCTCGCGCAGACTGTGGCGCAGCTGCGGAGCGAGCATCTGATGCGCAACTTGCTTGACCTGACGAAGGACGACCGTAAGGCGGCGATGGACGGCCTGCTGCGGTTCGCCGACAACTTGTCCGAGGAGGAACGCACGTCCCTGATTGGTGTCCTGCAAAGCGCCGCTCGGCCTGCGGGTGCGTAGTTCTTGTTTTGCCTTGTGGCTGTTTTCTGATTGTTTTTTGTGTTCTCAGCCCCTCCCTCCTACGTGTAAAATGAAACATGTTGTCGCACTGCATTCATATATTGTATATTACATGGCATAGAATATTATCATCAACAATCTTGAATCACACCGGACTGAGCGAGGGGCACGGGCAGGGCGCGAGTCGCGCCATCGGCAGTGCAAACCACTCGTGGCCCAGCGCGGTTGCGGCGGGAATCCGCTTATGCGGATCCCGCTGCAGCAGCTTCTGCAGCAGATCCATCCCGGGGTCAGAGAGCGTCGCCAGGGCCTCTGACCACTTGAGGGGCGGAAACGCGCTGCTGCCGGGGGTCCGGGGTTGGGCCCACGGCCGTTCGGCGATGGCCCTGCGCATGAGATCAGAGGCTGAATTAGATGGCTCGACTGAGTGGACACATACACCATGAACATCAGCAGTCCAGCCCCAAAGCAGTCCGAGATGGAGTCGTAGCCGGCTCCGGTCGTTTCAAACACCTCGGGGGCCATGAACTGCGCCGTGCCGATGTGCTGCACAGAACAGAACATAACAACAGATGAGCGGCACGACACACGCGCAGATGGGCAGAGAGAACGCACCCCGTCAGGCCGGTCGTTGAGGGCGGTGCGCGCGAGGCCAAAGTCGGTGACCTTGAGGCAGGGACGGCCGGGGTAACTGTGCTTCATGAGGATGTTCTCGGGCTTGAGGTCGCGGTGGGTGATCCCCCGACCGTGCACGTGCACCAGGGCACTCAGCAGCTGCTGCATGATCTCACGGACGAAGGGTTCCGCTGGCCGAACACGGGTTGGAATGGGTAAAACGAGCGGAGTAAGTGGAGCGCACCGAATCCTTGCTTCTTCGTGGCCCGTTGCCGGCTGACCCATCCCATCAGGTCGCCCCCAGGGACAAATTCCAGGACGAGGTCTGCGCCCCAGTCAGAGATGTCTACGGAAATAAAGTGACGAGACGCACGGATGGAAGCATAGTTCAGGTCGTGGAAGGACCCGAGGTATTCGATTACATTCGGATGGGAGATCTCCTCCAGCGTGAGAAGCTCCACGAGGGGATTGATCTCGCGGGTCTTCCGCTGCGCGTCCTTGAAGCTCTCGAGCTGCATCCCTCAGTCAGCCTCACCCCGACTGGACGCACACACAAAGAACACCGAAGAGCGCACGTACGTATTTGATCGTCTTGATCGCCACCTTTGTTCGCCCGTCCGACTTCTTCGTCCCGATGCGCACGCTGCCGAATCCCCCTTCCCCGAGTATGTCGCCCAGGGTGTACTCGGCGGCGATGTCCCCGAGCGGGTGCCGCGCGACGTGGTGGAAGACGTAGCCTGTAGAGTGGGTCAGTCGCATCCCAGCGCGCGGGTGAGAAGTCACGCGACGCACGGAAGTCGAGCAGGTCGCTCTCCGCCTCGGGGATGCCGAACGCGATGCGATCGCCGTGCTGCAGAGCAACCTTCGCCCGGCGGATGTGGGTTTCGTTGACCTGCGCGCGCGTCAGCGCCGGGGCCACAGGCAAGGCCAACGGTGGGGAGTCACACTCACCCAGGTCCCGTTCGACGACTTGTCCTCAAACAACACGACAGACTCGTGCCCCGTCTTCTCATTCCATACGAGCTCCGCGTGTGTGCCACCTTCGGTCAACGATCGTCAGCCCGGGGACGGCCAAGGGACAGGGGGGAGGGGAAAGCTCACTGATGAAAGAACCGGGCAGAATGTGCGAGCTCTGCACCGCGCGCCCGAACGACGCGCGCCCGTCGATGCGCCAGAATTCGAGCCGCAGTAGCTGCGGGTGCTTCCCCACGGGCTCAAAGTACCCGAAGAGGTGCTGGTCCCCGGGAGAGGACGTCCATTTGGTGGGTGTCAAAGACATGCGAGCAGTGCAGTGTGATGTGGGCGAAGGACAATAGACCTTGAACGCGCGAATAGCGTTTTGTTTTATACCCCAGCCGGGAGCGCGACAAAGCGCGCACGGTCCTGGGCATAAGCGTCGATAAGAGCCATCAGGCCATTGTTGTCCGTCCGGACATAAGAGCTTCCAAGGTCAAAGCATCGAGCATCAGAGCTGGACCTTGCATGGAGCATGCCGTTTGTGACAATGGCGCTGTAGCAGATGGCTCGAGTGCATCAGGCTATTGTGTTTCGTTTTTGCTCGGAAAGGAAGTCGCGCCAGCTGAGATATCCGTGCAGGGTGGTGGCTAGAAACAACCATCGTAACCAGGTAATCGTAATATGCCCCGGTGATGCAGACTGATGGCAGTCCGCTCGACGGGCTGAGTGGCTTCAACGTTGACTTTGGCAATGAAACTCTTCAGCGTTGCCGCTCCTGACTGCAGCGAGGGAAAACATGAATTTCATACACAAGACAAGGAGAGCTAGGTACAAGCACAGAATACATTGATAACATGAAATGAAACTAGAATCCAATACCGTATATCTCAGCCTGTACCCCAGGATCGGGGATGGGCGAATCCGAATCGGACTCGACGAGCGGAGTTCTCGGTCTGGGGAGAGGGCTGGAAGCAGCCGCAACACCGACCGTCCTCCGCGTCGGAATCACCACACCTATCACGCGACATGTGTGTGTGAGTACTAGTAAAAAGACGGAGAGCAGGCAGAGCGAGACGCACCGCTCCGCTTCAGCTCGTCGTATCCCTTGAGCCTGAGCTTGTGTGTGTCGGGGTCCACGGTCGCGCCCTCCTCGATGGCGACGTACGAGATGTTGTGTGCGGCGAGGAACGCCGCGTCGAGGGTACACGGGGCGTCCTCGAGGACCTCGTCGACCCACCGGCAGTGCCGCAGCAGCTCGCCGCGCTCGACCGCAGGCAGGACGGCGGGCGTGCCGAAGCGGTGGCACGTCGCGTCGGAGAATACGCCCACGATCACCCAGACGTTGGGGAAGGACAGCTTCACTTGGCGCAGCTGGAGGGCATGCCTGAGAGCGGGATGTGAGCATACGTGCGAGCGAGGGGTGGCGTTGAATGAACGAATTTTTTGACGCACCTGACGTTCAGTCCGTCAAATATCCCGTCGACGTAGATTCGCTTGGGGCGGGTGGGGGACACGGGGAGGGAGAGGCCCAACACAGCTCGTACATACGACTGTATCTCCTCAGCCGTCAAATTGCAGGTGGAGTTGAATGTGTCTTGAGCGTCCTGCGACGGCTGGGGTTCCACTATGACGGGCGGTGGGAGTGCGCCGAGGTCTGCGATGCTGGCGTCCGGGGAGACAATGTCGTAGTCGGAATCGTCGCTGAGCACAGAGGTATCCATAGCCGAGCGTCGATGGAGGAGGGGGTCGATAGAAGGGTCTAGTTGCCTCGCGTCCGCCACCTGTAGCGCATAGGTTACGCGTCGAGCGTCTGCACGCGATCCGCATCATGATTCATTGCGCCTGTGAATAGCCAAAACGCGATCACATGATGCTTGAAACGCGGTGTTTGTTTCGTGATAGGATACAAACAGAAGGGAGCTAGATCTGTACATGGGCCAAGGGATGGTTTTCAAGTCATTTCAGTGTTTATGCTCGCCTCTCTGGCAAAACGCGTTGGGCCTGTGCCAGGCACAACATGCGGGAGCAGAATGACGTATTGCACTGATTATGCCAATGGACGGGCATGAAGTATCAACACCTGACCGCACCGAGTGCCGCCGTAGCCAGAACCCAAACTTAATCCGATTCACAAAACGGGCCGGCGAATTTCAAAGGTCGGGAAGTCTGTCGGTGATGTCGACCACTGCCTTCAAGTCGCGCGCCAGGCATTGTGTGAGTTTCTACTACATCGTAGTCGCATTCATCACTGAGCAGGCGGTGATGTCTATTGCATGTCATATCACACCCAGTCGGCGGAGACCAGCCATGACCGCCTGTGACTTTTGCTGGGGTGTGCTTTGAATATGCTTTTCAGGGTTACCGTGCAGTCGACAATCACAAGGTCAGAGCAATACTGCAGTTAAGGAGCCTTTTATGAGGCCGAATGGCTGAAATAGCACCGCAAACTCACGCACAGGGACTACGGAGCCTAATGTTGCAGATCCCACCCAAAAATGGTTCGAGAGCCAATTCATTGAATTGGCAGTGCCGGTGTGTTGGGTATCGCACCACTGCGGGTTCCGGCACCGATATGATATGAAGCAGGCTCTGGGCCGCATCCCGACGCTCTGCGGAGCAAGTCATCACGAGGCACTTGAGTGCAGAGTACAAAACGGGCTCGATGGGAATCACTCTACTATTGACGGCCCGCATTCAATGGACTGAGCATTTGAGTGATCTGATGATGACGAAGGGAGCACGGCCTGAGGACGCTGCGAGCACGACCTGAGAAAAGGGGGGAGATCCGTCGACAAGAAGTTGGGAGGATTTCAAGAACATTCAATCCCGCTTCTAGTAGCGCACCGACATCCGTGGCCGCGTTCGTGCTGACGTGCACATGACCTCAGCCTATGCAGTTTCGACAAAAAGCCTGAGATGATCAATGTTGCAGGAGAATGTATAGTACCACTGAGCACTCAGAGGTTCATCGAAGCACCTCCGCTGCACCTGTTGCATCATGTATGGTCAGTTTCTTGCAGAGTCTCCTCCTCAGTGCTTGGACATTGTACTTAGATCCGTTTATGGGTGCTCTCAGATAGACTCTAGAGCGGCCGGTAGCTGCTGGAGGTCGGACGCGATCTGCACTGCCTGGAATGGAAGAGAGACTGTTCAACCGCCATGGAGCAATCAGAAGGGAAACGAGGAACAGTGGCTCAACGACGCTCCCTGCATAGTAGAACGCTGAAGACGGGAGCATTTTCTGGATCATGGAACCGATGAAAGCCGCTTTCGAAGTCCCTCGCGATGACATTGACAGCGCACATCAAATCCTGAAGGCGTTTGGCACTTGGCAGAGCGAGACGACCGAAGTACTTGTGTGCGGTTCGAGAGGAACCGTGAGCTCAACGCGAGGGACATGCCCGCTCTCATTTGGTCGCAGTGCGGTCCAGCCAAATGTGGCGGGACTGACTGCAGGAAGAGTTTTTGCACAGCGTCCCCGGTGCGATGGGCGATGTGCCGGATAGCCTCTGGATCTAAGCGCGATCTCGAACAGCGTTCGGCCCCTGCTTTCGCTTGCATACTTACGCGCGAGCAACGCATGGAAGCGATCCTCCATCGGAAGTGACTAGCTCGCTTCATTTCGGATCATCGAAAGGAACTGACGCATTGCAGTTTCCACTAGATTGTAGCTCGTCTCTGCGCTCGCACAGGATCGTACAGCAAAAGCACCGGGTAGTCAGCGTCCAGAACATAAGCACCGCATTCACGTCTCATCCATCACATGATCAGGATCGAGCAAATCAGGAGCTTCGTCTTCGTCGCCCTGAGCTGCGGTAGCTGTTGGTGTCTTCGCAAGTATGAGCACTTCAGGTTGCGAACTGGATATGCGGGCAAAGCGGAATAGATGGGTTCCTGCCAGGGACTTGAGATCCCAAGCTCGGAAATGTGACAAAGTGGGAGGATGAGTGAGATCGGGGAGGTCTACAAGATAATTGACAAGAGCACGATCACACGATAGGTCAACGCACCCATTCCTGTTCTGTATATCTCTTCTTCCCGTAGCCTTTGTTCCTCTAGTCGCACCTGAAGGGGAGATTTCGGCCGTCCAGCGCGGCGAGTGTTTTGCTCGTGTGCAAGCGTCGCATCATGGCGCGAGACCCAAGTTCGCGCTAGCTCGTGCAGTTGTGTGAGGGTGAGACCATCAGACTCCGGATTGGAATCAGACTCGATGCGTTGATGGGGCAAGGCGCCTTTGAGAAAGGCGTAGAATGTGAGATGCGTCGCATCTTTTTTCGAGCGTTTAGTGCGAAGCGATGCGAGTTTTCCCTTCCTGATAGCAGTGCGCGCGAGCTGTCCGGCTTTGCGGGATTCTGGGTGAAAGACCTTTTCTTTTTTGGCCGGTGCTTTCGCTTTGGTGGGCTGAGGCGGCGGCATTGAGGGGGCAAGCAAGTGATAAATTTCGACATCAGCGTCCGGTGATTTCCGGCGCGTGGCAGCCTACGGCTTGCACACTACTCTCATTCTCATGTCCTCACGCGACGTAGATCGCATTAATATCTCTGCCGCCCAGCAGACCCTCGACAGTAATCTCTGTCCTGAGCGCAAAACCGTCCCCGTTTGACTTGAGATTCTTCCCCTCAGTTCTGCATGAGATGTCACAACTTCTCAACACCCAACTCGACAAAGAAACGGTCCGTTTCGGGCTTGAAATACTATCCAATCACGAATTTGATATCTGCGGCGCAGCTGACAACGTGTGTACGGATGATCGAGAGTGGTGTTAACCCAGAAGCTTTGGCGGTATGATGAGTACTGTTTGTGCGGCAGCTCCTCAACTTCCTTCCTCTCTGTGCTAGGCCGTTATCCAAGAATTGAGGCGGGAGAATGCCAACCAACGTAGTCAGGAGACAAGGGCGTCATAAGAGAGAATCATGTACAATAGCGTGTAACTGTAATATCGGTGTCTATTACACCTTGTTTGGCTCCAACCCGCTCCTACCTTAGCGTTTGCTCATCGACGACCACGTTCTAGCCCCCCGGGCATCCATCACATTCGTCCCACGGCCGCAAGTCGCATTTGACCTACTGCCATGCAGCCCAGCGAATACGACATTCTCCGTGAGGTCGAGGTGATTTGATCTATCTCTCGCCGCACAATACAGTATTCATGGAATCCACTCTTTCGCAGGCTCTGCGGGACATCCGACGGCGGTCTACGACACCGGGTGCACTCACCATCGACCCCGACCTTCCCAATCAAGCCCCGACATCTCCCACCAACCCGTACAACCCCCAAGACGCTTCCACCAGCGCCAATCCATCACCGGACGCCGTGTCCAAACCTTCCGACGACCCATTCCACCTTTTTTGGGTGCCCGCAAGTTTGCACCCCGAGATTGCACCGCAAGAATTCCGCGCATTCCTCAAAGAACATGCCCGTAATCCCCCCTCTGACGACGAAAGCCAGTCCCTCTACCGGAGGCCTTCGAACGCCTCCTCCGGTCTTGGCCGCAAAAAATCCATGCTCAGTCGCCAGTATCAGCCTTCCGAGAATGACTCTAGCGACGAAGCGGTGGTTCCGCTGCGCAGAAACAACTCGGGAATCTACTCTTCCAACCAAAACCTTGGGCCACAACTCACCATCGCGGACTTGCAGAAGCTGGATGAGCTGGCGGAGGAGGCTTCGGAAAGCGATGATCCTGCGCAACTGAGGAGTATTCTGCGCCGTAGCCTCAGTCTCAACGTGTCTCCAAGTGGTGCGTGACATGATCGTGGGGTAATTCTATCCCTAACCTGGACATCTACAAGCACTCGATGCCGACGATCTCGGCGACGAAGCGGACCAGCCCATTGTGGTAGCTCCGCCGGGGCAATTTCTGCGGCGTACTGCACGGACTCGTATCCGCAAGCCCGGACTGCCTGGTGACGGCGGTGGACACCGATTTAACGAACGACGCCGCGGACCTTCTTCGCGATCCAAGGCATCTCCGACTCTTCAGCGCACATCGAGTGATGTTTCGTCCAGCGATCACGGCGATTCCTCAGAGTCGTTCTCCAACTCTATGCCCACGCCCAGGCCGCGTGCCGCGTCGAACGAGGGCATGCTGACAGGTGCACAGCGTCCTGACTCGTTCAGTGAAGAGGCGCTCATCTATGAAGCCTATGCGCGTGATCATGATGAAGAGGAGGAGGAGGAGGATGTACCTCCCTTACCTCCAGTGGTCATCACTGCGTCGCCGTCTGCCGGTGGCGCCGATTACGAGGAGCCGGCCCCTGCTAGTGCTTTCCAGTCTGAACCGGAGCCACCGTCTATCCTCTACCAACCTCAGCCCACGCGTCTATCAGCACCTTCCGGATCGGATACATATCAGGCCCAGCAACCCGGCTCGCGAACACCATCACCGTCCTCCGAGTACGAAGTCTCTACCCCGACAGTTTCACCCGAAACATACAGTCCTGCCGGGACTCCCACGGGTTCACCTCCACCGCCACCATCCTTTCTGTCCACGTCGCCATCACCACGGAAGGACAAGGACAAGAAGGGCCTGTTCAAGTGGGGGAGTGACAAGGAGAAGGAAAAGCCGGCCAAAGGGTCTAAACGGGTCGAGAAAGAGCGCGAGAAGGACAAAGACAGCGGCTTCTTTGGGTCCTTGTTCGGAAAGAAGAAGCACGATTCGTCGGTGCCGGAGCCTGCCGGGCTTCACGGCGGGCGGGAAGCCGCTCACGCGCTCTTAGGACAATCTCAACGCGCTCCGCGGTCGCCGGGTGCCCCGTCGCCACTTGCGGGGGTGCCGGATGCGATGCTGGGTGGGATCAACAACTACTCCCGGTATCCGATCCATGTTGAACGGGCGATCTACCGACTGAGTCACATCAAACTGGCGAACCCGAGGCGACCGTTGTACGAGCAGGTTCTGATCAGCAACTTGATGTTCTGGTATCTGGGTGTGATCAACAAGGCTCAGGCTCAGGCCCAGGAACAACAACAGGCCGCCCAGGCCGAGGAGGACGAATCCGAGGCTGAGCGGGAGGCAGCTGAGCGGGAGAGAGTAGAGCGGGAGCGGCAGGAGAAGGAGCAGCGAGAGAGAGCAGAGCGAGAGCAGAGAGAGCGGGAGGAAATGAAGAAGCGGGAGGCCTCGCCACGGCGGGGATCGTTGACGAAGGCTGTTCCGCCCGGGGCACCTCAGCAGCGGCGAGCCGAGATGCCTGTGAGGGGCCCTCAATACGAGATGCAGCACCGAGTGATGGAGAAGGAGTATGCGGGCTACAACGGAAACGGGCCTGCGCGGACGAGCTCTGCTGGGGCTCAGCAGCATGGATACTATTCTCCCGGAGAATCCATGCAGCAGCAGCAGCGGCTTCCTCCGGGTGCAATGGCACCTGCAGATCACTCTTCATGGCAAGCATCGCCGCGCACGCAGTCTGCGTCTCCTCCGCCGGCAGCCCAGCGACGCTCGCGCTCCCGCCGCCGCCAAATATGTACAACGCAGCCGGTGGGCAAGGTGGTGGTGCTCGGCTGGCAGGCCGATCTTTAAGTGCGACCGCGGCCATGCCATCAGCCGCACAGCCTCCTCCGATGAACGGCAAAATCCGGAAGGGTCAAAGCGCACACGCTGGAGTGCCTGCCAATGCTCGACGACCGCAGCAAGCCAACGGAGCGCCGAGTGGCGAAGAGGAGGACATGCCGCTGGCGATGTGGCAGCGGCAGCAGAGGCGATGAGCCCTCGCCGCCTACCCGCATCTAGACACTCTTCCTTGTGTGGCTCACAATTACACATAAAGCCAATCGGCGCTTGCCCATGCTAATCACGGACTACTCTACGCCAATCTCTACACTTCTGATGAACTGCTAAATCGTATATCCTCCTCCCATTGCTTTCTTTTTGGTGTTTTAACACAACCTTGTAACATTATCAGCATCTCATGTCGAATGCAAATGGATCAGAGACGTCCCTTGTAATCATTGTCAGAGTGTGGGACACAGGCTGAACCTGCAGGATTGCCCAGGGTCTGCCCGACTGTACCCGCTTCCTGTCAAGTATCTGAGGCGATACACGCGATCGCGCGAGCCAGCAGATCGGCTCCTGCGCGTCCATATAAGGATGTTCATCCATCTGCATATGGGACCGCAAGCGATATCAAACTCGGCGGCATTAGAGTGTACTCAAGGATCATTTTGAGGGACTCCGACCTATGGTGTTCTCCGGTGACCGGATGCTTACTACGAACTGCACGCTCAGCACGCCAGTGTGTGAGAAGGACTATGACGATCGCTCGACACTAGACACCATCAGAAGCGGAGGTGTTCTTCGACGAATCGACAGTCTCCGACGAGGACAAAAAAGGATCATTGGTGCCCAGCTGTCACTGACAGTAACTGTAGCATCGACATTGGATATCACCTGACAACGCTACAGCAAGCGATCATTTTCGGTTTCATAACGGCCTCGACCTCTGTCTGGAGTCTGGACCAGAAAACCTGTCCCTCGCGAACCGATCTATAAGAATGATTCCGGAGTGTGTAGAGATCCTTCCTGCGTCGCACCTATGGCTCCGCTGTCTCCCCGCCACCCTCGAATCCTAGTTGTACGCGATCCCGAAGGCTGACTGTCCAATGCAAACGACTCAACGATTTGGAAACACAGGTCGGCGCTGGTCCGTCGGGCTTAGTCATGGCTCTCGCGCTCCTCAAGCATGGCGTTCCTGTTCGGCTCATCGATAAAGAGACCAGTCCGCGGATGGGGCAGCGAGGGGCGGGCATCATGGTGCGCTCATTTGCATTTCTAGTCGAGACCGCAGGACTTGACACGCCGGTTCCAGCCTCGTTCGATGGAACTCTTCCAAGCCCTCGGTGTCGCTGGCGAGATCCTCACGCGTGCTATCGCGGCGCCGCAGGCCGTCATGTACAAAATGCCCGACGGAGTGCAGGTCCTCAGCAAGTTCGATATGTGGCCTCCGACCTCCTCGCATACCCAGCGTCCCTACGTGAGTCGGGCATCATCGGGTCTGCGAAGTACCTGCACTCGATTGACATCTCTATCCAGCCGGATGTGGTCATGCTCGGGCAAGATCATCTCGAACAAATTCTGCGATCGGAGTTGCGACGGTTGGGATGTGAACCTGAATGGGGAGCCTGTCTTCTCTCCTTCGAACAGCGTGCCGGAGAAGGCTGCGTTCGCACTCGCATCTCGCGTCCATCGGATAACTCGGAGGAAGAGACTGTGGAGACACCTACGTTCGATTACATCGTTGGGGCGGATGGGGCTCGGGGGATGGTCCGCAAGGCCTTGGGGCTCTCATTCCTGGGCGAAACGCGTAACGCCGAGAATATCATGGTCGGGGATGTCATGGTGCACGGCCTGGACTCGAAGGTATGGCTACCGTGTCTTCTATCGCATAACCTCCTCGGCTCAGACTTCTCAGCATTGGCATATGTGGGGCGAAGTTGGAGAAAAGTGGTACGGATCAGTGGGCATCTCGTGAATCGGTCCGCTAATGAATTGCCGACGTTTCTTCTGCAGGATCAGCCTGAGACCGACTGAAGTTCCGTTCATGTACAACTTTCTGTTGACCGGAGAAGGGATCGACCACCCGTACCTCATCGAACATCCGGAGGAATTGAAACCCATCTTCGAAGAATACACCGGCAGACGCAAGGATCTGGTATTCGGAGACGTCGTATGGTTATCGCAATACAGGTGTGTGCATCTGCTGGCTGGTGTCTCAGATTGCTTACTCCCTCAAGGCCAAACATTCGGCAAGTCAATCTTTTCTGAACCGGACGCGAGTAAAAACCTTCTCTGCAGAATGGTCAACCACTTTTCCGTCGGTCGGGTATTCCTGGCAGGAGGTACGTGGGCTGCTTCTCAGGCTTGGCTTGGCTGACCACAACTGTCAAGATTCGGCTCACGTTCATAGCATTACTGGCGGTCAAGGAATGAACACCGGAATCCAAGACTCGTGGAACCTGGCCTGGAAAATGGCCATGGTCCAACGCGGAATCTCGCCTCGTTCGCTACTCGATACGTACACAGAGGAGCGCGCGCCGGTGGTTGCCGCCATGCTCAATCAAATCACCGCCCTGCTGAATGAGACCTGGACTGGGCGGGACAAGGGGTCTGCTGGCT